TTTTTAATTTACCATGATAGTGTTATATATTATTTTTTATATTGTAAAAAGTATTATGTTACGTTTTTAATATTAATTTATGTTTTTCAAATAAATAAATGCTAACATTCATTATAAATATCATTTTAAATATACATATTATTATAATTATGGTGTTATTTTAAATAATCAATGATTAAATCATTAATTTATAATCCAATTTTTTATACAATTAAGTAATTTTGCTAAAATTCATAATTATTATTTATCGTCGAAATATTTTTAAACCTTCTGCTTCTAATTATAACGCGTTAACTTTCATCAAAAAATTATATCGAAAAAATAGCCATGCAATCCTGTGGTAATCCTCTTTTTCTTCAATGGATAAGTGAATGGATGCAGGAAGCAAAAGAAAAGAATCTAAAATCCTATAATGTTTTCAAGACAGTTAGTTACAATAATATTTTAAAAAAAAACTAAATGATAATTTAGGCATATAATTCACTGTTATCATGTCCTATAACATTTTCAGATCCACGTCAACTAAAGAAATTAAAAGGAATAGGAAATGTTATATCAGCGCGTTTAGAAGAACGTTTAAAAGAATATCAACGTACTCATATAAATTCAAATGTTCAAAATCAAGGTCCAGATACAATAATATTTTTATTAACGTAAACTAATTTTAAAAGCTAATGTAGAAAAATCATATTTTTCACAATTAGAAGAATCACATTTAAACTCGAAAACAATTAAAAAATCCATCCAGCAAAAAACAAAGACACAAACATCAAAAACATATATACCTGGATATAGATCTAAATCATTTGCAATTCTTATTGCACTTTTTAAATTTAATGAGGACGCGACTGTTTCAAAAGAAGAAATATTAAACATTGCAAGACATTACTATGACATAAGCGAACACAAAAATATACATTCATTATGGAATGGAATGAAAATTCTTCTAGAAAAAGAATATGTATATAAAACAGTAAATCCAACAAGATATCATCTTACTTATTCGGGAAAAGAGGTAGCGGCTGCTATATCCAGCTCAGTATTTTCAAATGGAATTATAGAAAAAGATTTTATCTTAAACAATGAGTTTAAAAAAAACATAAAAGAAACTCAAGAAAATAATTATCATGAAATACATATGATTAAGGAATTAAGTCAAAATATAGAAATGGAAAAAAAAACGTCGAAAGGCATTCCAAAATCACCAATACATAACACAATATTAAACATCTCAACAATTCAACATAATTTATATTCTATTATATTATTATTAGATACGAGAGAAATGAAAACACAAAAAGATAAAGAATTTATTGAAAATTACCTAACAAAAGAATCTATAGTTTTTGAATTTCGAACATTAGAGTTAGGAGATGTTTTATGGATTGCAAGATGTAATATAACTAAAAAAGAATATATTTTAGATTTTATTGTAGAAAGAAAAAGACTAAATGATCTTGCAAGTAGCATCAAAGATGGAAGATTTCATGAACAAAAGGTAAATTCACCACTTAATATAATTTAATGTAAAATATAATTTAGTTCCGTCTATCTAAATCATGTTTAAAACATGTAATATATATTATCGAAAACTGCAACTATGATTTCACAGATTTCAATATTGAGGCCATACATTCAGCTATTTCAAGCACTCAAATTATTAACGGTTTTTTTGTAAAAAGACTTTCGGGACTAATGGAAACAATTAAATATATAATAAGATTAACAAGATATATTTCACAAATTTATAAAGTATAAAAAACGTAACATACTATTTTTTATTTATGACATGCTAGACACAAGATCTGTACATTATCGATAATGACAATATCAATTTACAAACTTATACATTACAAAAAAAAATAATTAACTCAACTTATCCGGAACGTTCATATGTTATCGAATACAGTACATTTTCAGATTTTTTATCAAAAACAGCATCTTTAACTTTAGGCGATTTATTTCTTAAAATGTTATTAACAATTAAAGGTGTAAGTCCAGAAAAAGCAATTGAGATACAAAAACGTTTCCCAACATTAAATGACTTATTAACATCGTATTATAAAGAAACATCTGAATATGAAAGAGAAATGATGATTTCGAAAAAATGCACAAATTATGGAAGAAAAAATATATCACCATTATTATCATCAAAAATATATAAAGTTTTTAAATAATATGTAATTCAATGCCAAATATTTTAAAAAATCATATATTTTATTGTATATATAAACCTTTAATACATAAATTATTACATATACATATTACAATAAAAAATCAATTGAGTTTATTATATAAAAAAGCCCCATTATTTTAACTAGATATTTTTTAACTATTTCATTTTCAGCTAAATTATTAGTTAATGCATATTGATTATAATAGTATTCATCATTACATAATATACTACATCAAGCTTTAACATCATATTAAAATAGAACTAGTATCATACATAATTTTTTATTCATAATTATAGAATAAAAATTCAAGAACGTATTTCTACACCAAAATTATATAATTTCTAGATCGTTCTTTAAAAATTAAAACCAAACATTCTAAACAATTATAAACCAAATCAGGTATTTATTCAAAAAGTCCTATTCCTCAAATAAATAATTTAGAGCATCGTAATTGATTTTTTTAGAAAACGTTCGCTGTTGTAACATTTTTTTTGCAGATTCTACTGGTGTAGATGGCAAATTTATACTATTGGAATCTTTCGGTTTATGTTTTTTACGCTAAATATAAAATTCAATCATAATAAAATCAATACAATAAATTTTATACCTTTTTTGTCTGACGTCCAATACCAGCTTTAAGATCTGATTCTAATTTCAAACGTCTCGCTAAATAATTTTAAAATAAAAACAAACAAATATATATAATATTACCTTCTTGAGCAGCAAGATATTCCCTATTTAATTCCATCCAGACTTGAGTTTTTGCCAAAACCTCAGGCTCGCTCAAAATAATCTGGTTAATTTCATCATCATCCATATCAGAAAGAGTTTCATAGCATTTCTCAGAAGATTTCTTAGATTCTAGTAGAATAAATATTTTTCAAAAAATAATATAATCATTTACCTTGAATAGCGATAGACATTTTCTGAATATTTCTATCTTGTAATACAGATTCCATTTCACCCTTCAAAAAATTATCATCTAATTCAGCAACAAGATCATTCGAATCTACTAATTTCAACGGCAGTACTATCTTTTTACTAGAATATTGATCCCCTGCAACAGTATTTAATACTTCTGTCTCATACTCCTTATGACTATTCAAAAGCTCTACAGTTTCAATATCTTTTTTCCTTCGTTCTTTCTTTCTTCCCTGAAGATATGAAGGGGGATCATGAGTTTGTTCAAGCCATATAGTTCTAAAGTCTTGAACTGTTAAATCACCAGATGCAGTTGTTTTAAACTCTTCTAATCTTTTTCGAACAGTAAGATCACCAACTTTAACTATATGTACAATTTCTTCTACACTTCGACGAAAATTATTCATACGCGCAGCTATTAAGAGACCTAAAAAAAGTAAATCAAGTTATCTAGACTAAAGATTATATTAACATGCACCACATATTCCAGCAGGTCTTCTACCAGTTTGCATCCAATCTCTATTCATTCTCTGGACTAATCTAATAGCATCTGTAGCAACTTTATGTGTTTCTGCTCCAAATTCCAAAAGAGCAGCAAATCTAGTTATATAAAGAGATGGATCAACAAATGGAAGAGTAATATGAAGAATTTGCACTAATTTAAGAAAAGTTGAACCAAGAGTAAAAACATTAATCTTATTTACATTTAGAAAAGTATCAACAATTCAAGCTTTTACCTGAAGAATATCGGAAAAATCAATAAGCATATGTGATGTCCTTTCTAATCTACATACTATATATAGACAAGATGCAATAACGTATTGTGATCGACGGCCTTGAATAAAATTATGTGTAACTGCAAGGGTAAAATAACGAACTGCAGTTTCAGCATGCCTCTCTGACAAGTGTAATGCAGCTGCCAGTGCGTTAATTCTTCGACGCCCTAAAAAGTCAATATATTTAAAAACAAAAAAAAAATACCATTAGTTATAGTTTGTTCCCTAGATTCCAATGAGTTCAGTTTACGATAAGGACCATTAGTACGTGCATAAGCTTAATATTTCAGAAAAAAAAAAAAAAATTTTAAAAAAAATTACTCTGATCGGCACCAACAAATGATCCTTGAACTATAGCAGCACCTGAAGACGCTTCACCAAATGTAATTTCAGAAACAATTACATTTTCTTCAATCACATTTCCACAAGAAATACAATAAGTAATACCTGAAGAGGAATCTGCTTCAAAATTAGAACCTCCACAACCCGAACAAATTGACATTGGAAGATTATCCTTTATCGATACGTAGAAAATTACATGAAATTCCGAAAAAATTACATCAGATCAATTAAATATCAGAAAAAAAAAACGTAATAATAAAACTTTATTACCACAAATCGCATTTTTTAAAATAATAATTTACGTATAGTTTCATATGTTTCGTATTATTTCAATTTAACATAGATATAAAATATCAAGAATACAAATAATTTTAATAAAACAATTGATAACCTTTATAAATCTAATTTATTATACATTATCTATATTTAAAATGAAAACAATATTTTTTATACAAAAACCTAAATAAAAAGATAAATTTATTAATTTATACTTTAATAAATACACTATTAATATTTATTTATAAACTTTTATTTTTTTTGATAATTATTATAAAACTATATTTATATCCTTATATTTTTTAATAAGATAAATCAATTTTAAACTCAATGTATTAATTTTAGTATATATTTTTTTGAAAAAAAAAAAAATATAATACTATATCATTATCACAACATTTCCATAAATCAAAATAAAAATATTAAAATATAAGATTATAATACTTTTAATATATATGTATATAACATTTAAAAATACAGGTCGAAATGATTTTTTTAAAATTTAATTATGCAATTAGAAAAAAATACAATTGATCTTATTAGAAAACTATCAAAAAAACATCCTAAACCTCAAAATGTTATATATTTATATGGAACAGCGGGCTTTCGTATGAAGTTAATAATAATAATAATATTTATTTTATATTTATAATAAATAGTCATAAACTTTTAGACTCAGTCATGTTTAGATCAGGACTATTTTCGTCTTTAAGATCCAAAAAATTACAAGGAAAAACAATTGGAATTATGATAACGGCATCTCACAACCCAGCGGAAGATAATGGGATAAAACTTATAGATCCTTATGGAGAAATGTTAGAAATAACATGGGAAGAACATTTTAACAGTATTTCAAACGCAGAAAATACAGATATTTTAATTTCACTAATTGAGGAAATGATTTCTTCGCAAAAAATAGATCTTAAAATAAAATCAAACGTTATTTATGCAGGAGATACAAGGTAAAAAACATATTTTATAAATATAAATTAATTATACAGACAATCGAGATTAGATTTAATAAAATCTCTTGTAGACGGATTATCTTGTTTTGAGACATCATGGACAAATTATAAATTATTAACTACACCGCAGTTACATTATATTGTACATAGCATTAATACGAAAAATACACCAGAAACTTATGGAGAACCAACTGAACTCGGATATTATAATAAACTTTCAAAAGCATATCAATATTTAATGAAAGATCAGATTTCTCAAACACCTCTTTTTGTTGATTGTGCAAATGGGATTGGTGCATTAAAATTAGAAAATCTTTGTCATTTAATAAACAAAAATATTTTAAATGTTAAAATAATTAACAAAAATACAAATATTCCATCTGATCTTAATAGAGAAGTCTAAACAATTAAATAACATATCTTTTTTTAATAGATTTAGTGCGGAGCAGATTTTGTTAAAGTACAGCGTAAATTACCATTAGGAATCAAAACAAATACAAGGGGTAGATGCCTAAGTTTTGATGGAGATGCTGATCGCATTATATACTATTATATAGATTCAGGTATTTATTATTTTATTAGTTTTATTTATAAAAATATTTTAGACAATAATTTTAAATTATTAGATGGAGATAAAATAGCATCATTAATAGCTATATTTATGCTAGAATTTATCAAAAAAGCATCAATTGATGTAAATATTGGCATAATACAAACAGCTTATTCTAATAGAAGTTCTACAAATTTTATTTCAAAAATATTAGTAATATACTTATGTTTTTATATTTGAATCTAAAAAAGATATCAATAGAAAATACCGGTAAACTGTGTGTTAGCCGGGGTTAAACATCTTCATCATGCTGCAATGCAATATGATTGTGGAATATATTTCGAAGCTAATGGTCATGGAACTATTATTTTTTCTAAAAAAATGAAATTCCTTCTATCATCATATCAAGAAAAGTCGCCTTCACAACTAGCTGCTGCAAATTATCTCAAAGAACTGATTAATTTAGTAAATCAAACTATAGGCGATTCGTTATCCAATATGCTATTAATAGAAGTTATTCTTGCATATAAAAATTGGAATATAGAGGATTGGGATAATATTTATACGGATTTTCCAAACAGAATGATAAATGTTATAACAAAAAATAAGGAGCTTTACGAAACAATAGTAAATGTCAAATTAATCATATTTAAAATATTTAATAGAAATTATAGGGTTCTAATTATAGACTTGTCAAGCCAAAAGAACTACAACAGAAAATAGATGCTTTAGTTTCAAATTATAAAGAAGGAAAAGCATTTATTAGAGCATCTGGAACAGAAAATATAGATAAGTACAAAATATATACACATAATTAAACTGACATAAAATCAATTAGAGTATATGCAGAAGCATTAACAGAAAAAGATGCAGATGAACTTGCATTTAAGGTTGCTCAACTAATTTACTAAATACTTCTATATATATTTAAACATATATAATATATGATATCATAAAAAATTATTACATAAATGTTATATCTACAATCAAAAACCTTTTAGCTACAATTCAATAACTATTCATAATATTAATTATCTAAATATAGCCTCTTGTACACCTTTAACGTTATTTTTAGACTCAAAATTACTATCTAGAATTAAAAATTTATACCAATAATATACAATAGGAATAGTTGCCTATATTCTATTTAGTTAATTAAGAAATAAAGGGAAATACCATATGCCATAAACTATGCGCATCAAACAAATATAAAATAGGAGGGAAATCAAAAATCTCAAAACACATAGCAATCATAATAGCACAGACAATATACATAGGCCACAAAGCAAAAGGTCGAGAACCATAATTAGATAAAGAATAATATACCCATAAAATATTCTGAAAAAATCCAATAAATACATTTGCAGCCATATTATATGAGTAATTAAATTTCACAAAAGACAAATATATAACATGAATTAAGAAAGCAAATATGCAAATAAATGCCCATATATAAACAAAAAAGCTATAATTTTTGTAAAGATCTAGGCGAAAAATCCTAAGAGGAGTAAAAAAAAAACCCCATAAAGTAAGTGCTCCTGCAGAAAAATAATCAGCCCTTTCAGTAAATTTAAAATCCCTCATATGATAAACAGAACTCCAAAACCATGCATTTAATCCTAAAAGTGCATATGTAATATAAAACTTTCTAAATACATAATTGGAAGGAATCAATAATTTTATCCAACAAAAACCAAGATAATGAACGTATCCATTGAATATAGAGAAAACTACACTTGCAGGCTCCTGCATGGCTAATATTCTGATAAAATACCATTTACCCCAAAATTGCTCTTTTCGTAATCCATTCTTTTTTCTATACAACGTTACAATTCTTTGACATGAATAATCACATTCGCTTTGACAATCCCACAATCCTATTCTTAAAACAAGCGAAAGCCTTCCCCGAACAAATTGTCTAGGAGCATCTTTTCTACAATTTAAAGTAACACATGAAGATATACAATTTTTAAATTCGGGAAGCTCATTTCCTTTACTACATAAAACATAGACAATAGAAAAAAAAGGAAAAAACAAAAACAAAGACTTAACCATATATTTTCCTTAATAATTACTTATTCAAAATTTTAATTACATATCAAAATCCGTTAAAAATATATACACGAAAATTAGCTCATATTTTTTTTTTCTTTTTAAATAACAATGATATATAATATAACTACTTTATTAATATATTACATTTAAAAATATTATCAATAATTATTTTTATCATTTTAATATAACTTATTTCACATATTTTTGTAAATACAAAATAGCGGATAAAAACATTTCGAGATAATTAAAAAATCAGTTTTTATAATGTTAATAGAACATGTTTATAATTATTTTTAATTGTTTATATTTCTAACACGAGAAGATAAATAAAATAGGAGGGAATAGTTAAATATTAATATATTCTATGATTAAATTTTATCAACTTTTAATAGTTAGGACAAGATAAAGGCTATTGCTACTATTTGGATAATTACATAATAATATGTGAGAAACATGCCGGAATTCGCAAAGTCATTGTTCTTTTTATCAAAATTCAACAATAAAATTTGTAATATAAATCAATTTAAATCAAATCATTTAGTACATGAATCATCTAATCCTCAGCTATCTTCTGAAGCATCTGACAATTTTGCATCTAAGGAATCTGAAAAACAACCACCTAACAACAATGCTGAAATGTCTAAATCAGTCTTTTACAATAATGATAATTCTAGTTTAAAAAATACTCAAGTAAGTTAACTTGAACCTTTAAAACATCCGAAACTAATATAAAAAACATAAAGTCATCGCTGAATCTTTTAAATTTATGCAATACACAAGAATCCCCATCACCCTTATCTGTAGAATCACCTAAAGGTCGATTAATTATAAGAATAATCCAAGCAAGAAATTTAAAAGTAAAAAGTATAGATGTACATAAATCCATTTAAGACTTACAACTATTAACTATACTAGGCAGAGCCTTATGTTATCTGCACATTTGAAAATAATGAATTTATATCTCAAGGACCTGTCATGGATAACAATGAACCAATACGTGGGATAGCTATTCCAAAGTCTCATCATTCATCAACATATCTTCATAATTCATATGAAAATGATTTAGTAACCAGAAAAAACAGTTTTTCAAATGTAACATACACTGCAAGTAATCCTTTCTGGATGTATCAAGTTATATTGTATGTATTAAACTTATTTACTTTTTTCTTAAAAACATAGTGATGTTATCGATTTAAAAAGCAATATTGATATAAATGTTTATGATAGAAAGAATAATGAGTCTTTTCTGGGGCATGTACAGATTAAACCTATTTTTATACATAAAAAAGAAATAAAACATTGGTATAAGTAAGAAATTCAAAAAAAAAAGAATGTAGTTTCTAATAATAGAAGATTGGAGTCTTTAGAAAAAGGTGAAAATATTGCAGAAATTTGTTTAGAAATGATCTATGAACAAATCAGTAAACGACATTATGGTCCAGACGATTTTGAAATACTAAGGCTTATTGGAAAGGGTAATAAGTTGCAAGCATAATTTAATGCTTTTTCTTAAAAATTATAAGGCACTTTTGGTCAAGTTTATCAAGTAAGAAAGATCGACAATAATAGAATTTATGCCATGAAAGTTCTATCTAAGAAAACGATAGTCCAAAAAAAAGAAATCAAACATACAATTGGTGAAAGAGATATATTAGTACGTACTACTATTTCGGATTCACCATTCATAATCGATCTCAAATTTTCATTCCAAACACCCACAGATTTATATCTAGTCACTAGTTATATGAGTGGAGGAGAACTCTTTTGGCATCTTCAAAAAGAAGGAAGATTTCCAGAGCCTAGAGCTAAATTTTATATAGCAGAGCTAATCCTTGCATTAGAACATTTGCATAATCATGATATAGTATATAGGTCTAAATGTTTTCTTACATCATATTTTGCTTACAAATCATTCAGAGATCTTAAACCCGAAAATATACTACTTGATGCAAATGGTCATATTGCATTATGCGATTTCGGATTGTCTAAAGCAAATTTATCTTCTAATTCCACAACAAATACATTTTGCGGAACTACTGAATATTTAGCTCCAGAAATTCTTTTAGATGACTCTGGATATACTAAACTAGTAGACTTTTGGTCACTTGGTGTTCTTGTATTCGAAATGTGTTGTGGTTGGAGTCCGTTTTATGCAGAAGATACACAACAAATGTATAAAAATATTGCATTTGGAAAAGTTCGTTTTCCAAAAAATATATTAAGTCTTGAAGGAAGAAATTTTGTAAAAGAAGTAAAATTGCATATCCTAATATATTATAGCTTTCTAACTAAAACAGCTTTTGAATAGAAACCCTAAGCGTAGACTTGGAGCTACTAGAGATGCATTGGAACTTCGAGAACATAGTTTTTTTCATGATATAGACTGGGATGCATTATTAAAGAGAAAAATTCCACCACCGTTCAAACCTGTAATTTCAGGAGAATCTGATGTTAGTAATTTTGATATGGAGTTCACTTCTGCTCCAATACAGAAACCTGAAAATAATATACATGCATCTACACCTTTGAGCTCAACTATGCAAGCAATTTTTAAAGGATTTACATTGTATAGTTACATATAACAAAATTATTTTCTAATTTTTTCAGTGTTGATGAAAGCTCTTTTGACGACCGCTTCGAAAAAAGTTTTTTCAAACAATCTATTTTTATGGATCAAGATCAAAATTTAAACTATTGCAATATGGATTATAGTGAAAGTCATCATAAAGATAATAATTATAAAAATAATAGTCAAATAAATGACGATAGAACAATGAGCATTGTACAAACAGAAGATGAAATCTTTCAGGGTAATTTTGATTAAACAATATTGTTTTATAAAGAATTATAATTTAAAATATATGAATTTTTAATTGTATATTATTTTACTATTATGGCATACTGTTTTTCTTTATTATTTATCTGAATAATATTTTGTATTTTTTCGTACCTAATAAATTAAATCTAAAAAATGTTTACAGGCATTATTGAAGCAACCGGACTTCTTTCCAAAATTGAAAATCATGATGGTATATCTTGGTCTATTTCTGATACTAATAATATAATATCTGATATGCATCCCGGTGATAGTATTTCTATAAATGGAGCATGTCTTACAATTACTGAAATTAACAATAATTCCTTTAAGCTTAATATAAGTCCCGAAACTTTGAAAAGAACAAATTTTGGTAGAATTTCTGAAGGAGAAAAAGTAAATTTAGAAAGAGCTATGACATTAGATAAACGATTTGGAGGACACATCGTTCAGGTAATTTAACTTAAACTTATAACGTATAATTTTAGAAATTCTAGGGACATATAGATACTATTGCAACTATTGTTCAAAAAGAATCTAATAATCAAACAATTATATTTACATTTGAGCCTTATAATAAAAATATCTTAAAATATATTATAGAAAAAGGTTATATTGCTATAGATGGCATTAGGTTATATTAAAATTATTTAAAATATTACTAATCGTTTTAGCTTAACTGTTACACAAGTTAATGACAATACTTTCAGTATAATGTTAATCCCTTATACTCAGAAAATGACTGTTACATCTTCTAAAATAATAGGTGATACTGTAAATGTAGAAGTAGATCAAATGGGAAAATATGTGGAAAAACTATTACAGGAACATATAAAGAAACTTAAATATTAAAACAGTTATTAATTAAACAAGAAACCCTATATTATTAATGCTGTATAATATTTAACATAATTTATATTAATAATTTTTATCAAGATCCATATCATCACGTTTCCTTTTTTCTAAAACAGTTATAGATTTTGAAATTTGTTTCTTATGTTTCTGTGTTCGTTTCTTTGCTCGCGTATTATACATATTTTTCATTTCTATAATAGCTTCTCTAACTCAACATTAATCTCAAAACTTTTCCCTTATTAATGAATACCTTTGAGCTTCACTAACTCTTTCATTTAATAACATTACTATTTCTTTATCTGTAGAAAATTCATCCATTTTATTGCCAAGTGCCTTTTCAATTCTCAAAAATAACTCCAAATCATATTGAGTAACTAAAGAAAGACTTTTTCCAGATCTACCTGCTCGAGCAGTACGACCAACTCGATGAATATATGTTTTTGAATCAGTTGGTATATCATAATTTATAACATAATCAACAAGAGGACTTTATGAATCAATATTCAATATAATAGAATCATTTTTCTTACATATCCAAACCTCTTGCAGCAACATCGGTAGCTATAAGAATATTAAATGATCCTGATTTAAACTTAGTTAATGCACCAAGTCTTGAAGATTGACTCATTTGACCATGCAAACATACTGCAGAAAACCCTAAATGACGAAGCAATATCGTTAGCCTTTGTGCATCATTACAGGTACGAGCAAACGCTATAATCGATTGACCAATAAGCTCATTAATAAGAAATACAAAATAAGTATCTTTATATTTAAAAGGGAAAAAAAGATATGACTGAATTAATGTTGATACTGTTGAATATTTAGTAGATACTGCTATACGCACAGGATTTGACAAAGATGCACGTTGAAGCTTTTCTACTTTAGAAGTCATAGTTGCAGAAAATAAATACGTATTTCTTTCTCTAGGAATAACTTTCAATATTTTTTCAATAATAGGACCAAAATTCATATCAAGGAGCTTATCTGCTTCATCAAGAACCTATATATTAATTAAAACAAAAGAAAAATAAATATAACTTTATACTAAATATTTTATTGTCCTAAGAGAAAAACCTTTAGTATTTTCTAAATGATCTTGTAAACGACCAGGTGTACAAACCACAATATGTGGCTTTTTATTTAATGCTATTGCCTGAGAAACCATATCCATACCACCAACAATAACTACACTTTTCAAACCTAGATTACTACCAAGAGCAGAAAATTGATCAGAAATCTATTAAAATTAAAAAAAAATAAACGAGGTAAAATCAACTTGATAAGCTAACTCTCTAGTAGGTGCTATAACACATGCAAATAAAGAACTTGGTTTTTTCCATAAAGCTTGAATAATAGGTAATGCAAAAGCAGCAGTTTTTCCAGAACCCGTTTGAGCTAAACCAATTATATCTCGCCCTTGTATAGCCCATGGAATTGCTTCTTGCTGAATAGGAGTGGGTAACTCAAACTTTAAAGCTTTACATATATTACAAAGCTCATCTATTAATCCCTATAAACGCTTTTAGATAAACTACTTAAAAAAAAATTTATACAAGATCTTTAAAATCCTTTTTAACTGAAACTTCGTCATTAAAAGAATCATTGCCATATATGACTGTTTCTGGCATAACTATTCCATATAGATAATTTAAAATACATTATAAAAAATATCGGCGAATTTAAAAAAAATATAATTTAAATTCAAATGGTAAAAACAAAGGTAAATTATAATTAATAAAAGTAATAGTTGCTAAAAAAATAAAGAAAAGAAGAACCCATTTAAGAAAAAATGAAGAATTATCAAACACCCGTATACCAAAATCGGTACTTTAAACTTTTATTAAATATATTTCTTATGTTTTAGATGGTCATACGTACTGGAGCGTCAAATGTTGGGTCTAGTATATCCCAACTTACGCGAGACATTAGACGTATGATGGAGCCACATACTGCAGTTCGATTAAGAGTATTAATTTAATAAAAATATAACAAATTAATATATGAAAGGAGCGAAAAGCTAATCGACTTAAAGATTATATTACAATTTCTCGTCCTTTAGGTATTACACATTTATTATTATTATCAAAGACAGAATCAGGACCTAATATGAGAATTATTCGATGTCCACATGGACCAACTCTATATTTTAGAATAAAAACATATTCGCTTTGTAAAGATATTATAAAAACACAAAAAAAACCCAGATCTCCAGGCTCTGAATTCTTGATGCCACCTTTGGTAATACTCTTTCAGTATATAAATCATATTTATTTTTTTAAGCTTATTTTAAATAATTTTATCTCTGGAAAAAAAGAACTACCTCATGAAACTCTTTTAACATCAACGTTTCGTAACTTGTTCCCTGAAATATCTGTCAAAAAAACTCAAACATCATATATTAAAAGAACATTACTTTTACATCGAGATCCATCTAAAGGTTATATTGATTTACGTCATTATGCTATTGTAACAAAAAATGTTGATATTTGTCAACCAATTAGAAGAATTTCAACAAATTTAGACATAAAAAAAAAACCCTTACCAAATTTGGGTTTCATTGAAGATATTTCAGAATATGTGCTTCACAATACAGGATTTATAGAAAGTGATTCAGAAATAGAGGATGATGCAATAGTTGAGGTTAAGGAGGAAACTAATATGAAAAACTGTACAAAAGAAAAAGTACAGAAAAAAGCTATAAAGTTGATCGAGCTTGGTCCTAGACTACAATTAGAACTATATAAAATAACAGAAGGTGCCTCAGAAGGGAATATTTTATTTCATAAGAGTATTTCTAATACATTGAATGAAGAAATAAACTTTAAAGAGGAACATTAAAAATTAGTAAAAAATAAATAACTAGAAATATAAAAATATAAATATATAAAACTTGAAAATGAAGACTTAAAATGGGATTCTTATACAGTTAATAGTAATAATGTTGAAAATAATTAGTTAAATATTTTTTTTTAAATACTTTTGAACAATACATTTTGTAAATCGTAACTTTCAATAATACCTCAAATTATATAATAAATATATTATGACAACTTTAGGTATTTATAAAATATTCTTCTATTCAATCTTAATAAAGAAACTATAGAGGATCTTGAAAAAATTGAAAAAAATGACGAAATTCTAAATACAACAAAAGAAAATTTATTTACTGATAATAATATAGACATAGAATTTTTAAATGCACCAATAGAAGAATTAATTAACAGAACAAGATTGCTTGAAAATGATATAAAGGAAAGTATTGATGAGAGATATCTATTATTATTTAATCAATACTATTCAGGTTATGCGCTCAGAATATCAGCGACTTATTCATGAACAAAAAACTATGGAGGAAAAAATTAAAGATAATGAAGAAAAAATTAAAAACAACAAACAGTTACCTTATCTCGTAGGGAATGTGGTAGAGGTTTTAGATATGGATCCTACAACTGAAACAGAAGAAGGTGCAAATGTCGATTTAGACGCAACAAGAAAAGGAAAGTCTGCTGTTATTAAAACTTCAACACGTCAAACCATATTCCTTCCTCTTATAGGTCTTATAGACTCAGAGAAGCTTAAACCAGGAGATCTTATTGGTGTTAATAAAGATTCATATTTAATTCTTGACACATTACCACCTGAATATGATAGTAGGGTCAAAGCTATGGAAGTTGATGAAAAACCTATGGAAACTTATTCGGATATCGGAGGTCTAGACAAACAAATAGAAGAGCTTGTTGAAGCAGTTGTTTTGCCTATGAAACAAGCAGATAAATTTAAGTCTTTGGGTATTCGACCACCAAAAGGTAAATTAGTATAATTATTTCTATATCAATAATAATATTAAATAAGGGGCATTAATGTATGGACCACCAGGTACAGGGAAAACCTTATTAGCTAGAGCGTGTGCTGCTCAGACAAATGCAACATTTTTAAAACTTGCTGCTCCTCAACTCGTTCAAGTAATATTGAAAAAATTTGATACATCCATTATACATATTAACAAAATAATTACAGATGTTTATTGGAGATGGTGCAAAATTAGTTAGAGACGCATTTTCCCTAGCAAAAGAGAAAGCTCCAGCTATTATTTTTATAGATGAACTAGATGCCATTGGGACAAAGCGTTTCGATTCGGATAAATCCGGTGATAGAGAAGTTCAAAGAACTATGCTTGAGCTATTGAACCAATTGGATGGATTTAGTAGTGATGAAAGAGTCAAAGTTCTAGCAGCAACTAATCGTGTCGATACTCTTGATCCAGCATTATTACGAAGTGGGAGATTAGATAGAAAAATAGAATTTCCTTTGCCAAATGAGGAAGCAAGGTATTAAAGTTTTAGATATTTAAACATTTTTTCTAATTTAATTTAGGGCAGGAATCTTACAAATTCATTCAAGAAAAATGACGATTGATAATCAAATTAACTGGAATGAACTAGCACGAAGTACTGATGAGTACAACGGAGCTATGTTAAAAAGCGTATGTGTAGAAGCAGGTAAGACATTATATATTTTCGTATTTAGATATTTATAATTATTCAAGGAATGATAGCTTTAAGACAGGGAGAAACTAAAATAAATCATGAACATTTTGCAGATGCAGTCAACGAAGTTATGATGAGAAAAAAAACTATAAGTAATTTCTATGCATAACTTTTTCTATTTTATGCATTGTATAATATCATCACTTATTTTAACGCAACATTTCCTTTAAAAGAACGATATATTTGTAATAATTTTCATAAATTATAAGAATTTAAAAAATCTAAAATCAAAAAAATATTTCATTGTATTTTATAACTTGTGGTCATATGTAGAAATTTATTTTTTAAAAATTATATCTGTAATATTTAAGAGAAAAATACAAAATTTGTGCTATTATAATACAAACATTATAATAAAAATAAAACACTAAATTATAGAAATATTTTCGAAAAAATACAATTTTAAAAATAAATATTAACATCTTAACATTCAATTAATTTGCAACAGTCGAACTAATATTACTAAAAGTTAGAATTTAGATGTATATTAAAATAAAATACAATAGTTTAAGTACAATTTCTAACAAATAGCAAATCTAACAAATAAAACCCTACGAATAAAAATTCACAGTTTCAAAATATAGAAAAATATCTTTTTAAAAATATAATTATTAATAAATTTACAAATATCATTAACTTCCTAAATAGAAAATTAAAAAATAACTAATAAAAAAAATTGCAACCTAAATACTAAGATCTATAATTTAAAAAACAATTAGAATTATCAAATACATTTTTCAATTTTTAAATATTCATAATTCTTTTCTTCTTCTTGTCTTTCTTTAATTGCATGTAATATTTCTGAAGAACAAACTTTATAAACATCTTTAGGGATATCATTCAAGTGTACACACGAACCAGAAATGGGTCTTATTTCCATTAAAGTTTCGAGAACCACTTTTGAACCAGAATTAACCTTATCACTATCTATTCCACTTTGCCATTTTACTGAAGTAGGCTGAGAAGTAGAAAATCGAAAATGAGTATTTGTATGCGGTTCATAAACACCAAATGCCCACTTTTCTCTTCTTTGAATCGTCAAAAAACTATTGTACCGGCTAAAACATGATTAAAAAATAGAAATCAAAATAAAAATAACCTAGCAGATCGAGCATGTTCTAACATCCAATTCTCATCAGTAATAGTAACCTTTCTTTTCTTTCTATATATTTCAGATTCAAATTCCGGATTATATTGATAAACAGAACTAGTACCAAGCCAAGATATGTGTTGATTTTTGTCATACTCCATGTTTTCAAACAAAGCTTTGTTATCCGAATTTGCATTATCTGAACAGGTTTGACCCTTAAACGTAGAACTTTCCCAATAATCATCGACGACCCGTTTTCCTTTAATTATAATACGAGAACCAAATTCACGAAAAACAGATCTTGCTGTAACTACGCCAACTGAGCGTCTTTTATATGATTCAGGAATAATATTCCTTTGAACTAAGTCTAACTTTTCTTCCTCATTAAGTATAACATTATACAAAGATGAATGCTTTAAGAAAAAAAGATACGGATCATGATATCCTAAAGTATAAGCTGGCTCTGTAGAAAGCATATATAAACGATCTCCACGTCCTAAAACAGTAAATGTTCTACATCGATATTTTCTTCCATCTTCCAAAACACCAAAGTTATTAACTTTTTTCTCACCAGAAAAATCAATTTCATCTAATACAATCTCATCATTCAAAATTTCTTTTTCAGCAAAAGGTATATCCTTTGGTGTTTCTGAAATATGCAATGAAAGGCCTTTTGGCTTCGGGGGTCTACCTCTCCGAATAACGGTTTTATTATTTTTTATAGATGAAGCACCATAATCATCATCAGAAAGACCTAAGCTCATATGTTTTATACTCTTTTTCCTGCCTCTTCTACCAGAAACAGCAGATATTTCATCGCCATGATCTCCATCACCATATTCTGAACCACCTGGTGAACATAAATCATTTAATGTAGCACTCATTTAAACAAAGATATTAAGTCAATTACTATAAAAAATACCTAATAACCCTTTATATGAAAAGAAAATACTTCTAAAGTTCTAGAATCCATATAAATCATTTAATATTTTTTAAAATGATTAACATTCAAAATAATATCGATTTTTTGAAACTCGAAAACAAATTTAAATTTCAAAATTTTATACAACATAAACTATTTCATTTTAAATTAATAACATACCATTTTTTTATATTTTAAATCATAATAAACAATCAAAAATGCAAACATTTTACTAATTTCTAACATTTCATATAATAAAATACTATTAAAAATAACACTATATAATCATTGCTTTTAAAAATAATATAGTATAAAGACATACAAGTATATATCAAATATGAACAATATTAGGACAAATAATTATAAAGCTCATAATAAATACAATACATATTTTTTATTGTATATATTTTTAGAACTTTATAAAACAATTTTTACAATAAAAAATCCTAACACATTTATAACATAAATTCATATAAATAAAAATAAGAAACTCTCCTATATAAAAACAATCTAATTTAATATAATATTAAGAAAACTAATATAAAAAAATTAAAACGAAATATGAAAACATAATAAAAATATGCTAAACATATTAAAAAATCAACAAAATTAATTACTAATCATAAAAGTATATAACATGTTAACAAGAAAAAGATATGTTTTTTCAAAAATAATATGATCAATTATATTATATTATTTAGAGTATAAAGCAATTTAAATTATTTTTAATCATTTTTTTTTAAAAAATATCACAGAAACCATTACTTTAATCAATTATATAAAATTCTATCTCATTTTTTTATTATAAATAGTTCTTTTACATACATAACTATCACGAAAACATAATATCAATCAAAAATAAGTCTAAATGCTTATAATATCCAAAGCAAATAATTAATTTACAAAAATATATAGCTAATTATATATAGCCTATTATTCAAGCTCTGTTCAAGTTCTACTTTTCAAAAAAATATCTTAAAATTATTTATAAACAAATCTAAAATAAATCTACCATTTTTATCTAAACTACTTTTTCTCATAAACCAAATACAAGAAATTGCTTTTGAATTATCTTTAAGAAACTCACTGTTCCTTATTTTTATGAAAATCTTCATAGCTAAGACATAAAAAATTGTTGACTAAATATTTAAAAAGTATTTCGCAAAACATAAGATATTATGCTGAAAAACACTTGAAATTAATGAATCCTAATACATTATTCACAATAAATTTAGATAAATAGTTATATCTATTTAAAAAAAAACTTATTTATGTAAAAATTCTATTAAATTACTTGACTGGATTATCATGCGAATATTCGAAAGAAAAAAAAATACATACTTTTATCAATATATTTAATTTAAAATTAAATATAGTAAGATTTTATTAAAAGAATAATTCTATAAATAACCTTTAAACAAGATGTCTAATCAATATTATGAAGGAAGTCAACAGATATCAAATAGATATATTACAGGACAATATAACAGTCAAGGATCAGATATAAAAAATATAGGATATGAATCAGAACCAAAACAAACATTTCAACAAAGCACATTACCTATATACCAGCAAGAGATAAAGATATCTAAAGAAAATCCTCAGATTCAGGCCTTTTGGGTAAGTTCTATATAAATCAAAATGAAAATAAGTTTCTCAAATTTACATAATATACTGATCAAATAAATTTAATAGCCTCAGACTGACAGAGAATTTATGCAAGATCATCAAAAGGCGAATGTGCATATGGAAATGGAACTTAACAAAGAATTGAATGTAGAACTAAAATGCGATGAAGAAATGTCATCGGCATCTAATATAACCGGAATAGCAAAACATAAAGGTATATCATTTCAAATGATATATTTTCATAGGAAAAATATAGAATACTTATTTTGTATATAGGACGAAAACAAAAATACCCTAAAAGCAGATTATCTCAAGGAGGATTAAAAAGTACTCCTAGAAGTCGAAAACATGATAGCGTATTATTCACTAGTTATATTCATTTATCAGAAATTTAATCTAATAAATAGGAAGATGAGGATGAAGATTATAACATGGAAGGCACTAAAACAAAATCTGGTAGAAAGATACACCGTCCTACTCAATTTAATCCTGCAGCGAAAACTCCAAGTAATATTATTACTTTATTTTACAATAGGTATTTAGAAATTTTTAGGCAAAAGACGTGGTCCTGGTAGAAGATCTGCTCAGGATTCACACTTCTGTATTATTTGTCAACGAGGCCACAGTCCAAGTTCTAATAGAATTGTATTTTGTGATGGATGTAATTTTCCATATCATCAGCTATGTCATATACCAGTTATAGATGATCTCGTTATTAGTTTATCTGATTCAGAATGGTTATGTTATACCTGCAATAAAAAGCGTGCTAAAAGAACATTAATGACGGGTGCTACAGGTGCTAATCTAACAGAGGAAGAGGTTTTTTCAAACCAAGATAAAAATTTATTTTTAATTTTTATTTAGAAAAAAACATATCTTGCATCTCTTCCTTTATCACATTTAGTGGAACTTTTATTTTTTTGTGAAAAAATGTGCCCAAGCATACCATTTTATGCACCTAATACTCGTGAAATTCTAATGGAAATCCGACGTGCTAAAGAAGAAGCAATCATGAATGAAAATTCTATTACAGAACAGCTAAACGGAGAACATTTTGATCCAGAATCAATATTAGATGATTCAGACTTAAGTGACGCAGCTGATTCAAATGCAGATCCAGATAATCTCAAAGGAGATCTTCCAAGTTACGAAAATATGATTATAGAAGCACTAACATCAATTCATGAACCTAGAGGAGTTCCACCTAGAATTATATACGAATGGATGGAAAGGTATCTAAAAATTAATTTGATAGATTGTTTATATTTTTTCTTAGTAATTATCCAACCTTAAATCCAAGGTTTAGGGCATCTGCATCTCAGGCATTACAAAAAGCAGTTAAGAAAGGAAGACTTCAGAAAGATGGATCGAATTACTTTTTAAATACTGATTATAATGGAAAATATGTAATAAATTTCTTTTTTTTTCTTTATCTTATTTATTAAAGGTATATAATTCCAAGCTATCTCAACAGCTACAATTACAGGAATCTATTCATAAAAACCCTACAATTAACATGGCATCATCTATTTCATTTTCCGAAAACCAATTACAACTTGTAATTATCTTAAAATATTGTACTTCTAATTGATACATGTTCAGGGCACACTTCCGCATCTTCAACAAGGATTAAAACTCCCTCCTGAATTACAGGACCCTCAAAATTTCCTCATGGATGATAATAACGAGGTTTTTAGTCATACGGTTAACACTTTACCCCAACAGTCAGACGATAATTCTCAAAAACAAGACATATCTAAAATATTAAAAGAAAGTTCTAATTTAGTAAATAAATTAGAAAACGATGTTATAAATATTCATCATGCAGATACAACTAGCCAATCTTTGCAAACTGGTGGAAATACAATAATCGGTAATTAGCTTCCAATATTATACTTATTAAAAGCAATTATATATAATTTACACTATCATATTTCCTATAAAAATAAATTTACTTTGAATTTATTTATAAATTTATTTTTGATTATTTACATGGCCTTTTTAATTAACATTATTTTAATATTAAATATAAATTACTCATATTTATAAGTTTTATATTATCGTTTAATTTTTTATGTTGAACCAAAATCTAAGTTTTTTAAAATGCCAGATCTAACAAAAATATTTTTTGAATATTCAAATAAATATAACATTAACATTTCTGAGATTAAGGAAAAAACGAATATACAAAAAAAATGTTCAGAAGATCCATATATTAAAGAAGCATATCAAATTGTAAAAATATTATTAAAAAAAAATAAGTTAACATAATATAGTTTAAACATATTAATGAATTAAAAAAATTCTTAAATAATATACGACATGCATATCTTAATATAGAATCTAGAGAGTCTATAGATCTCCAGTCGTTTAATAAGCAGCATGCATCTATTCTTTCATGCAGAAGTTTCAAAACATTATCAGACAAACAAAGAGAAGAAATTGATGTAAAATTAGGAACAATTATTAAAAAAAGTAGAGAAAGAATCCTAAAACTTGAGGATTTTGAAAAGAGTAATAACAATTATAAATCAAATTTAAGACATAAATTTATTTAAGCAGATAGAAAAGCAATGCTTAAAAAAACAGGATTTTTTACTTTGTTTTTTCAGGACTCAGCAAAAAAAATAGAACAACTAATTTCAGAACATAGAAGTAGCATAACATGGTTTCTTAACAAAAAATTAAAAGACATATCTCGTATACATGAAGAACAACAGCACATTAAACTATTACGGCAAATAGAAAAAAATAAAAGGTAACTTTTAAATTATAATCAAGTTTTTTAATGTGGAAAAGAATTGTAGATTCTGCAAATATAATTTCTATTGAATCAAATAAACAAACTACCAAAGATTCTATGATATTTAATTTAAATACAAATCTATCGAAAGAGCAAGTTCAAATTCTTGAAACAGAAAACAACGAAATTCTTGAGTATTTTGAATCAACACTTGATCAAGTAAGGTACATAGCTTTAAACTTTAAAAATAAGTTTTTTTTTTTAATAAATTTTAGATCAGTACAAAAGTCTCTATCTGAAATTTCAAAAATACAAACAGAATTAGCATCTCATATAGGAGAACAATCATTTATAACTAATAGACTGTGTGAAGAAGCTCTATCTGCTTCTCAACTAATAAAAAATGGTAGCACTCAGCTAATAAAGACTAAAAAAAGAAATAGAACATCAGCAAAACTTATTACTTGGTTTCTTCTTATATCATCATCCATATTATTATTATTAGATTGGTATAATTAGGTTTATGCATTTCAATATAAACATTAATTATAAAAACCTTCCTAAAATGCATATTTAAAAACATTTATATTCTATATAGTTTTACAGTATATACCATTTTATATTTAACATTTCATTATATAAATCATGATTTCATTTATTTTTAGTTCTGATTTTTCAAACTTAAAATATTTAAAAATAGAACCTGTTTCAAAAGTATTTCCATAACCAGTGAAATTATCTTTTAAAATATTGAAATTTAGAATAATATTCTTAATTAAATGATGTTTAAGAATTCATTATATTCAAAATAAAACAAGTTATGAACTTATATTTTTGTCGCTTATGAAAACTTGACATCAAAAGAAAATAATATTATATTATCAAAACATTTTTCGAAATTATCATGCTACCTATTTAATTTTAATAATTAAAAACAAAAACTTCTCAGTAACTTTTTTGAAAATATAAATCCAGAAGGAATATTAGAACTATTACCATACAAACTCTCAATGCGATTTCGTATTCTCAGCCCCAAAAGAAATTTCTTCCATCTATAAAGAATCTCTTTTTCTCGTTTTTTTATTTCCTTTTCAATTTTTTTTTGCTCATCAAATATCCATGCTTCAAAACAAGTACTAGCATTTTCAGTAGCAATTAAAATACCTGTTATAATAGGAATTGCACGCCGATTTTTAAATTCAAACCCTGTAACAGCATCAGAATAATCAAAACCCAATTTTTTTGCGATCTTTCCAATTCCATGATAAGGTAAATGTGTAGCACCCTCAGGTATCATAGAGTCAACAAACACATCCATATTTCCATAACCATTCTTCGGAACAATTCCATTAACTACTGGAGGAGGAATATATAATTCTGTTTGAAATTCAGCATACAATGGTTGTATAGCCAATTTTTTAGTTTCAGAGGCAATAAGTTCATTTTCTCGTTTTCGCGACAAGGTAACACTTCTTGGTTTAACAATCTTAAGTGGTGATTCTCCTGATTTTATTTGTCTACCTTCTCTATGATAACATTCTACAGATTTACATAGCAAAATGTCAGACCTATTAAAGACCCTTTCCTCTTTTAATTTATTTCCCTTCCCAAGTGTAAAAACATGTACCGGAGATGCACCAGGACGAATCACTTCCTGTCTTTTAAGATGGCGTTCAAGAATATAGCTAAAAAAATCAATATAAATATTATAACACTATATTTTATACGTTGGATGTGTCTTATAATCATTTATGGTGATGTTATCCATTCTTTTAGGTGATTTTTTTGGTTGTAAATCATTATTTTCTTTTAAATCTATATCCTATAAAAATTACAAACTAATTTATTAACGATTTATCAGTACCGATAGAACGGGCCTTTTAAATATCTGAACAAGCTTCTCAAACGAAGTATATTTATCTTTTTCAAGAGCAGTAAGTTTTACTCGACTAAAAGTTGACATATTATTTAAATATCTAAATGTAACATCATTCGCATATCCATCAGCTTCAAAAGCCATAATATAGCTTGAATTCATTTTAGTTTTATTAGAAGCTTTAGTTTTCGGTATAAAAAAACTCCTATCTGAAGATATAACACAATTTAAAGCCATGCACTCAACAGAATACCATATATCAGCATTTTCATCATAAACTTCTGTCCAAAAAACAGGATAAGGAAAACAAGAATCAAGTACTAATTCAATTGTTAATGGGTAACACTATACTAATACAATTATCACTTAGTTTAATTTCATTAACCATATTTTCTTCAGATGCAATAAAAATATTATCCAATTCATTTCCAGAAACCCTAATAAAATTACTCATCTACGAATCATATAAAAGAACATACTCAACATGTGCTTTTTTCAAATTTTTAAATTTATAATTTGTGCATTTTTTTAATTCAAGACATTTTTCCTTATGAATTTCATAATCTTCTAAATTAAAGTTTAAACCTATAGGCTGCAATGAAAAAATAAGTCTAGCATTAAAGCCAAAAGCCCTCAGCAAAGATGTAAGAATCTGAGTCCCAGAATCTCTACTTCCTTTTAAAAACGAAGCAATCCTACGAAATTCATAAATTGATTCAATAATTTCAAATAAATATGCTTTCTAATTAAACTGTAAGTTATTATATAAAAAAATCATAGAATGTAACATTTTTTAAACAAAAATCAGATTTAGTCAAATAAGAATCTAATTTCCCTATTCCCAAAGCAATTATTTCAAATCGCTGTTTAAACCATTTTAAAATCATTAATAATATTTCTTTAAAGTCAGAATCGTCTGATCGTTTATTCAAAAGGCCTTGCCTATAGTTTTCAATTTGTTCAAAAAGTAAAGGAGATTCTTCTTTAAGTTTATTTCGTAAAATATCATGCGTTTCTTTATCATTAATCCATTTATTTCTAAAAAAACCATGAAAAATCAAACATGTAAGATGAAGTAGATATATCTGAACTCTAGCATTCCTCTTCAAAGAACTAACATTTGAAACTTTTCTATCCCATTAATTTAGCATATAAAAATATCAAATAAAAAAACTACTTTTTAAATTTTGATTTTTTTTGGTTATTCAAAACAATATCCAAATTTTCAAGAGAATCATCCTTCAAATCCTCATCTTTCAAATCCTCATCTTTCAATGATATCTCTAAATAAAACTTAAAAAATAATAAAAAAAATAATATAATTTACTTTGATGAATCTCTACATCTTCCCATTCTACTGAACTTTCACCAGAATCTTGAAAACATAAATCCAAAGAATTCGATTCAGGTTTATTATCCAAAAATTCATCGGTCTTGAAAGAAGTATTTTTAGAAAAGTATTTACTAGTTTGATTATAAATAATTTTCTTATCTACTTTATCTAACAAAAAAATATGAAAAAATAAAAATACAAGATTAACAAATACCCGAAACCTTTAAATTATTTCCGTTATCACTTAAAGAATTACTCCTATTTCTTTTCATATTCTTTACATTATTTAATCATGGCATTTAGACTTCGAGAACTTGAATTAAAACTTATTTTTATAATATTCCAAAAAAATGTTATAATATTTCATTTAAAGATGATTACAAATAGATATATATTTATTCAGAATATGAAATCCTAAAAAAAGTATATTTTAATAAAACCTCATTCTTAAGCCTCTAGAAAACAATTAATTATTTTATAATCGTTTTCTAATAATGCAATAAACCAGTTAATGATTTTTTAAAATCAAATTAACCGACATAAATTAGTCTTGAATACTTTCACCTAAACATTACTCATAAAATGTTCCTTTTTATAAACATTCCTATTAAAAGTTGAAATAAAAACTAGATATCTAGTTCAGTGTTCCATAAACAAATAATCTGATCTCTAAATTACTTTGCTTTAATATACCAGAGATATAAAACATACACGAATCATGCAAATGATTCAATCTAATTAAATCATAAAGCCCAAACAGATCAGAATCAACTCCAAAAAACATCAAAGCAAGTAATGGAGTCAAAATAAAAAAAATAAATCATTAGAAAATAAAATCAACTTGCGATTTTATTCCAAAACACACCTCTGAAGAAAATACTGGCATTAATAAGAGATTATAATCTAGACCTGACAAACATAACTCATGAAAAAAATAATTGTAAAGCAGCCAAATGAGCAGAAACAAGCTTAGATCATTCAGAAAAGAGCGTTTTCAAAAAATTACTAAACTGTAACGAGATCAAAACCCATTACTTATAAGCAAAGAAAGCAATGATCTAATATGCATCTCATTTAGATTATGCTGCAAACAAGTATGAGTTGAAAAATCTTGCTTTGAACTACGGACTTCAGAAATATTCTTCTTAAGTTGTTGAAAAACAGCAGCAACAAGAAATCTGCATATCATCAAGAGGCATAAGCAAAATCTGTGGATGCAATGCAGAGACTTTTCGGGAACTATTAGGCCCATGCATACATTCAGAAGAATGTGAAGATACACGTACCAAAGATGACACATTAGCAACAGGTAATCCCTGTAATGTATATGGCCAAAAAGCCCCTGCAGTAGAAACGACTGGACTCTGTATCCCAAATACTCCAGAATTATTATACAAAAATTGAACATGGCCTCGTTTTATACGTATATTATTATGGATCCTTGAATGACGAGTCAATTCATCAGATCTACTGGATCTTTTAACACAACCAGGAAACGTACATGCATGCAGCTTCTCGCCTATATATGCTCGAATATGACGTGTCTGATGTTCCAATCAATAAAATGCTTTTGGACAAAAAGGACATTCATACGTACGAGCTGTCTTAGATGCATTCTCCTTATCCACAGTCTTTGAAGTATTTATCTCATGTGAATTCTTAAAATACCCACATATCAAATATCCACTGAAAATAAAGAACTTAAAAAGGGAATATAACCAGAAATCCTTAATAATGGTGTAAATACCAGAAATTAATATAAATTATAGTTCCCAAATATATATATTTCCATATTACAAACCCTTTATATAGACAATTGAGAAAGAGCCAAAGACTAGGTCAGAATAGAGCCTAGAGCATACAAAAAACCAAAATAAAGTAAAAACATATAGATGAAAGAAATGTAATCCAACAAATATCAAGCAAATGCCGAATAAAAGCGAAATATTAAATATTGGTTATACACCAAAGTCAAAGGAATTAATAGCCTGAATATAGAAAAAAGTCCATCAAATACACAAAGACCAGTCAAATATCAAAACCAGCAGCAGAACGTACAATAATACATAAAACCAGGGAAAACCAATAAACTATATATAAAACTCTCAATATAGAAAAAAATATTCCAAATAAATAAATAGAAGGTCTTTTATATCAGTTAAGTTAAATTACTAAAAAATTCTTAAATCTAGCAGAATTCCAACCACCGTAACGAAAGACTCATATTTATATAACACTTGAATTTATATATTATAAAGCCCTTTTGCCTATCTCTAATATTCACTTAAAAACATATGAATATCAATAACCTTGATACAATAAATGAATTTTTCTGCATTATAGTACCCAACTTAGATATATATCATACACGACTAAAAGCTTATCGAACATACATAGAAATCGTTTCTTTAACTAGAACTTTTATTTTACTATTAAAGTCCTTGTAAGATGACATGAACTAATACTATCAAGGCTTAATATCTCTATGAAAATTTCCTTGATTGTATAATAAACAAAAACAATCTAAAAATATAACAAACATATAAAAAAAGAGATTTTTTTCAAATATTGTTTATAGTTAAACCTTGACAAACTTAATCTGCTTATAAATTTCTATATAACAATATATAGTTTAATTGCTATTAATAGACATTTAATTTCACAAAACGCTTTTCAAAACGCTAAATTTACTTACATAAAAAAAGTAAATATATCATTATTTATTTAAAGAGATTTTATTTTTTTCCCTTACCTTTTTTAAGAATATTCATCCATCTTTCATGTTACATTAGTTCATGAAAATTCCTTTATATTACTGCTCACAAGTAAATATTCTCTGACACATAAATACACAACAGATGTAGATGCGTTCAACTTTACACTAAAAAAAGTATGAGAAACTTTATTTTTATATAATTTTTAAAATTTTAAATCAACATGTTCAATTATGTTTTTCTTATAAATATTATAAAATATCATAGAAATATAACAAACAATTTTAAACATAATATAAAACTATAACTTGAAAAATAAGGAGAAAACATTTTTATATGTTTAAGAGGTTTATATAATTATATTTTTTACATATTTTGTATAATTTCTATATTATACTGTGATAAATAGGAAATAAATTTCCGATAAAACTTATCTCTAATCTTATATATTATTAAGCAAGATTTGTTTAAAAATATCAAATATTGGTATATATTAATATGATTACCTAACTCTTTTGCTTATTTTAAAGGCAGCTCATATGCAAAAATACAAACTATTTTCTATGTTTTAATATTAAATTTTATTTATTTATTTTCTAAAATTTTATTTAATACTTTTAATTTAAATATGGAATCATCACAGATATATTTATCCTCATTATACCGTAAGTTGAGGCATGAAAATCCATGAAAAAATTAATATATATATATATATATAGACCGATTACCAACTACATCAGCATTTGATGCATTAACATCAGATCATACATTATCATTTATTAGTTCATCTATATCAGCATTAGATAAAATTTTTGGCGGGAATGGCTTTAAAACAGGACAAATTACAGAAATATCAGGACCTCCAGGCTCTGGAAAGACAGCAATAGCGTCTATTTTCTTTTTTGACACTTTAAAATATTAATAAGTTTAGATTACAGGCAACAATCAACTGTATTAAAAAGAAAGAAAAAATATTATGGATAGGTAATATATTTTATTATATGATTGATTTAGTCTTATCAAGTTAAGAAACCTTTCAACCGTTTCCAATGCATTCTTTAAAAAAGGTTATAACACAAGACAAAAAAAAAGAGACCAAATTTATTGACTATACTCATGAAGAGATAAATCCATTGAATTATTTAACTATTCTTCATGCACCATCTCTTAATAATCTTATAGCACTCTTTTTACATGGTTACAAAACAAATTCAAAAGATTTGATTCAGCAAAAGAAGTTAATCATTATAGACGATATAGCTACTCCCATCATTGCAGCATTTCCCACAGACAATATTGAAAATCAATCTCGAAATTCAACACATGATTTAACTCAATTAAAAAAATCACAAGTTTTAACAAATCTTTTATTATCATTTAACAGAATAGCTGCTAAAAACAATGCCTGTGTAAATACTTTACTTTCAATTTTCATTATAATTGAGGACATCTTAGATACTAATTTTATCTAAAATGGTTATAAAAATAAACAATATAAATGGAAAAGAATGCGCTATTTTATCATCACCTTTAAGTAATCATCTTTTTCTTTTAAATTTCAGCTGAATTTCTACAAGGCTCATCATGGTCCCAAAATTGTCCAAATAAAATAATATTATTACGAAAAAATATAGATATTTTGGAAAATGAAAACAATTTATATAATAATAAACAAGTACATTTTATTTATATTCAAAAAGTTGGAGGTGTTACAATAAATTCGAAGACCTTAATACCATTCATTATTACAGTAAAATCTATCCAAAAAACTAAGTTTTGTATTAATAATAACCAGGATGAAGGCATTATCAATATAACGAATGTTTCAAGTAATGTATTAGACTTTTATCAAATTGAATCTCAAGATAAAGTAAATAACACAGATGAAGATGAAAATATTAACTAAATATAAAACTCTTATTAATGTTAATTATACCAATTATACCAATCACTAAAAATAACCAAAATTATTTTGATTAAAAAACGTTAATACGTATTCCATTACAACTCATCAATAACCAATATAAATGTTAAATTAGCCAAAAAAATAAATAAAACAATTTTTCGTAATTAAGCTAACATATGTTCTAAAAATAACTCTAATAAATTATTGATTATACTAGGAATTCGTTCAAGCACTAGAAAAGTTACTAAAATAATCATAATTTTTATAATTAATACATGGCCCATCTTTTACCAATTCTGTAGAATGCTTGAAATCTAGCCATACTTCCGAATCTTTGAATTTCAGAAAATATTCTTTTGTAGCTCTTTCAGCAACTTCTGCAATATTATCATTAACCTTATACAAATCACATTTTGTACATTCAGAACACTTTTTCCCTGGAACAGACCGAAAATGATGGCAAAAATGCGCATAAGATTCTTTCTTAATATTTTTCCTACAAATATAACTAAAAAAAATAAGAAGATATTTCGAGATTAATATATATTACCACATTACATAACCACATTGACAAATAAGTTTATTACAACCATCAGACTTAACAAAACTTAAATTACAAACAGGACACTTAGATTGTGAGAAAAGTTTTATCAAATATTTAGACAGTATACCGTTCTTTTTACAGCATTGGCCATTTCTCTTTCAACATAAAGACGAAGTCCATCTAATTCTTTTTCGAAACATTTATGAAAAGGCATCCACTCTTTCCTACATAGACAACAACTAAATTTTCCACAATAATCAACGTTTCTACATTTAAACAAGGTACAATTTCTTTTGCGTAATATACGATATGCTGTTTTGTCAATCCATTTTCTTAAAAAATTTGATGAACAATTAATAATAAAGAAAAACCCGCCCAAGTAAACCGAAGTAATAACAACTAAGCTTGAAAGAAACCATGTAAAAGACAAAAAAAAGGCCAATTGCATTATAAAACCCATCATAAAAACCGTAATAAATATTTTCCAACAAAATTTAATTTTCCAAATATCAATAAACTCAGCATATCCGCAAAATGGACATGTAACAAGATTTTGACATGAACTATCAAAAATGCATCTAAACTTAAGGGAGTCTTCATACGCTTTAAGTAAATCTGAAGGTAAGGAATTTTTCAGAATATCTTTAGAATAAAACCCAGTACAAACAGACTCAATATTCGAAAAAATACATTTTATTCGAAGTTGTCCCCTAAGATTTCCTTGACCATAAATGCCTTCCTGTACAGTCTTTTCAAGGCACTTTTTACAAACAATATGTCCTTCAGAGCAATACGCTAATGTCTCCCATGCATATTCAAAAAAACAACAACCACATTCTATCAAAAGACCTTTATCATAATATTCTTGCCAATTCAATTGCACTGCATGCTCAAAATCTTTCATTACTATTTCATCTTTTCGACTTTTTTCCAAATTTAACATTTCTTGAGATAACTCTTCACAAATAACATAATTCAACTTTGAACGCTTCTTTCTAACAAAAGAAACTAATGATTTCCACCAGCGTTCACCCTGCATTCTAGATAAAGCCATTTTACTTCTATAATAATCATTATTATTCTCCACCATCACTGCATTAATAGTAGATGATGGAACATCCGGAAACTCTGAAATAAGCTGATACCTAACAGAAGAAATATATTCATATGATCGAAATCTTTGCCAAGGCTCAATTTTGCCTATTCTCAAACGAGATACTCCTGTAGATTCAATATCTATATTTAACAACGATTCAATAGATTTCAATAAATATGTATCATCCCTTCGTATTAACTCATTTCTAAGACATTCTATATCAATATTAGGGAAAATCTCATTCAGAATATCCAGTTTTGCATTCTTTTTATCATCTTCACATATATATTGCATCCATGGCCCTTTCTGACCCATTTTTAACATGAAAAAAAAACAAATATAACAAGAAAACCTTAGGATATTGTCCATAACAATGAAATATAATCTTTAATGTAGATCTTTGAACAGCATTTTCATCATAATAAGCAAGACACTCTGCTAAATATAACGGATCAGCGTCAGGAAAAAGAGACTCAAGCTGTAGCAACTCAAAATGGCTCTTAGAAGGCAAAGATACATCATCATTTATATACTTTCTATCAGGAACGCTGATCTCTTGCATATCTTTAAATTTTTCATAATTCAAGAAATTAGGTTAGTTAACGAATATAAGAGAGGTTATATATAATATTAGATAGAAAGATAAAAATTAATTAATGAAAATACAAGAATCTTATGGTATATTTTATGTAAGAGATGTTAAATACCATTTAGTATTCTTTGGGAGAAACCTAATTCACCAGATAAGTTTGAAGTAAAAGGTGTAAAGCGATCTTCCAAAGCATCATAAATTAAGAGAAATTCTTTCTAAAAAAATAAGTAAAAATAGAAAAAAAAGAGCTAGAAAATACCTTTAATTTTTCCCACAATATATAATCAAAATATATATATTGCCCTCTTTCATATTGTGGTGTTCTTTGAATAGGTTCTACACCGGGTTCTTTTGTGAGCCATAATTTTAATTCTTTATGATATCTCCAATTCCTATTTGTACTGAAATAATTAGTTTTTTTTTTTAAAAAAAGAATCTTACAGTTCTTGAGCAGCAGCTTCTTGCATTGCGTCTCTGGGCATACTATAAAATATATAAAAAAGTGTTTCATCAGAAAAATTTCGAATTTTAGACAAAGCAGGAGGAGCAAGTTGAACGTTATAACATGCAGGAAGGTTAAATTTTGGCACAGAATAAGCCTTTGTTGTATTTAAATCCATCCAAGGAGATAAAAATGACATATATAAAGGCCGATCACTAAAAGTCAATTAACAATGAATTGTTACCAATCATTCATACTCAGAGTTATTAAGATTTAAACCTAACGCTGTTAAATCACTTCCTAAAACCATGGCATTTAAATCAGGATTTTCCATTCTGAAAATACTTAAAAGACCTTTTAAAGAAAATCTTTCAACAGGTGTCAATAAAGAAAGCGTTTGTCCAGCTGAGGATTCTTTTGCATCCACAACAGACGTATTTGAAGATGTATCAGAAGGAAAAGATGAAAATAAATTAGTCGCAGAATTAGAAGAAGAATGACGTTCAACAGAAGATAATAAATCAGGATTTACTTTTGATGTATTCTATAAAAAGTAAAATTAAAAAAAAAAAAAACAATTATTTGCAAACCATTTTTTCCTGATCACCAATAATGTTATGTGATTGAACTCCTGGTTTTAAAATTGAAATGAAATTATCTTAAAGAACCATATTAAAAAATATTAAAAAAGAAATGTAAATAAACCTTTAATCATATCTAAAGAAGAAACATTCGTTCTAGAAGGATTTTTTCTTGTTTTCTGTAGTGATGCAGAACCACTTGTCATAGTTGACAGAAGAGACGATCGATGTGGAGATAACATAGCTTGATTTGTGTTTTGTTGTTTTAATATAGGAGATAAAATAGAAGAATAAGCATCCGTATAAGAATTTTCAGCATTAACATTGTTCATCTTCTGTCCTAACTTCATCATATCAATCCCAGATGTGATAGAAGAAAAATCATCTTGATTATTAGGAAAACCATTTGTATTTGTTAACAAAGAATGTGTCAATAATGCCTGAGACTTTTGATGCTCATTAATAGTTGAATATGCGTATTCAGAATATTGATTAGAAGCATGTGCTAATGAAGTATTGGAAGATGTACCAAGTGCAGGAAAATCTGAAGGATCTAAAGGTGACATCTGATTTGCTAGATTTTCCGAAGACATAGGATGTGAAATAGCTGTAGGAGAATGCGAAAGATGCGTTGTATCTACAAATTTCGGGGACGAAGAATGCGGTTGCAATACTTGAAATGTAGCCGCTGGATTAAGAGTCCATGAAGATCCTAAAGAATATTAACCCCAAAAAAACAACAAAAAAATAACCAGACCAGATTGTATTCTTCCTTTAGAAATCCTCCCACCATTATTCACAGAAATAGGCGTTATTTTCCTTGAAATATTGGAATTTGAAGGATATCCTATAGACGGACGTATTTGTTGACTAATACCTTAAAAAACTTAACAAAATATCCCTTTTATTCCATAATAACTAACCATTTCTATTCATCTCAAAAATAAAGACACAATATTTGCTTAAACCAGTCAATATGAGCGAGCAGATCTTCTCTTTGATCCAAATTTAAGTCAGTACAGAAATTATAACATATTAAACTCACTTAAAAACTTTTTTCTATATAAACACAACTAATAAAGAGGATACAAAACAATATTAAAGTATTACAAGAAATATCTAAAGGATTCTTAAGATCCTTAAAGAAATACAAAGTTGATGAGAGTAGCTCGAAGATATATATAAAAAACAAGAAAATTTAAAATAATTAAATAATAATAATAATAATTTCATTATACAAAGTCCATAGATTTTATTGAGTTATATTTCCAGGAAATAAGATTTGTTATTATAAAATATAAAAAATCAGAATTAAGTTTTAAAATATATAATAGCCAAGAGTACCTAAGAAGATCATTAAAATGCCAACCCAACAGAAGTAATCGGTGATAGGAAGTAGAAAGGAAGAAGAATGAAATATGAAAGATCGTTTTTGAAGAATTCTAACGGAATGAGGAGTCAACGTTGTAGTAGGAAGCATTCTTGGAGGATAATGAACAAAATATAAAGGTTGTACAGGAGTTCCATCAAATTGATATAGCAAAAGTTTGTATTCTTTATAATATGGGTCAAAAATAACCTCATATTTCTATATAAAATTAAAAAAAAAACAAAGCAGGATCTAACTTACGATAATTAATTCTTTAACACTAAATCGAGTATATCGAGAGGTTAGACTAGCACAAGGATCAGAAAATATTTGGCGACCATCACTGGGAATAGGAATTAGCAAAAGAGAACCATTGTCAAGTTTTTGATATGATCCATGTTGCCATTGCATCACAGCAACTGAACATTCTGGAGTTGTAGCTAAAATAACAAATAAATATTTCAAAGAGAAATAATTACAATATTACGATTGCTAGAAACTCGATAAAGAGACTCTTCGAAATACCCATCATCAGTAAAACTATACGAAACACCGGTCAATTTCGGAGGAAACATTACATCTCGGACATGATCATAAAATCCCTATATTAATAAAATTAGAAGATTAAGTAGACAATGTTAACCATACAGATCCAGTAAACACACTTTTACTTTTCGAAGTCCAAGTTCCTGCTAACCCTCTTTCATATGAATGGCATCTTGCCATAAATAAAGTCAATGAAATAAACAAAAAATATACAAGCATATTCGTCATCGTTTAAGATAATTAGCACATTAAAAATGATCTCTATAGCTGAATAAAATGTCCAATAATATCTTAGATTATCAAACTTGGTATTATCGATCGAAAAAAAACAAAACATAAATCAAAACATGCAATATTTTTATAGAAAATCGGACAATTCCCTAGATTCCTTCCAATCTAAACGTATTATTAGAGATAAAAGAGAAACCGTCTCAGTTTTTGCGAAGTAATTGCATGTATCAAGCAAGATTTTTAAATGATGAGAGAAATTTTCCTCGTATTTATGTAATATATCGTCAAGTTTTTTCATTTTAACAAAATCAATTTGCGATTCAGTGGAATTATTATCTTCTACAGAAGCCAAAGAACGAGTCAAGTATTTTGTATTAGATGCAAACATAGTACATGTTGTCATCAATTTTGCTTGAACCTATTTTAAAATAAGAATCTTAATTGTTTTAATGGAAAAACCTACACGAAGTAACTTAGAATTTGTCAGCATACATTCTTTTAAACATGCATCAAGAAAATCAATATGATCTTGCATAAGTTGATCAACGGTTAATATTTTTGAAAGTCTTTTTTGAAAAATCAACCAATTAGGTTCCATAACTTCGTTTGTACAATAATAAAAAAGTTGTTGGACATAATTAAGCATTTTTGAGCGCAAAAGCCAAACACGATTCTTCCATTTTTCAATTTGTGAACAACTAGAGTATTTTTTCCAAGACATATTCTTAGAATGATCAAGCCAAGCAGATCCTAATAATTGTTCCAAATGTCTCATGCTCAACAAATGCCTAAAAATAAGTTGATAACGTAAAACAGCCTTGCGAGAAATAATAAGTGAAAGAGGAAAAGGTACAAAATAATCAAATTGTAGCCCATTAATACCTATAATTCAATAAGTCCATTGGTTTAACAATTCAAAGACATTTACCAATAAATTCCTTATCCTTTTTTTCTGTACTATATGTTTGACTTTGATAATCATCGATCCATATTGTTCCTGTTGCAATTGCAGTTTCATCTATGCCGCTAAGACTTACAATTTTCATAAGCCAATCAACCAATCCAACATTGCTCATTTGAACCTTAATATCTTCTTTAAAAGGATCATTAGAAGCAATGCTTCCAGGTATACGAATAGAAATATCCAATAAACTTTGAAGCTTTGTCAAAGAAATATCCTTAACAAGCTTTTTTAACTCATGAGATGCTAAATCAAGGAAATAAGTAAAAAAATCAGATTGATGAAGAAAAAAATAATGTTTTAAAGACAAGAAACGACTAGAAAGACCGTGTGTTTCAAGTAATAACTTAAGCAAAGATGCATCAGCATGAGCATATGCAGCATTAACACTATCCAAAAACCTAGTTATAATAAATTTTTATTCAATATTATAAATGATCAATAACCTTATATCATCAAACGTAGAAGGCATGTTATCGGATAAATCTTTAGATATATTTATTCCACCACATTCTCTGACAACATTTAAATATTTTCCAGCAACTAAAACTTTTGTTTTAACAGACTCTAATTGAGACGGAACTTCATTATCTCTAATTGTATATCTTTTCTCCCAATATTCATCAATATAGTCATCTTCAAGCCTATCTTTCTTTATACTTTTCTGCTCTTTAATCATAAATTCAGAGTGAGGATCACGTATTTCACCTCGATGCATCCATGCATTCAACATCTTCATATAAGGCTTAGATGTTTCTTTTAGCAAATATTCAAAAAGCTTTTTCGCACGAGGATCCCCTGATAAAGACAAAAGACGATTTGTTATAACTTCTAAAACAGATCCTCCCTTACATACTTTCGAATTAACAATACTGCTGATACCTTTATCTTGAATTGATTGTAAGAAAGAATCTACGTTATCGATACTATCATCGCTATTTTCTTCATCAAGAACAGAACTTTTTTTCAATATATCATGAATCAATGCTTGCATCCCAAATAATGACTGAGATGTAGAATGCATATGAAGATGAAACGTATGTATTGTAAAAGACGAATTCGTATTAAATTGATGTTCCAACTGAGCAATTAAAGTAAAATAACCCTTTATCCTTAACTAATAAAAATGTACCCTTTTTATCTTACCTTTAACAGCTCCCTCATTGCAGCACAAAGTGCATGATTTACCAAACCACATTCTGGTTTACTATATATATCGATAAAAGCGTCAATACTAATATAACATGTTGCAACTTTCAATATCATTCTCGTTAAGTCAAGAAGACATGGCTCTAAATCATGAATTACCCATAAAACCCTCTGTATACTATGTCTATATACCTACACCACTTGTTATCCTAAATTTTACGCCTGCTAATCGATTATTATCATCCCAACGATCCTCTTCATTTTGATATCGTATAAATCTCCCCTCAATGCCCTATATCATTAGATCTATCTCAACATATCCTAATAAATAAAACCATTAGAACCAACAATAAATCATCCATCAAAAACACTTCTTGTAAATGGGGTGATACACCTTCAAAAGAAAAAGACGGTGGATCACTAAATGACACTGTAATCTGCTTAGCCAACGGAGAAGTGCTACAAATCACTCGATTCAACTCATATACAGGGACTAAATATCAATTTTGATTAATCCATATCTACTCTTTAAATACCATAAGTTTTATCTTTTTTCAAAGATGATAATATATGTCCTTGTGTTTCATATAAGGAATTCTAAAGATTAATCATTTTAGCATCTTATATAGGACGAATTATACCTACACTGTCCGTATCACTTTTTTTCCCTTGGTTCAAAGGAGAATTAATTAACCCCTCCAAAGACGCCTTTTGATCATATGAACCATTATTCAGCATTAATTCTAGCGGTTGAGACTCATTTGTAGAAGATCTTAAAGATTGACCGCCAGGAAAACCCGATATATTGCCTGAAAGTGGTGAAGAAGATCGCCTCATTGACCGAACGATAGGATTGACGGTTAAACAAGGTTAAAAACGCTAGAATTAGATGAAAAAAAAGAACTAAAAGTTTATACAAGAAAACAATAAAAACTGAATATCAAATAAGCAGTAGAAAAGAAATTCGTATATTTGAGAAACAAGATCACTTCCTAGATTTTTTGGCATCATCTATATAGATTAGAATGAAATGAAGAGAAAAAAAAATAAAGAAGCAAACCACGAGAAGCCTTTTTTTCTAGTTCATCCCAATCATCAGCTTCACTTAAATCTTCTTCATCAGCTTCAGATTCATCATCTGAAGCATTTTCTTCATAATCGGATTCTTCCTCACTTTCATCGTCTTCTGAAACAGCAAATTCGCTACCTTCTTCTTCACTTTCAGCACTTTCTTCATCGGATTCATTATTTACTATTTGAATAATTAAATAATTGAAAAAATGATAGTTAACACTTACAAAATGCCCATCCACCTTCTTCAAAAAATGCCAAAGGATCATCATTAATAGTTTTCATAATTGTGACCCAATTAAGATTTAAAACACCTTCAGTATATGCAATATCAACAGAACTAACCATTAGCCAAGAAACATAAAAAATTAGTAAACTTACTCTAACCAATCCTTTACATTATCCAATTGACTCATTGGAATTGTATTAATATGTGCAGGGGGACGACGAAAATCTTTAAAAACAAAAACCTAATCATTCATTAAGCCTTGGATTAAATAAACGAAAGGAAAAATTATACAAGATCAAAGTTCTTGAATAATAGTTAATTATAAATTATTTCTAAAAGTTTTTCTCTTACCTTAAGTCCAAATTGTACTCTTTCTAAATGAGCAATCTCTATATCCGAAAGTGTTATTACTAAAAAAGGAGGATCAGTAAGATGTACAAGGCATTCAGTCGTTGGTTGCAAAAGCACATTACTTCGAAATGGAACCCCAGTAAATCCAAGTTCACGTACAGGAATGTCAACGTCTATTACACCTTCATTCTAGAAACAATAAACAATTTTAAAAAAAAAAAAACATCAGATTTTTTACAGATTCAGATATTTTCTCACTGAATGCCTTAAATTCTTTGTTCAATGCCGCTCTTCTTCGCCGTTCCTCCTGTTCTAATTCCAATTCGTCTTCATCACCATATCTATATTTTCTTTTTTTATTTCCAGTTTCATCAAATTGCATATCTGATGCTTCCCGGTAAAACTGAACATCCTTTGCCCTTCTTTTACCAATCATAATAGGATTTTTTAAATGAACATGAATCAAAGCAATCAATTCATGATCACAAGGTTGAAAAAAAAGATGTTTTATATTACTAAACAGAAGATCAATCTTATGATCAGATCGTAATGGAGACTGATAACGCAATCCATTTTGATGAATCTCTAATTCACCAGGAACACGTTTCCCATCCAAAGCAGGACGAGCAAATACATCGACCAATTTTAAAGGTCGACGATCTATTACTATCAGCATGATATTTCAAGAAACACATAAGAAATATACTTTTAACTTCTATTAAGTTGTCCTGCTCAACGACATCTGCCATTTCTCTACGCTCAGCTTCACGTTTAGCAACATTCTTCTTCATTTCTTGAATTGATAAAAAAACTTCAGACATATGCCGAGTATCAGAGCTTCTAAAAGTTAAACTCCTTATAAAGCTTGCGCTAAGATCATCAAATGGCTAATGAAAATAAAAACAGGTTAAACAAGAAGATAAAAAATACCATATCATCTTTTTTCCCAACACCTTGTCCAGGAGTAAGAAAATTAAGTCGCAAGTAAACAAATTCGCCTTCATCATTCTTACTTGCATTCTTTAATGTTGATATATGAAAAGGAACAGGCCGACCATAAATTGGAACAATGATACTACTATTTTTTATGTCGACTATGATCTTGAGTGACTTTATAGATGAAGGCATTTGAGAGTCTCTCTTATAAGATTCGATTTTTTTAAGAGTAGGTTTTTCTATCCCATTCTGAATTCCATCACCACTCGAAAATCGAGCTAAGCCTTCTTCCTGCTTTTTCTCAGCTAATTCTTTCTGATGCTGTTTTCGTCTCTGCTCAGCAGAATCATCAACCTTTCATAATCAATAAGCAAAAATCTAATAAAAAGATTTTCATACATCCTTATTTTCTCCTCTAGTTTTTCTTCTTAAAATTGCAGAAGTTGCAGCAGAAACCCCACGTTCATGTCTTCTCTTGGATATATTTTCTTTTTCAATTGGTTCATCATCCTATAATAATATCTAAAAATCATACAAACATATTTATTAATAACCTACATTATAGTAAGATATATCACTATAAGATTTTGGACTGTCCGTATAAACAATTGGTGCGTCCTTTGTTACTTTTATTGTATCAATTAGCAATAAACTATATGTTCTATCTCGAATATTCTGAGGTTTAGGATTTTCGATATCATTAAATCCAACTAAAATATTCAAAGTCATACCATCTTTCAAAACCCGATTATTTTTTGAATTAAGTATCAAAGTCTTATCCTGAAACTCGATTCCAATACCAAAACCAATATTACGAACAAATTTAGATTCAAGCTCAGGATATTTAACGCGAATTAATCCAACAGCCTTATTATATACATCCTTAACAACAACCCCATCCTTAATACTTTCAAATATTTTCTTCTGAAGCAATAATAAGAAATCATAATAATTTTCTTGGGACTAATCTTCATTAGAAAACAAGAAACAAAAAAAAAAAACTACCTTATTAGGATCAATCATGTACGTCCTCCCAACATTAGAGCAATATGACTTATATCGGAGACCAAGTGAACACAAAATCACATTACCTTGCAGTAAACGATCATCTGAAACAGCAGATGGACGTAAATCATAATTTCCACCACTCTGAATAATCGGTGTATAACACCATTCAAGTTGCTCTGGATCAAACTAATACAACTTAATCCTCTTGATTATCCCCTATTCTTATATACATACATCACTACCCATCTTTGATCGAAAAAACGACTCCTCTTCAAGTTTGCGCTCTACCATTTCTGATAATTGTGAATGTGAAACCTTATCCTCCTCATCAATAATGGTAGACATTTTGTCAACAAAATATGTAGATATTAGTAAAACACTAGCTTTACATGCTACACGAATACATTTCTATTTTTCATCAATCCTCAAAAACTAATAAAAGTTTCAAAATTCTACCAATTCATCTTCTTCCTTCACCGCCATAGCCAAAGATACTCCTGACGATACATCCACTTCTTCAAATGATGTTTTCCCATAAACACTTTTCCATTCATCCGCAAATTTACCCTTCAATGTATCCCTTGAAAATACACCCACACGCTTCTATCCAAACTTCAATCTTACCATTTTAAACACTTCATCTAACAAACCCCTGCTTTTTCCATGGCATCCACTACCTGTTTTAAAACTACTTCATTTTCTCCCGCTTGTTTCGATCTTCTTAAAATAGTCATAGAAAACGGTTCAATACCATCCTTTAAAGTCTCTAATATAGTCGCTAACCTCCGTCAGATTAAATATACCTTATCCATGCATCTTTATACCCTTTTTATCACTTGTTAAAAAATAAATCATCTCCTGAGTCAAAAGCATCAACATATCTGGAAATTCATAGCCAAGAAGCCAATTCTAGCTCTATTAAAACCTTTTAAAAAGCACAAAAGATCTAACATGTATAGAAGACGTCTTAGAATATGGATTTTCATCATCTAAACTACCCTGAACTATCAACAATGACGTAATTCCAAAAAACACATGTTCTTTTGTATGAACATAATTCTATGAAAAAATTAGCAAAAAAATATCAGAAAAATAACCAATGCTTCAAAGAAGCAAAATATCGCGCGGTTATTACCTTCCATATCCCAAGAAGCAGGCGAAGCCTGCGATCAAAGGTCTTGGAATCTAATCGGATTTCCATCGTCGTTAGATCGAGAGTCAAGCAATGGGTTGAGACAAAATAGATAAAAAAAGCAAAAATAAGGCATATGAAAAAAAGAGAGGAAAAATACAAGAAAAGAAATATGCTTGTACTATTTAGAAATAGACCAAAACAGAGATTAATAATGAAGAAGAGAAGAGATCAAAAAACATACTAATGAAGTTAAAAATGAAAAAAATAAGAAAGAAGAATTACAGGAATAAAGAGATAAGGGCATTGACGACAATATTCGTCCCAATCTTTACCATATTTTGCTTTGCAACGACGAGTATCTCTTGTTACACGATGAATCAAGACGAAAATGAAGAAAATGGGATAAAAATATGGTAATGGAGATGAAAAGCCAGTAATTAAAGCCCAAGAGAGGGATTGAATAAAATCGGCCTATAAATTTTAGTGAATAAATAAGAATGAATAGAAAAAAGAACGGTATAATGAATTTTCCTAGCAAATCGACCTTGAAAAATTAAAAAAATAAAAAAAAAAGAAAGAAAAACATACACCAACCAGATGTTAATAATGTACCACCATTAGCACATTTAATATATTTAGGATTTTCGATAGTTTGCCAAGGAAGTTGAGGAAAAGTCTTTCTAATCTGTAAGGAACCGTATCGTTGTTGACGAAAGCGATTTTTTTGACTATTAGAAGTATCAAAAACATAATAAGAGCCAATTAGAAGGAAATAGCAAAAAAGATTATAAAGAGTAGACCAACGATATTGATAGGGAGAACGAGTTGTGAAGAATAAGGCAGAATAACAATAAGTAAACGGGACACCAGCCATATTCCAAAAAATCAGCATAAATCCCCATTTCTCATAAGCCATATCCCTAAAGAAATAAGTAAAATGAATAAAAAAAGAAAAAAAATAAACCATGTTGTAACAATCAATTCTTCACCCTTTGCGCAAGCATTTGCGTATAAATAATAGGCAAAAATAATGAAAGCAACCTGAGGAGTAATATAGCCGTAAACCTCATATTGCTTAATGCCCACAGCAAGAGAAATGAAAAAAAGAATGAACCAAGGTAAACGAACTTCAAAAAACATTTTAAGATCGAAATACTTTCCTATACGTGGGTTAAGAGCAGCACCCATAAAAAAGTCATAGATAAAACAGCCCGACATACGATACATATTTCCCGTTAAAACAGCGTGAAAATATGCAATAAAAGAAACGGCAAAACCCGATATAATAGCAACAGATAAAAGTGGACCAAAATCCGTAATCAATGTATACAAATTAAATATCCCCGAAAAATGAAGAAATACTACTGTTGCAATTGAAACATAGAATGACCATGCAGCATTGCAAAAATATGGTAATTTTTCATTATTTTTATGCGACAACGGTATCCCTTTTGTATAAACGCCCGGAAGAGTTAATGAAAAAATCGCTTGTACGAACATAAATACCCAATAAATTATCCATGCTTTAAGATGTGGGAATGCATCCTCCGACACTTTATATTAACATATTGAAAAAAAAAAAACTTACTTTAACAATATATCCAATCATCAAAGACCCAAATTCAAAATATGTTTCATTAGATCGAGGCAAAGCCCATTGACCATCATAAAAAGCCCAACAAATCCAAAAATAATACATTAAACATGGAAAAAAAATTATCATAAAAAACACTCCAATTGGTCCTCCAAATTCATAATATTGAAATATATCATCCATTGACCCTTCTCGACCCCTTGATCGAGACCTTGGCGTCGAATACTTCTGCTTGGACACTTCATTAGGTACTTCTTTTATCTCATTTGTCTGTGTTTCCACTTTAACATTCTTTTTCGATCGAGTGCCAATATACTGAATTTCTGATGCAACCGATCGTGTTTGATTGGGCGTTCTTGCACTTTGAGCCCGTGTTTCAACCATACCATTAAAAAAAGTTCTTAATAACTTTTAATCAATTCCTCGTTAATATTATTCTTTCCTTATAAATCCCCAAAAAAAAAGAAAAAATGTGACAAAATATATATAAAAAAATAGATAATCCTCAATGCTAAATTTACTCACAAAAGGCACCCGAAAAAATATATGAGAAAACCAATTTTTTGTTATGAAATTTCGGTAGAAAACAAATGATAAACCCTAACCCTGGACCCAAACGATCAGTCATAGAGTTGATAAGGGTTAAGCCTGAATATATGAAGAAAGGCTAAGCAAATTAGCGTTTAAAAGTGAAGAAAGATATGAATCCAAACCTTTTTAATAAAGCCAATTATTAGTTCTTTGTAGATTAAAGAAATACCAAGATTATAAGTGAAAAGATAGATTAAAACAATTGAAAGAAATGAGTATAAAAATCCGAGTATAATAAAAAACTTAATTCGTTATTTCCCAAAAGCCATAAAAATCCAATGTTATATGCAAGAAAAGCCCATGATTAAAGATTTGAAAGAAAAAATATAGAAAAATATATAAAATCGAGAAAAATAGAAATAGAAATATATAAAATAGCCATAAATATTGAAAAAAAACCTTGAATCATGAACGAAGATAAAAAAGAAGATAAGCAAAACGATTTGGTGAATCGGAGGAAGAAATAAGATGCTCAGCAAGAATGTGAGAAATATGGGTATCGTCAATACGAATCCAGGAATGTAAATCTTGACGAAGAAGATCGACAGTGTAATGACCACCAGAAGTAGACATTCCATGATGATATACGACTAAAAAGATAAAAAAAATGAAAAATTTAGAAAAAAAAAGAGTTACCAGCAAACAAGATAAATTTTATATTTTTTTCAACACGACGATGAGGACTCATTACAGTAGGAGGAATTTCGAATTGTAAAGGATAATGAACATTTTTATAAGATTTTTGAGCACCTCCGACATTATCATAAATAAAACGCTTAAGATGAAGAATAAGAACTTGTGGAAACGTTTCAATAAAAACTTGCTTCGTTGCTTTTAATTTTTCACCTAAAGAAGAATGCCAATCTCCATGAAGAACTTCTGGTTGCGTAATATTTTGAAGTGCTTCTTCTATTGAACCTATATGAAGAGGCTCAATATCAAGCTGTAAAGATCGATAGGGCTCAAGTGTAATGGATGGCTTCATCCCAGGTACACGCAAAATAGAACGAAAATTTCCAGTGAAAATAGGTGTTAAAGGAGACTCAGATACAGTAGCCTAAAAATAATTAAAATCCAAAAACATACTCGAAAATTCATATATAAATACCGATCGCATAATACTCGTTTTCTGTTTTGGACCTACTTCGACCCATTCATTCTCATTTTTATCCTGAAAATTATCGAAAGAATTCGCAGATACAAAATCTACACAGTTCATATACTGAATTACATTATTAGGAAAAACGTCCGAATTTGATTTCATTTCTTGAACAAATTCCTCATGAAGCGCATCAAGCAAAAGTCCTAAAAATTCTTCTGCATCTTCTTGATGCCCTCTCTACAAATTACTATCAATAAATCTCAAAAAAACATATCAAAAATCTACAAACCCTCATAGAATCAAAAAGTTTATTTCCTCGCATTGCCATATAAACATATTCCGGAATAAATGGCTCTCCAAATTCTTCAAAATCATCTTTTTTTATCACCGTTCCACCATTTAAAACCGGCTTATCAATAATAGGAAATTCACGAATAAAAGAAATCCTAAACACTCATCAATTCATCTTCATCTTGTATTAAATCATTTTACAATGCACTTATTAAAGATGTATCGTTAACCAAATCATGTGTCATTTTTTTTCCAATTTCATCCAATAAATTATAAAATGGAGGACAAAAAACTAAAACCTGTAGAATCTTTTCATTTATATTATAAATATCTCTTTCTTTTTCCTCAAAAAATACTTACCACATTCATAAAACATACATTCCCTATATTAATAAGACCACGAGGCTGAATTAATACATTTTTCGTTTTTTCTGGTTTCATTTTAATACATTCAAACACTTCTTTTAAATTATTAGTTGGTTTCTCCTTCTTAACCGTCTGCTCCAATGTGCCATTAGAATATCCCGATTTCGGCCGTTTAAGCAAATCTGACCACGATTTCGACGTAATACTATCATCCTGGACCGTCGTATCCTCTTTATTAACCTCTTTATCCTCTGATACCTCATTTATTTCCTTTTTTTCATTCGACATAGTCAGACATTCTGTCTGACCTTTTTTCTCAGAAATTACCGTCTGAACCTGGGAATTTGATGCACGTTTCATCATTTCATAACATTTTAAACACTTATATCTCCTGCGGGGAAAGGGTTTGTCTGGAACAGAATACCAAGGAAGCTGATTATTTATTAATACCAATTCCTCATAAAAAAGCCGTTTTTCAGCGGGAAAAAAACGTACCATAGGAAAATGACCTTGAAAATAACCATTAGACGCAGTGTGATTATTTTGGGACCCGCCAGGGTCCTGTTCAACCATTTTTTTTCCTTAAAACTTAAACTTTTTTTTTGAAGTCGAGACGGTTTTTCGCTAAGACGAGCTTGACGACCTCATATTTTACGGTATAAATTATATATCAGTGAAAAAGGGATGGAAAAGCGTTTTACATGATAATAACGAGTGAATACGAAGGAGATTAGAGGATAGAATATGTATATGCCTTTTTTTCGGAGTTAAATGGTCAAAAATAGGGAGATATATTGAATTATATTTATTATAAAGATATAGTCTATATTTGAGGGGATAAAAGGGGTTTTGCGTGAAAAAGAGATTATAAACAGATTGTATTGCATAAGGAGATTATAATTTCGTTTTTTTTTTAGAAAAATATTGAAAATTCGCTTAAATAAGCATAATTATATATCCTTTAAACGAAATTAATCAAAAGATACATAAACTTAGATTATAATTGAGAATAGGACGATAATAAGGTAAAAAATAGATGGAAGAGAATATTAGAAAGTCTATTTATTATTTAAACGAGCCAAACAACATAAATACTAGAATTACAAAAAATTATAATAAAGAACACAAAGGTAAGATTTTATTTTTTAAAAAAAGGAATTGAATTTATCAAAATATTAAGAGGAAGACGAGAAAAGAGAGTCGAAATCTATATTTGAAAAACAAAAAATAATATCAAACAAAATAGAAAATAAAAAGAATATATCATTAAAACCAGAGAATTTCAAATTTAACAACAAAGTGGAAAAAATACCATTAACGCATTTATTAAACTTTTCATATTCCCGATCTTTTACAACTCAACTAATAAATTCAAATTATAAAAATACAAAAAAAAAAAATATACATAAAAATGATTATCGAACAAAGAATAAAGAGTATTTCATTAATGCAAATTATAGATTTATTGTAAGTCCATATGAAGATTATCGTCCACAAATGCTAGATCCTGATATACCCATACCTTGGAAAAATATATTACAAATACTTGTTTCACGATTAACACAACATTCATTGTGCGCAATATGCTTAGAAGAAGATCTTGTAGCATCTCGAATGACAAAATGTGGCCATATTTTTTGTCTACCTTGCATTATACGTTATTTTGAAAGCAAAAATGAAGATAATAATAAGGATTTTAAATGGAAAAGATGTCCAATATGCTTTGATTTAATTTGTATTATGGATTTAAAACCTTTACGATGGTATGACAATGCTTCACCGGAATTACCTGTTGAAGGAAAAGAAATACTTCTTCGTTTATTTGTACGCAAACAAGGGAGTTTTTTTTCATTACCATGGGAAAATATGTCAAAAAATATAGATAGTAATGAAATTCCATGGTACTTTGAACAAGACGTCCTGGATTATTCTCGTATTATGAAAGCATCTGAAAATTATATGATCAAAGAAATGAACCTTGAACTTAAAGAATTATACAAAATAAAAAATAGCATAAATACTGATACAGGATTTACGAACCAATCGATTAATAAAGCAATAGAACACATTCAACAATCTATACTATCATTTGAAAAAATATCCAATGATCACAAACATTTCTTTGAAACAAAAGTGTTAACAGAAACTCAAATAAATATCGAAAAATTAAATATAGAAAACAATGCGTTAACTCAAACTAAATCATTTGATGATAAACAAAAAATTAATTCTTACTTATTTTATCGACCTCAAATAATGACACATTATTACTTATCTATTTTAGATATAAAAATACTTAAAATGGCTTTCGGGGATTATACTCTTTTTCCCCCAAATATTATCGCTAAAGTAGAGAATATATCAGCAGGTCATATTGTAGATGATGAATTGCGTAAACGAACAAAATATCTTTCTCATTTACCTTATGGATGTGAAATTTCATTTCTAGAATGCAACTGGTCAAATGTAATTGATGAATCAATTTTAGAAAAATTTGATTATGAAATTAAAAAAAGACAACAAAAGAAAAGAGAAAAAATTCTAAAAGAAGAAAAGGATTCTAAAAAAAGATATTTTAGAGAAAAAAATCAGATAGATTTATATTATTAAATGATAAACATTTATTATTTAAATCTTAAAGCCCAAGAATAATCAAGAATTTATAGACCGATTACAACTTTTATAATAGATTGAAGTTGTAATCAGTTTATTATAGACAACATTTATTATAATTAAGCTTAATAGTTAGCAAAAGTAGGGTATCTATGTCATTTTTCAAATATTCCATGAACAAAAAAAATGCTTAGAAATAATATAAAAAAATTAAATTAATAACCTTACAAAAGAAAAAATATTACAAGCCTTATATCAACCATTAGAAAATAACCGTGTTTTGATAAAGATTGATATAAACTCAGTGGAAATCATAAATATTATCACTGATTCATATATAAATAAACCCAAAAACATAAATAACCCTTACAAAAAAACTCAAACACCCTACTTATCCTCTTGAATTAAAATTATTTAGCACAGATACCTTAGAAACCACAAAATTACCCAAATACAATGTTATACTCAAAAAAAATATTTAGATAGCCATTACAAAAATGAAGAAGATATCCATTACTTGCTAACTAACTAATCAAGCCATCCAACTCGCTCAAATGCTTGCCATAAACGACTTGCTTTGTTTACATCTATACGGGCACATCTTTGCGCATCTGTTCGTCGAAATCCAAGTCCCGCTTCTTTACGTGCATGGTATTCCGCGAATATTCTTCGCTTATTATCTAAATATACCATAGCTGGTAATCTTAATTGCGATGCTAAATAAACTTCTGCCGGATGTAATTGATCCACATGCGGATCATTAGATAAATCTAACGGAATCCCCTTCCATTCCGCTCTCAATGGCCGAGGATGGTTAATCTTATCCAGTGTAGATGTCGGTGGACAAAAATCCGGTAATAATTCATATGGCGTATTCGCTACATCAAACGAATGCGTATGCATATAATGTTCTTTTGACGATTGTTTCGGCTTGTAATTAGCCATTCCAATCGAATAAAATTGCGTCTTCGTTTTACCCACTCCTCGCCCTACAGACGTCGTACGACATCCCGTCGTGGATATCGTACGACGTACAATATTCGACGCATTCCTCGTCCTCTTCTTATGGACTTCTGCATTCGATGATGGCATATGATAGGCAAGCCATTTACGTTCATTACGAAGCATTCCACGAGGATCACTTTTATATATATCAAAAACACGCGCTACAAACGTAGCTCCCGCTTGTTCCTCTTTCACCGTCTTCTTTTCTTTCTTAGCTTCTTCATCCGTCTTCGTCTCTGCTAAAACCCCTCCCAAGTTTTCCTTTGGAGAGGGTGGAGGTGACGGAATAATAAATCCGTGATGATAAAGTTTACACTGTGTTTTAGATGAATCCGAGTCTGACCACTTTGTAAAACCAGAATGTATTTCTGGAGGCGAAAAAAGCATGTTTTCACTGGAAAAAAAGTGTTAAAAATCATTTTTAAGAAAAACCCTTTTTTTTACCTCATTTTTTACGAAAAAAAAAGTTTAAAAACATCGCAAAGATTGAACGGGAGAATAAAAGACGGACCCCTAACCCTAAGCACAACCCTAACCAGAAGCACAACCCTAACCCCGAGCGCAACCCTAAGCAGGGGCACAACCCCAAGTGTAATCAGGAGAAGCTGAGTAGGAAGCTGAGTAGGAAGCGGAGTAGGAACTTAAACTCGACAGCAACATATGAGGCGCATATAAAGCTTAGTTATAACCAGGAGTGCAAACAGGAGTGCAAACAGGAGTAGAACCAGAGTAGAACCCTTAACTTCTACGTAACCCAACTTCTTAACTTCTATGTAACCCTAACTTGTGCTTAACCCTTAGCTGGTGCTTAACCCTAACATCTACTCCAACCCTAACTTCTACATAAATTGTAAAAGGTTAAAATGTAAAGACAAGTCGAAAGTTGGTGAAGAGAGGGAGTTAGGGTTAGGTCTAAGTAGAAGAGGGTTAGAGTAGAGAGTAGAGAGTAGAGAGTAGAGAGGAAGGTAGAGCGTAGAATGTAGTGTGTAGTGTGAAGTGTGTAGAGCGTAGTGTGTAGTGTACAAAGTAAAGTGTAGAAGGTTATATATTGTAAAGCAAAGTATATAAAGTAGACTATATAAAGTAAAGTATATATTAGAGGTTAGTAGAGTACAAGTACGAGGGTTAGGGTGGAGTACCAGTTAGGGTTAGGTTATCGTTCTTACTCCTACTCCTACTCCTCCGCTTAATCTTGGCATTTAATATTAGAACAGGGGTTGGTCTTAATGTTAGGGTGGATGTTAATGTTAGGGTAGAGCGTAGGGTTAGGTCAGGGCTAAGTATTAGTATCATGCTTAGGGTCAGGCGTAGGATCAGGGTTGGCTACAGGGCGGGTTAGGGCCGGGGTTAGGACTAGGGTCAAGCCGGGGTTAGATTTGTAGGAGGGGGCAAGGGTTAGGGTTAGGGTGAAAAGTTGAGTAAAAGTTGAGTAAAGGGTTAGGGTTAATCGACAGAGGGCAAGGGTTAGGGTGAGCCACGAAAGCTCCATAGTAGATATACGTCAGTATACGTTAGGGTTAACGGTAGGGTTAGGGTATAGACGGGTCAGGGTTAAATAGTAATAGAATAGAATACAAACATAGATAGGGACAGGCTTAGGGTTAGGGACAGGGCTAGGTTAGTCGTTTTTGTTATTATTAGTACTACTGTGAAGAAAAAGGTCAAGATAGTACTTCTAGTACTTCTAGTACTTCTAGCACTTCTTCTCTATAATTAAAATAATGATTACACTTTACATCACACCAACACACCCGTATCTTCTTTTTTAGAATTATGATTTTGTTTATGAATTCGAATTTTATCCAAAGAATTAAGCGAAAAATGCATATTTGAAAATTGATTGAAATCAGTATATTTCGAAGAATTAGAACGAGAATACAACAATATGTAGGCCTGTTGTTTAAGAACAGTCTGAAGACTCACCGTTGATACCTAAATATAATATTAAAAATAAAGATAAGAAAAAGTTTAAAAAAATAGAATAACCCTATCGTCATTAAAATGTTGCCATGTACCATTGCTAGTCTTGCAAAAAGAATAATAATGACCACAACGAGTATCATTTCCGGAATGAACGATAATACCGATAAGATCGTAAATGATAGGATTTTGCTTTAAAAAATTAGATAGATAAGAATAAGAAATAATGATAAAAACCTTTTTTTGTGACATATATGAAGTCATTTCAAGTGTTTCGCCGTAACGAATAGATCGAGTAATTTTTGACATTTTAAAAGCCTTATTAAAAGAAAACCGTTTAAGATGTAGAGTTAAAATGGGAGGAAGTATATAAATGGTTGATTTTTTTTGAAAATCAACCAAAATCTCACATTTTTCACATTTATATCGATTGGATTGAGTTAATTTTTCTTCACGAACATACATAGCCAATGCTTCTTCGATAGAAGTGCCCATTAAATCCAAAGAAAGATCTAGATACACAGGATATGTATTTGATATATTATTACATTTGAGACATTTGATTTGTTGTCGCAAATAACCGCCAAATATTTTATATATTACAGTTGTTTCCTGACTGGCGAAATCTAAATCCCTAATAAAATTTAAATATTGATTTTAAAAAAAAAAAATAAAATACTTACTTATATGGATAAATACATGAACGTTGCATTTCCCCAAGTAAACATCGAAGAAATTCATGAGCATCTTCTTGTCGATATGGTTGAAATCGTTTAGATATCCATTTTAATGCACCAACAATATGAAGCGGCTTAAAAGCAGGAACAGGACGATTTACATCTGAAGGATAACATTGAGCTACATGTTCCTCAATCTTGCAAAAAACACAAGAATTCATTTGACCTGTTTTATATCAGTTTTTCAATCGACCAAGTGACGCTCAACATTGTGATGAATGATGGCCACTAAGTAAATATTGAACAAATGGAGGAACGTGAGATAATACTTGAAGAACCGAATTAAGATAACACGTATTGCCAACATTAATTAACCCCGGTGCAGACGGTCTAATACTCGTCCAATTATGTGACAACTGATCTGATGAAAATAACACAATAGAAGGACGTGCTATAGGTGATCCACTATCTTTCAATTGTGCTGATTCAAATGAACGCACAGTCTGGCCATCAGTTGCTGTATTATTACTAGATTCTATAATATTAATCGGTGTATACAACGTATCCCAATGTCCAAGAGGATCTATAAAACATGGACCAAAACGTACTGGATTTTCAAGTAATGACTGAAGATCAAAATATGAAGAACTATCTGTTTTAACAATAGTTTCTTCCATATAAAATTATCACTATTTATAAAAACTTTTTAATTTCAATTTTAACCCTTTTATATCACTTTTAAAAGCCGGAAAAAAAGAGACCCCTCAAAAAATATGCAAAATATTCAATTTATTCATCAAAAATGCAGAATTAAAACCTTTTTCCTATCTATTTTTATATTTTTTTATTTTTAATCATTTGCTGCGGTTGACCTTACGATCTGCCTCTCCGTTAATCTTATCAAAAAAAAATAAAAAAATCAAAGTTATAAGATTAACTTAAGATTTCTTTATTTCAAATGAAAAATATAGATAATACTGAACCAATAGATAAAAATATAAAGGAATCCAAAAAGAAGCATAAAAATAAAAAAAAATCCTTAAAAACTCAAAATAGCCCTATTTTATATAATATATCTACACCATGTCATATAACGGCATCTGAAACCATAGAAAAGACATATATTCATGACGTATATTCAGCAATTGCAGGTCATTTTTCAGCAACACGTCAAAAAGTTAGTTTAAATTAAAAAAAAAAAAATAAAAAAAAATAAAACTAATAAAATTAGCCATGGCCAATTGTTGAAAAATATCTATTAAATCAACCAGCAGGTTCACTTGGATTAGATGTAGGTTGTGGAAATGGCAGATATCTTTTTCTCGTACAAAATATCTACTTAATGGGTATCGATAGGTAGGGTATAACCTAAACCTAAACCTAACCCTATTGATTATAGGGTTAAAGATAGAACTAATTGAAGCTTATTGACAGATGTGAAGCCCTTTTACAGATTGCCAATGAAACAGGAGAAGCTCATTTAATATCAGGAGATGCAAGATTATTACCCGTTCGACCTATTTTTGATTTTGCAATATCAATTGCAGTTATTCATCATTTAACAACGGAGACGCATCGAATCGATGCATTACGACAATTATTAAATATACTTCGACCAGGAGGAACAGCATTAATATTTGTATGGGCATTAGAACAACCTAATTCACGCAGAGGATGGAATGAATATTCACCTCAAGATATATTAGTTCCTTGGATAAGTTATACCAAGGTGAAGTCACGTGACAAAGAGTCAAAAGATGAAGTAGTTGAAACAAAAATTCATAAAAGATATTATCATTTATTTCGTAAAGGAGAATTAGAGGAATATATTGAAAAAGCAGGAGGAGAAGTAATTGAAAGTGGATATGAACATGACAATTGGTGGGCTGAAATGAAATTAAGAGTGAATAAAATCGAAACATAAAATTAGGGTTATTTCGTAAAAACCCTAAAAAAAGAAAAATAGAAAGAAATAATATTCCATAAGTTATATGTCTTTAACACACCAAATACCAATATTTTCTATTTAATTTAGTATTATATTTAATTGTTTGAGAATATTTATTTAAAAAATAGATTCAAAAGGTTTTGACTTATAATAAGCCCTTGACTAAAAAGACCTACGACAGTGGAATTTCAGCTGTATTTTTGTCAAACCATAGTTAAGATTAAAAATTTATACACAAAATTGATAAAAAAAGCCATTAGAATTGATGGGAATTTTAATTAATATTGTTTGGCCTGAACATAGTATTGAACGATACATAGAACTATCATGGACAGTAACCCATTTAAAAGAGCGTCTCGAGCTAATTACAGGTATTCCTGTTGCAGCACAACATCTGACATTATCGCCTAATGTAACTGTTGCGGATTCAACAATAACTCTTGATAAACTTAACATACAACCAAATACAAGCCTTTATGTATGTATTTAGACATGATAAAGAGGTACTAAGAGTCAAAAGGTGTCAGATAGTAGAGATCAAGTTGAAATTGATAAATTGAATTCAGAAGATGTTGAACATTTTAAAATAAGTGATGAAGCATATGCAGCTCGACCTGATACATTTTCTAAATGGAAAGAAACACATATTTCTACACCGAGTAAAATCGATCAAGCTTGGCAAAAAATATATGAAAAAGGCATTGAGATAGACCAAAGGTGTTCTGTTGAAGGCGAAAACAAGACACGTAATGGACGAGTTCGATTTATTGGTCAAGTCAAAGGATTGCCTGAAGGCATCTGGATTGGAGTTGAATATGATTCACCAGTTGGAAAAAACGATGGCACATTTCAAGGAATCCGTTACTTTACCGCAAATGAAAATTATGGTTCATTTCTTCCTCCTAACAGGATTCAAATAATTCCATGTTCGCCTACGAATACGGATTTAAATGAAGAGATATAAACTTCAAAAATCCATATATACATAAAAATATGCAGTTAATAACAAAATTTATCAAGCACGCAATTCCTCATTCTCCAATGTATCAGTTGCCTGTGTAAAAAATAATCTGGACACTTTATTCGCAATATTTCGTATAGAATAGTAATTGCCTAAATGTATTAAATCTATAAAAAAGCATGAACATAAAAAATAATACCTCTTGGTACAATGAAATGAGAACCTCGCTTAAGACGAAACGATGTTTGATGTACAGTAGCTTCCACAGCACCTTCAAGAATAACAAATGTCATAACATTGTGTTTTGAAGGCTTTGTTGCTTTTTCACCACCTCTTGGTAAATCCATAACACCAGTTGCGAAAAAAGGTGCCTCATCAAACGTCTTTTGAAACTTGATAATTGCATTTGTAACGTCTCTTGGTGCATATGAAGATGCAGGATATGCAATTCCTAAATTCATTGTTAAATTTTAATATTTATCTGAAAAAAAAAACTCACGTTTAACAATAGGCTTTTTATCATGCCAATTTATCACTTCACATTCAACATCAACTTTTTCTTCCCACTCATCATCACTAGGCATTTCAGATTTAATCAATTTCCTCTTATAATTTGTATTTTTTGTTCGATTTGTTCCTTTATGTTTATTGGGTATACTTATAGGATCAACACGAATGATCTCCTTAATTTTTGGCATTGCAGGGCCAGATTTCCTTCTTTCGCCAAGTTCATATACAATTCTTTCATTTCTCCAATAAGCCAAAGGAGCAACTTTTGTTCGTAGTGACCGTCTTGTACCATTTACATGAGGAGAAAGAACAGATGGAAGTAAATCCTCTGAAAGAACACGTCGAGACTGTTTTTTATCTAGTTTGGTTTTCATCCCCATTTTAGGTGAAGCATCAGGCGACTCAGTTGAAGATCGTGAAGATAATGATCGTTTTTCAGGAAAATGATCCGAAGAAAACTTTTTAGACTTCAATGGCGCCTGTGTAATCTTTCGTTTTTTCCGAGAAACATCATTATCCACTTTCTTTTTTTGTATAGATACATCTTTCTTATATTTTCTATTCAGTTTATTATCCGATTCTTCAGTCGATTTATCTTCTATATCATATTTCAAAGAATTATCCCAATCCTGCGCCTCATCATTAATGAAGTTTTGAGCATCATCTTGTTGATCAGATTCACTATTTTCCAAGTTATCCATAAGACTAAATGTCTTTTGTATCTTTTTCTGCTGCATCAATTGACCTCGTTTGACACTTTTAACAACCAATGGAGCAGGCTTATCCTGCTCTTCAGAATCATCATCAATTGCTGCTCCTGCTGAAAAATCAAGCTTTCGAGCTACCCCATCAGACCAATCTAATCGTGACGGTAATAATACAGGCTCTCGTTTCTGTGTCGAAGGAATTCGAAGAGCTGGTGAATTTAAATTCGTTTTAGTAGGAGATCGACCAATCCATGGCGATTCTCCTTTCAAAACTCGCCGGCCTGCCAACGTTTCTAAAGGATTACGTTCCATCCATGAATTAGACATTTTTCGCGTAACAACTATATCCGATGCATTCTGAGGTAAACCTGAACTCATCAATTCTGCTTTTATAACTAAAAAATATCCATCATACTCTGTGATACATCCATACTTTGCTCTAATGAAATCGTTTCCTCGTTTTTATGGGAAATCTCCCATTCAGGCGCAATTGCTTCATCAACAGACGGTGGTGTACTAGGCGAAAAAAATGCATCCATATCCTCCATACCAAATGAATCCCTCTGCACCGAATCACGAATTCGTAATCCCGTTTTTCTCAACAAATCAATATACCACCAATATCACCAGAGCTAGTATTCCTAGCTCAAAAACCAACATACCTCCCAACAACTCCAATATCCATAAATTTAGCATTAGGACAGCCTGATGATCCTGGAATTCGTGCTGATCCTGACCCCCAGATCATCGCGTTATAAGCTCCTTATTGTTATCAATATTATACCCAATAATTACTCTAAAAATCGCCAATAATAGACAAAAACCCTTTAATAGATCTTATTAAAGACAATAAAACGAATAAAATAGATATTTTATAGCAGATTTAACAGATCTCTTCAAAATTAGCCTTTTGCTTATAACTCAATTATCTCCTCTAAAAATTGTCCTTTTAAAATCTAAAAAAAAGCAGTTATATTAAATATAAACAAAATATTAAGAATTTACTATTTATTATCAAAAAAATATACGAATATAACGAGATTTCAGCACTTCCAAAGTCACTTATTTTTTGTTGTAGTTGATTCTCGACCCAACGCAAACCACGAGGTTGGTCGTTATGGACAACGGTTGCTATAGTAACCAACCTCAAAAATAAGTAAGATGTCTTTGATGAGCCAAATTTAAGGAAAAAGAAGAGAAATCACAGAGAATCATATAGAAAAACATATTCTTCAATGTCAGAAGATTATTTTAGCGAAAAAAGCTCGAAAAAAGACGAATTTTTGACGACAAAAAATGACTTTTATATACCGACAGAAGGAATCATTCATTCAGGGAACAAACTATGTCATTCAGGTGCTTGGATTGCAGGAATAGATGAAGCAGGAAGGGGACCTGTATATTCCTTTTTTTTTTTTTTGAAATTACATGATTTTTATTGCTAATTTTGCATAGGTTTTAGGTACACTATGAATATATATTAATTGAATAAATAAGATATATAATAGGTCCAATGGTGTATAGTATAGCATATTGCAAAAGTCCATATGAAAAAAACCTGAAAAAACATGGTTTTTTTGGTATATAATATTGATTATTTTGAAAAAAACCAATAGAATATTAGATTCCAAAACATTAACACCAGAAAGACGAGAAGAGCTATTTGAAGAACTATATAGAAATGAAGAATTGAGAAATAATGTAGGATGGTCGATACGTATCATTTCAGCGCGAGAAATTTCTCAAGGAATGTTACAATCAAATAAGTCGTATAATTTGAATGCACAAGCCCATGATACAACTATTCAGCTTCTTGATGAAGTTATAAAGCGTGGTTTCAATATCAAAGAAGTAAATAAAAGCCAATAAATAGTTGATACTAATTTCATAAGATCTATGTCGATACAGTAGGCCCATCATCATCATATCAAACTAAGCTTCAACAATTATTCCCACAGATTGATGTGATAGTTAAAGAAAAAGCAGATTCTATTTATCCTATTGTGAGTATTGCAAGTATTTGTGCAAAAGTTACGAGAGACAAAGCGCTTGCTATGTTTGCTGTTAACGGTGAATCCTGGGGTAGTGGATATCCATCAGGTAACAATTAGTTTTAAAAAAAAAGAAAGATTATATATTAGTTTATATAGACCCAAAGACATGTGAATGGCTTAGATGCTCAATCGATCCTATTTTTGGATGGCCTTATGAAATCGTAAGATATTCATGGCAAACAGCTAAAGATCTTCTTGAAAAAGATGCGCAAATGAAAAATAATTCTAAAGTTCATGTCGAATGGTACAATAATAATGAAGCTGATAACACAAAAAAGATCCAATGTTATTTTCAAACTTCTAAAATTACACAAGAAGGATTTGATCTCTCATGGTACGGGGATAACGTAGAACTTAGCGATTTTTAAAACCATTAAATTCCAAAATTATTAATTAAAAAATCTTACGTATCCTTCAACAACACCATTTCCTTTTTTTCACATCCATAACTACTACATTTTTTTGTCTCACTTTTATACCATTCAACTATTACCAAAAATTAGCCAACAAAAAAACATAAAAACATAAAAATTACTCGATCATTTATGTCAAGTTGATTATTTAATATCTTTTCATATATATTTCGTGCTATTTTCATAAAACTCTCATTTACTTGATCTCCTGTTTTTGCACTCACTTCTGAAAATATATAAACACCCTTTTCATTCGCCCATTTTTTCGCCTCCTCATATCCTACCTCACGAGACGTATTTCCCAAGTCTGATTTGTTTCCAATTAATGCAATTGATATATTAGAACTTCCATACATTCTCAAGTCTTCCAACCAAACTGCCGCATGTTCAAATGTTTCTCTCCGTGTAATATCATAAACTAATAATGCTCCTGATGATCCTCTATAGTAATTCCGTGTCATAGCATGAAATGTTTCTTGACCTGCCGTATCCCATAATTGAAGTTTCATTCTAACCCCTTCTACCTCAATCATTCGAGCGCCCCATTCAATACCAATTGTAGCATCATGTCGGTCAAGATACCGGTTATTCATCATACATCTCCTACCCATTTTTATTAGCTCCTAACGTCCCCTTCTATAAATCAATATCCCACATAAGATTGCTCTTTCCTACACCACTATCTGCACAAAAAACACACAAATCAATGCACTGAAGACACTGAAATACTACGAACCACCGATAATAACAAACTAAACCCCAATTAACCATATATTAACCACTATATAGATCTCATCAAACTTTTATTGTATAAACCCAGTCATCCATCCGTTTTAAACGCTTCAAAAACAAGAAATACACTAAATTCTATGAAGAATAAGATTTAAGCATTGAAAAAACATGAAAATACCTACAGAAAAGCGCAAATTTGTTTTTTTTCTGGTGAAGATATAGTGAGATGGTCGTCAGTAGAGATATCGATAGAGGAGGAAATTAAAGAGGAGGAGGAGGAGGAGGAGGAGGAGGAGGAGAAGAAGGAGAAATAAACATAAAAGAATGTATAATATTAAGAGATGATATGTAGAAACATGTAAATAAAATGTATTTTGTATGTATTTTTTTCTGGAAAAAAAAGGAATAAAATTGAAGAGATAAGAATATTTTTTAGAAATAAAGGGATAGAAGTAATAGTAGAGGTTTTTTAGTATGAAAAGATATATTATATGATATTTTTTGGTTATATATTGTATAATTTTTTAAAAAAAAACAAAAATATAGTTTATATGTATTATTTAGCAAGATAAATGATTTAAAAAGGAATAAAAAAGATATTTTTTAAAGAGAAATAGTTTTAGTGTTTAAAATGGACGAGAAGATGTATATATTGTAGTTTTTTTTTTATTAAATTGTATAAATATTCATTCTAAGAATTTAAGATATAACTTTAAAATATTAAGATTGTAAATAAATAATAGAATATCAATGTTTTTTAGCATTTTTTCTTTAATAAAATAATGTTTTCTTTAATAAAATTCAATAATATAATGTAAAAAGTCAAAAAACTAGATATATAGAAAAGATTATATGAATATTTAGTATAAAATGAATAAAAAAAGGAATTCTAATAGAAAGAATTCATAATAATTATGTTAAAAGATTGAGAAAATCCAAAAACTCATATTAAAAAAGTTTAAAGAATTTTATTAATAAAAGAAAGAATATATAATACTAAAGAATTATTGGAAAATGGTTAGAAATTTTTAAATAAGATTAAAATTGATTTCTAAAATAAAAAAGCTAGATACAAAAGAAATAATAATTATAAAAGAGACTATTTATGATTTATATTATTTATTATCATCAACCAATTGATCACTTTTCTCTTGTTCTTTATTTTTGTCATCAATTTTATCTTCTGAAACTTCTACTCCATTAGTTCGATCTTTATTTTGAATTTTGTTATCAATAAGCTATAAATATTCAATTAATTAATAATAAAAATATAAAATATTACATCATGTAATGACATTACACTACGTATAATACTGCTTAAATAAATGCACATTAATTGATCATTTATCTTGACACAGAAAGCTTTGGTTAAATCATTGTTATAATCATATTTTTCACCATTTCCTTGTGTAGACATTTTTATATCTGGAAAAAATGAAGAAAGATTTGGAATTAAATTGAAAATATCTTGCAAAATTTCAAGAATCCTATGATTTATCGGAAGAGTTTTATTAAGAACTTTGCCAAGATATTGTGAAATCTCGTTTAATCGTTGGTTTAATCCACGAAGAGAATGAAGCTGGTTAGTAATCCTTGTTGAAAGAGTCCCTACAGCAGCATTTTTAATATCACGCAGAAGATGTTCAACACAAATTTCTTCAACTTCTTCAGCTTCAATACTTGACAAAACATGTACAAAAGTCTTAGATGTCATTGTACCATCCTAAAAATAAAAAATAAAACAAAAATACAGAAAAACATACATCTCTAATCTCCTCTACTACAAAATATGCATCTGTCGGAATTCCTAGCGTCTGCGGCTTCACATTAATAATTACTAATAAAGGATCGGTAATATATTTTTTGAAAAGTTCATTAATCTCAATATCAGATGATCTTAATTTAGGTCCCGTATGATACCACCCTATCATCTTCTCCCTTACTAGGCTCATTTAAACCAAATATCCCATATATCTCTCATATTATACCATTAATCTTTTTAAACATTTCATTCATAGATTCCATATAATTATGATCCAAAAACCATACCTGAGGATCCTTATCATCTTCTTCAAACGGAACTCATCATTTTTAGCCTTTTTTACCCCTCTTATTAAACAAAAAATTTTTTACCAACAAAACTGTTTGCAACGTTCACAATTTTCCCATTTTTTTGCCCCAAAAGAACACCAACAACTCGTTTAGACGTATTTAATGCTACTCTATTAAATGCATCGACTACTGACAGCAAAACTAGTGGATGAATAATCTATACTTATTAATTAGCTATTTCTCTGCTTATTTAACCGTTTTTTATCGGATTTTCGCACAACTTGAACATTTATCCATGATAAAGCCTCAGACGGAACTTTTGATGGCATAATCTCCCGTTTTTAACGACAAAAATAGCGTCAATTGGGCCTCTTTATTCCCTTAATTTTTTATGTCGTTAAAGCCTCAGAGACGAGTTAATAGAGGCGGTTGCCATGACAACTCGTAACGTCCGAATTTCTTAAGGTGTAAAAAGGTGAATAAGCAGAGCCTTTTAGACGAGTAATTTTAAGCGAAAATGGGGTTAATTCAAAGGGAAATAGACCGTATTTATGATGGATTTACATATTTCCAGGAATATCTTGGATTTAAAAAAAAAACGGAGAAAAAACATGAAGAATTGAGGTTGATTTTTATAGGACCTCCTGGATCAGGTATGTCTAGGAAAAAGAGGGATTTAAGGCATTATTTGTATTATTTTTACTGGATTATATGTATATGAGTGTTTTTTTGTGAAAAAACCGCCAAAAATAGCGTTAAAAAAGACAATATTGATGGAAAAATAGGAAAAGGAACTCAAGCACCCAAAATCAAGAAAGAATTCTGTATATGTCACTTAGTATACAATGAATACTTTATATATTAGTTATTTAAATGAATTAGGCGACAGGGGATATGCTTCGTTCTCATGTAGCTCGAAAAACAAGCTTAGGACAAAAAGCAAAGGCAATTATGGACAAAGGAGAGCTTGTAAATGATGAAATTATGATTAAAATGATTAAGAATGAACTTTCAGAAAATAAAGAATGCAAAAATGGGTATTTTCTTTTTTTTTTTTGATTTTATAATATCATATTTAATAATATTATAAGATTTATACTTGATGGGTTTCCACGTACCATTTTACAAGCAAAAAAATTAGATATAATGTTAGAAGAGAATGGGAAGCAAATTAATCATGTTTTTGAATTTCAAATTCATGATGAATTACTTATTCATAGAGTAACGGGTCGTTTAATTCATTTACCAAGCGGTCGAACTTATCATAAAGATTTTTGGTATATATTTCCATTTCGTCATAAATACTTTTATAATTAATTATATTTTAGTCCACCTAAACAACCTATGAAAGATGATATTACAGGAGAACCTTTAATTCAACGTTCTGATGATAATATTGAAACATTAAAAAGCAGATTAAGTCCTTTTACCCATTTTTAATTCATTTTTAAACTTATTTTTTTATTTAGAGGCTTATCGAGAGCAAACTTCTCCTGTTATTAATTATTATAAATCACGAGGTATTTGGGTAGGACTAGATGCCACGCAAAATCCTAATAAAGTCTGGCAATCCATACAATCCATTTTCACAAATCCATATCAAAAAGAGACTTTTCCTACATCTTAAATTTATCGTTTCTTTTCATCAAAAAAACAAGTTTTTTTGAAAAAAAAAACATATTTTTCTTAGAAAAAAAATCCTTTCATATTCATAAATACACACAAGACATTTTTAACCCTTAATTATCTGCATTACTTGTATCTTTTTTTACCCGCTTTTTTATGTCTAATAACCCTTAATTAACCCTGAAAAACACTCGTACTTTGCGCAGCAAAGAATATCTCATAAAATGCCAAGTCAAACAATCACTTCACCAGCAGTTGAGACAAGTGCAGAGCAGGTCAAGACCGAGACATTGTCAATAGGGAATAAATCTAAAGATAAAATATCGAAGCGTTTAGCAGCAGAAGCAGCGGAAACTAAGGTATCAGCAGAAGATGAAGAAAATGAAAGTTCATATGAGTCAAGTGAATATTCAGATCCGCCTATGAAGAAACATAAAAAAGAAAATAGTAATGAAGATAGTGGAAGTGGTTCAGAAGAAGAAGAAGAAGAAGAAGATAGCGGTTCTGAAGAAATTGTAAGTGATTTTTTATGAAAAAAGAAGAAATTTATAATTACCATAGGAAGATACACAAGAAACCGAAGAGGTGTGTATATTTTGAATATTTTAGGTGAATTAATGTAGTTGAAAGGATTCGGATGAAGACTTTGAAGATGATACAGAGTAGTTGTAATTTTTTGTTATATCATACCTTCTTAGACCTATATTATCTTATTTGTACACCATGCAACAGTAAAATGCATTTCTCTGTATGTTAAAACATTCATAAAACAATGAATGATTAAAAAATGTATTTTTTTGTATTTATTTTCAAACAACCGTTTTCATCATCATCATCATCATTATTCTTGTTTCTACAATAAAAGATTAATGAGCCCTATGCTATTGTTTTTTTTGTTAAATGGTATAAATGCAGAACTCTAAAAATAATATGCAATAATACTTCAAAATTTTATTCGCTTATTGTTTTTCTTTTTCCCAATACAGTGTTTGAGGATCCACCGTTTCTAATTATTAATTCGGATGTAGTTTCTCTTGAAAGTGTTTGACTAGCAGCGCTTGCTTCGGATAAACAATTTGCATGATATATAATACCTTCTATAGAAATTGAATTTTTCCATACCCATTCTTCAACATCTTCATTCCAAACACTTATAAATTTTTCCTTACATATAGGACAAGGTTCATTTGCAGCATTGGGATCGGTGGGTGTAAGGACATATGAATCGTCATGATTAAAATCTTTATGTTTTTTAGGTTTATCTAAATCATTCTCTAAAGGTTCCACAGTTGTTAAAGAAGAATCTTCATGAGTGTATTTTATCCATTCCTTTCCAATATTAATGATTCAAATTATTATTTTTTATATAATTAACTTACCTCTTCATCAAAATACCAACTTCTACTTTGACCTCGAGATGATAATTCTCTTAATCTATTATTAATACGAAAATGCCAATCAAGATGTGCATCTCTTTTTTTTCTACCATCCTGGGTATCTTCAAATCTTTTGGCACATGTATGACATTGTAAACTCATGCACTCATACAATAAGACTACAAGCTCAGGACGATGTCTTAAAAATTTAGTATATAAATAAGCAATAGTCCATAAACATACTTTGTAAGAGAGGATGATTTAAGTTCAATTGTGTTTAAACTGTTATTTAATAATGCAAGTGAAGATAATGTCAAATTGCTAGTGTCCATAGAAAGATAAGGTTTTAGATCATTAGTCGAATTTTTAGAATCATCTTTAAGTAAACCAGCACTTCTTAAAGAAGCTAATAAGGTTTCTGTATCTGTAGATTGTGTATTAGGTGGCACATTAATAGAAGAACCAACATATGAAGTTTGAAGAGGATAGTAATGAACTGCTTGTAATGTATTTTGTTGTTGTTGTAAAGATAAAGCTGATAATTGTTCTTTAATAGCAGACAATTGATCAGCAGGCAATGTTGAAATTTGAAGTATTGATTGTAATTTTATAAGAGCAGAGATTTGCTTTAAGGCTACTTCATCATCTGGATTTAAAAGAACACGTTTTTGTGCAACAGCTAAAAGAGAAGAAATATCAACTAGAAGAGAGTTCACAGTAATATTTGATGTCATAGATAATGAAGTCTGCGATGACTAAATCTAAGTAATAAAAAAAGAAATAACAGAAACTTACATGTTGATTCCCCATATAATCCGGATTACCAGAAATATTTCCAAGATTGATTATTCCAGAGGAATAATCAGCAACATTATTTAATGATACAGAGGGAATCAAGTTAGAATTAGATGCCTGTAATTTACGCTGTTGGTCATGCTGCTGACGTAACTGTCGAATTTTATTTAAAAGACCATCAATTTTACGAGTAATTTCCTGAGAAAATACAGGTGTAAGTGAATTTGTTCCAGGAACCGGTTGCTTCCACGTTTGCAACAATTCCTCCATTTTCATACGTAAATGAGGCTCCATAAGAGTATACGTATTAATAAATATCTTAGAAAGATTTTGACTAAAATAAATAGTATATGGACTTCCAACATTTTTACATATAGAATCCAATAAATAAAGTGCAGGTAATTTATGTGAAGGCGGTGCCTACATTCATATTAATAACATTATATATTTTTTTTAAAAAAAAAACAAAAAAACATACCCGATTTATATGTTCTTCAACTGCTTTTACAATATATTGTGCCGCATATAAGGTTTCTTGTGCAATTATTGTAAGATCTCGAATAAGAGGTCTGGAATTGATAGTCAGATCTTGTAACGAATCAAGATAATCCTGTTTAATCTCTTCAAGCTCCTCTTGAGGTAAAGGCATTCCAATTAAAACAAAAATAATCAACTCCAACAAATATTCAAATATATTTTATAATAATAAAATATCTTATCCAACACTTTATCGATTACAATAGTTCTTCCAATTTATACCTATAAATAATAATAAAGAATTACCCCTTAAAAAACTTCTTTTCTGTATATATTTCTCTCTTAAATATTAAAAAAAGCCTCTAAATATCGCAAAATTTCTTATAATGATAAATCCGTCTAAACTCTTGGAATCCCAGAAAATAAACAGATATTTATATAAATACAGAAATAAACAACAATATAAATTCAATTTTATCAATTTATTCTCAATATTTCTCCTTTTTTTATGAATTCCTGAAACAACTTGGACTTATATTTTTATTCAAATCTTCACTCTAAAGACCTCTGTTCCTATGTTTTATAGCGTATAGACCATTATTTTACTTAATATATGGTATTTCACCTTATTTTAACTGCTATAATCATGCTTATTTGTCTCTTAAAGGGTGATGTTCTGAGTATTTTTTTATGATCGTCTCACCGTTCAAAATTATAGAGGTCGATAACCATAGCAACCGCAGTTACCAAGACAACAGTTGTCATAACAACTATCGTTTAATTAATTGCTATAACAACGAGGTTATGTAGAAGAGGACGACAAAAAATATTGATTTATAGTTTGAAGTGAAAAAAAGGGGGAAAAATAGCAGAATAACGCGTTTTTATGCATCTAAATCGTTTCTAGAGCATTTATTTACATATAGAAGGACTTTTTTATGTATTTTGAGGGAAATTTATAGAATATTTAGGGACGATATTGGTATTTAGGTAGTCAATATATAGTCGATATTGTGCAGGAATATTTGTGTTTTTTATAGATTATTAATAGAGGATTTACGGTTAATAAGAGGGATTCTATTGTTTTATTAAGAATATTGTAACATTTTTGGTGGATACAATAAGCAATTTGAAAGACGAGATAGATATAGACGATTTTTAAAGAATTAATATATTTTCTTATAATTTTTAAAAATTAAGGACAAATACAGAGGAATTATATACTATATTATTCAAAGGAAGGAAATTGCTGTATTTTTTTGAGAAAAAATTGAAATAATAATTTTAATACTTGTGAGGGGGTTTAGAGATGTTTATTGCAAGACATTGGAATAAATACATACGAAATGATATATCATCGTTTATTTTTTCACGTACATTTTTTATGAACCGAATTATTAGGGAAGAAGTAGAAATTGAAATAGATGGAAAACCTATTATGATTGAACAAGGATCGGCATTAGTTAGTGCATAAATATAGCGAAATAAGCAGTAAAAACTAATGATGAATAGATACAGGCATGTGAAAAAGCAGGAATACAAATTCCTCGATTTTGTTATCATGAACGTTTACAAGTAGCTGGAAATTGTCGAATGTGTCTTGTTGAAGTAGAAAAAACGCCTAAACCAGTTGCTAGTTGTGCAATTCCGGTACTTCCAGGGATGAAAGTAAAGACTAATTCGCAGATGGTTCATAAGGCACGGGAAGGAGTGATGGAATTTTTACTTGCAAATCATCCTTTAGATTGCCGTAAAATAACAAAAAAAAAATCAAATTATAATGCTAATGATATAAGCTATTTGTGATCAGGGCGGAGAATGTGATCTTCAAGATCAATCTATGCGTTATGGAACAGATCGAGGGCGATTTTATGAATACACAGGAAAACGAGCAGTTGAAGATAAAGATCTTGGTCCTCTTATAAAAACAGCAATGACGAGGTTTTAATTCAAACATAACTATAAATACTAATTGTATATAGATGTATTCATTGTACTCGATGTGTTCGTTTTGTTAATGAACTGGCTGGTGCCGCAGAATTAGGTACTACTGGGAGAGGAAGTGATATGCAAGTATGTATTAGTTTTTTTTTTTTGTTTAAATAATACTTATTGATTTTTATAGATAGGAACATATCTGAAAAATCATCTCAATTCAGAATTGTCAGGAAATATTATTGATTTATGTCCTGTAGGAGCACTTACATCAAAGCCATATGCTTTTCGTGCACGTCCATGGGAATTAAAACGAACAGACTCAATTGACATACATGATGCAGTTGGCTCTTCTATTTCTATAAATAGTCGTGGATTAGAAATTATGAGAATTTTACCGAGACTTAATGATGATGTTAATGAAGAATGGATCAATGATAAAACACGATTCGCAAATGATGGATTAAAAGTTCAGCGTTTACAAGTTCCTCTTATTCGTAGAAATGATAAATTTGTTCCAGCAACATGGGATCAAGCATTATCCGAAATTTCATCAGCCTATAAACGTATTTCTCCTATAGGAGATGAATTTAAAGCTATTTCAGGACATCTGGTCGACGCAGAATCACTTATATGTTTAAAAGATTTGGCAAATCGTTTAGGATCAGAAAATCTTGCGCTTGATCAACCTGAAGGAGATAAACCCCTTCCTCATGGAGTTGATATTAGAACTAACTATTTATTTAACTCAACGATACGAGGAATTGAACAGGCAGGCTTTATTTTACTTGTTGGAACAAATCCTCGTCACGAAGCAGCAGTTCTTAACTCTAGAATTAGGAAGTCTTGGCTTCGTTCTAATAATATTGAGATTGCTATGGTTGGAGAAAATTCATCAACTACTTATGACTATATATATATTGGACATAATGCAATCGCATTAAAGAAAGCATTAGATGGTGGCATTGGGAAAAAATTAAGAGAAGCCGAAAGACCTATGATTATTATTGGAAGCGCAGTTGCAGAACAGCCCGACGCTCGTTTTATCTATGAAACCATTGGGAAATTTGTTGTTAAAAATAAAGATAAGTTTCTGACACCCGAATGGAATGGATATAATGTTTTGCAAAGGGTATGGAAGAAACCATATTTTACATTAATTTAACATTATCAAGGCTGCATCCAGAAATGCTGCATATGATATAGGATTTGTAACATTTTCACCTGAAACAGCAAAAGTTAAGCCAAAATTCATATACCTTCTTGGTGCAGATGAGCTTTCTGCCAAAGATATTCCGAAAGATTCATTCGTTGTATATCAAGGACATCATGGAGATCTTGGTGCACAATATGCAGATGTAATTCTACCTAGTTTTGCATATACAGAACAATCAGGAACCTATGTTAATGTCGAAGGAAGGGCTCAGATGACACGACCTGCAATAAATTCTCTAGGAGTTGCTCGAGAAAATTGGAAAATAATCAGAGCATTGTCCGAATACCTTAATGTAACACTTCCATACGATGGTATGTTTATTAACACATATTAATTGTTGCACTTACAATTAAGATATCCATGGTGTACGTAATCGATTAAATCAAATTGCACCTTCTTTAACTCGATATAATGTTATTGAATTTTGTTCTATGCCAGATCTCGGTATGAAAGTACAAATTCATGATCATAACAAAGGATCAGAAGCATCAGGCCATACGCTTGTTAATCCAATTACAGATTTTTATCTAACAGATGTTATTTCACGAAAGTAACTTTTTTAATTCAATTTTTCTCAAATTTAATCATTTTTAGTTCAAAAACAATGGCAAAATGTTCTCTCCATTTTTCAAAAAAAGTATCAGAAGAAAAATCTATTCAAAAAACCTTATAGTATATATTTTTTTCATATATTTCTATATCTAATCTTATTCATAGATAGCTCTTTCTCTACTGCACATATTTTAATACAAAAAAAACAACATCCATCTACACGTTCTTATACGTAAATACATCTAATTGTTTATTAGTATTTATATATATTTTATACTTTATTTACTAATATAGTATAGACATTTTTCATCGAAATAACAATATGAAATTTCAAGTTTTGTATATTTTTTTAATTCTTGCAAAACTTGTCCTTTCAATAGAGTTGAAAGGATCTATTATTCCTAATGCATATCTATCATCACCAAAACACCTGCCTTCTTCTACTGTTATTTTATTGTCATCAGCAAATATCTTAAAAAGAACACATTTAACATCTAGAGGGGACTTTTCTATTAAAAATGTCACAGAAGGCTCTTATTTATTAGAAGTCGTATGCTCTACACATCTATTTGATCCATTAAGAGTGGATATTTCTTTGATTAAAAAAACTCAAACAAATGAAATAGATTTATCTGCTGAAAAAGATTCAGAAACCTCATATTTAGAACTAATTAAAGTATATAAAGTATACAGGGGTAATAAATGGGATGATTTTGGTCCTAAAATGCCATATCCAATTCAGTTTAGTCCTGTAGGAGTTCAATCTTATGATGTCGTAAGTTATACCATTATTTAAAATAAAACTTAAAAAGCACAGAAAAAGGGTTCTTCAAAGATTCTATTACTTAAAAATCCCATAATTCAATTATCTATTATAGCAATAATTATTTTATTTGTTTTCCCAAAACTAATGGCTACAGTGGGTATTTTTGTTTATAACAAATAAAAATATATATTAATTGGTAATATAGACACAGAACAATTAATGGAATATCAACGGGTGCAGGCACAAAGAAAAGAAAGAGGCCACTCAAATGAAGCTCAATCTTTTGATATGGCGTCATGGCTTTCTAATAAAACACTTAAAAATTCAGAGTTACAGAAAAACAAAAAGAATTAAATATTAAAAGGATTTATTTTAAAAGCCATAGGAAATACAGACATTAATTTTTTCTTTCTAGATTATATAGAACATTTAAAAATTAAATTTTTCTTTTTTCTGTTCATTCACTTTTTTTTGTCGCTTTGCATTCTGTTTAGCAGCTTGTTCTGCAACCATTTCCGATAAGTCCTCGTCCCAACCTTTAGGATCTATACGTTGCATCCTTTGGGCTTCTTCATATTTTTCTCTAAGTTGTTTTTGTGCCAAAGTAGGATTATTTTCGTTTTCTATCAAAGAAGGATCAAGGGAGACATCAACACCATTTTTCTTCTTCTAAACATACTTATTAATATATAAAAACACTAATAATTATAAGTACCTTTCGCGATTCTGGTGCATCCAGAACAGGAAGTTTATTTACACTAGATAAATCATAAATATGTTCACTAATAATAATTAAACATTATTCAAAACATAATTCATAATGTTTACCTCCCCATAAATCCTTTTATTCGTGATTGTTGTTCTGCAAGAGGTTGATAAAATGATCTTCCTGAATCAACTTCAAGATCAGAAATTCTAAAGAGCATTTTAATACTAATAGTTTTCTAACTAAATATTAAATACCTTTGCTTCCTTAATTCAATATATTCTGGAGTTTCAATACCGCTAGGAACAGATGATACCATTCCAGATGGTGTTTCTACACCTGATGGAGTTTCAATACCATCAAGCATTTCTTGGTTATTCATGCCAATATCCTTCTCCTCATCATCATCTTCATCGTATTCTTGTTCTGATTCCTCTTCTATATCTTCAAGTTGTCCCCATAATTGTCTTTCAACAGGTTCGCCAGACTAAAACATTAAAAATCACAAACTATAATACATATATATAAAACAAAACATACATCTGGAGGTGGCTGTGGTTGAACAATGCCAAATACATCACCATATAATGGCCTATTAAATTCGTCAACAGGAGGTTTTCCCCAACCACCAGGATGAAATCCAAATTGAGCACTAAATAATATTAGAAAGTAAAAAAAAAATAAAAAATAAAGATACCCTGAAGGAATAGGTGCATTAAGACCTGGTATTTTTAATGCAGGATAACTCGGCGGAGGGCCAAAACGTTGCATATTAATTAACCATGGAGGAGGAGCTCCAGGAGGAATATTTAGAGCTTCTTTAAGCTCTTCAGAAAGATCTCCCGGTCTTTTTTCCTTAAGATTTGTTTCAAATTCCTTTCCTTCATAATAAACTTCTCCATATTCCGTCATAGGCGGTTTAGTTTGAAATCGAAAAAATGCATTATATAATTTTTGATAATCAATATCAAGTTTTCCCATTTTTGGCTGAACTCTAGCACGCATCTTCTGCCTAAGAGTCTGGTTATCTTCTTTTTCCCTTACAGAATCCCTCATTTCCATAATACCAGTAGCACGAATAAAATCTGGAAGCTCAAATGGAGGTTTTTCAATACCTCTTTTCGATGCTAAATAATCTCTCTTTTGCATCCAATGAGAAGGAACAGGAATTGTATTTCTGTATGCCTTAAGATGCGCAAGAAGCTTAGGATCTTGGGCAGATACATCAAACCACTAAATATTTTAAATATAAAATATTATTTTTACTTAAATATACCTCAACCACTTCTGGATTTTTAACCAATTGTTTTAATTCTGCAACGCTCAATCTATTTTGTCTTCTAGCCTTCTTTCTACTAAGTTTTTTAGGCATATTTTCTTCTTCTCCTTCTTCTTCTTCTTCTTCAATATTATCATCAGAGTAAAAAATTTCCCCTTTATCCTCAATATCAGCATCATTACTCTCCTAGAACATAAAATTAAGATAGATTTCTTCCATTATAACCCCTATACTTTAACAGATAGATTAAATTTATCAAAAACTTCTTTAAACGACATAAATGTAGGATCATTCTCATCCAATTCAAAAAAAACATCCAAAGAACCATTATTCATATCTTTTTCTCCGTTTTCAAGCATTTCTAGCCCTTTATTCTTATGTTCCAGAGACTTATTAACCATAATCTATCAAAAAGTATAAGAACTTGTATTTTCACAGTTTTTGGTGCAAAAATCATTCAATCAACATGAAAAAAACGCACATTCTTATCACATTCATTCATAGATTCCGTATATCCCTCTTCTCTTATCTTTTTACGACGTTTTTTATCCCTTCTAATACGAGCCTTTGTTTTCACTCGATTTTTCTCGTTCTCTACAGCCACAAGGCCGTTTAAAGCCGGACTTTCGACATGTAACATCTTTAAGACCGTTCCAAAACAAATATACCCTTTTTATCCCTTAAATCCCACGATTTAACCCGCTTTTTCTAATTCTTTTGTGATAACCTTTTCCATGTAGTCATCGACAATCTCCACGATAAAATAAATTTTAGCAGTAAAAGTAATAAATCTATTTATATGAGGAGAATTCTAGAATTCTTCTAATAAACAATATAAATATGTTTATATTTCATGAAAATAAGTTTTCATTGTTTTTTTTGCTTTATTTTAGCTTATTATATAAGTAAAAATTTAAAAAGAATAAATCAAGTAAATATTCAGAAATTTGTACATTTTTATATGTTTTTATATAAAATAAAGTGAATAATGAATAAAAAAAGGCTAAATTATGTATTTTCATTGACAATTTAATCTATATTTTATATCTTCTTATTTTTACAGAATTTTAACCAAATTCAACAAAAAAAACATAAAAAAATATATAATTCAAGATTTCCTGATAGTAGAAATGATGAATAAATCATTTCTATCCATATAAAGACCTATTTTGTTGTTATTAATATTTTTCATATAGACTGTCACGTGCCAGGGCCAACGTCAGAAAAAGTGTTTATAAATTAAACCAGGTTTTTTGAAGAAATAAGTGGATTTGAAGGCCTAAAATACATATAAAACTTAAATCTAGGCATTGATTAATAGATATTTCCTTTTTTTTCCGGAAAAAAACACCTATTTTTTGATAAAATAAGAAATCTATGAGTAACGAACAAAGTAATAAGCCTGTAAAGAAACCTATCTCATATTCGAACCTTATTATCGGTTCTATTCTTAATTTATTTGAGGTTTCTACGCTTGGACAACCTTTTGAAGGTTTTAGTTGTTTTTTTTTTACATTTTTTATGTTATTTATGTATATATAGTGATTAAGGTAAAATATATTGTTCTATAATATGAAACAGAACATATAGAGATGTGTTTTTAATGAAATATATAGACACATATGGCAGCAAATAGAAAAGATTCTATTATAACAAGTTTTAAAAAAATATGGGGGAGAGGACATATATTAGGATTTTACCAAGGGTTAATTCCATGGGTGATAAATCTATTGATAACTATACATAATTCTTATACGTTTTTTTAAGGCATATATTGAGGCATCAACTAAAGGAGCAGTATTATTATTTACAGCATCAGAAGTAGAATATCATATACAGATGTTAGGAGCAGATTCCTTTGTAGCAGGTATAATAGGTGGAATGTGCGGAGGAATGGCACAGGCATATATTACGGTGCATATTTTATGGGATTTTTTGTATATTTTTTAACAAGAAATAGGTTGGGTTTTGTACATTTATGAAGACAGTAGAGTATGTATTAATAAAATTATATAGGTTTTTCCTAATAATCAGAATAACACGCAATAAATATGTTAAAGAAGGTATTAAAATGCCAAGTACATATAAAATATTTATAGATAAATACCGTAAAGAAGGTATTCGTGGTATTAATAGAGGAGCCAATGCAGGTTATAAAAAATACATATATTAATACATAATCTTATTGTAAAAGTTGCACTTCGACAAATGACAAACTGGGGAAGTCGTATTGGATTTACTCGTCTTATTGAATCCAAATTTAAAATGATCAAAAATAAAGATGAATCAGAACAACTTTCTCTCATAGAAAAAGTTATATGTAGTTCCATTGCAGGGGGTTTATCATGTTGGAATCAACCTATTGAAGTACTTTTCTCAAAAAAAAAGTGATTTATTTTGATCAAATTTAGGTTATACGTATAGAAATGCAATCAGCAAAGAAAGATCCTAACCGTCCTCTAAAATTAAACGTAACATCTACGTTTAAGTATATTTATAAAGAAAATGGAATCAAAGGATTATATAGGTATAATTGTTTGTTTATCATTATTTTTCATGCTAATTTTTTAAAGAGGAGTTTCTCCAAGAATCTGCCTAGGCGTTTGGCAAACAATTTCTATGGTTGCACTTGGAGATATTGTGAATATTATATTGAGTAATTTATTATGCTTTTTACTAACAATTTATTAGGCTAAACAATATATGAAGAAATTTACAAATCAAGTACCAGTTAATATTCATTAAAAGTTATCTATTTAATAACATGCAACACATATATATAATTTCTATAGTTTGATTTATCAGATTCAGAAAATTGTATTATTTTATCACAATTATCATAATATTCTATTTAAATTTTATTATCAGAAATACCAAAACTTTTTTAATCCAAAAAAATTTAAAATGATTCTAAAAGTGTTATACAATAAGATACTTATTGACAAGACTTACCTTTTTAATATAAAAAAAACAAGAAAATGAAAAAACTTAGTTTCAGAAAATAATGACTAATCAAAAACAAAAATAAATAATTAGTTAAAAATAGTATAATGTTCAAAAATAATATAAATCTAGACTTTATAAAAAAATAGTATAATATAGAAATGAGTATAATATCGAATTATTCTTCAACTTAATAAAACCCCAAGACTATTGCTTCATTAATTATAGAATAAAGTCGAAAACAAATAAGATATTAAGAAAGAACTGATTGCATGTAATGTAAAGTATAAAAATAGAAAACATTAGTAGAATATTCTCAAATACTTTTTATAATGTATATGGATGATTAACATTTAAATATAACCTTTTAAGTAAACAATGAACCATTTACCGTTGCCTCTAAGTGCTTCTCAGCAAACTCTACAATTTGAGCTTCTCTTTCGGATTTATATGCCAATTTCTGCCATTCATGCATTGATAAGCGTTTTTCTTTAAAAATTGCATTAGATTTTTCATTTAAACTTTCCAATTCCTCATTTAACCTCTTAAACTAAAGCGTATCAATAAAGAATAACCTCTCTGATCATAATTACTTCTTTTTCTTGTTCATAAATAGGCGATATAAATGTTCGAGTTGCCATCTCCCATGCAGACATATTTAAGAGATTTCTATGTGATGATGATGATGATGATGACGGCGGATAAGTATTTCCAGATGAGTATTGACGTGAAAAACCACCAGAATAACCCTGAAAACCTGAAGAAGCTTGATTATACGTTGACATATTCCCAGATGCCGTTGATGAATGTCTATAAGATGAATTGTTACCTTTATACGAACTTGAAAAACCATAAGAATTTGATTCTCTGAATCCTTTGAACGACGAACTAGAAGATACAGGATGACGTGAATCTGGTGAATTTCGTAATTTTGATGACTCAGAATAAGGCGACGGTGACCTTAAACGAAAACGTGGAGATCTATCAGATCCAGAAACACCATAATCATGTCTCGACGATGAAAAACTCTCCAAACTAGATGTATTATGGGTTTTAAAAATTCCCCTCTCGTATTCCTTAGATTTATCCCGATATTCATCATATTCTTTCTTATAATTAGAATATTTAGAAGCATCACCATATTTCAATGATCTCAACGAACTATTATATGTATTATAACTTTGATCATATACATTTTTATTCTGATCATCATTATAGTCTATCCGATCATTCTTCCTAGAATATCGGCCTTTTGATAAACCTTCCGTATCATAAAAATCTTCATTTCTAAACATGTTGTAACATAGTTTCTAGTAGAAACAAGGTAATTTACCTGTATTTTTCTCCCATTTTTTAAAAACATAATACCCAGAAATTTAGTGAAGCTAGTAAACGGCGATTGTCAGTAGGACGATAGTAACTATGACAACGATCACCACGACAACCACTACTATGACAACCGTTACTACGACGACGACTACTATGACAACCGTTACCATGACAACGATCACCGTATCAACAATCCCTATGACAACCTAATCCCTCTTACTATTCCTCACTTTAGACGCGTCATTTTTGCTTATTTCAATGTTTCTTCCACTAAAACTCTTCCTTTTTATTAGACAAACAGAATATTCTTATAAGACTTACTTTTCTCTTTAAAAAACATTCTTCCTTTCAACCTCCTCACTTTAAGACCTTTCTAAACATCAACTCATGCTTCGACAAATCTATTCCATACAACCCTTATATATGCGTCTTTTTATTTATATATGCATATATCAGGCTTATTTCCGACGCGTACGTGAGACGCGGTAAAAAATCGAAATCTCGCGTATCAGCCGCTTATATAAGCAAAAATCAAGAAACAAGCGGAAAACCCGCGCATATATAAAGAAAAATAGTAGAAATCGAGGGAAAATATGAATCCAGAGGAAGAACGCGTTAAAATGGCACTTTTTCACTGGGTATTGAGATAAATTAGGGGATTTGGAGAAGGCTAACCGTCTATTTATTGGCAGATTAATACCTTTGATATAGACAGAACAGATCATGAGATCCGTTGCTTTGAAGAATTATCAGATGGAATTATTATTTATAAGATTCTGCTAGAGATTGACCCATCTTTTTTCCACAATACAATTGAAGCTATACCGGTGGATAACGGGATAGCTAACAGGGCATATCGGCTGAATAATGGTAATATGGATGTTATTATGAAGAGAAAGTATTTTCTAAAGAAGGAAGTAAAGAGAATCTATAAATATTTGGAGAAATATTATGAGGAAAAGCGGGGGCAAAGTTTTGCAGAAGTAGATAAAGATATTCCGAATGTGGAGGCGATTGCAAAGAATTCATCAGAGAGGGAGATGGTTAAACTGCTTAAAATTGTGTTAAGATGTTCTTTTTTCCAAGAGAATTGGGAAAAATCAGTAAAAAGAATGAAAAATTTAGATTCTGAGATACAAGAAGTGCTAGAGCAGATAAACCATGAGGTAAATAGGATTTTGAGGGAGTTTTGAGAGAATTGAAAGGTTCAGGGTGTAAAATTCGAAGGGAAGAATGATTTAAATGAAAAAACGTATTAAAACCAGTATTTGTATGTTAATATTTACTTACGTTAAACAAGAAAGAAGAAAATGTCAAATTTTGATGAAGAAATTGCTATTATTAGCAAAGAAAAGGATATTTTGAGAAAAAACTATGAACTTATTCTGGAGGAAAATGTTATACTTAGAGAAGATCAGGTTTATTATGAATTATGTATTTTTTCTTCCTTAATATTATAGAAAATAATGAAATCCAAACTTAATTCTATGATTGAAAAATTGGATAAAGCGGAGAATCTAAATACGGATTATGAATCTCAAATAAATCATCTTCAAACACAGGTTAACGAATTCGAATGTGAATTGTGAGTAAACATATATTCATTTACATTATATTAAGGTATCTAGACATCAGTATAAAGATAATTCTATACAAAAAGATATGGAAATTCAACGTCAAAATGAAATAATAATTTTTTTGACGCACGAGGTATATTTTTGTTTCATATAAAGCGTGTTATATAATTTTTTGTTAGAAAGAGGAATTTAAGAAAAAAATGGATGAGTATGTATTATTAAGAGAGGAATTACAAAAAGAAAAACAAAACTTGGAAAAAGAGAGGAACTTAATAAATATATATAAACAAAAACTCGAAAAGGATTTAAATATTTTAAACCAAGAAGAAATATTAAACTTTAAAAATATATCATATAGGTATTAAAATATAGGCTAAAAAGTAATAAGAATTTTAAGCTAATAATTAAATAGAAAAAACAATAAAATGCATGTATCCATTCATAATGAAAATGTCGTAAAAGATGATATACTTGAATCAGAATTTCAAGAAACTCCTTGTAATAAACTTGCTAACAAAACTTCAGAATTGAATGTTAAATGTTTTAAAAATGATTCAGAAACAAAAGAAAATAAAATACAACCATTCTATGAAAAAATCAATATATTACAACAGTCAAAAGAAGATTTTCATAATTCATTATCTAAATCGTCTAAGGATTTGGATAATGAATTAAAACATCAATCAAATGCGTATCCCAATTCACAAATATCTCAATTTCAACAAGAATCCGACATGCCAAATAAAAAAACATCAGAAAGGAGTATTGTAGTCATAAAAAATCTTATAAATAATTTTAAAAAAAGCAAAGATAAAACAGAAGACAAACATTTTGAAAAGAACGAAAAGAAAAATGAATTAGATCATCAAATTCATAATAATAATAATAATAATAATAATAATAGTGAATTTTTGAAGTATATATTAATAATGAATTATTGTAATATTTAACTAGAATTTAGAGATTCAAAATTGAATTCTTCATTCATATCATCTAAAATAGATGCAATTCCTGAAACTCAAATACAAGAATTAGAAAATTTAAATATTTTGAACAACAATCGTGTTATGAAGTTTCAAAGTAAGTATACATTAATTTTGGTTTATATTAACTTTATTTTAATAGTGGATAAAGAAAATATTTGCGATTTAATCCTTGCAGATGAATCAAGTGAATCTAAGGAATTACAAGTTGAATTAAATAAATTAAAAAAAAGTATTAAAGATTTAGAAGATGAAAATAAGTATCAAATAAATATAATTAATGAATTACACAAAGAAAAAGATACACTAATGCATGAATTAATCATTAATAAAGACCTTTTATCAAATCTACAACAGGAAAACAAGTAACTTGATCTTTTAAATCTTTTATTATTTTACTGATTTTTAAAAGTAAATTAAACTCCACCATTACATCTATTTCAGAAACAATAGACCAAGAAAGAAAAAAACAACTAGAAGCTCAAGAAAAAATTGAAGAACTTCAGAATGAGCTTGATCAAAGTGTAACAGGCGCTCTAAAGGCAAAACAGGTAACTTAATTACTTTGATATTAATTGATTAATTATAAAAGCTTTTGAAAAAACAAGATGCTATCATAAAAGAATGTAAAGAAAAAATGGTAATAAATATTTCTATTACTATTAACAAATATTTTAAATAATATTAGGCTTTATGTAAAAGTACAGATGAATTATATGATGAACTTGCGTTTAAAGATAAGCAAATCGAGGAGCTTAAGGTTAATTTATATTATAAATTTATCGTTTTGCTAACAAAAAAAGAAAATAAATAATGAAGAGACTGCAAAATTAAAAGAAGAAAATGCACGTATGATCAATGCCTGGTATAATTTAGCATCGCATATGCAACAAAAAAATCCAACTGTACAACATACTTTTATACAATCGCCAAGTTCCTTTGATTAACAAATGTATAATTTAATACAAAAATGTAGATAATTATTTGATCTTAATTTTAACCATCTAATCAAACACTAGAATTACCTACAATATAACTCACTTGTAGTGTAGTAGATAAATGTTATAAATGAAAACATCTAGTGTACAATTTAAATTTAATAAGTCACATCATAATTATATATCAACTATTTTCTACTAATATTATAATCATACCCATTCAACTGGGTTTTTAAGGACTTCTGTGAAATGTTTTTCGCGAGGGTCTTTCAAATCATACTGATATATCCAAGATGATGTTAAAGGCAGCGACGCAAGTATTCTTTTCTATTAGATTTTTGAAATATAAATGAAGAAAACTTACGATTCAATACGAGATTCCGGGACATATAATCCAAATGCGGTGCCTCTATCGTACAACAAATTAAATTCAACATATCTCCCACATCTTATCTGCTGAAACAGTTTTTCATCAGATGTGAAATTCATATCCTTTCAAAAAAATTAATCAAAAAAAAGAAATAAAAACATACTACCTTTCTTCGTAAAACAATTGGAATATAAGAAGACAAAAAGGCATTAAGACAATCTTTAACAAAAGAAAAAATCTCTTCTGGATCTTTATCATTTAGATCATCAAAAAAAATACCACCTATTCCTCTGCATTCTTTACGGTGCTTAATAAAGAAATATCTATCACACCATTTTTTAAATTTGGGATAATATTCCTTATCATAATGATCACAAATTGTTTTATAAGTACGATGAAAATAAACTGCATCTTCTTCAAAAAGATAGGAAGGCGAAAGATCTGATCCACCTCCAAACCACCAAACTTTTGAAGAATCATTCAAATCATCAGCTTCAATATAACGATAATTCATATGAACACTTGGTACCATTGGATTACGGGGATGTAAAATTAATGATATTCCACATATAGAAAATATGTTTACATTTTCTACTTTTCTGAAACATTCATGGTTCTCTCGTATTTTCTCTATAGCACATGGAGGCAATCTTTTCCGCACTTTTGATATATTAACACATGCTTTTTCAAATACATCACCATTTTGAAGAACGCAGCTTTTTCCAACGATTCCTTCTTTTTCCCAAACATCACATGAAAACTTTTTGCTTTCGAATGTCTCCAAAACTTTAACAATTTCAACTTGTTTTACACTAGAAAACTCATGCATACGGGAGAAAATGGATTCATCACTAGTATCTGACTCATCAACCTTAAAATAAATATTAACCTAATATTTTTAGCTTATCAACGTACGGCTACATCTTGTTCTGTGCAACTTTGGCATTGAATAGCAAGTTTATTCTGGATCTATATTAATACGATTTAAAAGTACAATTACTGATTTTCACATTTTGATTCATGTATGTAAACACACCACTTACTAATATCCAGGTAAATCCTAATCCCCATACAGAACAGTTTTTTTTAAAATAACATTTTCCCGAGTATCTTTGATATTTAGATGATGGAAATAATTTCAAAGAACAATTAGATAAAGAAGATATCCTTCTAACAGAGGAAAATGAACATTCTTTCAAATATAAAGGAATTAAAACCGGTTGTTGTAGAAACCAACATCGTAAACGTATTGATAAATGTTCCAAGCTCATAATTTAGACGATTCAAGCAAATTACAACTTATTCAGTAAATATTCTCAAAATAAATTTATGAGAAAAAAAAAAAGAATAAAATAAAATAAAATAAATTATTAACTTTTACATAGGAAAAATACTCTTTATAAATATATTTATATAGAAATATATAAATATAGAAATATGTTTTAGTATTTAAAAATATTATATTTTCAATACTAAAACATATTTCATTAATTCATACTTATCATTATAGATATGGATTTAACACCGACCCTCATAACTAACAAAACCAAATATAGACTTTTCTCTTTAATAATTCTATTAATGAATTTCCAGGAGGATGTGGATGATTTCGTTCATATAAAAAATAACTTAAACAACCTATACTTAAAGCAAAAATAGGATCACCCCATCTATAAATAAATAAATTAAAGAAAAAAACAAGAAATCCAAATACTTTGAAATAAAATAAATCTTCCTGAAAATAATAGCCATCTTGAAGCTCGACAACGAAAAAAAAAGTTTAACTCGTTTTAAGCCAATTTAAGCCATTTTTTAACTTTTCATTTTTTAAAAGAATATGATTCTATTCATACTATTTTACCTTAATATATGTCATTTATCTTATTTTCATCCAGTAAATCTCAATTATTTGTTGTTACATAAACTCCCTCAAATTTCTTCATTTTTTCCTGGATTTTGAGACAATTTTCGCTAAAAAAACATTTAACAAGATGTAAAATAAGAATATCCAAAGGAACAAACACTTAGATTTAGGCGGAGGCCCTTTTCCACGCCGTTTTCTTCTAAAAAGAAAAAAGTGTCATTTTAAAGGCTTTTTTCACGCAAAAAAAACGCTACTTGCCTTTCTACCCATTCTATACGCATTGCCTCGTCCGGATCAACTAAATTCATGTCCGGAAACGCACGAATAAGCACTTTTGGAGGTATATTAAGCCTTGAATAATATTGAGAAATAGTTGGTCCCGGAAATCGCCGGAAAAGCACACGAGTCCCTATTCTTAAGCCTTTAGGATTAAAAATACTGCCAAATATACGGCATGCAGTGCTTTTTAGCTGCAAAAGCCTCTTTTTAGAGGGCAAATTGGCCATATGACGTCTAAGTGAGAGGTTGCTAGGGTAGCAGATGGTTGTCAAGGAACGTCAAAAAAAAAGAAGTTGAGAATAAGGGAGAAATAATGGAGAAAACCGGAGAAAAAAGGGTTTATGAGTGAGAAGAAGGTCCTTATAGATAGGTTTCCCGGTCGAACGGCTCAAATTGAGCAATTGGCGGTGTTTTTAGAAGAAGTTATAAAAATCAGGAAATAAGTCTGTTATTTAAGGGAAATTAGAAGAAAATATCTCAAATACCATCTCTTATTATCCACGGACATCGGTTTACGGGAAAAAGTAGCGTTTTAAGGGGGGTTTTAGAGTGTTTTAAGGCGGATTTTGTGTGGATTGATTGTCAAGATTGTTTTTCCCAGAGAATCCTTTTAGAGAGGACTATTTATGAATTAAGAGAGATTATAGGGAAGAATAAGGAGTATGAATTGCTTAGATTGGAAGATTTTGGTGGATTTACGGTTTCTATTCAGAATTTATTTTTGAAGACAAAATGGAAGTCTAATGTGATTATGGTAGGGAAAACATTGATAATTTTTAGTGAAACAATCATTTATTGTTATATTTAATTGATATAAAGTGTTTTTTTTTAAAATCTTACATTTTATTATTTATAGGTTTTTGATCATGTGGAACAATTGCACCAATTTAAAGTAACCATTCCAACAATTGTGTTATTAAGATTAGCAGAATTGGTTTATATTAATTGGGAGAAAAGGTTATATATACTTATTATTTTTTAGTCATTTGTTCCTTATTTAACTACGGTTTTGATAACAACATCATTAGATACATTATCATGGGGCTCTTATCATGTTCCTACAATCTATTTCCCACCGTATTCTAAATCAGAATTTATTGAGATTATGTCTCTTCATAAGGATTCAATTGTCTTGTTATCTAATACACTGAATTTTGGAAATGAAATAACAAGTGCAGATGGTATAAATCTTTGGCAAAAATTCTGTAGAATTATATGGGATACATTTGGATCAGTTATAGAGGGAGATTTTGATCTTTTTTTTTCAATATCAAAAAAACTTTGGCCTATATTTATAGAACCTATAAAAGAAGGCAAGGCTACTAATAAAGATATTATTAAACTCTACAAGTTTAGCCAACAAGCAGCTGAATTGTCTTCTTCCAAGGCAATTCTTGAAGAATTATCAAAGCTTACTTATCATAAAGGATTCATACATGATTTTGAAAGTCAAAGTATGCTTTTTAAAGAGAGAATTTGTTAAAACAAATAAATAGGTGTTACTGATCTTTCATGGGCATCAAAATATCTTATAATAGCTTCTTATTTAGCTTCATATAATCCTCCTAAGTATGACTTTGCTCTCTTTTCAAGATTTAAAGATCATACAAAGAAAAGAAAACGAATAAAAAAACCAACATCCACAGTAAAATACAATTATACAGAAAAATATATTATTTAACATTTGTAGATGATTAGTCAAAGGCTTATAGGACCTAAATCGTTTGTATTAGAAAGAATGCTAACAATATTTCTAGCAATTCAATCCAATGAAGATATACTAACTTTTGATATTTATACACAGGTATGATTATTCATGCAGAATATACAGTTGACATATGTTTAAGATCGAAAATCTAGCTACTCTAAAAATGATTATCAGAACATCATTAACATCTGATAAATTAGACAGTGCAAGTCGCTGGAAAGTGAATGTTAGCTGGAATTTTGTCCAAAAAATTGCAAAAAGTGTAGGGTTCGAACTGGAAGACTACCTAATAGAATGAAATATCTTATCTATTTAATAATATGGCGAAGCTAAATCAATAATATTAATTAGAACACCACCATTCTAAATAACTATCATCAGCAAGACATAATTCCTCGAACGAACTAGAAGATATTTCATAAAACTTAAATGCACGACATGCTTTATTGGATTTAACCATAATTTTCCGTAATAACCTTCCATCTAATGTAGACCAAAAATAGATTTGATCTTGTCCCGCTTAAAATTATCAGTAAAAATATAAATATATTTTATTCTAACATGCAGCAACAATTCTCTTGTTTCGACTAATATCAAAACCCAATCCGAAAGAACATTCATTGATATAACCATTAAAGAATAATAAAGGACAAGAAAACATATCTTTTTCAGAATGAATCATTCTTATATCATACATATTCAACTATAAATATTAAAAAAAAAAAAAAGAAAAAGCATATTTGATTCATACATAGTTTTCTAGTCCAGCAACGACAAGATGATAATCACTGGTTAGACCAAAATTCGTAATACTAGATTTATGTTTGATCAAAGGATTGGTATAACATGATTTGGTTGATTCTGAACATCGAGTATCAAGTAAATCTACCCATCCATTACGATATCCAGTTAAAAAGGTGTTTGTATTTAAAAATTCAATAGCAAAAACATCACTTTTAAGATCATATGAATAAGGTATATATTTAGCACTATCGATTCCTTTAATTACCATAGCCATTTTAGACCCGCCTAATACAATAAACTTAATTCATTTCCCCACTTTTAATTTCAAACCAACTGCTGCTATTTCACCTGATGGTGCAATAGCAGATGTCCATAAAGTATTTTTACCTTTAGGAGTTATTGCAACATTGATATCTTCGACCTTTAAAACAAAGACTTATCTTCATATTACATACCATAATCTAATAAATTGTCCTCTGTATTATTTCTTATAGTTCCTATCTGAAAATGCCCTGGCTTTCTTTCATTACCTACAAATGTACAGCTTTTAAATAATTAGTAACCATATAAAACATTATATAAAGATATTATTACATAAATATACCATTAGAAGCCACATTTAAGGATGTTAATCCAGAAGTTGATTGAGAAATATTCAGTTGAAGAAATTCACAATGTTTTGTAATAGAAGCAACTTTAACTGCCCTAAAAATTATAAAAAGAACAAAAAAAAACAAAGAAAACAACCCCAAAAGTCCATCTGACGTTCCATAAAGAATATTATTCATATCAGGGCTAAAATTTAAACAAGTAATCGAACTACCACTTTGAAGACTTATTTCTTTTCTATCAAAGAAAAAAAGCCGCTCTATCCAAAGCATATCATACGAATACATAAGAGAAGACTCAAACAATTCTGCGCGAAGCTTTCCAACCTCTCTATTAAGGTTTCTTTGAAAAAAACATGTCTTCATTTTTTTAGCCGTTTGAGCAAATATTCTTTGTTTTTTCTGATTCAAATGAATAATATACAATAAAACATATAGGACAATACTGATTCAATAGATTTCTTCTCATTTTTGCGGATATTTCCCAAGGAATATGGATATGAAGCACCAACAACATGATCTTCAAAAATCTTGAAATATCTTCGTTTTTTTTCGTCTAAAAAAGAATTACAAGCTTCCTAAGATAATATATATATATATTCCATAATAAAATCCAGGAATAACAGTATATTTTTTGCCCATTTGCAGTACCAGCCTCAGACTCCAAAATCTCCAGTTAATCTCGAGCGATAAGATAAAATATTTCTATTAAAAAAAGATAAAAAACGCTGTTAAAAACTCTTTATAAAACGCATTGCTTAAAGTTATTGTTATAGCAAATTATAAAGAGAAGAGTTATTCATTGAAAAATTGTCGAAGTTCAGCAGAAAAATATAAGATAGAGAGAACGATCCGTAAGTAAGGAACCTTAGGAGTAATGTGACGTAAGCGTTCATACAAGTTATCCATTCTATTTTCAATTAAAAGAAGTATTTGCAAAGTAATTCCAGTGAAATAATGACTCTAAAAAAAATCGTAAAAAAATACAAAAAAAAGCAAATATAATACCTCCATATTCATTAAGAGTTTAAAACAAGTCTCTAACCATTGCAATTTCTTCTCTATTAACGGATCATCAATATCTTGTATTATTTCTGATAATGTGTTTGCTACGGAAAACAATATGACATAACTAGCATTATCTAAAACAACCTTAGGATCCAAAGAAACAAACATATCAAATGTTTCAGATTTGTATGGAGATTGAACCCACTAAAAACAAGTTAAAAAGGGTAAAAAAGTAAAAGAAAATACAATTGCTAAAACATCATTATAATGAGATTTAGCTAGTAAATCCCTAAAAGGAGCTCTAACTTCATCTATAGATTGATAAAAATCACCTAAGTGAAATTATTATATGTATATTTTTAAATAATTTATTTACCCATAAATTTTGATGAGCAATTTTGAGCGTTCATATCTAATTTATCTGTATCAATTTTAGATAATAAACTAGAAAGTTGTTTTTCTAATGATAAAACATTCTTCAATAACATATCGATACTGGAGTGTTGCTTTTTTCTTTCATCAGAAATCTGTTTTAGCAAAAAATCCAATCTCTCATCATATTTAGATTCCATTTGAGATATTTTTTGAAAAACATTTTGTAATTGAGAAATATTTCCTTTTACATAAAAATCCATCTCTGAATTTAATGCCTTTACATATATCTTTTCAAGACTTTCTGATATATCTTGGACTAAACTTGTTTTATCCATAAACTTCGAACAAACGCTATGAATCTCTGTAGTTAATTCTTGACTTAATTTTTTAATACACGGAGTTAACTGTGTCAATTGTTTATCAGTAGTATTTGAAGCAAATTTACTAATAGCAGGTAAAATATTGTTTTTCACAGATAAAGAGACATTTTTTTCTATTGATTCCTTGATATTATTATTAAAATTCTCAGAAACCTAAATTCAATTAAAACAAAGGAAAATGAAATTATTAATTTACACGAAATAGCAGTTTTTCTTGGTTAGCTCTAATTTCGTCATTTTGTGCAATCAATTCTTGAATTTTTTTATCTAATATCATAAGAACATATCTCAAAATCTACAAAACCTTACTTTGTTTATTAAATTCAACGAAAAGAATTTTAATAAACTTCCTTAAATCTGTATAATCGGATACATTACAAGAATTGTCATCAATATTTAATGTGTTAAACGAAGAATTTATATCAACAGACTCTATAACATCAACATCTGTTTTATTATTAGAAGAAACTTCATCATTCTTTGTTTTTTTCTTTCTAATAGTTTTAACAAATTCCTGTTTTGAATCATAAGATCCATCATGGAATTTAACGTCCGAGACAACTTTCTGTTCAACTGAAAATTCGTTATTCTTATTTGTAGATTTTACAGTCGTATTAGTATTTTCAGCTATAAGAACACTCTGAGCAGTATACGTATATATATTTGATTCCTTTAAATCATCTACCACTACTTCTTGTTTCGATACAGGAAAATGTAAAATGGTATAACCTTTGTCATGTGCTGCAAATAAATCCAAAGCTGAATCATTTAAGGACACAAGATTGAAATTATAAAGAGTCTTTTTCGTAATAAAACTAACTACGTAAAAACTGTCAAAAAGTGACCAATTTTTAGACGAGATATCAGTATTAGTATTCTTAGAAGCTAAACTTTGAAAATAAGAATCCTGTGACATAGGTACTTCTACATCTTTATTATTATAGTGAAATCGGTACAAAAACCCAGAATGATCATTGACAATCAAATTTTGAGAGCTATTATCGTATATAGCAATAGAAGATATTTCAGAACTACTGTTTTCACTATTTCCTGTTAAAATAAGTTCCTGAGAGATTAAACCAGAATCTAAATCCAAAAGATACAATTTTCTATTACATCTTAAGCCAAATATAAGACATTTAGAAGGAGCATTAGGCTGTTTCGGGCCTATAAATGAAACCCAAAACAAAGGTTCATTGGAAACAGCATACGAAAGTATAGGAGTTGATAAGACAAACTTAATACTATTTTCTATGTGTTCATAAATAGACCAAAACTCAGCTGTTCCATCTTCATGAATTGTAACAAGAACCTTCCCATCAGGAGAAAATGCAAAATCTTCAATAAATTTTTCAGCAACAACAAAACCAATATTAGCATTTGATATAGAAATTTCAGATCTTTGGACTTCTTCAAATCGATCAGTAGAAAACCTAAAAAAATATATACGATTCAAAAGTTTAATTGCAACAATATTCATTATTGGGCAAAATTTAGCTTTTATTTCTGTATTTGATAAAGAATGCTCCCCATTAAACCGAAAAATCATTTTTACACTTAAACAATATTAGAATGAAGAAAAAAAGACAGACAAATTTATACGATTTTGAAGGATTAGTAAAGGATGTTTTCAAAATATGCCATACAATCACACCTCCTTTTGAATTCGTTGTCATAAGATATGTAACATTTTCTGGATTTACGGTATATTTAGAAAATAATACATCATGCACTTTCGATCCTGGTTGACCCGATAATAAAACATGAGAACCATCTTCTTGATTCATAAGTCGTAGATTCCCATCTAACAAACATAAATATTAATAAATAAAACATAAAAAAAAAATTCTTACCTTTAGGTATAGCATAGGCTAAATAATTTTTATCCGCATCAATCGTATGATTATTCAATGAATCAAATGATACGGATAATCGTGCTATTTCCGTCAACTCCGCTTTATCATAATATCCCAGGTTTTTGGCCTGCGGTATCAATATCCTTTTAAAAGGTGACTTTGGAAGAAGAAATTTACGAATACTTTGACTCTTTCCCTGCTCTATTTCCTTCTTTAAACCCAATTTCTGCGACGAAAAATGTTCCATCACACTTGGTATATTTTTTAACGACGATACTCCTTCTTCCTCCATCTTAGATCCTCCTGAATCATTCACTCTTGGTGGTGCTTTAAGTATCTTTTTTGGTTTCATATCTGAAAGCCTAGGATTCGTAACGGATAATTGATCAAATATATTAGTCGCCGAAAACATAGTTTTTTGCGTCTTTTCATCCGTTATCGTCGTCTCACTTAGATTCGTTCCTTTCGTCGTCACTCCTACCATCTCTGTCCCCCCTCCACCTGATACTGCTGATACTACCGATACTGCACTAGACACCGTTGCCTCGGTAACCGCACTCACATTACGGGAATTCACTCCTAATCCTTCTTGAACTCCAACTGATGAATCACCAAGAAGTATAGATAATAATCCACTTTGCGTCGTCGTCGTTGATACATCTGGAGACCCTCTTGCCCCCATTTGTACTCCTGATATCATCGGTCTATCCCCAACCGATGATCCTCCCTTATTCACATTTGTCCTTTCAGAAATAGTTCCTTCTCTTCTAACCGATTCTTTTAATACTCCATTATTCTTAGATTCTATCAAATTCGATAGATATTCCGATTGTAAATTCGTTTTAACTCCTCCTCCCCCGACTCCCCCTCCTACATTTACTAATCCTTTATCAACCCCTTTATCATGTCCTTCTCTCGATTTTCCCATTAATATAGATAGCAAATTACTTTGAATATCATTCATTCCCTTACAACTACTAACTCCTTCTTCTTCATTTATTCGCTCTTTAGACTCAGAATTAGGCCTTAAAAGATCCAACAAAGAACGACTCGCATCCATTAACAATATTCCTGTCCTTTATATATCCGAATTCCCTAAAATCCTCTCTCAAAATCCCTTCTTTGCCTTTTCTACCTCGTCACCTCTTTTTCTGACGTCCATCAACGGACCTAAAATGGAGCAGTCGCTGAACCCTTGCATCACGTGACTCTAACATAACAGAGGGGTTAGGGATCTAATAGATAAGGATTGGAGGGTTAAACCCGAGGTATTTTGAGGGGAAACAGGGCTAACAAAGGTAAAGATGTATTGTTTATGCCATTTCTTGCCGTTTCTGTTTATTCCAACGGGAGGATCGGCATATTTCCATGTTATTTTTGTAGTATCGCTTTTGTTGTTTCATCGGCCATGGTAAGGAAGAGGGTTAGGGGAGGGAGTATCTAAGGGAAATAGTATTTATTGTTCATTTATTCTTATTACATTATTTGGTATGATGTGTTATTGGAGGGAAGAGTGTTATTTTGATTTTAATGGGGGGAGAATTTTTGAACCGAGAGTTTTTGGAGGGATAGGAGGAAATGAAGGGGGAAGATGGAGAGAATGGCGTCAGCCATTAGTTAAAGTGACGATTCGTTTTTAATATGATTATATTATGTATATATATATAAGCTAGTTTGGAACCAGGGAAGCCAGTTTAGTTAACCCTGACCAAGTCCTAGCCCTTAATAGGATGGGAGTAGGGGGAGTAGGGGGAGTTAGGGTTAGGTGAAGCGATTACCTAGGGTTGTAAAATAGGGTTAGTACGTCAGGGTTAGTACGCCGGGGTTAGTACACCAGGGCTAGGGTTTAAACGACACTGTAGCGTCAGGGTTAGGGTCAGGGTTAAACTTTACTTGTTAGAGTCAAAGGGTTAGGGTAGTTTAAAGGTGAAGCTAAAGGTGAAGCTCTAGGGTTAGGGTTGACGCACGGGCAGGGTTAGAAGTAGGGTTAGAAGTAGGGTTAAATCAGAGGGTTAGGGTTATCTTTTAAAGGTATAAATAGTATAGTTATGAAAAGCGTAAAACATAGTTTGAAGGTTGGTTCTCAGGGTTAGGGTTGCACGTTAGGGTTAGGACAGCAGGAGTAGGGAAAGGGCCAGGGTTAGGGTTCACCTTTTTATATATTATAAATCTATGGGTTTCATTGAAAGAAAAATATATCAGAATTAAAGAATATTAATAAAACAATTTTAAAACTAAAAATGAATCAACAACATTGAAATTGAATTATTAAATTCAAGGAATCTTCTTCTTTTTTTTACAGAAAAAAACATCTACAACAACATTTATTTACATGAAAAAGGGTTCAATGGTTGATTACATACATTTTCTATACAATCATTACGATTTAATTAATAATTTCATCAAAAGATACTTTTCAAGATATTTAAAAAACTAAAAAAGTTAAAAAAAACTATTATAAAGAAAAAAAAACAATCAATCATATTAATTATGAGATATATTAAAGCTTTTCATACAAGATAACTTCATAAATATTGATTTACTTATAAATTAACAATATCAAATCAAAAAAATTATAAAAAAAAAAACATAAAAAAATATAAAAACTCTTAGATAATATCTTATAAAGAATAACATAAATATTGTAGTTTATCTCTAAGACAATTAGTATAATATATTTTCTAACGTTAGATGTACGAGACAACGTTTTACAGACAAAAATTTAATAAATCTTAAAATTAATTAGATTATTGTATTTTAGAGATTTCTTGAAACAAATAAGAAAGAGAAATAGCCATGTCTACGTATTCTACGGGTATTTTTAAAGAATCAGTTCGAAAACGAAGAGGAAATACAGATTCAGATTGTATATCAGAGAATACAGGACAAGAAGTGGTAAATAAGGAGGAAAAGAAGGGAGAATCGATATCAGAATGGCAGTGTTGTTCAGTATGTTTCTAGAATTGGGTGGTTTTTTATGTTAAAATCGAGTTTTTAGAAAGATATTATGAAATATATGAAATTCTTAATTATTCCAATTATTTTATACGCACTGGCATTATTTACAAGGCTTTATAATATCAGAGCATCAGATCGTGTAGTCTGGGATGAAGCCCAGTAAGAAAATCTTTTAAATAATGAAAAAAAAGCAATTTTAATTGATATTTTTAAGTTTTGGAAAGTTTTCATCATATTATATTAAAAGACAATTCTATTTCGACGTACAGACATGATTATATGAAGGAAATGAAGTAAATTATCTAACATGAAATTTATAGGTTCATCCACCTCTTGGAAAGACGTTACTAGGGTTATCAGCATACTTTTCAGGTCATAATGGAACATTTGAATTTCCAAGTGGAGAAAAGTACCCGGAAGTCCTTGATTATGGGTTTATGCGTTCATTCTGTGCAGTTATTGGGACACTATGTGTTCCATTAGCATATTTTACAGCAATTGAACTGAATTATTCTTTTTACGCATCACTTCTTGTAGGATTGATGGTTTTATGCGGTATATATGGATATTTTCTAGATAAATTGTGATGACTTATATTTTAAAAGATAATTCTCTTGCTACAATTAGTAGATTTATTCTTTTGGATAGTATTTTACTTTTTTTATCTTTAACGACAATGTATAGTTTATCAAAATTTCATTCATATCGCCAAAGACCATTTTCATATCGATGGTATAAGTGGCTTTTTCTAACAGGGATATCAATTGGGTGTGTTTGTAGTGTAAAATGGCTTGGTTTTCTTGTTGCACTCTTATGTGGTATATATACCATTGATGATCTTTGGGTTAAATTTGGAGATTTAAAGATGCCAAAGGTAAAAATGATGTTAATCTAAAAGCATTTTTAATCTTTAGAAAATATATTTAAAACATTGGATTGCTCGTATTGTAGCCTTAATTTTTGTTCCATTTCTTGTCTACGCACTAACTTTTTTCGTTCATTTTGGAATTCTAAATCATTCAGGCACAGGAGATTCACATATGAGCTCTCTATTTCAAGCAAATCTTATAGGATCCGATATTAATAAAAGTCCTCTTTATACAGCATATGGTTCTAGAGTAACTATCAGAAATATGGGTTATTCAGGAGGATTACTTCATTCTCATGTCCAAACTTTTCCAACTGGCTCAAATCAACAGCAAGTCACTTGTTATCATCATAGAGATGGAAATAATGATTGGATTATTCATCTTTCTCATGAATCAAAACCAATATCTAACGAAGACCCTTTGATTTTTTTGCGAAATAATGATCTTCTTCGCCTTATTCATAAACCAACTGGATGTAACCTTCATAGTCATGAAATTCCTGCACCTATTACAAAGACCCAGAATGAAGTTTCATGTTATGGCAATCTTACTCTAGGCGATGACAACGATCATTGGGTAATAGAAGTCGTCAAAGATTCAGATCCACAAGATGATCGCATTAAAACAATCAAAACAGCTTTTAGACTTCGTCACGAAGTTCTTAATTGCTATTTGAGAGCAGAAAAAGTTCATTTACCTCAATGGGGATTTAAGCAAGTTGAAGTTACATGTGATAAAACAAACAATCCTAAGGATTATTATACACACTGGAACATTGAAAACCATTGGAATGATCGATGTAAAAAAAAAAGAAAAATTATAATTCACTTATACTTTTTAGTGCCTTCAGGTAATACTAAATTCTACAAATCATCTTTTTGGCACGATTTCTTCTATATCAATGTAGCCATGATGAATACCAATAATGCACTTGTTCTCGATAAAGGAAAAAAGGATGATTTAATATCATATCCATGGGAATGGCCCATTGCACTATCAGGCATTCGAATGTGCTCTTGGGATGATAATGGTTTGTCTTGATATATGTCTATAGAGAATATATCAATTAATTACTTATTTATAGTTACAAAATTCTATCTTCTAGGAAATCCTGCAGTATATTGGATATCTTTGGCCTCAATCTTTCTCTTTTTTGGACTAATCTTGTTTTATACTATTCGTTGGAAACGACATTACATTGATTTCACTCTAGGTATGTTTTAATAGCCCATTCATTTAAGAATTTTCTAAACAGACATATAGATAAATTTGATCATATCCATTATGTTGGATTATATCCTTTATTAGGATGGATTCTTCACTATTTCCCATTTTTCATTATTAGAAGGTAATTATTATCTATTTCATAATACTATTAACCATCTATAGGGTTTTGTATGTACATCACTATTGTATGACAGTTTATTTACATATTTTTTTGTTAACTAAACTTTAGTTCCTGCTTTACTTTTTGCAATTTTAACAACCGGCTTTGTTTTTGATTATTTAACAGCATCAATACCCGCTCTTCTTCGAAAAATTATCTTTAGTATTGCTTATATCTCCATTGTTCTAACATTTATTTATTTCAAGGTTACTATTCCTTTTTTTAATTCTTTCTCTTCTATTAATCATCTTATAGGATATTACATTTGGAATGACAGGTCCTTCTACACAATGGAAATATTTACAATGGCTTCCAACATGGAAAATCACTAACTAGTTATCTCTATAGAGGTACTAATAACATGGTTGGATCATAATAGAGATATCATAAAATCAAAAATCACCCAATCATCAAAAAAAAAACATATTTATTAAGAAATTCACAAAAACTTATTTCGATCTATCACAAAAAACTCTTCAATATCTTCTACATCTCTAATCTCACTTATCAACTATAAATTAAATACACTTTTTGATCATTTTTCATACAAAAAACCTTTCAATAATATACATATTTTTTCACATAATTCAAATAAACAATAGAGTGGCTCTTTATAACTAGCAAATCAATATTTAGTTTCTTTCTGACACCTTAATATATATTTTATCTGTTTCCGACAACTTATAAGATATACAAAAATCTTTACAGCAATATGTCGCCTGATGTGCTAACTAATTGCTCCTATGCATATGATTTTCTTAGGTTCTTGTAAGTCTTAAGCAGGATCTTATTAGTTCATCAGATCAGCTAACTTTTTTATTTATTAATAGACATTCATCTCCTACACCTTATCATGTTGTAAATAATATTAAAAATACATTGATCAGTGCAGGTTTTGAGGAACTAAAAGAGAGAGATCCCTTTGAAGAACAAGTAGAACCTGGAAAGATGTATTTTATAACTCGAAATACTAGTTCTCTTATCGCCTTTAGCATTGGTATATGATTTTTGATAAACAAAAAAAAGAATAAATGTTTTAGGCAAAGAATGGAGGCCTGGAGGGCCAATTGCGCTTGCAGGAGCACATACAGATTCTCCTACATTAAGGTAGGATGGATTCATGTATTTTTTTTCAGCTTTAAAAGTATAATTTTTAGGATCAAACCTATTTCAAAGAGAATATCTGAAAAATATCTTCAAGTAGGTGTTGAAACATATGGAGGAGGTATATGGCATACATGGTTTGATCGAGATCTTGGTATGGCGGGTCGTGTGATGGTAGCAGAAGCTAATGGTCTTCTTAAACAATATCTTGTTGATATTGATGATCCAGGTAAGTTGTTTTTTTTGAAAAAAAAAATAGAAATCCGTTAATAAGTTGTAAATTCAATTCTAAATGAGCTAGTTTTACGTATTCCATCTCTTGCAATTCATCTTGATCGAGAAATGAATCAAAAACTAGAATTTGATAAGGAAGCTCAGTTATTACCTATCTTAGGAGAAAAATCGTCTAATGAAGATTCAAAAAGTGAGGAGATTCTTATTAATGAATTATCAAGACATCACAAAGATCTTCTTGCTTTAATTGCTCAAAAATTATCTATAAATAGTAGAAAAAATATATTTCTTAAATCAATATTAAATATTTTTAGTTAATCAAATTAGAGACTTTGAAATAATTTTAAGGGATACACAGCCTCCTTGTTTTGGTATAGAAAGATGTATTTTTATGTGACTTTAATTAAGTTTTACAGGCGGTGTTAATAAAGAATACATTTTTTCTGGAAAACTTGATGATCAGGTAAACATAATGACATATTAAACAATCAATATGCTAAATATTTTTCAAGGATATGTGTTTTTGCATTCTTCATGGGTTCCTTGAGAGTTTTCAATGCAAAACATTAGTAAATGCCGATACCTCTATCAAAATAATCTCCTTCTTTGATCATGAAGAAATTGGCTCTATAAGTGCTCATGGTGCTCAATCAACATTTCTTCCATTAATGTATAAATAGAGAAGTTATTTGTAACTTTTTAATGGATCATAGATTAAGAAGATTATTTAATACACCAATCGCAAAAAAATATGGAGATTTATCAAGTTTTGAGCAATCAATAGCCAGAAGCCTGCTCGTCTCTGCAGATATGTGTATATTTTATTTATATTTTTTAATTCTTTACTAAACATAATAGCTCATGCAGTACACCCAAATGTAGGTATATACAATTTTAATTTGTTTCTTAAGATTAAATAGTATGCATCAAAACATGAGTCTATGCATAAACCCAAAATAAATAAGGTACAATTACTATAGTTTAATGTATATTTAATAAATTTTTAAGGGACTTGTATTAAAAATCAATGCTAATCAGCGATATGCAACAGATGCACCAGGAATATTAATTTTACGTGAAGTTGCAAAAAAGGTCCAAGCTAATCTTCAACGTATATTTCATTTTTCATATTAATACCTTATAATTATACATAGTGTTTGTAACTTCTAATTCTATTCCTTCTGGGAGTACTATTGGTCCTGGATTAAGTGCATCTCTTGGAATAAGAACAATCGATGTAGGAAACCCACAATTATCTATGCATTCCATCCGTGAAATGGTTAATTACCTTTCTCATATCATCTTTTTATATTAATTATTTTCATAGGCAGGAACTGCTGATATTAACAATGCTATTCTTTTTTTTAAAAGCTATTTTGAGAATTATGCAAGTATACAAAAACAAATCATGGTCGATTAAAACACGATATCCTAGAAGCTACATTTAATTCATTTTCTAGCTTTTTATAGAAAACTTTTTTTAAATTTTTACATGTATAAAAGAAATCAAAGAATAACACTTTTTGGTTAAACCTTCAAACACATCGTTATATACAACATTTAAATATATCCAGCAATTTCAGAACCTAAGTGAATAAAGCGATCATCCATTTTCAAACCCCATATGATCCAAAGAATTTACAAATTTAAAACACCTAAAATCTTATTATGGAATCTTGGATGCAGCATTTTCCCGAATAGCACCTATCCACGGAGAAACCAGTGTTGATGGCGGTTGCGATTGTGATTGTGATTGTGATTGTGATTGTGCTACTTGAGAAGGTATTGAAGGATTCGACGGACGGTTCCCGTCATTCTTTTGCTCTGATCTACCTAAAGGAAGCCGCCGACTTATTAATTTCGAACTGACGCCTGCACCAATTTCAATATCTGGCTCTTCCATAACAAAACCACCTTCCAACGGTCGTCCCCCTGTTCCTCCCCAGCCAGCAGAGACACACCAACGCCGATCCGCCTCGGTTAAACGCCGTAATGGAATTAAACTTATGCCTATTGTATAATTACTACAATCCCTTGGCCCAAAACCAACACCCCATTTTGTCTATATTATATATCAATATATTCCTATCAAAATCATAGAACCTACTCTAATAATTACGTCACCGTGAATAATAGTTTCCAGGTTTGCACAAGCAGCCTCTGCATCTTTACGTTTATACATCTTAATGAATGCATGTCGAGCAGCGTAATTAACAATACAACTTTGAACATCCCCATAACAAGAAAACATACGCAACAATTCTTCTTGAGTAATACTACTAATGATGAGATTCGACATGAAATAAACTATACTAACCTTTGTGTAATACCTCCAACAAATAATGTTCTACTCAAAACTAAAAAAAGATTAGTTAAAGAAAAAAAACACATAGCAAAAAATGATTCCATCAATTTGCCATGGTTATTAAATATGACTTCATACCTTTAATTGTATCTTCAGGAACTGATGGGTCACGAATATACAATTTCGAGGGTGGAGAAGATAAAGACTCAGAAGGTATTGCACTTGGTTGCGAATGACACTTTTCAGAAGGACTTAGACTACGTTCACTACGCTTTCGAGAAGACTTTAACTTTGCAGAATCTCTTGATCGATTTAAGGTTGAAAGTTGTTCCATAGAACTTTTTCGTTTCAAAGGCGACCTTGAACGGATTGAAGTTTGAGAATCACCCGAAGACCGAGGTAATGTTGTATTAGATATTCCTGATGAAACGTTTCTCCCACCCGTTAGATATTGATAAAGTGGAATAGTAGTATGGGAACCAAGTATTGATGAATGTTGCGTTGCTGTTTGCATATCTTTTGATAATTGCTGGGAATGCTCAACGGTTTGAAGTGTTGGTTGAACATTATTAGGAGGTAGAGCTCCCGCAGAAGCATCATTCGAGGGTAACGATTGTACATATTGAATAATTGATTGGATTTGAGTCGCAGAAACACCCTGTTGCTCAAGCAGTTGAAGTAATGCTCTTTGTTGAGCCTGAACAACATCTGATGATGGTTGTAAAGATGGTATATTGCCATGTGTAGGTACTGAAAAAGGTAAACCTGAAGGATAGATATTACGAGGATCCGATAATGATAATGAGGATGCGGTAGTAGATGCAATAGGGGTACCGGATGCATTAGAAGTAGAAGAAAGAAAAGAGGTTGATGCGTTAAAATCATTAGGCATAGTAGAAGTTGCAGCCAAACCACCAGAACCACTAGATAATGTACTAGAAGATGTTCCAAAAGACACGGAATTCTCAAAACCCGTCATTGGTACTCCTCCAACATTCACTCCTGGTTGCAATGAATTCCATGTAGTATCCGCATTCTGCATCGTCTGTGTTCCCTGTATTTTTTGTGCCATTTGAAGAATTGCCTCCAGAATCAAAGACGACGAAGACGCTGACGATGTTAATTGATTCACTGAATCAGAATATTCAGAATCTTTTGATTTTTCAGGTAATTTCTCTTCAGAAACTCCAAATCTATCTACATGTTTTACTTTCTTTTTATCATTCTCCTGATTTACCGATTTTTCCAAATCTTCTTCATCTGAAAAATGAACCGATCTTAATTTTACAAGCAATTCTGATGGAAACGTCGCTGCTCTCTCCCAAATATCTACTAATTTTCGAACTTTCTTCTTATGTTCTGCCGGTGCATAAAACATCATATCATTCATTAAACTCTCCAGTAACACCGTTAGCTGCTGCAACCCTCCAGAAAACGTCCCGTCCTCTACTGTTTCATCTTCTTCCGCTAAATCTTGGTACGCACGAGCAACTGAATCTAATACATATAAAACACCCAATTTATGGCTTCCTGGCGTCTTTTTAAAATGTTTATACAAAAGCATAGCCATTCTCCCGCCATCCTATCATATAATTAAATATATTCAAGAATATATAACGTCTTTTAAGGCAAATTTCTCTATATTAAGGCCGCCTTAATATTTTAACAGAAAATAGCCAAAAATGCGTCAAATTTGATGGGAAAAAAACCAAAATACTCACCTTAACATGCTGCACCGCAATCTGCGTTAAAAGATGGATCTTAGAACCTGAAACACCCGGCGGTCGAGCCTTCCAAAGACCCTGAAGAATCGATTCAAAAGTATCCATTTTTTTGAGAGGTTGAAAACCGTAAGATCGAACGGAAGAGATATTATAGAGAAATCACAAGTGTGAGAAATAATGTAATAGAAAGATCAAGAAGAGACGCCTAAATCAAAGAAAGAATCCAATAAAGAAATATCTGTATAATAGAAGAATTAGAAGAAAAAGATCAGCATGATGTCACGTGACCGATAAAAAAGATAAGATAAGATAAGACCATCAAGAGCTTTTACTATGTTTTCTTGCAACACGAATGAGTCTATAAAGAAATAGATTAGTATATATGAAGGATAAAGAAGGGGGGGGGGTTACGGTATTAAACAATTGAGTGGCAAGACTTTGTTAAAAAAGAGATGAGAAAGTAAAGTTGAAGAAGGAGGACGATGTTCGGGGTTAACCTGAAGGGTTAAATGAAGAAAATCCCTAAATGGTTGACTAAGATTTTGAAGTTGAGTAATTTTAGGAGTTCCATTTGTAGCGATTAAATAAAGAGCCTAAATGAATGAAAAAAGGAAAAAAAAAGAAAAAAAAAGATACACGTAAAGGATTTTCATCGAGATAAGGTGGTTCGCCTTCGATCATTTCGATACACATGATACCAAGACTCCAGACATCAACATTAGGACCATATTCTTTTCTGGTGATAACTTCAGGAGCCATCCAATAAGGTGTACCAACCATTGTAGTACGTTTATTCATAGCCTCATTAACTCTAGCGCAAAACCCAAAATCAGCTATATTAAAAGGTTATATTAGCTAAATGAAAGAAGAAGAAGAAGAAAAGAATATACTTAATTTAATAAGACCATCTAAAGATAATAAAACATTATCAGACTTAATATCTCTATGAATAATGCCCTTAGAATGTAAATATATTAAACCCTTAAGTACCTAAAGAATTTTATTAGAAAAAAAAAAAAGAAAGAAAAATGTATTTTAATACTTCTTTAACGACTGTTGCGATCTGACTTTCAGTCATAATATTAGACATCAAAACATCAGTTAAACTGCCACCTTCCATATATTCCATAATAACCCATAAATCTTCTTTAAATAAAAAACTATCAATATAATTAACTATATTTTCATGTTTATTTTGTTTCATAACAAGGATTTCATTGACTATCAAATCCCTTTTTAATTGATTTCCAAGATTTATTTGTTTAATAGCAACCATCATGTTTGTCCCGACTTGATAAGCGGTATAAACACCACCAGATGCACCTTGACCAATTTTCACTAAATTCCGATACAATCTGGTGGGATCTTCAATATTACATATAAGCCTCAATCTTAATAAAGTCTGAGAGCCTGAATTTGAGGATTTCCTTAACTCAGATTGTTTTGATACATCGTTCTGTAGATCTTGAATTGATTTATCTGAATTATTATTTAAAAGAGAACCAGAGTCATATGTTGGAGAAGAAATATATGGTTTTAAAGGATGAGAGGTATTTTTCGGAAAAACCTCACGTTTTTTAGTATTAAGGTTTGGATTTGGTTTTGGTTTTTTCAAGGTTGTTATAGGTGCGCCCCAAACTTTTTTAGACGAAAGGAAAAGCTTTGAAGAAGATGGATGCAGGGGAATATCAACTTTCTTTTTTGCTTCTAATATTCGTTGTTTCGCATCTGCAGGTAATGAAGGAACATCTCGCTATTTTCATAATAAGCAGATGAACTAATAAAACAAAACCTTACAAGAACCCCACGCTTTTTGGGAAAAACCGTCATTGATGATGATAAAGAAGGTTTTTTTGGAGATTCTGTCTTAAACGGATCTAAGCCATTAATGCTGTCTACTAAATCATCATCATCATCTGCAACACTAAGAACAGGTGAGGCCATTCCATCTGCGTAAAAAGAGACAATATCCATAATCGCATGAAAATTCTCTTCTTGTTCTTTTTCCGAAATACCACATTCAGAAAGAAGCTTTTGCCATTCTTTTGGTAAACCCTATCCCAGATAAAATGAAAAACTGTAGATATATAAAACTTAACATACATTATATTTGCCAGTCTTTGCATTAAAATCGACATGTGTAAGATGAACCAGATCGTAAGGAGAGGAAATTTCGGTCTTCTTTTGTGATCCTAAAATCTCTGTTATATTACTCATAAAGTGACCAAAAACACTTTTAGAAGATTTTCCACTTCCACCTGTTGTAGGTGGACTTAAAATATGGTTCGAGTTACCATAACTCTTCGTCGGAGTAGAACTCGCCATCGTTTCCGACGTTATTGTGCATGTACGTGTGAACCCATGAGAATATGGAGGAGATCGTGTCCACGTATTCAATTGTTGAGTAGGTGGAGTAAATGGCCCCTGCGTCGATTTCCATACATCAGGTGCTGATCGAGAATGAATCGATTCAAGAGTACGGCTACTAAAATTTTCCATTTTCCTAAGAACTGATGGAGGTTTAGGTGCCGGACGATGAGGTACCAGCTCAAAAGCTGGTAGATCAAGCGCAATTTGTTCTGATATATTACTATATTTCGATCTAATCGAAGCAGAAGAAAATTTACCATCTTTGCTATTACAAGGAGAAAGAGATAATGATGATGATGATTGTAATTCCTGTATTTGTTCTTTTCCCACCATATTCATACAAAGATCTCGCTCCACAAATACCTTATAAAATATCGAAAAAAAACCCTTTTTTCACAATAAATACAACACAATTGCCACCAATACGTATAGAAATACTATATTCTCACTGTTTATAGCTGAATATCCCCGAAAAATAATAATTATAGATTATCACTTTTCTATATCTTTATCATTCAATAAAATCCCCAAAAATAGGCCGTTTTCAACGCTTCTTTCGAGATCTCCTATAAAACCCTTCCGAAATATACAAATAAGATATTTATCTTCCTCTTATTCGCCACTTTTCATGCGTAAATTCCCAACTCTAAAAAATATTTTTTTTTTGACGTTGGCTTATCGGCTCCAAAATGTGTCCTAAACCTCATAAAAAGCTGTCCCTTACTATATTCCTCGATATTTCCCCATACAATATCCGACCTCAGATCGAGATAAACTAAAATTAATATATTTGAGTAGATTTTAAAATACATAAAGATGCCACGAAAAGTGGTAGAAAAGCTTATTTCTATTAAAGATCGAAGTTCATATAGTGCAGGAAGCCTTTTGTTAGAAAACCTAGAAAAAGATCCTTTTAAAACCTTTGAAAAATGGTTTAAAGAAGCCATGAATACAGATGAAGCAAATGCCATGACGCTTTCAACAGCTAGTCTTCCATCAGGACGAGTTTCGGCAAGAATGGTTTTGTTGAAAGAAGTGGATAATCAAGGATTTGTTATTTATAGTAATCTTGAAACGTCTCGTAAATCACAAGATCTCAGATCAAATAGATGGGCAGCACTGACATTTTACTGGAGAGCTTTAGAAAAACAAGTTCGAATTGAAGGAAAAATAGAATACCTTTCATCAGAAGAATCGCAAAAATATTATGATAGTAGACCATTACATTCTAGATTAGGAGCATGGGCATCACCACAAAGTGTATATTTGAAAGATCGAAGAGAATTAGAAGAAAGATTTGAAGAAATAAAAAGAAAATTTTTGAAAGAATTGAATCATGAAAATACACGAATACCGATTCCACCATTCTGGGGAGGACTTAGAGTTGTTCCGGAATCCATAGAGTTCTGGCAAGGCCGTGAAAATAGACTTCATGATCGATTTGTATATATAAAGCAAGAAAGTGGATGGGATATACATAGATTGGCGCCATAAAATCGCACAAAAAAAGAGAATATTCCTGTAGAATTAAAACTAAAAGTTATATATAATCAAAAAAAAGTCCTAAGATGTTTATTTTTTAAAAAGAGCTTCAGCATGAGAAATATCAATTTGAGAAGAAGAATAGGTTTTCATTTCTTCAAAAATAGCTTTAGCAGATGCTATATCTTTAACTGATAAATAAGCCTGAATCATTGCTATATAATTTTTTGGTTCTTTCTTTGCGAAGCTATCTGTTTCTAGATTAAGAGAATCAAAAACTTCTCTTGCTTTTTCTATTTGACCTTCTTGCATCCAACCGCGAATAAGTATATTAGCTATATTGGAATTTAATATTATATTATTATTTTTCATCTGAAATAATAATTTAGGAATATTTTTCATTGAGCAATTAGTAACATATGCATCTATTAAGGCTTCATATAAAATATGATCAGGTATTACTGGCTTAAAATAGCGTCTAGTAATAGAATCGAAATATCGTCTAGCACTTTTTAAATCCTTAAGAATACAACCTTTTGCATATATAATTGCACCATGATGCAGAGTAGTAATAGGAACACTATTTTTCGTCATATCAGCTATTATTTCAAGCGCTTTATTAATATCTGGTGGATCAAGAATAGTCCAGCAATCAATAAGAAGTTTGTATGTATGAGATGAAGGAGCCAAAACCTGATTACAAAGCCTATCATAATATTTAAGTACCATTTGTCTATTTTTCTTATTATGCAGATAGAATTGCATCATTATGTTATATGGTGCTACTCTAGCGTAATAACGAGGAACATTTTCCATTTCTATAAATAGATCATTTGCCAATTCTTCATTTCCAACTCTACAACAAGTATTTATGAGAGTTCCATATGTAATACTATTAGGAATAGTATTATTCTTTTTCATTTCAGAGAATAATTCAAGAGATTCATGCAATTTATCTGCTTTAGAAAGTTTTGATAAAAGAGCATTATAAAAATATGCTGTAAGTTCAACGTTATACGATTTTGCTTCATAATAGATATTCATAGCATCATCAGCATCTTGACGAGGATCAGGATTTTTCAAATTTATAATATATGTAGCGAAAACAGATGCATTTGGAGAAAACCCAAGTTCTAATAGTTCTCTTTGATATTTTTTGGCTTCATCCATTTGATTAGAATATATTTGAGAAATAATCATACTATTCAGACAATATCCATGATAACACAGTCCTGTATCTCCAGTAAAATTTTTAGAAATAGATTTCCTTGCAAATTTATATAGATCATTAACTAAATCCAATCTTTTTTCCTTCCCAAGACGCTCCATTAGCCTACAATAAGCTTCTGGAGTAATATCCTTCCCTCTATTATATGTTACATATATTTCATGAACCAAAGCAGAATAATCATTAGTCTTATTATGACAAATAGAATCATTTAAAACTTTCTGAGAAGTAGAAAAGTCTATATGAGGATGATTTCTAACTTGATTCCAATCACGCATAAGATCAATAGAAAGAGGTCTTAATCTCTGACAATTAGAAACTTGAAGAACTCTTTTATCTACAGTACAAGTATCATGTGATTTATATTTTTGAATATATTTTTCCCATTCAGCTGATAAAACCTTTTCTCCCAAAATCCTAAGAGTATCAGAAACAGCCATTGCAGAACCCGGTATAACAGTAAGATCTTCAGATATAATGTCACTGACCAATTCAGGAAATACTCTATGAGCATAAGAACCACGTTCTTGTTTAATAGAAAAACATAAAACCCTAAGGCTTAAACTTAATACAAATGGATCCCATGATTTAAAATTAGCTCTCCATGTTTCTACTGACATTTTCTTTTCCATAAAATAATATTTTAAAACATATAGAAGCATAGGATATGGTATATAAAATGCTGTATCACATACATCTGCAATAATCTCTAAGCATAATTTGAAATTAAGAATATTCTTTCTTTTTAATTCTTCCATTATGGAAATACCTGCTAATGTAAATCCTCTGCGAATATACCTTGTTGATCCAAAATGTTGAACATTAAGTTTCAAACATAATTTATATAATTGAAGACATGATTCTATATCGTCATTTTTAATCATTTCAAGAGCAATTGCTTGAGTTGACATTTCATCTGGTCTAATGCCTTCAACTGATACACGATTAAGAACATTATTTACATAATCATTTTTCCCATGTTTTAAACATAAATGTATAAAGTCAAAAACAACCCTTCCAAATGGTTTTATAGATCCAATAGAAGATGCATAATCAAAAAGTGAAATTGCAACCTCCAAATCATTTGCTTTAATAGCACCACTAATAACAGGTATTGTACATGATGGTGTAGGATCAGGAAGGTTTTCATCTTTTATCATACGATCAATCCAAGATTTAGCTGTCAAATAATCCCCATTTAAAGAAAGTCCAAATATAATTATTTTAAAAACTTTATATGGAATATAGGCATTCTTTTGAGCTGCCATTTTTTCAAAAAATGATATTGCTGCATAAGAACGAGATGATCTGAAATAACCATCAATCAATGCACAATAGACATCATATTTATCATGAGGTTCCATCTTAGATGCAAATTTTTTATATTCATTAAAACATTCTACCATTGATTTAACATCCTTATGCATAGAAAACCCTCTAATCAGTGATATAAACACATGAGGAGACGGAATAACATTATGATTAACAATTTTTCGATATATCATAAGAAGTTCATCCGTTTTACCCACTAAAGCACAAATACGCATCAATTCTGAAAATACATCGGATGAATAAGGCTGAAATCTAACACTTACGCTTGCCTTAAATATTTCACATGCCATACTTAAATTGTTTTCCTTTTTTAATGAGTTCAATCGCTCTTGTAACTGTAAACTATTTGGAAGACCACGTGAAATCTTATTATTCAATGTTTGTAATTGAGAATACACCTCTTCTTCACGAACACAAAGCGCAAGAATAAGCGTAGAATATATAGAAACATTTGGTGTCAATTGTTGCTCAAGCATACTTTTATATGTATCTAAAAGCGTATGAATCATCGTTGCAACTCCTGGTTGACGAATTTTAACCATCGATTGAATTATAATATCATACAATTTAACACTAAGAGTAATTCCAAGGCTTTTCATCTCATTATATACCTCAATTACATTAAAATATCGATTTTCTTCTAATAACTTAGACATCTTTTCTTCATATTCCAATGTAATATCCGACTTTGATTTCAATATAGAAATCCTCGATTCTTCTCCTACAAACGGTGTAATTGATAGCGTTTCTGGTCCTCCACATAGCACAGATAATCCCCTCAATTCTACTCCATTTGACTTAATCTTTCTAGTTCTCGTCAAAACATGAAATTTACACCTTTTATCCGGAAAAAAAAAATATATATCTATAAAACTACCAAAAAATATCGTTCTAGTTCCTTTTTCACCCCCATTTAACCCTTCCTTAAACACTTTTAACCATCTACTTTTAATTCCTCGTACTCCTCCAAAATTCATCGGATTTTTCCCCTGAAAAAACGATATATATATATATTTACATTTAACACACTATTCTTACCTCGTATTTAACAAATTTATACCTTTTTCCTCCCTTTTATCTCCTCATTTCTCTCCTCAAAAATACCTCTTTTTACTGCAAACTTTTTATGACGTTAGGCGTTGTCATGGCAACCTCCCCGTACAAGATTTCAACCTCTCAATTTTTCTGATAAAAATAAAAACACAAAAAGTAGGCTTTAAAGCCTCTGATTTGCCCTCAAAATACATCAAATGAAGAGCAATAAAACAGTAGTTTCGGCACCAGGAAAGGTCCTTCTTGCGGGAGGATATTTGATTCTTGAACAAGAAAATGAAGGGTTTGTTCTTACACTATCAGCAAGAATGGTATGTATTGTAGAAGATCGGGAGAGAAAAGGAGAATACGCGGAGATTAGAGTATGTTGTAAGCAGTTTAAGCAGTTGGATTATTTTTTTCGGGTTATTTTTGGAGAAAATGGAGAGATTTTAGAGGTTCAAGAAAAGTAGAAAAAAAATGTATAAAAAAAGGAGATATTCTTATGAATTGACTAGTAATGGAAGCCGTAATTCGCATATTTACTATGCATTGATATACTCGTTATTTTATTGTAACCCATATAATATGCAAGATCTATATATTACTATATTAGCAGACAATGACTATTATTCACAAATTGAGCCAAGATCAGGGCTTTGTAGATATAAGAAATTTGATTTTCCTATAGAGAAAGTTCATAAGACGGGGATAGGATCATCATCGGCACTTATGACAAGTATGATTGCAGCGTTAGTAGTTCATTTATCAGAAGGAAAAATCGATATTGAACAGACGCAAAATAAATGGATAATACATAATCTTTCACAGATAGCACATTGTTCGGTTCAGGAGAAGATAGGGAGTGGATTTGATATTGCAGCGGCATGTTTTGGGAGTTGTCTATATCGACGATTTGATCCGGCTATTATTGACAGTGTTGGAGAACATACATCGTCACAATTCAAAAAACAACTTACAAAAGTGGTAGAAAGTCTATGGGATATTTCAATTGAGGAGTTAGATTTTCCTCCGGGACTTGGAGTTATTTTAGTTGATAGAAATGAGGGAACAACAACATCTAATATGGCACGTAATGTAATGGAATGGAAAAACAAAGATATAGAAGCTAATAGTATATGGGAGGAGTTAAAAAAAATGAATAATTTGTTTTATAAAACTTTGAATGAAATGACTAACGCAAGTCGCCAATTTACTTCAGATTATTATGAAGTATTAAAAATTTCAGGACAAGTTTCATGGGATGAAGATAAAATGAAATTTGAGGATAAAACGAAACAATTTATTTATGATATATTGTATAATTTATATTTTCAATTAAAGGTTTTTATTATATTTTTATCTATAATATTAATCATAAATATAGTCGATTAGAGAACAATTGAAAATAATAGGTATTAAATCAAACGTTCCTATAGAACCCTCGTCGCAAACGCTTCTTCTTGATAAATGTAGTAAGATTCCAGGTGTTTTAGGTGTTGGAATACCAGGTGCAGGTGGTTATGATGCCATTTTTTGTATAGTTATTCAACAAAGCAATGCAAAAAAAGATATCTCCTCTATAAAACTTGATGATACAGACTTGTCTATTCTCTTATCAAAAGAAGAACATAGTGGTTTAAAAGTAGAAAATATTCATGAGTTTGATTTCTTTTTGGACTAGATATTTATTTATATGGTATACAACTATATATTTATATTTTTAAATCATCAATTGACTAGTTTTATTGTCACTTTTGTTTTATTTTTCCAGTCGAATTTTTTTTAAAGATTAGATTTTATGATTTATACATGATCTTAGAAAATTATATGTATTTCTAATAAGATTAAATCTATCCATAATGAAGATAATCCTTTTAAAACATGTATTATTGTTTTTTTTCTATTCAACAACAATAATATTAGGCAAATTTATCATAAAATAATATGAAAATGGTATATAGAACAATTCCCTAAATATTTCGCAGTAAAAGATATCTGAAAATACTGTATGATATATAGATAATGTATTCTATATTTCATCAATTTAACAGTAGCCATTTTTTTAAACAAATCAAATATTCTTTAAGAAAAATACCCATTTCTTAAAATATTGCATTTAATTTTAAACCAAAAGAATACATTTTTAAAAATATTTAGCTTAGAAAATATGCATTTTTAATCCATAATTTAAGATGTTTTAAGTGCTCCAATGAAAGTAATAATTATAGAGATTTTCTAAAGAATAAAGTAAAAGATATCTCATTTTTTCGAAAAAAATAAAGTAATTTTTGTTTCACCTGTCTTTGTTTTATTTTTTTCTGAACCCTTTTTAAATTCAGTATTAGATTTTGCTTTTATAGGGATTGATGTTTCGTCTTCTGAAAAAGATTCCCATACAAATTCATTTTTTGTAACTATAATATGAATTAAAAATACCATTAGAAAGTCAAGAAACTACCAAGATAGCCTTTTTTATCACAACTCGTTACTTTTTTTAAAACTTTTCTTCTTCCTCGTCTTTTCTTATCTAAATTAACTTGCTCATTTTTTAAAACAGGATCAACATCATAAGACTCTGATACAATTTCTTTGCTCTTGTTTGTATCATCTTTTTCTTTAAGATATAAATAAAATAAAATAAAATAAGAATTAAAACCTTGATTTTCCATCATTGCAACTAATAAATCAATTTCTTGTTGTCTCTTAACAATGAGCTCTTCTCCTTCTTCATTTTCAAGCTTTGATTGGCTTTTTACTAGTATCTTTATCAATATAACAAACAAAATATTCATTTTTCTTACCAGAAAGAAGAGAATTTGAAGAACAAGAAGAATTAGGCCCTGTTCCTGTATTAAAATTCGAATTAATAAATGAATTCATTGTAATTGACTTCTTTTTAGCAACTTTAGGAGGAGGTTTATTTGATTTAAGTGTAGATCTAAAAAAACTAAATATAAATGTCTTAATATCTCAAAAAATACTTTGTTTTATGACCTGAAAGTTCAAAAAAATTATGAGCCATTGACGTTTGTGTCTTTTCCTTAGAATCCATAGATACATTGATGGCTTCAGAAGAATTTATCTCTGACAAAATCCCTGTAGTATTAGAAGATGAAATATCCATATTTGAAGTCTGAAGACCCGCTGGAAATTCCTTGTATATATTAACATGAAAAAACTAAATGTCTATCCCCTAACTTTGACATTTACATGATGAATCATTCCATATTTTTTACAGATTTCTTCTGGAGAAAAACTTTCATCATATTTAATGCAATTATATGAATCAAAAAAAGCATTTGAAAGAAAAAAATCATCCTGTAACAATAAGGAACCTAAATATTAGGATTTCCTCCAATGTCTTACCTTATATAAACCAAATTCAAGTGCGTATATATGTATTGACGTTATTTCATCAAATTTCTTCTTTATATCTAATCCAAATCATCAAAAAAGATAACAATATTGTATAGAAAATTAAACATTCTATATCCCCTTCTTTTACTAGAAAAAAAACCTTCATTTTTGCTGTAGATGTTTCTAAATATATACAACTATCATCTTGTGAATTATTAGACAACGAATCAGTCTTTTTAAAAGCATCCAAAACACAATTCACAATATCCTCGTTCATATAACCCGATATCATGTAAATTGCAAGGCAATCTGTGCCTTTTTCTTGGCACTTTTTATAATAATCATAAAGTACTCTTAAATATATCAATTTTAACCGGAAAAAAAGGAAAAAACACACTGTTTCGCATCCTCTACATGAATCTCCATATATCTACTGACAAGACGATATGTTATCTTCCATTTTTAACCCTTTTTTTTCACAAAAAAACCGACATACCACTTTTTGCCCAGATTGAATCCATGTTTCAAGTTTATCTAGAGATTTCTCCATATTTTAATGATAAAAATGACTTAGAAGAGGCAAATTCAATATAAATATTCTTCTATATAAGCTTTATAAACATACAGTAACAGCCTTAACTATAGAGCCTCCATCGGCTGCTATAAGATATACAGGATTCTAATAAAGCACAAGAAAAAAAAATAAAAAAATATCTATAATTTATACATATTCTATATTCATTAAGGCATAATAAACCATATTGTTGGTAGAAAATAGGTTATTAGTATTTATATTTTGTTGAATAATCTATATTCATGATTTAATGAAATAAAAAAAAGATCAATTATACCTTTTGGACTTATTACAAGACCTCTTCCTTTACGTGCACCCTTATAGACGGTTTCTGTTTAAAATTAGAGTATAAAATAGATAAAATAAAAATACCAAATATATCAATGAGTTCTTGTTTATCTTCAAGAGCCCAATTGATCTTATTATTATTTCCAGTTCCTAGAATGTTTAATAAATAATTCCTTAGCTATTTAGAAAGAAAACAGACCTAGATCAATCATCATATGCTTGTTTCTATAGAAAAACATAATTGTACAGCGATCGTACAATTCATACATCTTTTTCATGTTTGAATGACCAAAAAAAAAACAAAACCATAGAAATACCTGCTTGAAATCCGGAACTTCGTCAATATCGACAAGATAAATAACCTCCATACAAATTTATTAAGAATTATTTATGGAATAATTCTTACCGCAAAATTAACAACTTTCTCTGCTATTTTATATAAAACTTCATCTTGTCTCATACATTCCTCATCCTATAATGAAATCCTTAATATATTTTTATAACCACTATATATAATACCCCATCCCGGCCAAACCGAATAACGACAAGACGCTCTTCTTCTAAATCAAGTATTAAAAAAACATAACAAAAATACATCAAAACCTTTATACCTGACAAAATGGCTTGATCAACATGCCTATAATGACATGTTAGTCCCTTATTTCTACATATTATTTTTATGTTTATTAACCATCCTCTATAATCAACAAATATTAGCTTTTAAAAAGTTTAAAAAAATATATAAAAAAATACGTTCTTAAGTGAGGTAAAAAATAACTCATTTATGTATTTATCCAGGTCAAATATGTTTAAAAAGTCCTTTTTTCTTAGATTAATAGTAGACCATTAAATAGTATACTACGATAAGGTTAAAATTCGTTAAAAAAACTGTTAATTTTGACAATATAAGAAAATAGAGTAAAAAATAAATGAATCAAGACCCAGAAGATGAAATATTTAAGCTTCGTAATGTTCTTTTGAACAAGTCCCAAGAAAGTTCACTTCCTGCCCGTTTTGAAGCGCTTTTTTCCTTAAAAATACATGGAAAAAGTGATAAAAAAGCTATTGATGCTCTTGCCGAAGGCAATATAACTGAAGAAAAAGAAAATAGATTGTATTGACAAGTAAAAGGATTTTGTGATGATTCAGAGCTTTTGAAACATGAAATTGCATATGTTTTAGGCCAAACACAGAATAAAAAAGCAATTATTCCACTTGAAAAAATATTGAGAAGTGAATCACAAGAAACAATAGTTCGACATGAGGTTATAACTTATTTTTATCGATATTTAATGTGTTTTTTGATCAATTTTTAGGCAGCAGAAGCGCTAGGTGCACTAAATAGTCAAGAAAGTTTACCTCTTCTTAAATTCTTAAAGGAAAATGATCCATCTGAAATTATTCGTCAAACATGTGATCTAGCAATCCAACGTATTGAATGGGAAAATTCGAATGAATCAAAAACCGAAAAATTATTACCCAAGTCTATACTTTTTGTATATTTCGTATATTTTATATTAATTTATTTGATATAGTATATTCGACTCAATAGATCCAGCACCACCTTTACCAGAAGATCCAGGAATTGGAATAGAAAACGAAGTAAAAAAACTAAGTAGTGAACTAATCAATCAAGAATTACCATTATTTTATCGATATCGTGTAATGTTTAGACTTCGCAATATCGGTACAGATACTGCAATTGATGCACTTGCACAAGGTTTTAAAGATCCATCTGCTTTATTTCGACATGAAATTGCCTATGTTTTTGGTCAATTGTGTTCACTTCATTCTATACCATATTTAACTAATGTTTTATGTAACCAAATGGAAGAAGCTATGGTTCGCCACGAAGCAGCTGAAGCATTGGGTTCCATTGGTATCCCTGATGTTCGATCTCTTCTTAACAAATTTGTACATGATAAAGAAAGAATAGTTCGAGAAAGCTGTATCATTGGTAAGGATGAATAGATGAATAAAACCAATCGATTCCTAACATTTTTTAGCTGTAGAAATGTGTAAATCAATATAAATGACTAACAAATGACTAATAAATGATTAATAAATCACTAATAAACGATCATTCATCCAATATCTTGTTTGAATTCTTGATAATTTAATAAATTTCGCTTTTAAAACACTGACACCATTCAATTCAACCCATTCTTTAAATTTATCCCCTCTTCATCCTTCTCCACATCCCTTCTCCTCATACTTCTCCTCCCCCTCATCATCTTCATCATCTTCCTCTTCATCCATTAGTAGAAAACCGGTATCTTAATATCATAAATATTATATATTTAATTATTCTCCTTTCTAACCCGCATAAAAGACATTCATAAAACACTGTAGCTCCTTCATCTGCACTTCTCATTTGAAGGGTCTGAAACCGCATCTGCTTGTACTCGCATTTCGGGCATGTTTCATTAATCTTAAAATCTTAGATTATTACATATTAAAAATATTTTAAAAACAATGCTAGCTGCAACATCTGATTCTAATAACTTGAGAGATCCATCCATTTGCTTAGAAGAAATTGTTTCTAGAATTTTTGGTCGAGATGTACTAACAATACTTATATCTGTCATATCTTGACCCGTTATGCAATAAGATATAAGAAATACGGTTGAATTATAGATTCATACCTGATATTGGATATGAAGCACGGCATTGAGCACATATAATATAAGTATCGCAGGTGAGATCTAGAAGAGATCCGCAGCTGGTACAGAAAATTGCGGTACCAATAGAGAACATATAGAGAGACGTAGAATAAAAAGAAGTTGGAGTTGATAAGGAGTGGATAAAAAGAAGTTGATAATAAGTTGATAAAAAGTTGATAAATAATAAGTTAAAAGTTAATAAAAAATAACAAGTTGATAATAAATAATAATAAGAAGAAGAAGAAGAAGAAGAAGAAGTTAATAAATAATAAGTTGATAAATAATAATAAATTAATAATTAATAAAAAGTTAATAATAATAAGTTAATAAAAAGTTAGTAATAAATAATATTAAAAGCTAATAATAAAAGCGAATAATAAGTTAATAAATAGTTAATAATAATAAGTTAATAAAGTGTTAGTAAGAAGTTAGTTAATAAGGAGGAGTTAAAAGTTGATAATAAAAAGTTAATAAGGAGTTAATAAAAAATATTAAGAATTATTAAGAAATAACAAGTTGATAATAAGAAAATGTTAATAATAAAAAGTTAATAATAATAAATAAGAAATAATAAGAAATAATAAAAATTATCAAGAAATAATTAAAAAACAACCCGTTTTAAAAGAAAACTAATAGTAATAAATGGATAATAAATGGATAATAAATCAATATTAAATCAATAACAATAAAACATGCCAAGGAAGATTCTATTAGGGCTTTAAACCTTTTAAAGTCTCTCATGCGATCTTCATCGTTAATGGCTTCCAGAACCCTTTTAGAAACCAAACGGTATACACCAGAAGAATGGAAACGACGTTGTGAACAAATTGATATTTCAAAGACGTAATGAAATGTTTATTATTATTATTTATTATTATTATTTTTTAGTGCTTTAAATTACTTGATATTAAATTTTTTTATTATTGAAGGATATGAATCATCAGCTTTAAAGTTTATTGAAGAAGCACGTCTTTCTCCTCTAGAAGGTCTTGAATGGATGGGAGAACGGATGAATGTTTTGAATGCGATTTACCGGGGCGATATTTTGTCTGCAATTGAAAAAATGAATGAAATGGATCCAGAGGTATGTAAACGTGTATGATAGTTTTTAGAGAAGGGTTTAGAATGGGTATTTTTTCTTTTTTTAGTCCTTTTTTTTTGGTCAAAAAAAAAGGACATAATATAGAAATAATGATGGATATAGCGCAATGATTTAAATATTCATGCACCCCTCTTAGTCTTTATGGGCAATGATTAGATAGCATCACCCTTCAGTCTTCAATATGAGCGCTATATCGGTTGAACGAGAAGAATAAGGATAAGAATGAAAGAAAAAAAAACAATTGGATACAACATTATTATGATAACTAACATAGAATTAGCTTTTAGATACCCGACCTGCTGTTCATTTTATGTTATTGCGTTTGCAATTGATTGAACTTATACGAATTGCATTATATTCTCCTAATACGGATCTTATGCCTATTTTAGAGTTTGCAGAGATACATTTAGCATCAAGAGCGCCTAAAGATGCAGGATTTTTGCAAGATCTGGAGTCTGCAATGGCTTTGCTATGTTTTTCATCGAATAATCTAATACCAGCTTTAAAACCATTGCTAGATCTTTCTTTACGAAAGACAGTTGCTTCAAGCGTTAATACAGCTATACTTGAAGCTCAGGGTTTACTACAACAATCAAAAATTAAAACTCTTTTGCGTTTATGGGGTTGGAGCGAGAAAAAACTAAGAAAAGAACTAGATTTTCCTACATTTAACTTCACCGAGAACTAATCAAGATAACATGATGCATTTCTAGACAGATTTTCTTTCTTTTTTCACTGGATTTTATTATCTTCTCATGAAACATAGGATAAAATTCTTTTTCTTAAAAATTGAGCTTTTTAAAAAAGAAATAATCATTTCTCTAGATGCAATGATAAAGACATGCTGATATCTTCTTTAATACATGTATTTTTATATAATCTTTAAACCCTCAAAATATCTTCTCTTCAACCTTCAGAAAAATGAAGCTGGTCTATAGATGGACCAAAGATTCCCTGTAGATTCAGATCCTCGGTTTATACGACCAAAGAAGAGGGGGCGAGTTGTTCTAGACTCTCGTTTTTCCTCAATTCTTGATCCAGAGTTTTCAGAACAGCGTAAGTATCTTTTCAAGCTATCAAATCTAATAAAAATAGCTTTATTTGATAAATATGGACGGCGTTTAAAGGATAGAAGAAAGGACTTGAAGGATGTTAAGTCCCTGTACATTTTACCGGAAAAAAACGGCAGTGATTTAGACGATTTTGAGGTTAAAAACAAGAGTTTAGAAAAAAAGGATTTAGATGGGGATAAAACCCATGAAAAAGGGCCAGAAAAGCCTTATACATCATCAGAAGAGGATGATATTTCATCAGAAGAAGATTTATCGTCAGATTTTTCGTTAAAAGATGTAGAAGATGTAGAACTGGCTGATCCAGAGCCAGAAAATGAGATTCCAAGGGGAGAAATGACTTCCAGACTGGCAGTTGTTAATCTTGACTGGGATCATATTCGTTCAGTTGATATTTTTGCGGCGCTTGGCAGTTTTGTGCCCAAAGGAGGGAGTATTTTGAGTGTTAAGATTTATCCTAGTGAATTTGGGAGAAAAAGAATGGAAAAAGAGGATATACAAGGTCCTCCTAGAAGTATTTTTTGTAGGAGCCCTTCAAGGGATTCATTAGTTAAAAATAAGGCTCAAGAATTGGGGGAGTTTCATAAAGAAATTGAAAATAGTGTAGATGATTCAGATGCAGATGATTCAGATGATGCAGATGATGCAGATAGTTCAAGTGATGAAAAGATACAAAAAGAGATAGTAAAGGAAGATAATGGTAATGATTTCAATATGACACAGCTTCGAAAGTATCAGCTTGAAAGACTTCGTTATTATTATGCAATTGTTACATGTGATTCAATTGATACTGCAAAACATATATATATACATTGTGATGGCAGGGAATATGAAGCATCAGCTAACTTTTTTGATTTAAGATTTGTTCCAGATAATGAATCATTTGATTCAATGCAAATAAGGTATATTATATTAATTAATAATCTAATAATAACTGTTTTTTAAATAGAGATGAATGTTCATCACTTCCAGAAGGCTATACTCCTGAAGAATTCGTTACAGATGTTGGTATTTCTCTTTTTTTTTCCTCATTTTAAAAAAAATAGGCTTTAAAACATTCAAATGTAAAGTTAATGTGGGATAATGATGATCCTGTTTATCTTCAAATGGTAAAACGGGCATTCTCCGGAAAAGAAATAGATGAAAATGATTTCAAAGTATATTTAGCATCAACAGATAGTGATGCAAGTGATGCTGAAACTACAAAAAAGTATCGTTCACTTCTTTTAAACAATGATGATCCTTTAAATGACCAAATTGACCAAAATAACATTCTTGGCGATATGAAGGTTACATTTATGCCTGGAATAGACGATCAAATTTCAGATCATGTCCCTCCTGAAACTTCTTTGGAAAAATATAAGAGAAAAGAAAAAGAAAGAAAGAAAAGAAACAAAGATAAACACAATTCTACACTGGAAAACTCTCTTCTTGATTCTAACCTCAATAAAAACATCGATCTTGGCTTCAATGATCCTTTTTTCTCACTGGATTCTTCTTCTACACAAACAAAACATAAAACTCAACTCAAACATAAAAATAAAATCATACAAAATTATACAAAAAAAACAAAACAACCTCCACAACATCTACAACAAAATAATACTCCTGATCCCTTTCAATTGGATTTAGATGACCCTCGCTTCTCTGCAATGTACTCAAGTCATCATTTCGACATTGATCCTACAAATCCTCGTTTTAAAAAAACTCATTCAATCATCAAAATCATGCAAAAACGTCAATCTATTCAAAATTCTTCTTCACAAAAAAAAATCCACTAATCTTTCTACAACTTCACTATTTTCTACTATATTCATCTACAAAAAACTCTCAAAAAATACACAAACTATTTATTCACTTTCACTACTATATTCACTTCATTCTACACTCTTTCATACACCTTTCCGCTTCACTATTCTTCTTCTTTTCTTTTTTCTTTATGCATAAGGTCTTTCAATTCCTTTTTTCAATGCATCAAAAATTATACAAAACTAAACAATAACGGCTTATTAAAAACACTTTTTGGCTACAAAAAAATACATATATTTGTTTATTTCTATTGTTGGCACTGGTTGGGCTTCTGGTATATTTTTCACCTTTAAATCTACCTTTTTCTCACTAAGTCGAGACGACCTACGAGGACAAGATGAGCTCACCAAGAAGAAGAATTGAGACGGATGTGATGCGATTATTGATGAGTGATTATGAAGTAACACTTATTAATGATAATATGTAAGATTTTATGGGTTTTTTTTTGGAGAAAAACGGGTCAATGACGGTGAAAAGGCAAGAGTTTTATGTTCAGTTCCGGGGGCCAGAAGAAAGTGGGTTTTTAAGGGATTAAAAGGGAGAATATTAATGAAATGATGTATAGCGCCGTTTACGGGAGGGGTATGGAAGGTGCATGTTGAGTTGCCGGACCAATATCCATATAAATCGCCGGTAAAAGAATTTGAGCGAGAAAATATAAAAGTTGAAAAAATATGGTAGTCTATTGGGTTTATGAACCGTATTTTCCATCCGAACATTGATGAGCTGTATGTGGAATGAGACGGGGGGTTTTTTACGCCTTTTTCTGGGGAGAAAAAGGCGTATTTATGGTATTTTATGATTAATATGATGATTAGAAGTGGTTCAGTATGTCTGGATGTGATTAATCAGACGTGGTCACCGATGTTTGGTAGTATAGAGGAGAGGAATATTTTTATATTAAGAAATCGTATAGATATGATTAATATTTTTGAGGTATTTCTACCACAGTTACTTCGATATCCAAATCCATGTGATCCGCTTAATGGGGAGGCGGCAGCGTTATTAATACGGGAGCCTAAGACGTATGAGATGAAAGTACGGGATTATGTTTCTCGATATGCAACGAAGGAGATTATGGAGACAGTAATGGTTGAGAACTCTGAAAATGAGGAGATGAGTAGTGTAGGTAGTTTTAATTCAGAAGATCCGGTAGCAGAAATGGAGGTATAAGAAGAAAGAAAAAGAGGGGGGGGAGGGGATAAGTTGCATATCAATTTTGATGAATCGTTGTGTGTAACTTTGTTTTGCTTTTATAATATTTGAATTTTTATGTTTTAGCATTCTTGATGAGGAATATACATTAATTGTGAGTTAACAAAACAATTTGTTAATTTACAATATATATTAAGAGATTTAAATGATTTTTTCGTTTAAGTTTTTTATTTGTTGACACCATAATATTTTTTTATGAAGTATATCATTATCCAGTGTGGTGTCTGTATTAGAAACGGTTGTTAAAGTTTTCCAAAATGTAATGATTTCTTCGACCCAGTTTGATAATTGAATTGGAGAAGGACCAATGCCGATACCTAATAAAGCCCATTTTGACCAAAGTTGATAAGCTTTTGTCATTTCTATAATCCTTTCTTTTGAGAAGATAAGAAAAAGATATATATTATATGATTATTGAATACCTTTATATGCATATGTTTTAAATAGTTCTTTAAAGATAGTATTCCAGTGTTTTTGAATAATATGAAAGAGATCATTAATACGTTTTGGAGGAAATGTGCATCCTTTTAATAAATATTCAGCGGAGAAATCATTTCCAAGAACTTTAGCCATATGTTTTTTAAGTAAAATTTTTGATGTTTCTATAACAGTTGTTGTAATATCTTGAAATAATTCAGCTAAAAAAGTGCGATATTCATCCGAAAGAGGAGTATCTCTTAAAGGAATACAATCAATATACATGCAATCCTCTTTAAATTCCAGATTTTGTTTGGTATTTCTATATTGATAATATATATATATATATAAACCAATATAATATAAAGATAAAAAACAAACCTTAGAAACAAATTATCATCAACAGACTTTGAAGATTGAAATGAATCTCCCTGAATATCATCTATTTCCATATCAATATTTTGCAATTCATCAAAATCTTTCTGTTTCAAATAATGATCAAGTTTTTTTGATATTTCTTCTAAAAGAAGCTCTAATGTCATTCCAGGTTGATATGAAATAGAATAAATCCCTAGATTATTTAATATTAATCATCGAATCTAAAAATTACCATGAATCATAACCTTAATTGAGAGGTTTTTATCATTTGATAGTAAAATAGTTTTTAAAAAACGCTTTTCATGCCAATATCTCCCTTTTTTAACCGGAAAAAAACTAAAAAAAAACATACCTACAACAATCAAGAATAGAATCATCTCCCGTAAGCGTCGCATCTATCACTTCCGTCATTTTTTGTCCTCTTATTGAACTTTCTTTCTGTAACAATGATTTATATATAAAATCCGTCGCTCTTCGCACACAAAACGCCATATCTTCTCCTCCATGTCCCTCTATCCTATTTCCTGATAGTTTTAACCCATTCAGCTCCTGAATCGTTGTCCATGGAAATATAATAACATATTTATATGCTTCACACTGACTGCTTAGATCGGAAATCAATGATAAATGAGATATCACAAACTTCCAACAAATAACAATCAGCTACTTCAAAAATACATTTAATATAGAGAATACGTTTGTATCAACGACAAGAATCACTTTATCATCTAATACGTATTCTTCGTCCCTCTAAAACCCTTTTTTAGCCCGAAAAAAAGCCAAAACCACATTAAAACACACTTCTACTAATATTTCCCGGCCTATTTCTCCCATTATATCCTCATTAAACCCCGAAGATCCCGACATATCTATATCTTCTTCTACAGACATTCATTCACCCGTTTTTTTTCGCTCTTTTTCAAAGCCCATACTATATTTATATGTAGAATACCATAAATGGACCTAAAAATGACGAATTAACTGTTAAAATTAGCTTTTTTTCCAGTAAAAAATGACTATTTTACCCTTTTTTTTTTTACACATTTTTTTGACGTCTGGACTAACGTCAAGAAAAATCAAAGATTTATAAGACCCAATAATTTGAGTATATCCGATCAATTTTCGCAGATAATAAGTGTATAAGTTGTTTGTGAATGGTTTTTTATTGAAGTAGCTTTTTTTCCGGATTTAATTGAGGCCTTAAACACTTGGAAATTTTGAAAGAAAGATTGGTGCAAAAATTCGAAAAAAAAGGGTTAAACTGGGCCTTAACTTAGGAATTTCTTGTTAAAAATAGAATATCTGAATAGAGCGTATTGATTTATGGGGGAAAAATATGTTTTTTATACGTATTTTATGAGTTATATTGGTTTTTTTATGCCCGGGATTTATATGTCAAATAGCTCTTCAAAACATGATAATTAACCAATGGATCTTAGATATATAAGATTTAGATGTGTTAAATGAATGAAATATGTTTTTACAAGATTTTTTTTTGAGAAAAATTGGAGATAAATTAAATATATTATGAAGATTACCGTATATTAATAAGCAGGGGGTTATGATATTGGATATCTAGACGAAGTAATTAGAGAAGGTGTAAATGGCATAGAAATGGGTTTTCAGAAGCAAATGATGTATAATATTATAAAAGGATAATTTATGAAAAACGTTGATTGGAAGTATTATTTTGAAGGTATTGACTACTTATCTGCGAGTTTATGAGGAATTGTTCAATATTTGAGTTATTTTAGTTTATATTGAGTATTGGTGAAAGAATAGTCTATCATTAAGAGGCACGTGATTTTTTGGAAGAAATGAAGAAAGAATATGAGGGATAAATTTGTTTGTAGGTTTATAATTATATATGAAGTGTTATATGGAGGGTCTTTATATATTAAGTATTATAATAATCTGAATGTGATATAAAAACAAAAATATTTTTTCGAAAACTCAATTTAATTCTTAATAAGCTTTTTAACTATTAGCAAGGCAAAGTTCTTATTAGAGGCTATGATTATGAAGGAATTGATTGTATTCATATGCTTAATAGTTAAGGAAAATGGATTGTTAGGAGGGTTAAGCATGAAAAAGAAGGTATATGTGAAATTCTGGCTTATAATATGATGGTAGAATATGAAAAGAAAGGTATTCTAGTATTTTTAATATGAGAATAAACGAGATAAATGGAAATAAGTTCAGTCAGTTGCTTGATAAACAAAACTAGTATTAAATAAAAGAGTATGAGCTTGCTTGGTTATATATATTTATAATGTCAATGTCTACAGAATCTAAGAAATTAATGATGAACCTGAATATTAGTTGTATAGAATCCTTGACCTATTTGGACGATTACTTTATCTACATGCTTGCTTATGGCTCTAGAAAAAACATATTGAGAAATAATGCTAATAAATATTTCTTGCTGGTACCAAAAATTAATTTAAATAGCTAAAAAACATACTTTTCAATCTCTAAAGTATCGTACAATTTACATGTTTTTTCTATATACTCTAATAGCTTAATACATTCTGTTGTTTGCGGGACTATAGAAAACCAAGTATTATATACAACTTTAGGAATTTTCTATAAAAAACTCAAATAAAATCACAAAACATATAATTTAGACAAAATATAGCGAATTAAGAAACATTTGCCGGCAAACATTTATCTTCAAGCACTTCATTTTTACTATTACGTTTTTCTATATAAGATCTAAAAAATAATTAACAAAAATTCACAAAATAATACTAAAGAATAAACATACTGCGCAACAATTCCGATACAGAGTCGTAACGTTTTTTCAACCCATTCATTTATCTGATCCAAATAATCATCCAATAATTCTGAATCTTTACTATTTATTTTATTAATCCATTCAACTGGCAATGCTTGACTATGAACTGAAAACTCAATTTTTCTCTGAGGATCATTTAAATGTACCACAAAACAAAGCATTCTTTCATTTTTATTTATATCTTTTGCTTCATTTAATATCGTATCTTGTAAATCAAATGAATATGCCTGAATTGATAAATAAATACATGACATATACACTGTTAATGATTCAGAAAATCCTATTTTCCTTTTCTTTGACCCCAGAAATGGTTCAATACGATTCTATTCATTTTTCAACATTTTCATATATAACCCCAATCTCATTATCACCTTTGCTAATTTTATTGCCTCCTCAATCCCTTCACTTATACAAAACTCCCCAGATGCTTCTACAAGCATAGAATCCTTTTTTCCCTTTTGTACAATAACATCTTCATTTTCTATCTGTGACATAACCTTCATATATTAGTCATTTATAACCCCTCTTCTAATATATCCACCTCATCAAATACTGAATATACCACATCTTCTATCTTCTTAAAAAATGTTAGATCATGATATATCTCTATTTCTAGAATTTCATGTAATGAAATAGGTGGTGCTACTACATTTAATACTGAATTAAATGTTGATGATAAAGATGATATAGAATATGATTTTATATGTTCTCCTAAGTCCATATATGAGTTTTTTTTAACATAGTCCATCTCTATACCAAGTTTTCCGAGTGTATCAATATCTATAAATTGAGTCACTCGTTTTTGAATCTTTTTTCCTTCTGATTGCTGAAATTGCTTAACCTTTTCTTCTGCCTGTTTAACAAAAAATGAGGCATTATTTAGAAGCCCATTAAACCATGTTTCTTTAGAGTTTCTTGGTGTTTTTTCTGTATCATCAATTGGACCATTTTCAACATAGTTTTCCTTTATTAAAACGGTTTTTTCTGCTTCTTTTTCTGCTGCTTCTTCTTCTACCTTATTCTCCTCATATTTATAAACAGGTTTTTGCCTTGATATACTATCTAAAAACTCAAGAACTGTCTTTTCATCCTGGATATTTTCTACAGAAAACCCTTCTGTATCTTGATCAAAATTAACCTTATCAATTGAATCAAAAAGAGACATAAAGTCCTTCTTATCACCAGACATGATGGTTTATAAGCTTTTTAGCCGGGTTTTTAACAGGATTATTTATATATAAAAATATTAGAAATAATGAGGTTAAGGTAAGAGATGGTATAGGAATGATATATAATGAAGAATAAATAATATCCTTATAATTAATAAGAAAAGATGAATAATTATATAATAAGAATAGAAGAAAGTGATTTTATGTATAAAGTAGAAGAATGACCAGCATCCAAGAAAAGTGTTTTATAGAATGAATAAAGATGAGAAATGAAAAAGAAATCATTGAAAATCAAAGAGCAAATAAAGCCTTTCTTCTGCATAAAAGTGTAGATTTTTCTAATAAGAGTTCGACGCAAGATTGAGAGTAATAAGAGAAGTGATCCGATGAAGAATTTAAATTTGATAAATAAAGAGGATTAAAAGAAGAATTGATATTTTTACCGTTATTTGTATGTTTTTTTTGTTTTTCAGAAGTGTAGATATTTTCATTAGGAGAGTGGTATATCTGATGATATAATTTCCTTTGTATTGTCTCTTCGATGTAGTATGAAATGTTATTCAAATTATTTTGAAAAGTATTGTCTAATAAGATGGATGTTTTGTATGTATTTTCTTCCTTTATACGTTGTACTTTATAAGAAATGTCAAATATATCACGTAGAGAAACAGTATCAGGAGATCTTTAAATGTTTAATATAAAATAGAAATTTAAAAGAATAATAATTACCTAAAATCATTTTTATATTCCTTATTATGTTCTTTATTTGTAGAATAATCTCTTATATAAGACCATGAAGAGATAGGATTGATAGTTAGGGAGTTAGAAGGATGAGATGTATTGTTAAGAGTTTGATTTTTAGATTCCCGAATCCATGGATGATTTAAAAACTAATAAGAAATTAATAATGATATAATGAAGTGTTTTTATTACTTGATCAATAGTATATCGTTTTTTAGGGTCGACCGTCAAAAGATTACTAATAAGATCTTGTGCGCTTTTACTAATTTTATCCCACCAAGGACTTGCAAAAGTAAATTCGCCTCTAGCGACTTTTCTTGAAAGTATTTGAGCATTTTCATCATAAAAAGGAGGAAATCCGCAAAGAAAGGTATAAAGAACACAACCTAATGCCCACATATCAACGCATTTAGAATATTTTTGATCTTTTATAATTTCCGGGGCAGTATAACCAATAGTACCACAAGGTGTCTTTGTTTGTTTATCCCAAACAACCTTACTAAGTCCAAAGTCTGCAATTTTAACTTGACCAATAGTACCAGAACCAAAACCTTGAATAAATTCACCCTCATCAATTTTATCCATATCCTTTTTTGATTTAGAATATTTTCTAGGAAGAAATGGTATCGGCTTAAAAAGAATATTTTCCGGTTTAATATCTCTATGAACTACTCCTTTCTCTTCATGAAGATAATGTATAGCATGGGCAACTTGTGTAATAATATGTTTAGAAAGTTCCTCTGAAAAATATGTAAGTCGAACAATTTGATAAAAAATCTCTCCTCCTTCAACAAGTTCAAGAATAAGAAAATAATAATCATTGTTTTCCAAAAATCCAAGAAAACGTACAATATTTGGATGATTGATGTCCTGCATAATCCGAATTTCTTTAAAAACACTAACCTTCTAATTTTCATCAACATATTAATCAAAAAAATCTATCAATTCAAAAAAACAACTTACCTGTGTATAATTAAGCTGGTATTTACGAATCGCTTTAATAGCAACATATTCCTTAGTTTCATTACAAATTGCTTTATAAACTTCGCTGTACGCGCCACTGAAAATATAAATACATAGATTCTATAGATTCATATAACACCCTACTCTCCCATTTTTTCAATTAATGTATATTTCTCAAAACTCGCACATTGAGAAAGATTTTTTTGAATCATCTTTTTTTGATAATCCATATAACCTTCTTCTATATTGTTTCCTGAACAAAACTCTTTACATATAGATTTCTCATTCTCCTCTATATGACGAAATGTTATCTTCTTTAGTCCTTGATATATTGGCCTTGACGAATGTTTAAATAAACTACTATGGATCTTTCTGCTGCATTCAGCTAATACCTTGAATATCTATAGATTCAAGCGTCAAAACTCCTCTTAAACCCTTATTATTTCATTATATCTAAATTTACCTCAATCATATACTCTAGCTTATGATATCTCTTAATTTTCCTGCAAAAAAACCAAACAAAAATACAATTATATATATATACTAATAGTTTTTTTCTAAAGATCCAAGAGGTTTTCCTTGTATTTTTATTTCTTTTAATATAAAGTTAGTTCAAGATTTTCATTGTTTAAATTAGCGCTTAAACCTTCGATGCATAAATTTACTAATAACCTATAAAAGATATATAATTTCCCCTCATAAACATAAATATTAAGCGTATATATTTGATTTCTGAGCCTTTGCTTTTTATTTTCTATAAAATAAAAGCTTGTCTCTTTTTTTCCAGAGAAAAATATTCATTTTTAAAAAGTATATATCTTTTTTAAAACCCTCTTAAAACATCATTGCCGTCCTTAGAATGTCATAAATATCATGAAAATAACTTATTTTCTTTTAAAATATTGTTTATTTTAAAAAAAAATTTTTATGTATCAAAATTAAAGATACCACCAAATGACATAAAATAAAAAAAAAATATATATTTATAAGAAAAAAAACGGAGTTATAGAGGCAATGGTTTTTTTAGACATACGGCTATTGATTGGTCAAAATTTTTTCTATAATTTACTTAATTTCGCCTTATTCACCACTTTTTGTCTTAACCTCGATTTTTATATATAAATTTATGTTATAAAAATGGATTTTCCACTATAAATCAATTGAGGCCTTAAAAAGCAAAAATTAAAGACTTCTAGGCTTTTTAAGTGCCAGGAAGTCTATTTTTATGTTTAAAATCTCTTTTTCTTAACGTTTTCCTACATTTTACCAGAACCTGACTAATATAGTCCTGTCCGTATATACCTTTTATCGTACAAAAAATTAACCTCATAAAATAAATTTGCAAGATATTAGCAGAAGGAGAATAAGAATGATGCATGAGACGATAATTGAGACACTTTATGGCTCAGTATCTCAGGATATTTTAATTGTTAAGGCGGCAGAAGAAAAACTTAAGTCATGGGAAACGGTTCCAGGATTTTACTTATCTCTTCAAGTAATTTTAATCAGAAAGAAGCAAGTAGATAATAGGATTTCAGGATATTTTTATGGAGAAAGGATTACCGAATAATGTTCGTTGGATCAGTATTATTTACTTAAAGAATGGAATTGATCGATATTGGAGAAAAAGTGCAAAAAAGTACAAGATTTTTGGTATAAAGAAGGGGCTATTTGCTTATGATAAGCAGTGCATTATCATTGGATGAGAAGGAGAGGATACGAAAACGAGTTTTGCAGTGTTCAATAGAGGAAAACCATCTTTTAGCGGTTCAGAATTCTATACTAGCAGCAAAAATTGCTAGGCTAGATTTTCCAAATGATTGGCATGAATAATTACAAACGAAAGAATTTTTCATTAATTAATAGGCCATTTTTGTTCGAGGAGCTTTCTTTAATGATAATGGAATCAATTGCATCTAAATCTTATACATTTCAACAACGACATTTATATACACTTTATCAAATTGTTAAAAATCTTTGTGCCAGTCGACTTGTTAGAGCAAAATATAATCTACAGCAAGTATGAAAGGCATCTTTTTATCTATAAATAGTCTATAAGATCGATAGATAACTCCGAAACTATTTGAACTTGTCAGTGAAATATTTAAAAATTATACGGATCAATGGATCTATACGGTTCAATCCAATTTTTCAGAATCTGAAATCTTTCCTTTTCTGCAAATAAGTCATATATGTCTTAAGATTCTTCGACGATTAATCATTTATGGATTTGAGTACCCATATAAAAACGAGAATGCACAATTTTTTTTCCAATTATCCTATAAATATTTAAAGATATACTTTGATCTATGTAAGAGGTTCATTAATTCTTCCTAAATATTTATTTAAAATTAGGTAAACATCTTAAAGAAAAAATATCTTTTTTATATTCACATATAATTCTTTTTGGAAAAATGTTTTTAAACTTTTCATCAACACAATCAACTTCTATTTTTTTAATGCCAAATTCTATTGAAATTGTTTTAACTTATTTAAATATTATAGAAGAAAATGCTAACATCTTTACTGAGCAAGATACAGAGTACGTAAATTTTATATACAAAATAGTAATACAAGGTCTTCTTCTTATAAAATCATCAGTGAAATTTCTTCATAATTCAGATATTTTATTAGAATGTAATAATGTTTTTATCTTAATTTCATCTAACTCTTTTAGTTAAATTGGGAGAATATAAACAAGAAATTGAAAAAACATATAAAATTTTAAAAGAAAATTTATTCAATTCAGAAATACTTCAAAGAATTTTTGAGATATTGATTACTAAATTTATAGTTTTAAAACCAAATGATCTTTTCGCTTGGGAAGAAGATCCTGAACAATGGCTTTTAACAGAGGAAAAGCAATCTTGGGAATATGAACTTCGAGTATAAATATTTATTTTTGAAATATTACTTAATATTATTAGCCTTGTGCAGAATCTTTGTTTATAGATATCTTTTCAATATATAACAATGTATTATCCAATTTTCTTATATCATTACTTCAAGCAGTAGAAAGTATAATTCTAGGATACAATATTTCATATTTCTCATGTGTTTAGTAACTTTTGATGAAAATACATTTTTTCTAAAAGAGGCTGTTTACAATGCTTTTGGGTTAAGTATTTGTTTTTTACCTGACTCTGTTGATTTTAATTATATTTTCATGAATTTTTTATCAAAAGACATACAAATACAAAATTCAAGGATTTCCAAAATTATATATAGAAGAATTCTTATACTTATTTCTCAATGGGTATCTTCAAAATCTTCAAAAAACATCCAAAACAATATATATACAATTATTGAAAGATTCCTGGGTCCATATGAAGAATCAAATGACCTAATTGTCCAATTTACGGCATCAATGTCTTTAAAACAATGTGTAGATGAATTGGATTTTGAAAAAGAACAATTTTATCCTTATTTAAAAAACATATTAGACGGTTTATTGCACTTAATAAATCGATGCAAACTTTCTGATTCAAAACTTAAGGTTTTAGAAGTTATTAATATAATTATAGAAAGAATGGGGCAGCAGGTTTGGATATAATATATCTATATATATATCTATATATGTATACATTTTTTAGATCTCTCCATATATACAAAGTATTGTTGATATATTACCATCTCTTTGGGAAAATTCTGAAGAAGGACATCTTATTAAAGCTACTGTTATTGTAACTTTAACAAAACTAATCAAAGTATATAATGATTTAAATATGATTTATCTTAATTATATTAGTCTCTTCGAGAAGAATCAGGAAAATATCATCCTCTGGTAATGCAATTGATTAGATATTCTATTGGTTCATCAATGGTATAATTATACTACTAGAGAAATTTATTTTAATATTTTAGAACACTTATATTTATTTGATGGAAGATGCTCTTGAATTATGGCATGCTCTACTTCAAGAAACTCAAAATTCATCTTTTGAAGTGTTATCTCTTATTCCTTTAGCTATAACCTGTTTAGATCATGGAGATGATATATTAAAAAAGGTATTTTATATTTTTGAAAGTTATATATTATTATCTGGAAATGAATTTATGAAGGTAAATACCTTTCACATTTTTCTTTATTAAATATAAAAAATTAGCTTTATTCTTTGCAATTTTTGACAAAACTTTCAAATCTTTTAGGAGAATTGCGGCTTGATGTATTCTATATCATAATAAAAGTACTTGATCTTGCATTTCAGACAACATCTATCCATTTATATTCAGATGAATTGATTAAATCCAGGTTTATTTTCAAAATATTGGAATCTATTATAATCAATCAAGTATTCTTCTCTTTTGTTAAATTAATTATTAAAAAAAAAAATCAGGAACCTAAACCCATCATTATACAATATTTTTCACTTATTTCTAGAATATCTATGCAAGATCCTTGTATAATATTTGATTTTCTAGCAAAATTTTCATTTCAACAAGATATATCAAGTAATGAAGAAATAATTAACAACTTTATAAATACATGGATTTCTACAGTAAAGTACTCTTTTCAATATTCTTTTATTAATTTCTGTAGTTTGATAATATTGGCAATCCTAAATATAGAAAACTAAATGTAATGGGAATAACTTCCTTGCTAATAACCAACAATCCTTATATTCTTGCCAATATAAAATCTCTAATAAATATATGGTCTGAAACTTTAAGCGAAATAAATGAAAATAAAGAAGGAGAGTTAGTATTTTCAATCATTTTTCTCTCATTTACAATTATAGTGCTCTTATATATTGGAATACACAAGATGATGAAAACGACTTGGATATTACAAATAATCCTGAAATGGCTCGTAGACAACAGGTATTTCTATTTAAAATAACTCAATTCAATTAATTACATTATATAGCTTATAAAACAAGATCCTATACACACAACTCATCTAGAAACATATATTCATCAATTTTTTTTTTCTTGTGTTGAAAAAAATAATGGGTTAGAGCAATTCAAAATAAACTATTAGACACAAGGCATAACTAATATTTTATGATAAACTAATATATATATAATATCGAAGATCGACTTTTTTTAACCTTTAAAAAAGCTTTATTATAATATTAAATATATTAGCTTTTAATTTAATATTTGAAAAGAGGAATATTAGTGCTTTAAAGGATCTATTTGATTTAGGACTGTATTTTTTTGATTTGGATCTTATAAATTTAAAAGTACTATTTTAAAGAGATTAAAAACAAATATTTGTTTGGAAATATTATTAGAATCTTGTTAAAAGGGTTTTAAACAATGTGGAGGCATCAAGGTTTATCTATTTGCCGAAAAAATGGGTTAAATCGGCTATTAAATGGGTTTTTTCCATATACTTTAACAAACTATATAATTTTTAAATTAAAAGGCACAATTTTAAATGATCTAAAATACAAATGGACATCTTTACATTCTAGAGGAATTCATGTGGATTCTGTTAATATGAATGTTTTAAAAGATATAGATTTAAGAGATGAAAGATTTGATGAAAATATATCTAATTCATCAAAAATAATGAAAATAAAGGACAAAATGATGCTAATACTTAGAAATAAAGAATCTAAGAAGAAGAAAGAATATAAATCTACAGCAGATTTGAGACGTGAAAAATTAGCGTCATATACAGCATGGAGTTTTATAGTAATGGGGTTAGGAGGAGCATGTTATATGGGACGTAAATGGACAGATGAGGAAATTAAACAATCTTTGAATGCAGGGGAGAAAGAGACGTCTACTTTTTTTGGGAGATTAAAACAAAGAACATCCTCTTTATTTAATGTTCGTTGATAAATTCCATTATATATTTGGTATATTGATATTTTCAGTATTACAATGAGCCGGCGTTTGATAAGCTTCTTCCTGATCCTCTTCCTGAGCCTTATCAACGACGATTCACTTTAGTTCTTGATTTAGATGATTTGCTTATTCATTCAGAATGGTCTCGTGAACATGGATGGAGAATTGCAAAAAGGCCTGGTCTGGATTACTTTTTATCTTATCTTAGTCAATATTATGAGATTGTTATATTTACCACACAATATGCTGCTGTATATTTTATGATTTTTATATTTATTCTAATATTACTAGACTGCTATACCAATTATACAAAAATTAGATCCATATAGAAGTTCACTTAGTGCAAGTCTATTCAGAGAGGCTACAAAATATGTTAATGGAAAGCTTGTAAAGGTAAAATCTAAATTTCTAAAAAAAAATCTAATAATTACAGGATTTAAGTTATATGAATAGACCATTAGATAAAATTATTATGCTTGATGTTAATCCAGATTCTTATTCTTTTCAACCGGATAATGCTATTCCCATGGAGCCATGGAAAGGAGATCTTAATGACAAAGAATTGATTTCATTAATTCCATTTTTAGAATGTTGTTGATATATTACTTTATTATATGGCTAATTTTTGATAGATATTGCATCCATGGAAGTATCAGATGTTCGTCCTGTCATAGCATCTTATAAAGGAAAACATATTCCTACTGAATGGGCACTTAGAGAAAAAATGTTAAAAGATAATATGAAAAAAGAATGGGAAGAGCAAAATAAAAATTCTAGCTCATGGGTCTCATTCTTATTAAATGGAACAACTGTAAATAACATTTATTTTAGTTTTATATGACTTATTTTATTAGAAACGTCCTTATCAAGTTCCTCAGTTAATAACTGATCAACAGAGAGAAAGAGCCCAGCATGTGTATGCAGAATATCAGCAATATTTAAAAGATCATGGAGAGGAAATATTAAATCAAGAAAAACAAAGAGAACGAGAACAGATGTCAGCTATGAAGACAAGTATAAATAGGTTATAATGATCATAATTTTTTAAAACTTTTTAATTTTTTTAGTTTAATATTTGAAGGGATTCCAAAACCTTCAGAACATACTTAGACATGTCAAAAGCATTTAAATATATATTAATTATCTTCTAATTGGTTACAATCATGTAAATAAAACATTAAAAAGAAACAGAATACTAAAAAACATTTATAATATCTGATATTTTAATAAATATTAATTCTAAGAAAATATCTAAATTGCTAGTATTTCTTTAAATATCTATAATATTAAATAAGACTATGTATTTAAAAAAATATGAATCTAAATCAATAATTATAAAAATTATCTTTATGAATAAATCGAATTTTACATATTTACCTATCAACATATAAAAACATTATGATTATTAAAAATTTAAATCCAGAAATATTCATATATAGACTTTATGTTTGTTTTTTTGGTATTTTTTGTAAATATTAAATTAACAATATTAACAATCAAGGCTAATTTTTTTTTTAATAAGTTAAAAATTTAATTATATTGACACCAAGTTATTAATCTCGTTATATTTAAATAATTCCTTGACTTAATCTTACTGCAGGACTCGCTTGAATCTTATCTAAATCAACTTTATGGCCAAGAAGATCTCTAATATTGTTAAGTTTATACTTAATCATAGTTGGTCGTTCCAAACTAAGACCCCAACCATAAACTCTAACATCTTTTGGAAGTCCCATAGGTTCTAACATCTAAAAAAAAGTTAGTTATAAACTATTTTTTTATATAGAATTTCCTCTGGTCGAAACAATCCACTATTTCCAATTTCAACCCAGCGTTTTAGACCTTCATGGTATGAATATATTTCAAGAGATGGTTCTAAAAATTAGCTAAATTGATATAATAATTGAAAATACCTGTATAAGGATTATATGTAGGTTTAAACTTTAAGTTTTTTACACCCATTTTACTATAAAATATATCCATAAAACCAATAAGATCACCAAGAGTTAAATTATAATCAGCAATAACACCCTCCACTTGATGAAATTCAGCCAAATGTGTTGAATCAACCGTTTCATTTCGAAAAACACGATCTATTGAGAAATATTTTGCAGGTCTAAATCCTCCTTCTTGATTTGCTAGTTTATAAAGCATAGCTGCAGATATAGAAGTTGTATGAGTACGTAATACAAGCCTTCTGGATTCTTCTAAAGACCAAGGATATCGATAACCAATAGATCCAAAATCGCCCTTTTCATGTACATGACGAACAGCTTCAACATATTGTTTTTCCTGAATAGGTTTGGATAAACTAGGTGTTTTGATATAAAATGTATCTTGTAAATCCCGAGCAGGATGTTGTTGAGGTACAAAAAGTGAATCAAAATTCCAAAAACATGATTCAACAAATTTATTAGTTGGCATTTCTTCAAATCTAGAAATAATAAGAAGTCATAATTATAAAAGCTTTTATATATACCCTAATTCAAGAAATATTAATCTAAATTCTTCCCTCATTTTTAAAAGTGGATGCAATGATCCAGATGGAATATTAGAACCTTTAGCATCAAAATTATATGGTTTAAATTCCATAGACTCATACAATTTTCTAGCAATAGTTAATCAATTGATCAATTGTTTTTAAATATTAGAATATTACGATTGCAGAATTGCTACAGTAAGATCTGTTATTTGTTCTTTAATAGAAAGTGAAAATTTAGGTCCTTTTTTTACTGAAAATGATATTTGTTTACTATTCAATATAAGAAAAAATAAAAAGACTTATGAAATCAACTTTTTTCCTAAAAGTTTACGTTTTCGAAGTTCTATAATAACATTAGAATCAGAATGCGTTCCATTTTCTTGTATTATTTTTAAATTATGAGCAACTTCATCGACAATAAAATCAACCTAGGATATTTAAAATATTCAGAAATTAAAAACTATTAAATATACATTTTTAACAAGATTATCTCCAATTTTTCTAACCCATTTGTTTTTAAAAACTTGTTTCAATCCATGTTCTACTGACGGTCCTATCTTAGACTTCAAAACATTTAATATCATTTATCATAAAAACATAACCTCTCTACCTGAAGCTCCTTAAGTGTTAATCCATTGATTGATGAACAAATTAAATTAAAAATTCTTGCTTCATAACTTCCATTCAAGACAATATCTTTTGCCTCTTCTGTCAAAAAAAAACATTCTTTTTCAATAATCTCATATGTAACCATCTTATTCATACATAAATACATGTATTTTTCTTGAAAACTAAAACTACCTCTCTGGTCATAAGAGAATTTAGGCATGCTTGAATTTTTTGCTGGTCAATTGCTTCTTTTTCGCCGTTTAAACGAAGCATAAGAGTATCCTCAATATCCCCCGTATTAAGGACGTTTAAAATCATTGTTTTAAGCCTATCTAGACCCTCCATTTTAAAAAAAATATTAAGTCCTAAAATACCCAAAAAAAACCCGTTTTAACCCCAATTTAAACGCTGAAAAAATGACATTATACATATACAATACGGCCAATTCAATATTCTAGGTGTTTTTCTTCAAAAATATCAAGAAATACCCCAATTTTAATAATTCAATTCACTCCAAAAATCTTATCGACGTTGAAATTTTTAAGTCCTTATACCCTCCTAAAAATATAGTAAAGACTCCCAATTTTTATTGTATTTAATAAATACAATAACACCCTATAATAACTCCATAATTTAGACATATTCAATACAAATGCCTCCTCCCATGGCTTATATATACACAATGTCCCCCCGATATTTTGCCGCAGACCTTAAGTTGTAAAAATGAAGTTTTCCTATATTAAAAAGATATTGCTAATTATATTTCCTTTATTGCCATTTTCCCTGGAATATAGTATTATTTTGAAATATGGAAACCATGGTTTAACCCATTTTATGTATAAAAAAGAAGTTTATGTTTTTAGAGTGTTTTTATGAAAAAATGAAAAAAAATGAGAAATTAACCATCAACTACCAAGTATCAAGTACTCAACAAGGAGAAGAGATGTTATTTGTTTCTTTTGATGTATTTTTTGTATTTTTTTAGAAAAATGATTAAGTAGTAGGTCTGGGATCCAGAGGAAAAGACAATGACGTCAGACCATGATTTATCATATAATGAGTATTCCTTTACAGCAGATATTAGTGGGAAGTATAAATATTGCTTTTTAAATGTTATTTTTATGTATAAAAATAACATATTAATATTTCAGTAGAAGGAGCATAGTAATATAGACATTGAGCTGTTTTTTAATGTCCATCATGTGAAGAATACACGTATTTCGGAAGATGCGTCTAGTTTCAATAATGAAGTTGTATTTCTTAATGAAGTTTTGATGGAGATAAAAGATGAGCAGGAATATTTGAAGGCACGTGAAAAAGTACATAGAAGTATAGCAGAAAATACAAATTCTCGTGTTCAGAATTGGAATATTTTTCAGATAATTATTCTTATTTGTCTTGTGCTTTTTCAGGTGTATTTTCTAAGAAAGTTTTTTGAAGTTAAACGAATCATATAAAAATCGTTAGGCATTAAGCATATGTTTACAAATTGAATTTTAAATAAGTCTTGATTTTTTAAGATCCTGTTTCTTTTTCGTTTTTTGATATGGCAGTAATATGATAAGTTGTTGCCAACATTTGTGTGATATTATCAGCCATTACAGCCTCTATTTTATTTTGTAAATGTTTACGTGGATCATGTTTTCCAATGTATCTACAAGATGATAAATAATTATGTATACATATATACATAAATATATAAATATATATATCTATGTATATGTATAAAACGCCTTACCTTGTTTTAAGTGAAGATGCAGTCATTCTGGTCTCTTCTTCTACTCTTTTTGTATAATTTTCCGACAATTTTAACATACTTTCTACGGATTCTTGATTCTTTTTGTCGTGAATTTCAAAATCTTCTAATATAAGACCGCTTGACCAAGTTTGTTTATGAAGATTTAGCAACATTGTTTCTTCTAACGCTGTTTTTCTATAATTAATAGCAATAGAATAATAATGTCTATTAACGCCTAAATAAATGTTATAAAAATTAAAAAAATAAAACTAGAAAAAAAAAAAACCATGGATTAAAGATTGTATAGAAGGCTTATTAAGATATCCGATATTGCTAGTCGTTTGTCTAGGTTCTTGACCCATCATAAGCATTGATGGATTTATTAATCGAAATGCATCAATAACAACCTTAATTATCAATGATAAAAAGTATAAAACATAGATTTTCACTTACTTTCCCCTTAACTGATTGAATAGGATCTACAACTACTGCTACCGCACGAGATGTAAGCTGTTCAAACGATTGTTGTGTATTAATATCAACCGATGATAACCAACAACCAAATCCTGGATGTGAATGATACCATCCTACTACATTATTCGGACTAAACATAGTTTAATCCAGATAATTATATGTATATATTATCAATACATACCGGCCTGTTTGTTTAAGCATTTCCATCATTTTTTGCTGAAATACCGGATCTACTGCTTCAACTGACACTCCTGTTCCAGACTGAGGCATAGCAAATACCTCATATAATTAGAACCTCCTTAAAATACTATTAAAACCCTTTTTCTTACATCCACCACATGAATTGTATATTCATCTACAAATTCTCCAAGCATCAATCCCATTACTTCCATAGGAACTCCCGCACGTCCTTCCCGATAAAAATTAATAGATAGAACATCGTCTTAATCATTTTACCATGTTTTAACATCTTTAAAAGCGCCAATGATGAAATATATACTGTTTCTGAATTATCAATTTGTGCTAAATCCTGATAAAATAGGTCAAATTTTTTCAAAAAAAAAATAAAAATAAAGATACCACTCCATTCTGCATTCCTGTCCCTATTCCAAGACCTCCAGATCCCTGTAGAAACTGTCTTAACCTCTCCATTTGCTTTATCAATATTTTTCCGGTCGATCGAAGTTGAAGCTAGTAAAACTCAGTCTGCCCTTAATATGTAAAAAATGAAGTTAACATCAATATATACTGATAAATTATAAAGAAATATTAAATATAATTCATAATATCTTTTAAATAATATTATGAAAAATATTTTTTTAAGTTAGTAGAAATAAACCAATTATATATGTGATATATATGTGATAGATGTGATTGATATATATGTGATAGATATATGTCTATAGAAATAAATTAATAGATATGTATTTTTCTAGTAAAGAATTTAAAGTCTCACCTTATTTGTATGCTTATATGTTTAGATTTTTATGTTTTGAGATAATCAAAATTTTGTCATTGAGTATATATTTTAACTGAAGTGAATTGTGATAATTTTTTTATATTTCCAGAAAGATTTGGTCATTTTATTTATCTTTTGATTCATATCTAGGTTTTTTTATCAAGTTCCATGTATAATCTTTAGAATATTGTTAATATTTTGAGTCATTAATGGATATCATTTGCGTAAAAAAATCAATTTGTTAAGATATAACAGGAAATCACCTCTAGTTTGTATTCTTATGAAGTAGTCTTCGAGAGTATTTATTTTTTTGCATAAGTATCTGCTGCTGATATAGTGTGTTTGAGAGATACTAGATTTGAAAAAATAAGACATGGTTTTTTATAAAAAGCATTTGATTTCTATGTTAAATTTAGAATTTTAAGAGTTTTAGATATATAGTAGATATCTAGATCGTTTAATTTGATATAAAAATTAAAAGGTATTTACCATTTTCTTTATATACTTTAATAAATCCATAGAAAGGTATTATGCTCGATATTTGATGATATACACGAAATATCAGATTTCTTTAGATTCTTACTAGATTGATCTCTTTTTTCTTATCATTATGAATATGCTTTAACTCATTAAGAGAAACTTCATGTGAAATTTCATTAGGACCGAGATCAAACAATGTTGGTACAGTGATTATTTCATTAGTAATATTTCCAACCATGTCAATTACGCTGTAATCATCTTTTCAGGAAACAATTGCATCCCTTTGCCAATCATTTGTATAAAAAGATTATAGGACTTTGTCGGACAAGCCAATAATATGCAATTAATGTTTGGAATATTTGTTCCTAAATGAAATTAATTCAATTTTTCAACTCATATTTTATGAAGAACCTTCTGTTAAAATACTTAGAATTCATATTAAGCAATCATTTTATTTATATCTATAGGCTTATCACAATTAATTAGTAAGGGATATTCTTGTTTTTGATTTTGGAGTTTTCAGAGTAACAATCCTACTATCTATACCATAAGAACGAAATATATTTGCCACATCTATTTAATACGTGATTGAAATACAAAATACAAGAGTTGATTTACAAAATGCTAACATGTGAATCATTTTTACAGCATCAAAGTAAACATATATGCTTTTTTCATCCATGTGCAAACACAAATATTGTTTGTAGGCCATGTATTAACAATAAATGATAAAGTTTTCCTTCTGAAATCCCAGAATTGATTATCCTTAACCTTAGATAAATCAATTGACTGTTAACCATTGTAAACGAAACATTATAAACCCTAAGATCTAAGTTTAATCAATAAAAATCAATATCAATACCATTTTTCATTAATTAGATCTATTAGATCACTATTCATACTTAAAATAGGATTCTCATTTAAGCCTTTTCTTTATCGACGATAAACGATATGGTTAATAGTAACGTCTAATTAAATCCATTTAAACGAAAAATCGTAGCAGATATACCAATCACAATGATTCTAATATCTGAATTTAATGCTGAAAAATGCCTTAAGATACAAATATAACTAACAATTGCTGCATAATGAACTTCATCAATTAAAATATGTTTAAATAGATTTAGATCAAATCTTTTTCAATCTTTCATAAGATATCAATGTATAGACCGATACAATTGTAGTGTAAGAGAATCCCTATCCATTCTTTCTTGCCATTTCTATATCAATTATCTAATCTATATCAATTTCCTTAAATACGGCCTATTTTTCCCGGAAAAAAACCCTTTTCTGGGTATAAAAAAAGATTCTTATCAAATATCCTCTAAACTAAATCTCATCTATATCCAATAATAAGCATCTGAGCCATATCTGGATCAACAGGTTTAATTCTTTCAATTAAATTGGAAAAAATAAGCTAAAAGTCCTATTATTCACCTATTTTGATGCGAAAAAAAACGTAATTAATTGTTTTATCATTTCCTATAACTTAATATATGTAAATCTTTCTTTTTCTCTTCATAATACCTTCTAAATAGGCTCGTATACTTGCTTCCTGGTATGATCGAAGAGGGCTCCAACGGACGCTCAAAAATCGATACGGACCAAAATATCTTTCTAACTGAGGCATATATAAATACACTGAGATCTAACAAAGAGCTAAAAATAATCAAAAAAAATAAGTTATTTATTTATTTATATTTTATTCAAGTTGATTCATTTTTAAAATTATGACTTGTCCCTGTACTCAACTTCAAGACGCTATTAATGAGGTAATAAATTCTATCGATACAGTATAGAGATGCTATACAGTTCATGCATATAATACGCATATACTACGCATATATTCCGCATATATTCCGCATATATTCCGTATATATTCTGTGTATTTCAAAGATACATTAAAAATATGCCAACAAAACGTTAAATGCATGTTTAAAAATCATTCATATACATCATTTTTGATTATTTATATCGTTTATATCAATATTTATCCCCTTCAAACGTATAGCTAATATATTCAAGTTGGCTACTCAATTTTATACAATTCTTGAATATCTTAATACAGCACATGATTTTGTGCCTTTAAATGGTCAAACTAAAGCTTCTGATCCATCTGGTATCTTTTTTTTATATATTATTTTACATTTTTATTAATATATTTAGTTCATCCTGAAGATACGGACAAATTCATCGGTACAATACTCTTCCATACTATCTTTTATTAAATTATACAGAAACTCAGCATAAATTATCAATAAATCTTATTGAAAAGATAAAACAAATCGATCTATTAATCGATACATTGCCTAGTCTTTACGAAACTGAACAACAACAACTCACTCAATTAACTCAATTGCAAAAACAATTACAAGAAATAGGTCAAAAAAAACATTCTCTTCAAATTCAGAAAGATCTTTTACAAAAACAACTTGATAAAATTATACTTCATTTTACTGCTATTCGTAATCATCTCTTCATGCTTGGATGAGGTTGTCATGGCAACTCCTATTAATAAATGATACCCTAATAATATCGACTAATTCAAGGTTACAAAGATTAATGAATCAATATTATAATAACCCTAACCCTTAACTCGCTCATAACCCTAAACTGGATTTTACACTTGTTTTAAATTTGGAACATATTTAAACAACATAAAACCATTTTTCTGGACTTTACTTGGTTCTTCTGTTTAAGTATTATATTAAATATTATGTTTAATATAATATACATTCTTCTAAACCTTATTTAACCCTTTTCTAACCCTTTATAACCCTTTACAACCCTTTATAACCCTTGTAACCCTCATATAACCCTCATATAACCCTCGTTTAACCCTCGTATAACCCTTATCAAACAAACCCTTTATTTCCTCCCCCTATGCTTTTATTAAACCGCTCTCCCTCTATTTAGCTGATTGCATAGAGGGTTGATTTAATAAGCAATACATATTACAATACTTTTAAATATTTAAAACCTCATTGAAAACAATTAATTAAGTTAAGGTTTTTAGGGTATTTTTGATTGGGGCTTTATCATAACATTTTTCATATAAAGAGTCGATTTTTTATTTTTTAAGACTTTTTTCACACTCGTTATCCAGAGGGGTCATCTGGTGGGGTTTATTGTATAGTGTTAACATAGTATAAAGACGAGGGGAAGTCAGTGTTGGAGTGGTAAATTATACAGAATAAGGCTGATATTTAGGGTTAATGAATTTAGATTTTTTTCTTGTAATTGTGAAAGGGTTAACTGCCTTTATCGTATAATAATCGAAGGGTTTTTCTTAGTAGAAAAAGGGATTGAAGAGGAAAGGTCAACGGTTGTCAGGAAGCTGCTTACAAGCGGGGATGCAGACAAAGCAGCGTTCCAATTCAGATGGTATTATTGAGGAAAATAAGTAATAAGATATTTAAAACAAAATATAATTTTTAAAATCTATTTATTAGTATATCAACAAGATATCTTCCGAGAAGTAATACAGTTTCATTGCCGATTTCAGGATCACCGGTTTGTCAGAATTGTGCAACGTCTATTACTCCTCTTTGGCGTCGAGACGAATCAGGTGCTACCTTATGTAATGCATGTGGGTTGTTTTTAAAACTCCATGGTTGTTCGAGGCCGACCTCTCTTAAAACTGATATTATAAAAAATCGAAATCGGATTAAAAATACGAGGACTAGATCGATAGAATCGTCAGAAATTGTAGGGAGGACGACTCGATCAGGTATTAATAGTCCTTCTGAGGAAGAAAATAGATATCCCGTAGCGAATCCCAGTGCGGGACATCAAACATCTACAGTCGTTGGACAAAATGATGTGTTTTATGAAGGGACGATTGCTAGAAATACAGGAGAAACGGTTCCAACGATTGATAGTTTATTACAAGCAAATGCAGCATTACGAACACGTGTATCAGAATTAGAATTAGTTAATGATTTATTTCGATCAAGAGTATCGGAATTAGAAATGAATGAAGCACAAATGAGACGTCAAGATGCAAATCTTAATGATTTAGATCGACAATTGAGACAACGAGAAGCTGAATTGCAAAGACGAGAAGCTTATTTACATATTTTGATGCGAGATATGCATCATGATTTAGAACAAGAAGAACAGCACAAACGTAAGAAAATTCGTGTATCAGAATTATTAGAAGAAACGGAATCTTTTTTAATCAACGCTTTGCCTCTTGAAAGTGGAACTAAAAAAATAAAGATCGAGCATCCTATTTTAAGCGCTATCTAATTAATAATATAAACGAGATATCTCGTTTATATTATATTTAATTCATTATATATATATATATTTTTGTTTCAATACGTTTTTGTCAGTATCGACTATATCTATACAGATTCATAAGTCGTTTTTTTTTCTCAATTTCACTGTCAGATCAACAAGGTCTTTGGTGATCATTTCTATATGTTTCTTATTATATCTAACTATCTAACTAAATAACTAATTATTCATTTATATATTTACACGCATAATCAATAATTTTTGTATAAAGAAAAATAACTATTTTATAAATATATTTTAGCTCGTTATTATATTTCTATTTAATTCTTTTATATTATACATTATTTTTTGTATTTTATAATATTTTTTATTCCCACCTAATATCTCTTTCTTAACCTCATCTATCTGATGAATATAAAATATAAAAATGTGGATAATCCTTTTGATTCCATTAATATTGATTGGAGGGATTTTTATGAGCAGCAGATGGATTATTTCATGTTTTAGTCATCTATCTTTCTCTATTTTCCGCAAATTTTCATCATTTAAGTCATCCAAGTAAGTTTTCTAAAGTCTTACATGCATATATAACGAGAAATCTAGTTTTTTAACGCGAATTCTATATGCATTATTGTTTATTCTTAATTGTCTGGTAGAATATTAAGTATATATTTAAAGAAATCTATGAATATATGTAGTTTTCATGGTTAATGAGGTCAAACTGGGCAGTTAAAAAACTAGAGAAATTGACGCCGGGAATAAGGATATCATGTCCAGAAGAAAGGTGTTATGGAGTATTATCGGTAATATAAGAGAGATAATGTTTTTTTCGGGGGGTTTTTATCATATTTTTAGGTTCATAGGATTAATTTTTCATTGGGTCTTTTACATTTGATTTTAGCGGGGTTATTAGTGGGAGTACGATCTAATAAACAAAAGAGAGCATGTATACAAGATGGGTATGCATATTATTGTTTTTTTTTCTGAATATTTTTTAAAAATATTGAGTTTTTGGGCATTTAAAATTATTGGATGGTCTTTAATTGTAATGACGGCATTTTTAATTAATGATTCTTTTTTTATTTTTTGGGGAAATTATTTTTCTTTTATAGGATCAATTATGTTTATTCTTTTTGGTTTGTTTTTATTAATTGACTTTGCTTATTCATGGGCCGAAATTTGTTATCAAAAATATGAAATAGCACAAAATAATCTATGGAAAACATGTCTTGTAGGGTCTACACTTTTTATGTATTTTGCGACTATTATTCTTATGCTTGTGATGTATGAATTGAATCAAAAAAAAAAAAGAAAATATTTATTATTTTAGGTGTATATTTTTTGCAAAACCGGGATGTTCTTTGAATCAACTTGTTATTTTTATTAATTTTATTTTTCTACTTGTTATTACGACTATATCTATTCATCCTACGGTTCAGGATTATAATCCTCAATCAGGACTTGCACAATCAGCTACAGTTTGCTTATATACAACTTATCTTACAGTATCGGCACTTTCTAATGAACCTATTGATCCTAACAATCCTTTATGTAATCCAATGGCACATCCTTCGCATACAAAAACAATTAATATTATTTTTGATGCTATTTTTACATTTTTAGCAATTGCTTATAACACATCTAGAGCAGCTGTGCATTCAATTTTCCTTTATTCTAAAAATGATTTTCTATATTATGAAAGGTTAAAGGAAGAGAATGATGATGAACCTATAATTGACAAGTCTTTACATGAAATGAAGTTAAGACAGAAACTTTTAGAAGCATCGGTTGAAACTGGGTATTTTATATTGCGTATTGGATAAAATTTTAATTGCTTATGATTTAGATCTCTTCCACCTTCTGCTCTTAATGATTCAGATGATATTTTTAATGATTTGTCCGATAGGAATTCTGTTGAATATAATTATTCTGTAAGTTTTTATTTATATTAATTTAATATTATTAATATTTCTAGGTTTTCCATTTTATATTCTTTCTTGTAAGTCTTTTCTTCCTATAAATATTAAATTGAATATTTAAAAAGGCGACATGTTATACAACATGTTTATTAACTGGATGGTTTTTTTTTCTTAAAATCTTTTTTTTATCTAAAATCTTTAGGGGCACCTTAAAAACACAAGGGAACAAATATAATGATAATGGACCTTTTCTTGCTATCGGGTATAGTTATTCTATTGTATGGTATGTATACATTATTTATATTTAATTGAAAATCACTTAATTTTTTAGGATGAAAATCTTTAGCTCTTGGATTTGTCATGGGCTATATAGTATGTTGTATTTATTCTTTAAATGGATACTAATTTAAATTATAGTATGGACATGTATAGCACCTGTTCTTTTTCCTGACAGATTCTATTGATTTTTTATCTTCTAATATGTCAATTATTTTATATAAATTTAGTTTACAGCTAACGTATCTCAGAAAACTTTAATTATATTTATTTGTAGATATAAAGGGTTTGATCTTATTTGTTTAAATAATTAATTGATTTTATCGACTTATGGATTAATGATAAAAAGATGGTAAAATATAAAAATAAGGAGAGAACTCTAGAATGCCAGGGACAGGAGTCTTTTGGTTCTGATATCTATATTAAAAATGGTCCATTAGATGCTAATGTGGAAATGATTTTACCAGATGAACAAAAGCAAAAAAAAAAGCTGAAAGAGCAGGTATAAGAATATTATAAACTAAAATCATTGTTCTTATGTGTATATATGTTAATAGATGATGTCTTTTTCCTCCAGAAAAAAGATGTCAAGCAAGAAAAAAAAGCGTCTTGATAAATATATTGTAAAAAACATATTGATATGGACTTTATATTAATAAAAGACCAGGAAAATAAGCTTAGAAAATATGAGAAAGCGGATCTTATGCTAAAACTTAGGTTCAGAACAAAAGAAGTATGTTTTTCATATTTATAAATATATAGTCAATATAAACATAAATCTGGTATGTTTTATAGCTCGAAAAATATAGGAAGAAAAGAGAAAAGGAAGAAATATAAAAATGGAGGGCTTTCTGATATTGGAAGTACCCTTTCTATGTCAAAAGATTCAACAGATTGCCCACCAGAACAAGATTTATATATGTCAGAAAATGAATCAGTTAATCCTTTAATAAATGATTCAAAACAAACAGAGGAAACTCAGGATATGATTCTAAATGGTACATCAATGAAGAGAAATTCAGAACTTGCATGTGTTTCATTTTCTATATTGGAAAAAAAGAAGAAACAAAAAAAACAGAACAATTGGAGAGAAATTGTGGCACTTCGTAAGGGAAAAGGGCTTCATCAGCTAGAGGATGTAAAAGAAAGTACTACTGATCAATCTATGGATCGAGATAGTGAAGAATTGGAATCAAATGACGAGGAAATGGCTGATGATGATGTGCAACCAAGTTTTTCATCAAAAAGTGATGAAAGTAGTGTAAATAGTAATATTCAAAGTGATAATGACCTATCCGCAAATGAATCATTATCATTCGATGCTACAAATGTTTCTGAAAAACCAGAAGGATTTAATGAATGGGCAAAAAAACAAATGGAAATCATTGAAAAAAAAAATGATAATCCAACAAATATTGATAGTTTAGAAAATAGTAGGAATGCTTTCAAAACGTTTATTCCAAGAGATCCATTTAGAGATTTATCTCCTCCTCCTGAAAATATATCATCAAATCCGGATTTTAAAAGAAAAGTATACATAAAATATTGATAATTCCTTTTTTTTTAACGAGTGTATTTAGGCTTTCTATGTTAATATAAAACGAAGTGAAGATGTTGAAGAAATTCGTTCAAATCTTCCAATTATCCTAGAAGAACAGCAAATTATGGAGGCAATATTTAACAATCTTTGTGTTGTGATATCTGGAGAAACAGGTTCTGGAAAGACTACACAAATTCCACAATTTCTTTTTGAGGCTGGATTTGGTAATGATCAAAGTGATACTCCTGGAATGATTGGAGTTACACAGCCAAGGCGTGTCGCTGCTATTAGTATGGCTAATAGGGTTGCATATGAATTGGGAGAACTAGGGGAAAAGGTAGCATATCAGGTATTTCGTATATATGTTTTCTGATGTATTGAATATTTATTTTATTATTTCAGGTTAGGTTTAATACAAATATAAAATCTTCTACAGCTATAAAATTTATGACTGATGGTATACTTCTTCATGAGCTTTCTTCCGATTTTCTTCTTAGAAAATATTCTGTAATTATTATTGATGAAGCTCATGAAAGAACAATTAATACTGATATTCTTATTGGAGTATTAAGTAGAGTATTAAAATTGAGGCAAGAAATGAGTATGGAAAAGAATTCTGATGTTAAGGTTTGTCATTGTATAACTTGGTTTATCTATATTTAATTTGTATAGCCTTTGAAATTGATTATTATGTCTGCTACTCTTAGAATAGATGACTTTATAAATAACAATAAACTTTTTAATCCACCACCTGTTTTAATAAAAATTGGTGCTAGACAATATCCGGTAATGTATATTCATTTGTATTATATTTCTAATTCTTTTTAGGTATCAATACATTTTAGTAGAAAAACAGTACATTTAAATTATGTTGAAAAATCATTTGAAATAGTTTGTAAGATTCATAGGAAACTTCCTCCTGGAGGTTTTAAATACTCTTTTTCATTACTATCACTAATTTTTTAAGCTATTTTAGTTTTTTTGACAGGACAAAATGAGATAAAACATATGTGTAAATTACTATCTAGAACTTTTCCGCAAGCAGAAAAAACAACACAATCAACAACTCAATTATCTGTTAAATTTCCTACAAAAGAAGGTATTTTTATGTTTATTAATATAGAAATTTTCAATAACTTTTTAAGGTTCTTTGGAAGCAGAAGATATAGAATTTGATGTTTTTAATGGAGATAAAGTTGATTTATTTGAAGAAGATGATGACGTTGATATGGATAATGAAGATGAATATAATTTTGATATGCCGCTCGATACTTCAGAAAATATACCTAATATTTTAAAAGTTATTCCATTATATTCTTTACTTCCGACAGAGGAGCAACTTAAAGTCTTTGAACCTGTTCCTAAGGGTGTCAGGTTATGTGTTATTGCGACTAATATTGCTGAAACAAGCTTGACTATTCCAAATGTACGATATGTTGTTGATTCTGGAAGAGTAAAAGAATGTATCTATGACGAAATATCTGGAGTACAAAGTTTTAATATCCAATGGATAAGTAAGGCAAGTGCAGATCAGCGTTCTGGAAGAGCAGGAAGAATTGGTCCAGGACATTGTTATCGACTTTATTCATCTGCGTTTTTTGACAGAGAATTTTTATTGCATTCAAAACCCGAGATTTTACGTATGCCAATTGAAGGTATATACTTGATATCAAGGAATTTTCATTTTTTTAAGTTTTATAGGTGTAGTTTTAAAAATGAAGAGTATGAATATTGACAATATATTAAATTTTCCTTTTCCTACTCCTCCAGAAGAACGTAGTTTAAAAAAGGCTATAGATGTATGTATTTTACTTATATTTGAGTTGATCTAACTATATTTTTAGTTATTAATGTGTTTAGGTGCTCTTGATAAACAACATAGAATAACCAACCTTGGGAAAGTGATGTCGCTTTTTCCATTGGCCCCAAGATATGCTAAAATGCTTATAATTGGGCAACAGCATGAATGTCTTCCATACATTATTGCTATTGTTTCAGCACTTTCTGTTGATGATCCTTTTATGAGGAAAAATGAATTGGAAAATTATAATATTAATAATGGAGAAACGTCTGAAGAAGAAAGTGATTATGAAAAAGAGAAATCTGTATCAAGCTTTTCAGAAAAAGAAGACAAATTGAAAAAAAGGAGCAAATATATAGAACTATCTAATGCGCATAAGCAATTTTGTGGTTTAGATAGCACAAGTGATATATTGAAACTTCTTAGTGCAGTTTGTGCATATGCATATGATGGAGAAAAAGATGATTTTTGTATTAGGAATTTTTTAAGGATTAAAGTTGGTTTAATATATAATTATGAAATGTTAATTTTGGTTAGAGTATGAAAGAAATTCAAAAACTTCGGCATCAGATTACAGACATTCTAAAATTAAATTTTCCAAGTGCTATTACGGAATACAATGCAATTTTGAATCCTCCGTCTACATTACAGGTATTAAAAAATATGAAATTTAATTCACTCTATTGAAAAAAATAGATTAATGCGATTAAACAAATTGTTGCTGCTAGTTTTATTGATCATATTGCTATCAGAGGAGATTTATTACCAAATTCTATACAAACTAATTCTAAATCTAAAATCATATATACACCTTATTTTACTCTATTTCCTACAATATCAAAACACACTGATTCCATGGAGACTAATGATGATCCTGCTGTTTATTTACATTCATCTTCAATTATGACAAATATAACTGATCCTCGTCTTTTTCCTAAATATATTATTTATCACACTCTTTATCGTTCTTCAAATTCATCTAAAGTCAGAATAAAAGCTCTTACAACAGTAGAACCCAATAATATTTCAGGATTAGCAAAATCAACACCTTTATTAACATATTCGAAACCTTTGGAATATCCTTGTCCACAACTTATTCCTGAATCTGATGGATTAAAGAGGAAATGCTGGGTTATTCCAAGATTATGCCCTCATAATGGACAAGGAAATAAAAGTTGGGATTTACCTCCTAAATTAATAACACAAAAAAGAATAGCTGGTTCTCGCTGGGAAATTATAGATGATTAATATAATTAAAAATATGCAAATTATTTAATATTCATTTTTAAAGATAAAATTTATATATAACAATAATTCTTTATTTCAAAGAAAACTATTTAGTTTTATCTTAACTAACTTTTTATCTTATCCTTTATCTTGTCGTTATCTCTTATCTTATCTCTTATCTTATCGGTTATCTCTTATCTTTTTTCGATTCAACTCCACCTGTAAATTCTCAACTACTGTTTAACTAGATTATTCAATTATAAAAATTAAATAGAATAATCATAAAATAACTCATTATAATCTATAATTACATTATAGATATACAATTAGATCTGTATACGCTTATACTGTATACACTATATACACTATATACAATATACCCTAACCCTAAACTACAAACTACAGACTACAAACTACAAACTACCCCTTACATTCTATATTCTAAACCCTAACCCTATACAGTAACCCTAACCCTGCGCTCTACCCCTTTACTCCTGTACCTTAAAATATCTCCACTTTAATAACCCCACTTTAACATTTCAACCTTGTACCCTAACCCTAACCCTAAGCTTGATCCTACCATGAAAAATATACTTTTCTTCTAACCCTAAAAGAAGAGTAAACTTTAACCTTAAGAGTATACTTTAATAGTTAACCCTAACCCTGGCCCTAGATAGTATACTCTACACCCTGGCCCTATACAGGATCTAACCCTAACCCCTAACCCGTACCCTGGTCATCTCTTAACCTAACCCCTAACTATACCCTAACTATACTATGACTATGCCCTAACCCTAACCCCGCCCTCTCTACTCTCTACTCCCTCTTCTTCTCAATAAAACTCCCTTATCACTTTCAAATAATACACTAAAATCATAAATTCACCACATATAAACATCTCCTTCTTATATATATCTATTTTATCCCTCTATTCTTCATCCCCCCTTCCATCTTCTCTATGCAGCCTCTTCCTTATCGAGTGACACATATATCGATAAGTTCCACGTAACGATTTCGTAAAAACAAAAGCGTACAGTAAATTAGAGGGTTTAAAATACCTATTTATGAAGGTTAAGAATGGGTTATAAAAGGAACATAAAAGAAGTTTAAGAAAAACATGTTAAAAATGGAAAAATTTGAGAGAAACAGGCGTAATAGCGATGCTTGGATGAGGGTTAGAGAGGGTTTAGGTTTAAGAGAACCTAGAGACGCGTTAAGAAGAGGAAAAGAGGGAATCTTATTGGGAACATGGCATAAAGAAGAACAAGAAGGACAAGAAGGACCTCCGTCACGGAAATCATCAGTGACGTCGGATACATCTCAGTCAAGTGGACAAACTACAATATCAGGGGCAACTACCCCAGAGGATGAAGTAGAACAACGGGAAAATGGTTCAGTAGTACTTCATGGAGGAGTCATTTCTATTTCTACACATGTTGGGCTTTTTCAGAATAAAAAACATGAATATTTAGTGCTTACAAATGAAGAATTATACAAGTTTAAATCGCGAATCAAGGCGGTGATGGCGTTTCCTTCGTAAGTGGGGGGTTAGGGTTAGGGTTAGGTGTTGATGATAGGGTTAGGATTGCACCGATTAACCAATGTGATGAGAAAATATCAAAAGTCCATACGATTCATGGAATATTTAGAAAACAACGTATGGAAATGGATCGACCTTCATTGTTACTTTGTCGTGTAAGTGAATTTATAGATACAGTTTTTTTTTGCTGTATTTTAATGTATGAAAATTTATATTTATATGATTAATATATTTTAGATTATAGCTATTAGGGAGGTAGGGCCGGCGAGTTTTTCAATTTATTATGATGATCCGTTTTTATCGTCATCATCATTTTCTACGGTGTCGATTGTTACATTACATTATAGGTCGAGCGATATTATGCGATGTTGGATTATACATATTCGAGCAGCAGTGCAGTTACAATGTGTTTCAGGAGCATTTTTGTCATCTAAGCAATTTGATTATGTTAAAAATTATATGAAATATTCATACGAAAATAATATAGTGTCAGAGCAGAATTTTAAAGCATTTCGAGTAGTCCAGAAATTGTCTAAATCATCACGGTCTGATTCTGGACATGATGATATAACGAAACGAGTTTTTGTACCCCGAATTCTTGTAATTGGAACATATAGCATTCATATTTTACCTATTCCATCTTTGGAATATCCGGCATTTTCTACGAATACATTTCGACCTTTTGATATACCCACATATGGTTTGTTATCTCTTTCTTCTATAATCATGTCACCCAATGATGATTATATGCGCTTATGGTTTCAGATTCCATGTAATTCGACGAATTGTCTAGACTTTGCTTCTTGCAAGTCAGACGAGATTATGGCTATTATAAAAAAGGCGATTGACCAATTGCGACCGCATTGGCCAAATACGCCTCTTTCTATAAATTTGTCTCAAGATTTTGAAGCATTATCTTTATCTAAAAAATCTGAAGATATTAAAACAAATATAGAAAGCTTTCAACATACTTTAAGAGGCTATGCTATAAGTTATGGAGTTGATGCATCTAATATTTATTATCAAATTTATCAGAAAGATTCTAAATCAATATTTCGCTTGCTACCACCAACACAATTTGTTTTGAAAAAGTCATCTAATAAAGATTATTCATTGCTTGAGCTGCTTGCTGTGTTTCGTTCTTTACGCTATCAGTCATTTAATGAAATCTCTTTTGTAGATATTAATCTTAGCTGTTTAAAAGCGAAAAAATATCGTCATGATGATACCAATTTTCATGAAAGAGCTATACTTAATTTAAAAGCTGGCTTAGGAAGAGGTTCTGTGCTTCAAGAAGAATTGCGGGATTTAGCTATTTTTAACAAGTCCCTTATTAAACTTAATTTATCTGGTACTATCCCAAAAGCTTGTATGTCTAATGATTCGGATGAAAAAGGTTCAGAAGTGGTTGCAGCTTTAATGCCACTTAATAGGCATGAAATAATAACACAAGTTCGATGTTTTAATTTTTCTAAAATTGAGTTGGATTCGGTTGATGTTGATTGGCTTTGTATGATCTCTTTCTTTTTTTTTTTTTTTTTTTTCTTCAAAATATATTAATGACTTTTTAGTGGACGCTGTAACAAATAGACTTACTCGTTTAGAGGGATTAGAACTTAGTAAATGTGGTTTATCATGTAGAAGCTTGTCTATTTTGCTTCAAGGTCTTGAAATTCAACATAATACTATGATGGTTTTAGATCTTTCACATAATCCAGGATTGGTTGAAATTAACGCTTTAAATGATACCCTTTCAAAGCTTTCTTATTTAAAAGTATTACGACTAGGCTATTGTATATTTGATCTTCCTGAAACCTTTATTCAACCTCAATCACTTTATTCTTTACGACTTCATGAGCTTTGCTTAGATGGTATTATATTGTCAGAAACTATCATATATTTGATATCTCTATATCTCTCTGATTATGCTTCTTTTTCCCTTAGAATTCTTTCATTAAAATCTTGTGGAATAACAGGGACTAATTTTGCAAAGATACTTAACGCTATTAATCTTGTGGATCAACCACGAGATGAAAGATTGCAAATACTTGCAGGAGATAATAGATTATTTGATGGTCATGATGAAATTGTTTCTTCTATTTTAATGGGACGTGGTCCTGCAAGAATTTCAATAGCTAGTCTTGATTATTCATCAGAAGAACAATTTCAATATCTTTTAAAGGCTATTACTGTATCTAAACATATATCTCATTTAGATATATCTAGAATTGGGCTCCCATATGAAGCTTCTAAAGAAACTTGCAAATATTTAGCTGAGCTTTTTGAGAAAAATACTTCTCTGAAAGAATTAGATTTGACAGGTGAAATAGGTTTGCTTCAGACCACTGGTTTTGGTAGCGGGATTGCTCAATCACTAAAATCCTTGGAAAAAAATAAATCTCTTGAAGTTTTAAAAATTGAAGGAAATTCAATAAAAGAAAAGGGTGCGGAAATAATAGCCAATGTACTTTTGGTAAATACAACGCTTCGTAGAATTGATCTTGATAAAAACATGGTAAGTTTACGTCGGATTATTTAAATCATTCTTACGAGGAATCTTAGATTAGTTTCAAAGGGTTTAGCGCTATTGTTTCAGCAATGGCAACAAATTCAACTGTTATAAAATTGTCCCCTCTTATACATGATTATGAACATCATTTATTACATATATCTATCGATTCAAATGCTGCCCTCAAATCTAAAACTACTTTTTCTTCTGTTAAAAAGCGACATTCTATATGTTCTAAGGATTTAAATCTAATTAGAGAATCACTTAAAGGTACTTCTAAGGTTTTGAAAGAACAATGGAATAGAGAAGCAATGAAATTAGAATCTTATCTTACACGAAATCGATTAAAGCTTAACACATAAGAAACGCTAATGCTTATATTAATTTAGAATTACCATTACTCATAATTACATGATTATTGGATTATATTTATTCTAGAGAATATTTCATTAGGGTTATATTTTCTTGGATTAAAACATTATTTACATGGAAATCAATTAAAATTGTATATTCTTAAGCAAATATAAAAAGGTATCAAATAAACATTTTTATATATCTTTTTTTATAATTAATTTTTCATAATTAATTTATGAAAAAAATACTGCTCTTGGATCTGTAGGCTTCCCTGTTTGTGGGTCAATGGAATTATATTTCATACGTTCCTGATTAAATATAACCCTGGCTTCATCGAACCCACATTTATACTTATTCATAATATGATAAATCTCCTCTTTACTACAACTATCAAGACCTGCCCTACTATCTTTATTTTCAATATTTTGATAAAGATCAAACGTTTTTGATGAAAATCCTTCTTCTAAGTCTGTTTGAAATGACGATTCTACTCGAGAATATTGTTTATTCCCTCTAAACCATTTCAAAGGTATATAAACCTTATAAAACCGCTTCATTATTAATAAACCTACAACTTATTAATATGTTTTTTCATGTTTTTTTGCACAAAAAAAAAACATGAAAAAAATACAAAAAACATAAGAAATATCCATGCAATAAAGAGACGCATCTTTCCTCTTATTTTATATTTTTTTGTTAATTTTTTTTTCCACCTGGTGACTTAGTATGGGACGGTTCTACCAGTAATATAGAGCCTTCGACAAAATATACGGAAAAAAGAGTGCAAAAAAATGGGCAATTTAAAGGATAATTCGCTGTTAAATAAGCCTAATTTTTATGAATCTTTATCAGGAGATGTTGTTTGGAGTTGTTTAAAAAAAAACGCATCATTTTTGGTGAAACAGAGAGGTAAATAAGGATGATTAAAAGAATTAGAATTGATGGTATTTTTTAGTAGGAAAACCGGTAGTTTTTTCAAGGGAAAAGGTTAATCTTGTTAATAAACATGTATATTCTTATTGTGGTCTTTTGAACGATAAGGTTAGACGAGTTTTATGTGAAAATATGATATTTTTTATATCAACAAATATTTATAGGGATTGGGTATTGAATCAGGAAAAAACAATAAAGGATTAGTAGTTTTTATGAAGAATTGTCATTTAGAAGGCAGAAATCGGCCTTCTTCTATGCTTCGTAAGGTATACTATGGACCAAAATCTCATTGTTATACGGTTCAACGTATTAAGCGATTATTGGTTAAAAAAGAGTATTCCCTAAAGCTTCAGAGTGTAAGAAATAATATTCTTTGTTTTTTTATACATATTTATATATTTTTAAGGCGGCTATTTCTCGTGCAGCTTTACTTTTATCTTCACAAACTGTTAAAAAACCTTTACCAGAAAAAAAATCTAGAAAAAAAGTTTAAAACATGAAAAAACATATAAATAAAACAAAAGATCCTTTCTTTTGTTTTATTTTGTTTTTTTATATTAATTATTTTTTATAGTTTTATATTTCTTATATTTAACTCATTATTTTTAATATGTTATTTATTTCTCTTAAGAAATATTCAGGTTTCTTGTTGATATTTGATAGATTCTTGTATTTTTTAAATTCCTATAAATTCTCTTATTTTCTCTGCCTGTTGGATATATCAACGACATATAATTAAGAGGGTTGATAGAAATCTATTTTTATAAGGAAAAAGCTGTAGAATAACCTATAAATGACTCTTAAATGTACTATTCTTGGAGCGTAAGTGATTTATGAGTTTTTTTCCGGGTTTAAACGGTTTATTAATGCTTATTTTAGTGCCGGTATGATTTGAATTTTGTTTTTTCCAAAAAAAAGTCTTTATTTTATGCTGAAACTTTAAATATATAGGTGGAATTGGTCAGCCTTTAAGTCTACTATGCAAGTATGTGAAATTTCTGGGTTTTTTTTTGTCTTAAACAAGTTTTAATGGGGTCGATAGGAATTGGTACGTTTTTTGCTATAATATGGCATTTTAATGGGAATTATCTGTTTATATATGTTGCTAGCCCTTTGATTAGTCATTTGTCGCTTTATGATGTTGTAAATACGCCGGGAATTGCAGTTGATTTAAGTCATATATGTACATTACCTGAGGTAAAAGGATATCTTCCAGAGGACGATGGTATTAGAAAGGCATTAGAAGGAGCAGACTTTGTTGTTATATCAGCAGGATTTCCTAGGAAGGTTTGTGTATTTTTTTTTAAAAAAAATCTTAGTATATAAAGTTAGGAATGACGCGTGATGGTAAGTTTTATGAATATATATTGAGTGGGAATGTTTATAAGATGAGATTTGTTTTCTACAAATTCGAAAATAATAATTGAACTTGGAGAATCTATTGCTAAATTTTCACCGAATGCATTTATTCTCGTTATTACTAATCCTATTAATTCTACAGTTCCTATTATTGCAGAAGTATTTGCAGTGATTTTTTGGGTTGTAATTTTGTAATATTTTTTATAGGTTCTTAAAGAACATAATGTGTTTAATCCGAAAAAATTGTTTGGAATAACTACATTAGATAGTGTTCGTTTAGCTAAATTTGTCGCTGAACACTTTAAAACGGCTTCGGATCCTGGCTGTTATGAAATTCCTATTATTGGTGGACATAGCGGTACAACTATTATTCCACTTATAAGCCAATCGAAACCTAAGGTTGAATTAAATCAAGATGAATTGAAATCATTGGTACATAGAGTTCAATATGCAGGCGATGAAGTAATTGAAGCAAAAAATGGAAATGGTTCTGCAACTCTTAGTATGGCGTAAGTTTTTTTTTATTTAATTTCATTGTATTTATTATTTATATTAGATATTCTGCTTTTATGTGAATATTATTTTTTTTTCGTATTGATACTAACATATTTGTTTAGTTTTATTGAAGCATTGATAAAGATATGTTATTTAATTTCATTTAAACGTTAACTTATATCAGTTTACGCAAGCATTGGACATTCTGGAATTCTTCAATCAACTTTTATTTATCTTCCTGGAATTCCTGGTGGCGATGAAATTGTCAAAAGAGTTAATCTTGATTTTTTTGCTGTTCAAGTAGAATTAGGAGTTTGTTATATTTTTTACAAAAAAGAAATATTTTAATTATTTTTTATAGGTAGATGGTGCTCAAAAAGTCAAAGATTTTGGCACTATTTCTCAGTATGAACAACATATTCTTAGTGATGCCATTGTAGAACTTAAGGAAATTATATATTATTTTAATATATGAATTCTAATGTTTATAGAAAAATATAAATAAAGGAATTTCTTTTTATACTGAGTATGCCAAGACTAAGACGAAATCATAATCGTCTATATTTTAACATTAGTCTAAAGCTATATGAATATTTCAAGAATTAGCTTTTAAAGGTTTATTTTTTCAAATATTTTAGATCTTTATTATTGAAATATTTATATATTACAGAATTCTCTAATTTTTATTATTTATTTTTTTTTTTAGAAAGATTTAAGCTTTATTTTATTTTTTAAATTATTTATATATTTTTATATACTTTATATTTTTTATTTATATTTAAGATTGAATAGTATTTTTATACAAATTTAAAATGAATACTTAAAAAATATTAAAAACTTCAATTTATACTAATAATTGATTAAAGAAAATGACAATTAATCATTATATTTAACTTTTATATTTTTAAATAGTTTAATTTATACATAATTCATATAGAAAAAAAATACAATACTTTAACCAAACATTTGGAGTAAATCATCTAATGACTTAAATAATTATTTTAATAATAAAATAAAAATGATTTCTGATGAAATATTAATTATTTTTAAATAACATTATTTATAAAAAATATTTAACAAAATATACATATTTAAATATTATACTCTATAATTATTCTTTAATTATATAAATTTTAATTTTTTTAATCTTTTTATATCATTTTTTTACAATTTAACCAAATAATAATTAAAATTATTACTTTTTTCTTGTAAAACTTGAATTCTAAAATATATTTAAATCCTAATATTTAACTTTCTATATTACTTTTATTTTTTCAAATTTCTTTTTATAAAAAATATTATAAAGATTTATTAAATCTAATTCTAAATATACATAATTCCCTTGTATTTTCTCTTTTTTTTCAAAAATCTTTTATATTTTCTTTAAAACGTCTTTTCAATTACCTTTTTTTTGAAAAAAATGTCTGATACTTTAAAACTTTTAGAAAGTCTTGATAATAAAACTCGTGATGAACTATCTCAATTTATTGAACAAGAAAATGGAAAAGCAAAAATACAGCAAGGTTTTTTTTACATTTTTTTTTAAACAAAATTAAATCATTATACAAAGGTATATTAGAATTTACAGATCGTTGTTTCAAACGCTGTATTACAAATAAACTTGGAAACAATTTAGATCGTTCTGAAGAAACTTGTCTTCAGAACTGTGTTGATAGATGGCTTGATGTAAATATTCATCTTATTAAATAGTAGGTTAGTATTAAAAATAACCCAACTAAAAAAAACTAGTCTAGAAAATTCAAAAAAAGCAACATAAAAATAATTTTTGTAAATATATATAGAATTTATATTAATTTAAAAATTCTCTTAATTTTTATAAAATTATTACCAAAATCTAATAACTCTTATATAAATAATATATTTAATCATATTTTAAAAAGATACAATTAACTCTAAAAAAAGACATAACATCTGTTTATAAAATACTAATAAAAAGGTTTCTACACTAGAACAATTCAAAATTTCTATATTTTTTTGATTTTAACTCAAATTTTTAAAATCAAAAAATATACATAAAAAACACTAAAAATCTTAAAATATTCCTTTCTATTCTACAATAACCTTCTTTTCTCTGTATTTTACAGACCTCAACTTTTTCCATATATAAAGGTCTCTTATCGCAGCGAACCGACTGACGACCTCCAAGTTTATCAGCTGAACAGAAAAGCCCTTTATTGAGAGATAAAAACACAGAATTACAGAGATTTTAAGTAAAAAAACAAGGAGAAACTATTGAGAATAGATTTGTAGCTTTTTGAGCGAAAAAAAACGATGCAAAAAGGACGACGTGGAGTTGGATTAGGAGCCTTTGAAAATCAGGAGAAATCAGTGGAAAAATATAGAGAACTTAGTAGCAGCCTTTTTAAAGAACGATCAGAAGATCTTTTTATGCAATTGTCAGCTTTTAAGGGAATTTTAGCTGAATTTGCACGAAATCATGGACCAGATATTTATGCAAATCCTTACCTGAGAAATGAATTTTCTCAGATGTGTAAAGCAATTGGAATAGATCCATTAGCATCAACGGGATCTAAAAAACGTAATTTTTGGTCAGATATGTTAAATATCCATGATTTTTATTTTGGATTGGCGGTAGAAGTAGTAGAGCTTTGTCGAAATACAAGAGGAGAAAATGGAGGATTAATAAGACTTGAACAGGCGTTACGACGTATTAATGAGATACGTCAAGATTCAGGAGGAGTAGTTGTGTCAGAGTAGTTATATAATAAGTTTTTTGGGGGGTTTCTGATTAGTATAAGAGAAGATATTTTACGATCAGTTAAAACGCTAGATATTCTTTCATCGGGGCTTAAAGTTGTTCGAATAGGAGGGCAAGAAGCAATATGTTCTCTTCCGAATGAGCTTAATTCGGATCAATTTACTATTTTAGAAGTAGCACAAGTAAAATCTTTTTTTTTTTAATTATTTAAAATTAATATTTGTTTAGGTTATGGGTTATGTTTCTTTTTCAATGATTAAAGATAACTTGCATTGGGATGCTTATCGTATACTTGCGATTATCGTATGTGCCTTATATATATATATATATTAATTTATTTTTATATAGGAAGATTTATTATCACAGTCGCTTCTTTGGGTCGATGAACAAGCAGAAGAGACTAAATTTTGGCTTCCTCTTACTAATCAGATATGCTGAACACGTTAAATGTTTTCTAACCATTATTGTATTTTTTTGTAAGGTCTTAACACTTATCGATGGTATTTAAATTATATTTGAATAATTGTTATTTATAAATGGATGGGCTAACATTAATACAGCTACTTAGATCAGTTGCACCTGTTGTTTATGCAGTTTTATATGTCTTGGTTCTTTATATTCCTTCAATCAATGTTAATCTAGCACTTAGAGACACACCAGCTATAATTCGATATCGAATAAAAGTAATTTTATATTTTTGTGTTTTTTGTGGATTATCAACAGCCTGGCTAACGAAGCCATCCAATAAAGAATATTTTCCACATGCTTTCTTTATCTTAGGAATTTGGCCATGTAATATTTGGGATGTTGTACGGCCAGTGATTTTAGTTTTTAGTTTATTTTTGGGACCTTTTGTGAAGAAGACTATACTTTTAAGTGATCCATCTATAACACGTCGTAGTGCTACATCATCTTCAATTGATCGCAGTGTTAAATACTATATAAACTGGAGAAATTATGTAGTTGTATGTTTTTAATAATGTATAATACATAATTGATTCATGTAGGGACCATTCAGTGAAGAATTTATATTCAGATCATGTATGATTTCTTTGTTACATCAAAAATCAGTATTAAAAATAATTTTAATAACGTCTATTTTATTTGGCTTGGGTATAACCTATATACATTTTATCAATGTAATTGATCTAAACAGCACATATGCATCATTTGTATGAATATTATCGGTCATTTCCAAGCAATATAAAAGCCGGTATTTTTGCATATCTTTTTCAGTTTTTTTATACAATGGTATTTGGATCATTCGTATCGTATTTATATATTTCCACCCAAAATCTATGGTCAATAGTATTAGTACATTCCTTTTGTAATTGGATGGGATTTCCGCAATTATATGGTTTAGTAGGCTCTTCAAAGCTAAAAACCTCGATTTATTATACAACATTATGTCTTGGTATTGCTGGATTTATTGTCTTTTTTAAACAATTTACGCAACCATCTTCGTCTAGTAAAGTATTTTACGGCTAATTTTCTTGAGAAAAATGAATAATTAAACGATTATTTCATTTTAATTTATCGAATATGTTTTTTGAATCTTTTAGTTTTTTTTTTGTAGAATATAATTAACACAAACATCATATATATTAATGAATTCTTAATCAACTATAAAATATTTGGGATCCATGTTTTTTTTTGTTAAACGTGCAACTAAACCATATAATTGTAACGGTGTTTGTACTCCTTCAAGAATAATCATATGTGTTGTTCCGATTTCCTATATACATATATATAACATGCATTATCTATGTATAAGTGTTACCTTAATGTATTCCAATCTTGTATATTCAGGTAGATCGTCCATCATTTTTACTACTTTAAAAAAAGTTGTAATAATATCTAAAGCACTATAACCCATATTCCAAAGATCTTTAAGAGTTTCAAGAGCAACATTAATGTCACCTTTTTTACAATTATTAATGATGCTTTTAATTGCTCCAGGAGATGGTAGATCTACTACTTTAAATACATTTTCACCTTTAACAAATCCAAAACCCATGACAGTACTTTGAAGATTATTAACTGCCTGGCGCATGTCTCCTTCAGAAGAAAATATTAGGGCAGAAAGACCGTCATCACTATATTTAACATTCTCACTTTTACATATTTCAAGCAATCTTTTCAGAATCTGCTGATCACTTAATTTAGAATATCTAAGAATTGCACATCTTGATTGTATCGGTTCAATAATCTTGTTAGACTGGTTACATATAAAAGCAAACCGTGTAGTATTAGAATAAATTTCCATAATTCTTCGAAGAGCTTGTTGAGCCCCTGGTGTCATGCTTTTTAAGATTTAATAAAATTATTGTATATTTCTTCAATCTTGCCTATCTGCTTCATCCAAAATAATAATTTTATGTTTTCCAAGAGGAAGATTCACTTTTTTCTGTGCGAACCCTTTGATACGATTACGTACTACATCAATACCTCTATTTTAAAGATAAAATAATATAATAAAAATTCAAAATTTATATATACCGCTCATCTGATGCGTTTAATTCAAGTACCGCCTCATTAAAAGCATCTCCAAGCATCTTACGGGCAAGACAGATTACAGATGTAGTCTTTCCAATCCCTGGCATCCCCTATAATACGTTCAATATTCCTCTATAATATTTCATAAAAAATAAACTGAAATCATTATATGTGGCTGCAAAAATAAGCGGAAAATTCGATTGTATAGTAATATACCATGTTTCCATTGACTGAAATCACCTTTAAACGCTCAATTGTCTCTTCATTTCCCATAATATCTTCAAGACACATCGGCCGATACTTTTCTATCCTATAAAAACGTTAATTTTGGCCAAAATCAACCCGGAAAAAAAGGTACCATGGTAATTCCTCGTCAGGATTTACGTTAAACACTTTATTTTCCTCTTCAAACGACATATTTACCGTCTTTTCATGAATCGAATTTGTCATTATTTTTTGGTAGGTTGGATGGTAGTTATGGCAACGAGAAGTTGCCATAACTACCATCCAACGACCATTGTTTTCTTCATATATTTTGCATATAAAAAGGCCATAATTGCAGAGATTTTAGAGTTTTATTTATACATGGTTCGGTCGGTCGTTGATTCATGGTTAAATAACCCTTTGGAAGAGATTTGCTGTATTTTTGGTCAGTTTTGAGGGTATTTTTTTAGTATTTATTTTGACAAAAAAAAGAGGAAAAACACTCGAAAAAACACAAATTAAACATTCTTTCTGATTTTAACGTGCAAGAATGTTTTTTAAATGTATTTAATTCGAAATCCCAGCGCGAAAAAGTGGGTTTTGAGGCCAAAAAGATGTTTTTTTCTTATTTTTGATATAATAGATTCCTTCTCTGGAATCAACGCCAGGAGAGGCTCTTTATACAGGAAAACTTGTTAGAATGACGTGTATGAGCACTTAGGTGCTTTTTTTTGGGGGTTAAATATCGATTTTTTAGGTATGATTCAGGATACAGGTTTTGGCCAGGAAATATGTATGGGTGCATATAAAATAGAGGGAAAAGTGAGTATATTTTGAACGTATAAGGTTATTTTTATGTAATATGTGTTTTTTTGAGGGATGGAGGCTTTCTCGGTATGATTTATTGACACCTGAAAGAAGTACATTAGATCCATCTGATCCGACTATTTTACTTGATGAAAGACAGTGTTTATATGCTACATCGATTCCTGGAGAATCGGAGTGGTTGCATGAAGATTTATCTAAAATGCTAAGTTCTCTTTCCCTTGATACGTCTTCAGAAACATGTATCTCTGAAAGATTTGCATTAAAAGATCAAAAACATCTAGCAGTTATTTTAAAAACATATGCTGGAATGGAAGCGTCTTTTCATGTTTGTAATCTGGTAGAGGTTATTGGTATACTTGAAAAAGATACAGAAACGGTTCAGGAATCTATAATTAATGAACAACATACTGTTACGCTACATCTTCCTATTATACATGTTATACACATGAATATGATTGATATTAATGAGCTGGTTACTCGAAGTCTTGGGACGATAAAACAAAGTAAAGAAAGTTCTTAATAATTATGATTTTTAAAAGTTATAGACGATATATTGAAAACAAGAAAGGAAATTATTAATCATTTAGCGACTATATTCTGTAATGACGTTTTAGTTTCAGAATTTCTTCTTTTAAATCTGGTGTCGAATGTGTAAGTAGATGTTTTTTTTTGCCTTTTTTTCTCAAACAAAATTAGATCATCAAGATTGCCAGCTATAATTTTGGGATCTTTTCCAATAAACATTCGAAATTGCACACCTACTGTATCTTTAAAATTTAAGGAATTTTTAAAAAATGTTATTCCTGCATTTGTATATGAAAAAATTGACATCTATAATCTTAATAATAATAAATTTTATCCTTCAAGTGATGGAGAAAAACTGCAAGCAGGTATTATGCAATTGGCTAAAGGAACTATTGTATGTTTTGATGAAACTAGTATGGATGAAGGGACATTAAATGATACTGGTACTATTTATTTATCATATTTATTATATTAATTATGATTTAACATTTAAATAATAGGCGTAAAAAATATACGTTCTCTTAGTCAAGTAATTATGTCTCAAGTCCTTCCATTTCATTTTTCATTTAGCGAGTATGAAATAGAAACAGATCTTACAGTAATGTAAAATTCATATATAAAAAATATCTAATATTATATAGATAATTGTTTTAAGTAAAAATGAAAAGACATTATTACCTGTATGAGTTTTATCTAAAATGACTTAAATATTGAAATAATAATTTAGGTTGATACATCAATTTTTATAAGACCTCAGCCACCATCTAATTCAACATTACCTTTGCCTCTTACTTCGGATAAAATATTAGAATTCAGAAAATATTTTGCTTATACTAGACAAATATCAGTTGGGATATCAAATGAAATTTCTGAAAAGATTAACTTAGATTTTGTTCAACAACGTCAAAATGGAAATAAAATTGGGGAAAAAGAACTTGGGTTTCGTATTAGTATTGCTAAATTAATCGCCAAATCATGTGGATCTAGATCAGTTTTATGGGATCATTGGATAAATGCTGCTCGTTTAACTTCAAGTATTGAAGCATTAAAATAATATCTTTAAATGGATATATACTTTTTCATTAATTTCTTTCGAAATACTCAAAATTCTCTCATTATTGCATCTTGTACTCTTTTTTTTATGGATTTTGAAATTAATTATGTAATCATTACTTTTTATATGTTGTAGGAGCAAGACAATTTACGCTTGTATGGATATAAGGATTAAAATAAATGCTTAAATTCTAATAAATATTAAGAGTATGTTTTAAAGTTTTCTTATTAGTTATCAATTGTATTAACAATATGTTTTAGAAACAAATAAATTCTTATAAAAAAAGTAAAAAACTTGTTTAAAAATCATATCATTTTTAAACAATAAAACTATAAAAATACTAACAATATATGATCTTTTCATCCCAGTTTAACGCTTTTTTCTTCGTAAATCTGAAAAACATGTACCAAATGTCCTCTTTTTTCTATGATTTTTAATTTTTCGAGGTTTCTTTTTTTTCAACCTAATCCTTTCATGTTTTTCTTTCAAATACCCCTCATCTTCCTGTATTTCAGATGACTTTTGTGTATCATCTATATCAATATCTATATCCTCTTATAAAAATGTTAAATCCTTACAAAAAAAACTTGCAAATCCAAAAAAAAAAAAAACACAGAATATATATACCTTTTAAATCTTCATTCATATTGTTGTTTTTATCCTCATCAATCATCATTTCATCCATATCTTTTATATTTTCACAAAAAAGATTTTTTAACCGGGAAGAAAGCCTCTTTACACGATCTGCGTAAATAGGCTCAAATATAACCCTTCGTCTTAATGATCTATATACTTTTTTCCTATGAGATCTCACTGATTTAGCCATTTTCACTCTATATCCAAAATTCAATAAAAAATATCCGTTCTAGCTCATAAATAGGCCGTTTTTCTCCAAAAAAAAAACTATCCTACAAAACATACACCAACAAGATCCTTTTCTTACTATTTTTCCTGTATTTTGTCTCTATTTTTACATATAAATAGTGACAATATTTTTATGCTGTCTTTGGCTCTGACGACGACGTCAATATTTAAGATGCACTAAAAACTCATAAAAATAGATGTTTTTAACGGGTTTTTTCACGGTTTAAAGATGCAATATCCTCCTCCATTTCAGAATTATCCGGTAGGAAAAAAAACGAGAAAAAAAGAGCTATTTTTGGTGGCTAATTAATGGATTATAGTTGATTGTCCATCATCTGGAAAATAGGCTTTTAGTGACCACTTTAAGAGCTATTCTTAAGGAATACGGATTGCCTATATCAGGGAAAAAATATGTTTTAATTACTCGTATCCGGGAATTCCTAGATAAGGTCGTTGAGATGAAGGATATTGCGCAGTATGAGCGCCTTAAAAACAGTATTATGGGGATCCATCTTCAGCCGATACCATCATACGTTGTTTCTTATGCATCTAAGTTGTATTGGGAGGCTTTTTTTTATTTTATTAAGACGTTATTTTAGTTTACCAGCGGTACCATCAGGATCATTAGAATTACCAATTTCTGAGCTGCCACTTTCATTGCCGATAATTAATGGTTAGAGAATGATTTATATTTATTAAGGAGAGAATGATCTTATATTTGAATAGTTTTTCAAAGGATTAATTTTAAGCCCAGTCCTTTCTATAATATTCTGGAAAATATTAATAGTCCTATTATTTGTCCACGTAAGAGGAATTGGTTTATATATAGAGGTTATTTGACGATTAGAAGCAATGTTACGAAATATTATAACGGCATCGGTGCGACTTTCGTTGAAAGCAGTGGAAAAGTTAGCATCGAATGAAAGTTATCGAGTCTATCTTTTTTGTACAGCGACTGATTCAGCTGCATTTGGTTTTGCATTGATTGAATTTCCTGTTCATATAGATTTAAAAGTAAATGGAAAACATCTTAATGCTAATACTCGAGGATTGAAAAAAAAGCCAGGTACAGCACCACCTGTTGATGTTACAAGTTTATTATTTTTGGATTCGAAGCTTGTTAATAAAATTGAAATGATATATGCAAATACTGAGAAGGTTTTGAACTTTAATTTATATTATTTATTTATTTATTGAACAGAGATATTCATTTGGTGTATATTTGGTACAAAAATATACTATTTCTGATATTATTCAACGTATCAAAGCAGGAAGATATCTATCAAAACAGGCGATATTGGATACGAGTATTTTTTTTATGTTATTTTTTTTATATATTAATTTTTAAAGTAAAAAAAGATTCTGAAGATGGTGATATTATAGCTACTTCTTACGATATTTCTCTTAAAGATCCTATTTCTTATACTCGTATTGAATTACCATGCAGATCAATATATTGCAATCATTTACAATGTTTCGATGCTTATTCATTTCTTACATTAAATGAACAGACACCTACTTGGCAATGTCCAATATGCAATAAACCAATTCATGCAGTAGATGATCTTGCCATTGATGGGTATATTTATTAAATCTGATTGATTCATATTTAAATATTACAGCTATACTTTAGATATCTTAAATTCTGTTTCTTCATCTGTAGAATCAGTTACATTAGATCATAATGGAACCTGGTTTATTACAAAATCAAATATTGGCAATGAATTAACCGAATCTAATGATAATGAAGACGTTTCTAAAAAACATGATACATTTTATATGAATTCAAATGATCTTGAAAAATCTCTTGAACAAAATCATTCAGCTTTATCATCATCTAAATTACCATATAAACGATCTGAACCTACTGTAATCGATCTAACACTCGATAGCGACGATGAAAGTCCTACACAATCTCCATTACAGAAAAAATGTCGTAATAATTCTATTGATTCACAATCAGAAATATTATCTTCTAATCTTCCACTCTCAAATTTTCATTTAAATTTAGCATCTATTTCTCATCTACCGAAAACTTGTTTTTTTGATTCAAATGTATCCGAATCTGGGCTTTCTATCTCTACTGATATTATACCTGTCAATCATTCTTTAAATAATTCAATGAAATTATCTACATTGGACTCCGAGCATTCTGTTGTATTATATAAACCTTTACCTGACAATAACACAAAAGACATTAATGACTCTTCTACATTCTTAGGACCTTTTCCTAATGATCTTTGGGCTAATAAAGATAATTCATGTTCTTGGCAAGATGAATTTCGGGATAATAATTTTATTGATATTCATTCTACAAATTTATAACTTTATATACAACTTCAAAAACATAAATACATCGGTTTACATTACATTCAATATATGTTTTTATAATTTCTCGGCTTAAATATTATTTAACTTGTCGATTTAAACGTTGAAAAAAATCTAATAATATTAAGTCATATTTTTGCCGGAAATAATACATAATTTCTCTGGAAAATGGTACAGGTTGATCCTCATGCTATGTTTGTTAGTTCTTCATGTATGGATTTGCTTTTGATTGAGATGATTCCTATAATGAAACGATTAACATTGGTTACAATGTCTTCACCTCAAGTTCCTAGAGATTTAAGCTCTGAAGCATCTAGTTTAGCAGCTATACAGCATGAGGATGATGAGCGTGAAGCTATTTATGGTAAATTAGAACTATTAGGTTTTAAAGTGGGTCAAAGACTTGTTGAACGGTTTATCAACAAAAAAAAAAGTTATATATTAATCTTTTAGATTCTCACAAAATAAATCACGTTTTATGGATCCTCTTGATATGATTAAATTTATTTGTAAAGATATATGGATGTTACTTTTTAAAAAACAAATAGATAATCTGAAAACAAATCATAAAGTAGATTATTATATTTTATAGGTCTTATATATACATATTGTAGGGTGTTTATGTCTTAACTGATTATTCTTTTTCTTGGTTTTTACGGATGTCAACAAAAGCAGGAGGACAGGATGCAATTGATAAAGCGCAAATTGTTCGTAAAAAATATATTATGATATAGTTTTAATTTAATATATTAGTTTCTTTGGTTCCCATGTGGTATGCTTCGAGGAATTTTGACTAATTTAGGGGAACAATGTACTGTTATTGCAGATACAACAAATTTTCCTGGATGTATCTTTCAAATTAAATTGACTAATTCATGAAACGGTTAATAGACGTTTATAAGCATAATTTTATTCAAAAGTATATTTATTGTATATAAAGGCTATATTTTTACTCCCATGCATCTAAATTTTTTAATAAACATTTTGGGTGTTGTGATGTTCTATTTGATAAGACTCCAATAGTATAGACATTTTCACCCATATTTTTTAATTCTGATAATACTTCTGTTACGTTCATAATATCAACAATTATTACCATTCCTATACCCATGTTAAGGGTTCTTGAAAAGTCATCAATAGGAACATTTCCAATCTTTTTAAGCCAGCAAAAGACTTTTGGTAGTTCCCATAATGTTACATCTATTTCACACATGAGATTGTCTGGAAGAATTCTTGGAATATTTTCTAAAAATCCCCCACCAGTAATATGTGCCATTCCTTTAATAACACCTTTTTTTACTAAATTTAAAAGAGATTTAACATATATTCTAGTCGGTGTAAGAAGACTTAAACCTATTGTTGTTGAAGGGTCCCATGGTGCTGGATCATTATAATATAATCCAGATTTTTCAATTATTTTCCGTATTAAAGAAAATCCATTTGAATGTAGTCCACTTGAGCTTAATCCCAAAACCATATCTCCAGATTTCATTATGTTAGAAGCTGGTAGAAGGTTTTTCCTTTCTACAATACCGATAGCTGCTCCTGCACTGTCAAAATCTTTATTATAATATATTCCAGGCATTTCTGCTGTTTCTCCGCCAATAAGTGCACATCCAGCCATTATACAACCATTACAAACACCGTCAATAAATGACGCAGTACTGCTAATATCAAGTTTTCTACAGGCATAATAATCAAGAAAAAACAATGGTTCTGCTCCTTGGACAATTAAGTCATTAACATTCATAGCAACAAGATCAATTCCTACATAATTTAGCAGAAAGGAATTAAAAATTAGATAGATACCGATTGTGTCATATTTATTTATAATTTGTGCTATTTTTATTTTTGTTCCAATTCCATCAATTGTACCAACTAATAAAGGATCTTTATAATTTAAATTCTTTAGATCAAAAACACCTCCAAATCCTCCAATAATAGCATCAGAACCAAGACGTTTAGTAGTTTGAATTTTTGGTTTAATTATATTTAAAAAATTATTACTAGTATCAATAGAAACACCAGACGATAAATATGTAATAACATCCTTGAGTTTTTCTTTACTCGTATTACATGCCCTAGATATATTTAAAAAAGATCTTTTATTATTCTTAGTTAACAACTTATAAGCAATATCATTGCGATTAAACATATTTTCAAAAAAAATAGATTTAATATTTTTATAAGCATTTTTGGCTGCTTCTTCTAGTGTTGTTCCTGTAGCACATATTGACAAGATTCTTCCTCCAGTAGTAACAAGTCCTTTTGATTCAGAAATAGCTGTTCCTGAATGAAAAACAATAGCTTCTAAAAATAAAATTAATATAAATAAAATTAATTGATAATGTATGACCATCTCCAATAATACCAATATCTATTGATTTTCCCTTTTCATAAGAACAAGGATAGCCTTTTGCAGCAAGAACTACAGAAACAGAAAAAAGTGGACTAATACGAAGTTGAACAAAATCAAGTCTTCGTTCAACACATGCCAACATTATTTCCAAAAGATCCGTATCTTCATGAAGCAATGGCAAGACTGTTTGAGTCTCCGGATCACCAAAGCGTACATTATATTCCAAAACCTTTGGACCATCTGAAGTTAACATAATACCTGCAAATAAAAGACCAACAAATGGAAATCCTAATGTATTTAAACATTATTTTTAAGCTATAAAGATCTTGCACACCTTCTTTCCTCATTCCATCAATGGTTTTTTGCAAAATCTCCTCACGAATTTGCTCTAATAAAGATAGAGTTGAAATAGATGGAGAATAGCAACCCATTCCACCTGTATTTGGACCCTTATCTCCATCATATAGACGTTTATAATCTCTTACAGGTGGTAAAGGCTTTATAATATAACCATCAGAAAAAGCAAGAATACTTACTTCTTCTCCAATCAAACGTTCCTCAATAACTACTTCATCTCCTGCCATACCAAAAATTTTATTTTCCATAATCTCATGAAGAGATGCAAGAGCATGTGATTTAGACTCTGGAACAATCACACCTTTGCCTGATGCCAATCCAGATGCTTTAATAACGACATCATAGTCTATTTGTGATATATATTCTTTTGCAAGTTCATATGAAGTAAAGTTCTGTAAAAAATTATTTCATATCAAATACATAGAAATGCTCCTTTGCCTTATATTTAGCAGTTGGTATATTATTTCGTTCCATAAATCCTTTAGAAAAGGCTTTTGACCCTTCCATTTGTGCTGCTTTCTTTGATGGGCCAAAAAAATTAATTCCAGCTATTATAATTAAACACTTAAAGATCTTCTAATATATAAGACACCTTTTCTAAAATATTCTTCTGCTCCTGCGACCAATGGTGCCTCTGTTCCAGGTATAACAAGATCAATATCATTACTAATTGCAAATTTCACCATTTTTTCAAATTCTAAAGGACCAATATCTACATTCTCCACAATTCCACATAATCCATCTGTTCCCCCATTTCCTGCACAGCTTGAATTATGTGTATCTCCATGTTTTATATGTATCTAACCTGGTGCAACAAATATTCTTTCAACTCTTGGGGATTTTAATAATCTCCATGTAAGCGCATGTTCTCTTCCTAAAATACTATTAAAACCGTTATATCAAGCATATCCAATACCTCCATTCCCAATTATAAGCAGCTTCATTTTTCTTATATCATTCTTTAAAGATCCCATTTTTAAAATGTTATAGAAAACCTTTTATAATAAATATAAATATATATATATATATTATAAATATATATATAATAAGAAATTTACCAATCAGTACTTGATCTGAGAAATGTTTTATAAAATCTATATTTATGATTAGAGTAGTAAATTTTTGTATAAAATAGTTGAAATGTTAGTAGTTTTGAAAAGCAACCCAGATTAGTTTAAGATGTAAATCATACTTTGAAGTGGTTAATAGTCAGTATTAATATTCAAATAAATCCTTGTTAAATTATGTAAAATTGACCAAATAGTATGAAAGAATATTTTAGAAGAGCAGAGTATGTAAATAGATAGTTATGTAGAATGTAAGATGAAATAATAAGAAGTGTCTGAAAGATTGAATAAAGATTGCTAATAGAATGAAAAGTTCGAAAAATGCTATTTTCTGATCTTTTTTCTTATGAAAAAAGTCAAAAACATCCAAAATATCTTTGTAAGAACCTAATCAGCCGTATAGATATGCTAAATACCAGTAAATATGAGAGTTATGATTCCTAATATCAATATACAGATTTGATAAGTCGACACAAGAAACAGAATTTGAATTTCTTAAAGTAAAAAGAGTGTAATATTGAAAAATCAAGCCTATTAATGATATAAACTTTATGTCAAAGTCGTAAAAAGCAATGATATCTCTAATTGAAGATGAAATATAATGGAGATGTGAATATTGATTGTTCAATTTAATAAAAAATGCTAGACAAGAATATTATCAAATCAAAATATTCAGAGATCATCCAATTGTCAATTGAAGGACGCCATTATATAATTTGTATTGTAGTTTACCAACATTCTAGAAAGAATTGTCTGTGTTATTTTAAAATACTTGTTTTGTTTAGTTTCAACATGAAGCATTAAAGATTAAACATCAAAATGCTGTTCTTTTAAATATCTTGAATCAATTCCTTGGTCTTTTAGATATTTTACTTGTTTTTTAATACAAGATAGTTACCATATTGTCATTAATATATCAGCATGATTGGTTTTCTGATATTTAGAAAAGTGCAAAACTGTTTTTAGAATTTCAAAAAGCTGATTATAATTTGTTTTTAAAGTTTCCAATTAATATGTAGTATCTATTGTATAATTTTAAAAAAGAATTATAATAATAAATTATTACCTTACCACAAATCTAATAATTCAAGGAATACAACTCCTAAACTATTTTTTGGAGTATTAAATTCCAATAAAAGATCATAGTTGATACAATATCCAATTGCTACGCATAAAAATAGTATTAATATTTACTATTGTATAAAGTAACGTTATTTAAAAGTCTTTTTTTGCAATAAAAATGATGATATAAAAAGTCTAATAATTATAGTCCTAAAATAATTGAATTAAGGGAAAATATGTACAGTTAACATTTTACCTTCTAAAAAGTCTCTGTGGTTTCCTGCTTTGTAAATTTACATAAATAAAAACATTAATATATAGACATGGTTCATTTCCATGGCTACCAAGTACCATAAGAGTGTTAAATTAAGAATTCCCGCCCTGTTTCTTGATAAACCCATAAATACTCTTAATGAATATGATCTTTTTAATGTTATAAAAACGTATGAGGATTTTTAACCCTTTTTATTCACTTATAAAACAAAGTAATATGTCTAATAGTCCCTTCCAAATTTTAACATAATTTAACCCAAAATAATACAAAATATGAATATTTCGACTATTTTCTGCATCTCTAAATAAAGATTTCTTGTCATATAAAAATTCATCTCAATAAAGTCCTAGAAAAAAAACTAAAAAGACAAAAAATAGACTAATTGCTATATAATATAAGAACCAAAAGTGTCTTCTAGTCTAGAAAATAACACCGGAAAAGTATTATCTATAAGTCATCGCCGTATATAGCAATTTTTCTCCCTTCTAAAGCAAATTGTGAAAGTTAACTATTATGACTTATAAGTCTAGAAAATGTATTCAATTCCTCTGTATTAAAAATAATATCCATAAAAACAAAAGTTAAGCTTGTTGCTAATACTTTAATACGAAAAAAGCTGCTGTCGTAATAATACATGGATAACATACAGATGCGCTTTTTAAACGAAATTAAGCGTGTTAATTGATTATTTAAATAAAATTATTATTTTATTAATATAAATATTTTAATATATGATAAACTATAAATTTATATAAAAAATCTTTTTAATATAAATAAAAGATATAAAATCTGTTTAGATAAATCATACAGACATATTTATCATTTATAATGGATTTTTAACGTACATTAAAGTTATAGACATTCTATATAGTATAGTTTTAAAATAATAAAATTAATATTAAAATAAATACATATACCCATTAATTTAAACTCCTACTCTTTCATATTACTAGATTTCAGTTCTTTTTGAAAAGTATCTGCGATATGATCACAAAGAGCTATTAAATCATCCAGTCCTTTAAGAAATACATCAACAGCAGAAACTTTTCCTGGAAACTCATTATTAAAAATCTAAATATAACCCTGCAAAATACTGTATGTTTGAATTCGAAAATTAAGTTTAGGTTCTGATGGATGAGGAATAGAGTACCCACAAAACTCAACATCCGGACTTATTACTAAGATTAAAATACATAAAAATGGTTTAATACTTCTTCATAATCACATATCTAAGAGAATTTGCTAGTGTATGGTCCTCCTTAATGATTTGAAACGTCACTGAGCTCAAATCATTAGCTGTATCTGGCAACTTTAAAAAATATTAATTCTTATACAAAAAAACACTTTATATATATATTTACAATGTATATTTTCTCGCTGCCATCATAAGGACATAATATATTATTTTTTTCTAAACCCATCCATTCCAGTCTTAAAAATTATTATTAATTTTTAACTGCGAATCTATTTTATATAAAAATAATTAAAAAATTAAGTGCTAAATTACTTTTATAATAAGAGAGATTAAGACATGAATATCCTTAGTTTTTAAATATTTTTATATTTTTTTAAGTCTATAAAGGAGTTAATAGCTGTATTTTATGATGTAAAGAGTATATATATATGGGCGTTATATATATAATTATATGGTAAATGAGCGGTTTTGTAAGGGATCAGGATGCCAAAGCATTATCTCTTAATTCAGGGAGTAAGAAATGGCAATATAATGTAATTGGGACGTCTATTTCTGTTATTGATTTTTTGTCATCATCAAGTGAATTTAAACCTTTGATTAAGGAATTACAGAGAAAAAGATTAATTAATTATTTAAATGTTTTGGAAAATATTACATTTATTGCACCTGGCGAAAAAGCGTTTAATAATGAGACGGAATTGACGCCAGAAATATTAAAATACCATGTTTTAGATGGTATGCTTTTTACAGAAGATGTAATTGATGAATATGTTTTTCGATCTCATATGTATAATTATGGAGAAAAAAATGGAGTTGGTGTAAAAGTAAAAAAAATGGTGGATTCTGAGGGACATAAAAAAGTAGATATAGGTGGTGTTTCTATTGTAAAAGGGGATTATATAATACGTAATGGTATATAATGCTTTTTTTTGTGTATTTTTTTTAATATTTTTATTATAGGTATAATCCAAGTAACTGATAAAATAATGATTCCTCCTAAAAATATGTGTATCTAGTAAATTTCGTATTATTTGCTATCTAATTTAAAAATAGATTCAATTTTATCTGTTGATCCAGATATGACAATATTTATGAATTTAGTAAATCATGGAATTTTAAAACATGAAAAAATAACAGTGTTTGCACCTACTAATAGGGCGTTTAAGAGTTTGAATGATGTAGAATATACGTATCTTAGATCTAGGTATGGTATTTCTGATTTAAAGATGCTTATCCTCAACCACTTACAAACGAATAATGTTATTTATAAATGTGATGTTATTGATAAAATTGCATGTAATTTTCTTTTTTTTTCATTTCTTTATGGCTAATCTTTAAAAGTTAAATCTGATGCAAATGGATTATTAAATATAGTTAAAAATGGGACAGGGTTTTATGTAAATGGATACAAAATTGTTCAATATGACATTATTACAAAAAATGGTATGAATATTAAATAATATAGAAAATATTTGATTTTATAGGCGTAATCCATAAAATAGATAACCTTATATTTCCGAGATATTTAGAATTTACTCCTATTAAATATCTTTATGGCGCTGATACAACAAAATTTGCAAATGAAATTCTTGTTGCTGGACTGATAGATTTAGTTAATAATAAAACTATAGAACAAGTGATATTAGCGCCTATTGATTCTTCGTTTTATTTTGATACAGATATGAAAGAAATACGATGTGTACAAGAAATTAAATACCATTTTATATATGATTGGTTTGACATAGATACATTGGAAGACGAGAAACTTTTGACAACAAAAATGGAAGAAAAATTACTTGGAGGAAGAAATCAAAAAATTAAGATATCACGGAAAAATGGTGAAATATGGTTAAATGATCGATCCATGATTTTAGGAAAACCACGTAGTACTTTTTAATATAATAAAAGTATGCTAAATTAGTACTAGTTGTAATTGGTAAAACTAAAATTTATCGAATTGATTCAGAACTTGTTCCTCCTCTTTTACTTCCAGCAATGGTAGCACCTATGTTCCATATATCTATAAGTATGGAATATTTATATAATACGAAAATGGATATACTGCTACGCAATAAAGAATCTCTTACATATTTTGTGCCTACGAACTCTGCTTGGGAAGATTTAGGATTAGTTCAGGATTATTTAGCATTAAATTCATCCAAAGATTTACTTAAAGAAGTTTTAATTAATACTATTTTTAACGAAGTTTTACATTTTGATGAACTTTTATTGATAAATAAGACAATATTTACTCTTGGTGGCGCTTCAGCGACTATTCAAAAATATCCTACTGGGTTTTTTCTTATATCAGAAAATAAATCATCTACATTTCAAATTGAAAAACGTGATATCCTTTTGAAAAATGGCGTGGCTCATGCTGTCTCTAAGGTATTTATTCCATCAACATTAAATATTACACCTCAACACTTGTTTTCAACTAAACATATTTCTTTGTTTCCTCAAACGATTGAATTAAGTGATCTTTTTTATATACTAAATCCTCAAGAAAAATTTACTATTTTAGCGCCTATTGATAGTGCATGGAAAACTCTTAAAAATATAGTTCATGATAATTTAACTCTACAAGAAATAGTGAAATTGCATTTGTTACCCCCTCAATTAAACAATTCAGATTTTCTAAAGGATATATACCCTCGTAAAAGTTTACATAAAGATGGAATAAAAATTGGAGCAGTAAAGATTGATGGTTCTTTATATAATATTAATTTTTATTCCTCTAAAAATTGTTATCAGCAAATCAATATACTTGGTGAAGGAAAAACATCATTTCATGGTCAAATTCTTATCATAGACCGAGTTTTGGATCCAAAATGTCTATCAAGCACATCTTACACTTATATTTTACAATTTTTTTTTTTAATTATGCTAATATTTATAATATTCTGTTTTCTTATTAAGAAGATTTTGCATAAAAACTCATTAAATTATATAACAGCGGCCTTGAATAATCGTTTTCATTTTTACAATCGACATATGTTATATTATTCAAGGTATAATAATCAAGATTCAGATGAAGGTCTACCTATTCTTCGTTTCAATTATTTACCAAAACGATCTTTATTTGGTTCTACATTAGGTCGTACATTAACAGTATAGTTCATTACTTGTTAATTTAAGTTTTTTGAGAAATTTCATTTTTTATAGCTTTTTATATATATATTTAAATATTAATTATATTGAATATATACTTTTATACAGAATTATTAAAATAAACTATTTATAGTTTTGCATATTGGGCATTTCATCTTTAAAGGGTTTTTTCAAAGATTTATCTCTAATCTTTCTTATTCTAATTCTATTTCTATTTCATCTTTTAGGATTATTCGATTTTAATAAGCTTTTAAATAAAATGTTATTTAATAAATAATACTTAAAATAAATATAAATATTATAGAATTATTGTATAGCTAATCTTGATTTTAATTTAAATATTAATTATTATAAGAATACTATTAAAAACATGAAAACTGTTGCAAAATTCCTAACGTCTATTATATAATACAATATTAAATAAATAGAAGTAATTATATATATATTTTAATAAAAGGTTATTTATCAGAAATATATATTTAAATAGAAAAAACAAATAAATAAGGCTCAAAACATCAAATTACTCCAAAATATATTATTACACCAGCCGGGAGTCGAACCCGGGGCCTTCGCTAAATTCCACATGGGAAGCGAAGATTTTACCGCTAAACCACTGGTGTGCGCCATTATTTATAAATAAAATGATAGATAATTAGTAAATTATGTTTTTGTATACTTTTAAAAGAATATTTAATATTTTATTAAAGATTTTATAATACAACAATCTATTTTGTTTAGAAATAATATAAAAACTACTTTTTTAAAGTTTTTTTACATATTAAAAAAATCGACAATGGCAGGATTTGAACCTACGCGGGCAAAGCCCATTGCATGACACGCACGTAAACGGCGATTCGAGTGCAACCCAGTAACCACTTTGGTACATTGTCTGCTAGCCACGCATAAAAAAAAACTTATAAAGTCATTTAAAAAAACAATATTTTTTATTATATAGTTTTTGATAAAATATTAATAAATTTTAACATTATTTTTATAAAGAATATACAAATAATATCTAAACTGAGATATTTATTAATATTTAAATTCTTATATTTTATTTGTCTATAAAATAGAAAATATACAAATAAACATGTAAAAATATTTAAAATAAACTTAATACATTTTAGAAATAATTTTTTATAAATGTAACTTTTATAAATTTAACTTTTAGAAATAATTTTTATAAAAATTGATATTAAATTTATTCTTTAGATTGTTTAATATAAATGTTACTTCACTATTTAATCTATCTATGCTTTTAAATATTAATTTTAGAATATATTTTTATATTTTTATGTTTTTATTTATATTTTTATATTTTATTCTATTATTTAAAAAACCTTTTTCAAGAAATAATCAATTATTTCATTAAATCATCTCTTAATTTAAGAATTTCAAACTAGTACTTTTTCAATAATATCTTTACTTTATTAAACTAAATAATAATTTGAAAATAATTACAATTTATTAGAATTGTTTATTTTTAATTAAAATATTAGCATCTAAAAAATATTTATTTATTTTTTAAAACCTTTTTAAATAACTATATTTAAAATATTATATAAATTCATTTAAATTAAAAGAATTAATCATATGTTTTTCATTAAATTTCTATAAAAAAAAAAACTAAATACTTTTTTTATTCTTTTAAATATTTTAACAATTTATACTTTTTAAAAAATAAATAAATATTAAAAAAAAAAAATAATAACATATTACATAATCAAAATTAAAAATATTATCAAAATTAAAAACATAATCAAAATTCAAATAGCTTTTATAAACAAATATAAATAATCCTTATCTTAAAAAAATTCATATTATATCTTATTTATTTTCTCATTAATTTTATTAAAAATTCATTATTTAATCTTTAAAAAAATTATTACCCCTTTTATTTATTTAATATATATATTCATTAAATATATTACTAATATTACTAATATTTCTTATCTCTTATCTCTTATCTCTTATCTCTATCCCTTATATCTCATTTTACCCTTATTTACTTTCTACATACATAAATAACTCTTTTTAATCTTCTTTTTCCTTCTAATATTATAATAATATTTCTAAAACTCCTCCTCATACATGACTCTTTATTTCTTTATTTTCTTAAGCTCGCCTTTATTTTTTGTTTGATGTTTATCGTTATCAACCAACCACGACTGCAGGCGGTCAAAGAGAAATAAATCTTATAATAACAGGATAATTCTTATAAAAACAGAATATTTATAGGAGTTTATATGCGACCAAGATCAGGAGACGCAAATTCAGATAATCAGGCGGCAGCACTTTACGCCGCCCGTCTAGCGATGCTAAAACAATTGCACGTTCATTTACCTATAGAAGAGACAAAGATATGGAGTGATGATGGACAAGCAGATGTAGTTTCATTAAGGTCTATGGAACGTGGATCAGTGGCAGGAGAAGTTACGGGATATGGATTAATGCCAGATAATCATTATCGTATTCCGAAGCAAAGATTATCAATGCCATTATTTATTCATGGTGATCAAGAATGTTCTCGATCACAGGGACTTCGTCGGAATAAATTCAGTACATTTTCATTGCGTTCACCGAATAAAAAGAAGTCAGCGGCGGGGAGATTTGTTTTGCATCTTAAACGTACATTTTTAGCTAAAAACTTGCTTTTTCAACGACCAGCATCATCTAGCTTTCAATATAAAGAAAACCTTTGTAATTTGTCCACTTTAAAAGGGACGACTAAAAATGAACAAACATCACCATTTACAGTATGTACAGCGAATACGTTAACAAATGTTAATCAACCTCTTTCAAAAATGGATGAGAATACAGAATTTTCTCAGCTTAAGAAAAAAATAGCTTCTTTAGAAATTTTAGAAACGCAAAATGGAAAAGAAAACCAGCCATTATCAGATGATAGAAAAAGCTTAACAATTTTACCAAAAGAAAATAACGACAATGTTTTTATTACTTCACTTGAAAATGAGATTGCTTCACCACCATTTCACATGTCATGTGATACTTCAATAGGTTCTATAGATCATCGTGATAATGCAGGACCTGTAAGACTTTTTACAGATGACTTATCTCCTACACCAAAATTAAATTCTAATTTATATCAATCTCATTGTACACCTCCATATCAAGATCTAGAAGCAACAAATTCTTCAAATTTATTATATTATTATCATCAAAATCCTTCATCTTTGACAACTCATACACCTCATTCACCTCATTCACCTCATTCACCTCATTCACCACCTCCTATTTCATACAGTTCACCATCTTCTAAACTTGAAGAAATGTTATATTCAAAAGCTTATCATAATGTGAGATCACCATCAGGATTAGAAAGGGCCGTTAATTTTAATTATGGGGGTATAGATGAATGGAGAAGAGAAATTCGTAATTCTATGCATTTAGAAAGAAGAAAAAAAGATGAGAAGAATCTATCTTTGTTTTTTTAAAAATACATATTCTCTTTTGGGATTTTTTTAATTTTAGAAACTGAAATTTCTAGAATTGGAAAATACTTTAAATATTATTTTGTTTTTTAGCTTAAATTTTAGAATACATTATTTCTTTGTTTGGGTTTTAATTTTATTTTTTTATTATAATCAATAAAACATTTTATATTATACTTTATTGACACTAATTAGTATACTATATAAATTCACAAATTTTGGTAATATCTATGAAATATTAAAATACCATAGGATATTAAGTTCTTTATTTTATAATTGTTATAATTTAATATCTGATTTTTTAATATTAATATCTTATATAATCAATTATTCATTAAAATTACTTTTTAAAATTCCTTATCATATATGAATTAATATATTTGATATACTAGAATAAATTAAAAATTCTATTAAATATTCTTAATTCTTAACTAATATTTTTATAGAAAAAAATTACATTTAGAAGTTATATTAAATATCAAATATTAAAGAATAGTATAAATGAATCATAAATATCATGCATATATAGATTATAAAATTTCTATATGCTAAATCAAATATTGTGCTTATAAAAAATTATTATAATTTTATACTATCTTTTAATAAGCGATAAAAGCTATATATTTCTTTTAAAGTATAATTATTGAAATTTAATTTTTAATAATTTTTTTAAGAGAAACTCCATTAAATTTACTAATATATGATTTTAATTCTTAAACGACAATAATATTTTTAATCATATTAAATAAATCCTAAAAATTATTCATATTATTCATTAAACTCTTGTCAAAATTTAACTTCATCATCTATGAATGAGACATTTTCAATTTCTTTGATACTTTTGAATTTTTTAGAATTAAGCTTTTTAATAATTCTTAATGAAAAAATATTTTCAAACCAGATATATTTTAAATAAAAATTACATATAATATACTGGAATATAAAATTTTTATTTAATCTAATATATTAAAGAAATATATTATTAAAAATACTCTCATAAAATTCTCTCATTAACTAGGCCATTGTATATTAACATCTCTTAATAAATCATCTATCCACCATTCTAAATAATTGAACCATTTCCAATTCCCTTCTAACCATGGTCTTCTAAAGCCTATAATTCCATTTTCATATAACTTATCCAAAGAATTTGCTCGTTTCCATGCGTTCATTTCAGCATATGTAATACCCTGAGGCTTTTCTCCAAACAATATAAACCAATTTTGATTAATTATCCAAGCACTAATAAAAACTATAATGATAATAGATAAAACAAAAATAATCCACTTTAAAGACTTAAAAAATAAGACAAAAAACAAAAAATTATTAATTTTTAAATTGTTTTTTGATTCATCATTTTTTTTAAAAATTTTGAACCTATGTTGAAATATTTTCTCAATCAAATAATTCTGAGTATTTATTTCGCGGGAAAGTATATCGTATTGATTATTAATTTCTTGAGAATTCTCAAGATCTTTATTATCCATATACTTCGTCTTAGAAGAAACTTTAAAAAATCAATCGTTATTTCCTTTTTCTTTTTTTTTGAATTACCATCTAAACTTAAACCGTCATTGTTTTCATTCTCAATATCTACATTTGTTTCTTGTAGAGTATCTACTTGTACACTTTTATTTAATGGCTCATATGTATCTATAAAGGGTTGCTGGGTATCTAATACTAAATTTTTGTCTTTTATAAATCATATGTAGATAAATTTCATCAAAATACCTGTTTCTATTTTATCATTTTGAAGCGTTGACAAAAGTTCGTTTTCTAAATTCTATATTAATATTAATAATTTTAAAATAAGCACTATATATTAAAAAATACCATAGGATTCACTCTTTTCATATTTGTCGTAGTATATTCTAATAAATCTTCCTTCAATTTATTCCTTTTAATTTCATCTAATTCAGAATTAAGTTTTTCTATGATTTCGTTTAAACGTATATTTTCAAATTTATACTCGTTTAATTTCTGATTTTTTAATTCTAATTCTTGATATTCTTCTTTTAGTGCAGAAATTTTGTCAGAGAAAAAATAGCGTTCAACCTCCCACTAAATTACTTAAGTAAATAATTTAAAATAATTAATCACTTACAGAATCTTTTCCTTCTCTTAAATCTTTAATTAATTCCTCACATTTTTCTACTTCTTTCTCCTTTTCTTTAATTGTGTTTTTTACTCGTTCTACTTCATTCAACTGTTCTTCACAGTTTGTCTTCATATTTAAATATTTATCTTCCCATGAACGTAATTCTCTTTGCTGCTTTTCTAATTCTTTTTCAAGAGCTGAAACCTGATTGAAAAGATTTTTTTCTCTTGAATTGGTTTCAAATAATTCCTTTTTCTTATCCTTAAGCTCTAAACATACACTTTCGATTTTAGATTCCAATTCATTTATATGTTGCTCATGTCTACTTATTAAAGCACTGGTTTGTCGTTCAGAATCTTTATATTTCCTGACTAAATCTGTTAAGAAAAGTATGTTCTCGTCTTTTTGCAAAGTTTCTGGGGACTTTTCAAGAGAAGATTCAGAAACTTCTTTACGTAAAACAGAAGATGGTGAACTCCCAAATCCTTCAAGAACCGCTTCTTTTCCAAGACTATCATCTATCTTCGACAAAACAAAGTCTAAACCTATATGGTTATTCATATATATATATCACTAAATAAATTCTAACCAGAGGGTTTAAGAAATCCAGAAAATGATATATCATTAATCTGTCTCTTATTAGGCGTAGAATGAGATAATGGTGATATCTATAGATTCATAGTTATATAAAAAATAAAATAATCTGCAAAAAAAGGGTTTTTACATTAAAAGATTCCTATATATGTTAGTATTTATATAATACATGTTCTAAAAAAAATACTGGCATCATAGACTCATTATTCAATGGACTTTTTTCTTGACTATTCGATAGTTCTATATGATCTTTAGAACTAAAACAACGAGGTTTCTGGTGATGTAATGTAGGAACATCTAAAGGTGCTGAACGCAAACGTGACGATAAATTAGCTTCTATAGTAGCTTTTTTACTTGAAATTGGTAACTCTTCTGCAATTGATTCCATCTTCTTCCCCGTCAAAGACTCTATAAAAACAAGAAGATCGTTTCTATTCACTTCTAGACTTTCGTTCTCTGAAATAAACTCCTCAACCTGTTTCCGGCTAATATCATCAAAAATTGGCTCAGAATCATTATATCTCATCTTTTCTAGCTCATTCATAAAATCAATAAAATTACATATTGAAACCTTCTATAATTAGTATATAATATTACTCATAAATACTTACTTTTCCCCTCTTATTTATGTCAAAACGATCAAATATTACATCAAATACTGTATCTTGCTCTCGTCCCATTGATTTTGTCCTAAATCCTGCTCCAATTCAATAAAAACTCTTAAAACTCTATATTTTTCTAATAATCTTAACCCATCTATTCGAGCGCCCTTAAAAACGGTTAATATTTAAATAAGATAAAACATAATAAAATACATAAAAAACAACAAATATAGCCCTTTTCTATTAACAAAACATATTAAAGTTGTATTATTATTATATTTTTAGACAACAGAAATTTTAATCTTTAAAATAAGAATAACTTAAATAAACCCCTTTAAAAAAGATTAAAATCTAAGAATTAAGTTGTCTAGAAGTTAATTTTTTTTTATCAAATTACATGTTTTGATATAAACGTTATAGCCGAATCTTATTAAGAAACGGCAAATTTGTATAAAATGAATAAAAATGTCAATATGTCGGTGTTTTTTTGAAGAAATATCATATATATATGGGGAATTTATGTCTTTGATGAAGAAACTATAAGGGCATTTAAAAACAGGGAATAAAGTTAATATATTTCAAGTAATATCAAGAAAATATAAAATTGAAGGGTTAGAAAAGGAGTAGAGGAGAGAAGAATGCTCAGTACTATTGAAAGGATTAAGAAGAAGGCGAATCTTTTGATGGTAGATCTGTCTTTTTCTCAAAATGAGAAATTTAGAAATATGTTTCGATTACCAGAGGAAGAACAATTGCAGTATGAGTTAGTAGGAGAAATATCAGTTCTTGATACGGGGAATAAAAATAAGTATCAAGGGAAGATATATGGATCAACATCATATCTTTGTTTTATGAGCAAAGATAAGAAATCATGTAGTTTTGCGTTTCCTTTTTCTACAATTAGGAAACTTGAAAGAATAAGAACGGAAGACTATATATTGATTTTGACGATTTTTACATGGCATATGATGAAGGTTGTTATTTCATTTGCAGGAATTCATCATAGTTCAGAAGGTTGGTTTAAAATTTATATTTCGTATTTAACATATTAAGCATTTTGTAACTACCTTAAAGAAAGATTGAAATCGAGTATAATTTCTATAAAAACGCTTAAACCATTTCTTTTATCATGTTTTTCTGAACACATGCTTATGGATAAAAAAATGCATCAAAATTCTCCATTATTTACAGGACTTGGATCTAATCCCAACTTTGGATACCCAGGAAACCATAAAAAGTCAATTTTATTATATTATAAAAACGTATTTGACAATATTAGGCATAGAGATGCGAATAAAATGCGCCTTTGGAAAGAATACTTGCAATTATATGGTAGAAATTTAACACTTATACGTTTTCCAGATTTTTATAAACTTATTCAAATTGGCTTGCCGAATCACCTTAGAGGAGAAATATGGGAGCTATGTTCAGGGAGTATGTTAATGAGATGGCTTCATGTCAACGAATACGAAAAGCTACAGGAAAAATATCAAGGACAAACGAATCCTAGTATGGAAGAGATAGAAAAAGATTTAAATAGAAGTCTTCCCGAGTATCCTGCTTATCAAACGGATGAAGGAAAAGATGCTTTACGTAGAGTTCTTACAACATATTCCTGGAAAAATCCAGAATTGGGATATTGCCAAGCAATGAATATTATAGTTGCTACACTTTTAATGCATGCTTTTTATTATTTAATATGCCATTAATTTATATTAGTTATACTACAGAGGAACAGGCTTATTGGCTCCTAAATGCACTCTGTGACAAATTATTACCAGGATATTATAGGTGATTTATGTATTAAATTTACATGTGTTTTTAATATTCTTATATAGTACAACTATGTATGGAACATTATTGGATCAGCGTGTTTTTGAATCGCTTCTGGAAAAAACTATGCCTATTTTATGGGCGCATTTTTCAAAGTCAAACGTTCAACTTAGTTTAATAAGTTTACCTTGGTTTCTTTCTTTATATATAAATTGTATACCTTTACCTTTCGTACTTCGTATTTTAGATTGTTTTTTTCTTGAGGGTCCAAAAATATTATTTCAGATTGGTTTAGGTAGTAATGGTTTATATTTATAAAAGTTTAGTCTAAACTTAAATAGCCATTCTTAGATTAAATGGGGAAAAACTTTTAACTGTCAATGATGATGGTTCATTTATTTCTATCTTAAAAAAATATTTTCATACTTTAGACAAATCTGCATATCCTAATTCGTCAAATCTAAAGTATAAAAATATCATACGTTTTCAAGAATTGATGATATGTGCATTAAAAGAATTTAATATTATAACAGTAGAATTAATTAACAAACAACGACAAAAGTATAAAAATGAAGTATTAAATAATATTGAAGGGTTTGCAAAAAGAACCCAGTTACGAAACTTGCATAGCACTGGACATTTAACCTCAACCGAGATTAGCATCATTTATGATAGATTTTATTTTGCATTGTTTCAAAGAAGAATTGGTCTGGGCCCCGCAAAGGCATATATGGATTATAATGCATTTAAAATATTTATATCTGGAATTACCAATTGGCCACAAAAAGACAAAGTAGTCGATTTATCAGATACGGAAAAACACGGTATGGCAGAATCTAATCATGTTTATGAAACTTTTATAAAATCTTTATTTTTAAAATGGGACAAATCTTCATCAGGACAAGCAAATTTACAAGATATTATATCAGGGATTGCAGAATTCAAATTTCTTGATTTAATGCATGCAATAGCGTATTTTTTTGAATTATATGATTCAGATAATGATGGGAGAATAACGAAAGATGAAATTTTAAAAATGAGTGAATGTTTTTTGTTTTTTATGCAAAAAGAAAATGATGACACTTATTTAAAAAGCATTAGTAATTTTATAAAGAATTGTTATGAATACGCAGAAAAAAATGACATGTCTATTGAAAATACTTTAATGCTTAATTCAAGTAAATCAGATGCTTCTAATAATTCGGAGTTAAATCCTACGGAAAAATTATATATTACTCTTCCAATATTTAGGATGGTAATACTAGTTGATGAATTATTGGAAAGTTTCTTCGCTGTTAAATTTTCTTCTTTATTAATAATAACTCAAATGAATAAAAATGATATCAAGTCAAGTAGTATTCGTAGTCTAATTGATTCTCTTATAATAGATGGTATGCGGGTAGCTAATGAAGTAAAAAAATGCATGGAAGATGCTCAAAAAGAGTTAGACGATGATATAAGATTTTATAACTCTCATTTATTATCTCACCAGAAAAAAGGGTAGATGTAGAAACATTCAAGGCAAAAGATCCATTATAATATTTAATTGATCTAGTATTTCTATAAATAAGTTGATAAAGATTATTAGATAAAGAATAATTCGATGACATGTTAACAACTTTTAAAAACAAAAGAGGAAAATAAAGGTTTGCCATGATATACATTTCAATATCTTATCGAAATGGACAAACAAAAGACAATTTTTAGGTATTATAGCTTTTTGAATTTAATGTTCTTATTTTAACAATTATAATAAAATTAAGATTTGACAGTTTAGATTTTTTCTATTAAGATTTAAAATAATACTTATATGATTTTTTTAATGTTAGAAAGAGATATCCTATTTACATGTACATATATATATATTTAAAAACATGAAAATTTAAATAAAAATCATTTAATCGTCATATCCTTCGAGAACTTCACGTTTTCTTTTTGGTACTAATAGTTTATTAAAAATAATAGAGTTTATACTTAATTAAATTTACATGGATAGGTTCTAGGGATAGGTTCAGGTGGAAGATATCCTAATTTTTTTCGAATGGGAGGAACAAAAAGAAATATAATAGGACCTATTATATATAAATATATAACAAAATAAACAGCATTTTATATACCTAAAGATCCAAGTAAAAGAGAATAGAAAATATGTGGCTTTTCTTCAGCTGTCCGAAACTAATAAATATATTAAAAAGACTTTTAAAACAATAAAAAAACTGACTATATATTTTATAGAACCTGACCAAAACGATGTAATTGACCGCATTGTTTTATAGGATTGAATGTCAATAATTTATCGTTAAAATCTACAATTTGAAAACCCTAAAATAAAATACCCGGATTTTTCACTATTAAAATAATAGTTTACTGTAAAAAATACTATATATATCCATATTATTATTTGTATTATAGATAATTGTTATTTCTTTAGTAGTTAATATATATTATTGTTTTTTTTTTTCATTAGAATTATTTAACTTTAATTTGTTTCAAGACACCTTTAGATAGTAACCAAGTATTACCCGTATTAGAATCAACAACTTTTAAATCAAATCTATTTTTCTGTGGAATTAAATTAGTTATTTCTTTTTGTAATCCTGATTCTTTATTTGAAATATCATGTTTATTATGTAACAATGTATTCGATTGAGATTGTATTACTTTCTCTTTTAAATCAGAATATAGACATCTTTGTAATTCATCAGCTGCATCTTTTGAAGTAAAATAAGAATTTTCATGTATTAAAGTAAAATTTTGAGATTCAGATGGGGTAAAAACAAAAAATCGAGGCTCATTAAGTGACTTATTTTTACCAGAACCAAGCATGTTATGCATAGTTTGAGCATATGAATTAAGAGTTTTTTTCTAATGATATATTAGTATTATAAAAAGAATTTAAAAAAAAATTCAAATAATTGTAATAAAATTGTAATAAAATCATCTTTAATGACCATCCAATCATATAAATAATAAACATATATGTTTCAAGAAATTATTAACAAATAATTTCACTTGATTAAACAAACATATTCAAATAATAAAAACCATTACCTCTCGATGCCATTTAGATTCAACCTCAGCAAGACGAAGAATCGCTTCTACACGTGCAACACTTATACTAAACATATCTGATATTTCTCTTAAATTTTTTCCTTGTTTCCATTTCTCATATATATTTCTTCTTATTTGAAGACTTAATGGAGGTACTGGTTTAAATTTAGGATTTAATGGATATGGGTATTCTTTTTGATTAATAAAATTCGTGCCTGCTTTAGATAACGGTTTTACATATTGACCACCTTGCATTGGATCTAAAACCCATTTAATATAATCCGATTCTTCTGATATCGCTTTTTTATCTTGAATATTTTTTTCATCGCTACTCTTTAACTTTCTTTTCCCTTCCTTAACTTCTGCTTTTGCCTTCTCATTACATACTTTCTCTGTATAAAAATGTCGAATCCTTAAGATATTTAAAGAAACATTTCTTAACTTTGACGAACTATTTACTTGACTTTTTCTTAATATCTTTAAAAACATAAATTAACGTCAATTAAAAAAACTCGTTATTTATTTAAAAAAGACTAAATCTCTTAACTTTATAATCTATTTTTTAATAAAAAAAATTAAAAAAAGTTAACCGGCCTTAAAAATATAAAAACATATGGTATATAAAGATGATTCAGAACATGAATTTTTAGAGAGAGATCAAATAGAAATTAATAATGGGAACGTTGATCTTTCTATGTCAGACAATGATAGTGAAATTAGCACAGAAATAGAGATAGAAGATGAAAAAGACTTAATAGATGATAGTTCAGGGGGATTTTATGATCATAAGGAGAGTGTATATTGTCTGGATATGAGTCCAGTGGATGAGGATATTATTGTAAGTGGAGGAGGGGATGATGTTGCGTATATATGGCGTATATCGACAAAAGAAAGATTATGTAAACTAACTGGTTTGTGATTTTTGGAAGATAGTATGAAGAAATAAATGATATTATTAGGACATAAAGATTCAGTTACGGTATCATCATTTTCATATGATGGAGAATATGTTGCTACAGGTGGTATGGATGGACAGATTTTAATATGGAGATATAAAAATAATGGGGAACTTGTTACAACGTTAGAAGGAGGGGATGAAATTCTTGTAAATAGGTCCCGATGGTTTCTTAAAGACTAAAACGATTATTTAGTGGGTTCAATGGCATCCAAAGGGGAATGTTCTTATTTCTGGATCGAATGATGCAAATGTTTGGATGTGGAAAAGTATTTTTGTATAAAAAAAGAATTTAGAATTAATAAAAATACATAGTTCCTTCAGGAGATGTGTTACAAATGTTTAATTTCCATAAAAAACCGGTAAATGCGGGTTCTTTTACACCAGATGGAAAAAAAATAGTTACGGCATCAGAAGATGGTTCATTAATTATATGGGATCCCAAAAATGCATCAATAATTCATAAAATAACATCAAATGATTCGAGATTTGATTGTGGGGGGTTTACATGTTTAGCTTATAATAAAGAAGGCACGGTAGTGGCAGTGGGAGGAATTAGTGGAAAAGTAAAGATAATAAGTCTTATTAGTGGCGCTCTTTTAGAAAACCTTGACGAACAAAAGGAGAGTATTGAAAGTATTTCGTATTGTGATGTGTATTTTTCCTCAAATAATTTAAATTCTGAAATAATTTTTTATATTAGACTTCCAATAATAGCATGTGCTAGTATCGATGGTACAGTAGCATTATATGACACTTTTACATATAAATTAAGAAATGTGTTGGCTCATGATGTAGTATATACAAATATATTATCTATTTTATTAATATTTTTTAGGGTGCTGTTATTTCTCTTTCTTTTATCTCTAATACACCTTACCTGATTACTGCATCAACTGATAGAACAATTCGGAGATGGGATGTAAGGACGGGAAAATGCTTAAAACAATGTTTTGGGCATCGTGATTCTATTTTATGTATGCGTTCTAGCTTAGATGGGAAAACAATTATAAGTGGAGGTGATGATAAATCAATATTGGTTTTTAGAATGACATCATAATGTTTTTGAAAACTATATATATTATTTATTTATTTATTTATATAATTTAATTTAATTTAATTTAATTTAACTTAATTTAATTTAATTTAATTTATAAAACACATTTGACAATTCATTATAACTCTGAAGTATGGAATTTAATTTTGATTAAACTAATTGTTTAATATTTAATTTATATTCAAAGTTTTATATTTTGTTTAATATCTTATATCTTATATTAATTGTCATTTAAACTAAGAATTTTTCAGCAACAATTTCTTCACACCATTGAAATGCAAGATCGTTAAATATTTCAGGTCGTTCAAAAGCTTTTGAAAACAAAATTGATTCAAATATTACTAAAAAGTTTAACTAATACATAGAAAATAAATTTAAACTCACCACATGCTTTAAAAACAAATGGATATTTCTTCTTTTTTGCAAGTTGTCTTGAAATATAATTAGAATATATATATATATATACTTATATAATTACATAGTTAAATCATATGTTTTCAAACAATTCCCTATTAAGAAAATGTTACAAAGCCTCTCCAGCGTCCAGTTCATCTTAAATAATGTTTCATACATTGATATAGGACAATGTGGCATATAAAATATAACAGGTTGTTTTGCATTATAAACATCCTAAAAAATTACAACATTAAACCCATTAAAATAAAGAATTACTACCAATTTTTCTAAATTAAATTCAATATTAAGCTCTTCTAAAAATTCGCAATCTAGATCTGTAAAAACTGGATCATATGCCTCCAATTTCCCTTTAAATCCTTTTTTCTTTAACAATAAAATAAATATATGAAAAAATACCCAAATTCTTTGACATTTCAATTCCAAAAGAAAGCTGAGTTAAACTACGTGAATTATTCTGAAAACTTCCCAATCCTAACATCACTATACGAGAAATCTTATCTATCTTCAAAGATATTACTTTGGAAATAGATTCCACATTATATAAATAAAAAAACCACTAAATTATACAAATAATACCTAAAGCAAAGCAAAAGAAACTTGATTCAACTAATTTTTCTGTTTGTTTTTTATATTCTGAAAAAAGCCATTTTACATTCTGTTCTTCTTTTTTCTTTCCTTTTTTATAGCAAACATAATAAAATTCCTCTGAATCCTTTATTTTTATTATTAATTATTTTTCTTAATATCTAGAAGCTTGTAGTTCTAATTAATCCTAAGTTTTAGACCTCGCTCTAAACTTTTTTTAAAAAAAATGAACTTTTATCAATTTATTAACTTATTTTTTGGTTCAATATTAATTTTTGGAATTAAACATGCACTGGGAAAGTCTTCTACGGGGAACAGGTTGCTTATTGTTCATAGTTCAGATGTATTTTATAATGATTTCTCGCTTTTTTTTGATTCTTTTAAATGTATGTAATTTATAGTCAAAAGAGAGATATTAAGGTGTTAAGCACGGGGATATAATTTAACATTTAAGGATCCAGAGATAGATAGTATACAACTTTTTAAATATGAGGAGCGTATCTATGATCATCTTATTTTATTTTTTACGAAGGAGAAAAATAGCAGTAGATAAACATATATATTAAAGTCGAGAAGGCTATAGGCTAATATATTTAAGAATTTGAACAACATTTTACGAATTCTAAGATTCATGAATTTATTGATAGAGGAGGGAATATTTTGATTGCAACATTATCTACAATGCCTAAAAATATTCGTAATTTGACAAATGAATTGGGCGTATATTTAGCAGAAAAAGATAATCTTGTTGTTGATCATTTTTCGTATGATAAATCAGATTCTCAGAAACATTCATTGCTTCTTGTTGATAATTTTAAAAAAAACAGCTATATATTAAGTGATAAAGTAATTGAGGGACCGCCAATACTTTATCGAGGGATTTCTCATTTTTTAGGAAATGGACAGCTTATTGTACCTATTCTTGCTGCAGGAAGAACAGCGTATACATATAATACAAAAGATGAGTCTAATTTTGTAAAAAAGCCATGGGTAGCAGGTAGCCAAACATATCTTATAACAGGTTTCCAAGCAAGAAATAATGCGCGAATTATAGTTACAGGGAGCATTGAAATGTTTTCTAATAAGTATAAAAATTATGTTAATATTTAATTTGAATTGACATTTTTAGATTTTTTAATTCATATTTTAAAAAAAATGTAAAATTTGGAAATGAAGAATTTGTGAAGGATATTACTGAGTGGCTTTTTCAAGAAAAAAGTGTATTAAAAGTGGGTTTAGTAAAACACAATCTTGCAGATAAAACATTAGTTACAAATCCACCTAATATTTATAAAGTAAAGGACAATGTGGTATGTATGATTAAATAGAAAGTATAGCTGAAGGAGAACACATATTAGACATTTGAAATTACACTCTCTCAATATAAAAACGATTCATGGATACCTTTTACTGTTTCAGATATTCAGTTAGAGCTCATTATGCTAGATCCTTATATAAGAACAGCTCTTAAAGAAACATCCAGAATCTCAAACTCATCTATTTACTCTACTACTTTTTCTTTACCTGATCATTATGGTATCTTTCATTTCAAAGTAAACTATAAAAGGCCTGGTTTGTCTTATATAGAAGAACGATCTACTATAACTATCAGACATTATAGACATGATGAGGTTAGCTGGCATTGATATATATTAATATTAATATTACTAGTTCCCGCGATACCTTTTCATGGCATTTCCTTACTATGTAGGTGCTGCTACAACAATATTTTCATTTCTTTTTTTTTGTTTTATTTGGCTTTTTGATATAAGTTTATATAAAAAGATTATGAAAAAAAATCAATAAAATGTTATATACACGTAATGCATATGTATGTGTATTATTGAAAAAATATGTTAAAAATAGATAAAATATTACAACTTGATTTTTTATATTACTGACCATTTCTTTTTTAATAATTTAACTTTTGCCTTATACCTTATGAGATTGAATTTTTAGACAAGACTAGAACTTACCATTGATCTTAATAGAAGAAGTCCAACAATAAGTAATGATATAGTTAATAATAGCTGAAGTTTATTGAAATTAGGATTGAGAACATCAAAAGAATTACTTGGAGTAACATATGTAAAGAAAATATCATGTCCATACGCCAATATTAATGATGTACTTTCTAGTAATGTTGGACTAGACAATATATTTTTTATTCCATAAACCTATCATAATTATAAAGAATATTCTAATTTTTATATAATATACCTCATTCTTAGAACTGATTACAATTTTTGAATCTATGAATAAATTTACATCATATGGAATCAGCTCTTTAATTGATGCTGATGAGATTTTATTGTTCGCCAAAATTGGTCTTTGAGGATCAAGTAGTTTTTTGGGAATTACAACAATTTGATTAGAGTCAATATAAGAAATAATGTCTCGTGATGAAATGCCATATCGTGTTAATACACTAGTGAATGCATAGATTCGACGTGGATAAAGATATGCTTGAGATATTACAAAAGGTAGAGGAATATTATAAATTGAAGTAGAATTTGCTCTAACTAATTTTAAAAATAAACTAATATAGAAAAAAAATACCCTTTATTTCTTTTATTTTTTATTTCGCTTTCATATAATTCTGAAATAACAATTTGATATCCTTTTGTTGGTTTTTCGATCCAAAATTGATATACTATCCAATTTTCTGTTAATAATATTTCCACTCCTTTTGAAATATCTACATTATTATAATGATTAGTATGCAATATCATTCCTTTAACTATATCTATTAAATAAATGTTCAATTTTGAATCTACTTTGTTTCCCGTTGCAACTGCTAAAAAGTGAGAATTTAAATACTTGTATAAAACAGAACGATCCCCAAGAACACGTCCAATAGATGCTATTTTTTCGTTTTTATTTTTAAATGATAGAGAAATGATAGATTCAGAAAGAGGAAAATCAATAGTCCATGTAATGCTAGCATATAAATTCTAATAAAATTTAAAATATTATACTACTTTAAACAATATTTCACCTTAAAATCCAAAAAGTATCCTTCCAAGGTATTTAGATTTCTAGTAGAAAAATATATATTAGATAAATTCTCTAACACAGAAATAGGAAGAGTTTTAGAAGTATCGTATAAAAGCTTAATCTTTTTAATAGTTAAATAACCATTGAAAAAATTAAAATATTAACCTTTTTGTCTTCTGTTATTCCAATTACAATATTTTCATTAGAATCATCTGTTAAAATATGATCTAAGATAAAAGAATTCTTAATGTCATTATCGACCTTCTTAAAATTTATTATTTCTCCAGTTAAACCATTTATTCTCCAAAAGTGCATATCTTGAAGACACCTTCCAAGAACTGCAATAACAGGAATGTCATTTAATGTTTTACTTTTTTTAACAATCCATAAGCCTTTATAATCAAATTCGCTTCCTAAATTATTTGACCATATAACTATACCAGATAAAAATGGATCCAATGCTAATATTTTTCCCTTAGAGGTAATGACAATAATAATTTGTTTTAAACCAAATACATTTTTTCGTAGTCCAGCTTTTTGCATATTTGATGTATCCTTATATTCCTTTGAAAACCTTTTTTCAATAGATGAAACTATATATTTTATAATTTCTTTCAATTTATTAACATGTCCAATAATTCTCTTTATATAAGAGGGGAAAAAATTTGATTTTTTTAAAGAATCATTTTCTATTAAAACAATATGTTTTTGAGGAAGCTGAAGGAATTCTGCGTGAATCGAATAAGCCAAAGATTCTTCGCGATGCCATAAAATAGAGGATTCTTTCACCATATAAATTACTCCATCTGACATTACTATAACTGATTTTATAGTAATTAAATTGTCATTTTTTTGAGAAAAAAATGATACAATTTGTTCAGGACGAGAATTAGATTGATTTAGAGATATATTCCATGTATTTAAAATAGAATTGTTTTTATCTCCATATTTATCTATAGTTATAGAGCCAAAATTATTGATATATGAATGAATAAAAAAGATATCAAATGCATAAATTGTAGGAAAGAAACATGATGTGGCTGAAATTGACGATATTTCGTACAACTTTAAAATCGACGAATTTGGTTTAAAAGAAAAAACACTTGCCCATGACTTTTTATAAGAACTAGAAACGAAATGAAGCAAAAAAGACGGAGAAATCACATTAGAGTTTTCAGGTGAATATAATTTAACGGAACTAAAAGGCATCTAAACATATTAACTTGAAAAACATATATATGATAAATATACTTCTATATCTATAATATGAGTAATATTTCGATCAAAATCATATACATTAATAGAGTCATAAGTATTAGAATCTTTCCATACTATTATAGGTAAAGGTGAATTCCCTACATAAATAATATCATCAAGTTTTGATATTGAAAATAAATTATTTGATGCTATTTTATTTCCAGTTTTCCCATCTAACTTTGAAACCGATATAAAATATGTATTTGACGATACTCTCGATTCGACAACATATACAAATGGACTGGATATTGACAAAAATATTGGTAGTCTCTTTCTATAAAATTAGCTTTTTAAAAGAAAAAATATAAATACACGCTTTTCTCGTAACACCATATCTGAGATCCTGTGTTACTATCCAAGAAATATATAGTATTTGATGTTAAAAGTACAATATCTTTATTTGATGTTATATTATTTTCGAAAATTTTAATAGCATGTCTATTATCTAGAAAAAAATTCTGATATGTTTCTTCCCAAATTAAGAAGCCGGTTAATGCATTCCATGCTCTAACAATTGATGAATTAGAAAGAGTAATAATTTCTATGTATTAAGTTATATTCTTTTTATAAAATTCCACATGATTACTTGAATCTAATGATTTAATGGCATTAATAGGATCATTTTCTGCATATTTTTGTCTCCAAACTAAACATATATTATAAGTGAAACTATTTAAATACTCCAAGAAGAGATTACCTAAACTACCATCTTTACTGTTAATAGCAGCAAGAATGTTTTTTTCTGTTGCTAAATAAATCAAACTATTTTGATAAGAAACAGGTTTGTGGAAAAAAATCGATTCTTTTAATGGAACACCAATTAAAGGAATATGAAAAGTAATTTTATCATTCTCATGAAAAATTGCTCGAATTGATGACAAAAAAGAGAAAATGAAAAATAAATATAATAATTCATACTCCTTCATTATAGAAATATATTCTCTAAAGCATATATTATTTCGTTTTTTTTTGAAATAAATTATTCATTATTAAAAAGTAATATCACTCGATAAAAAATTTAATATTATAATACTATATATGATGAAGTATAGAAAAAATTTAAAACAGGGGTGCTATTAAATGTTATTTCTTTTCTTAATTTCAATTTATTAATATATATTTCTTATTACTACATTTTATACATTTTATACATTAATTATCATGAATTTTTAAAATATTTTAAGTTTTTATAATATAATTTAATTCTTAAAACCTTACTCATTTTTTTTACTAAAGCTATTTCAAGAAGTAATTTATATAATTTTTGATATTCTTCTTATTTTGATTAGTGTATTTGTTTTTAAATTTTATAACTGCTTAAATTCTGATATATAATAAATAAAAATATTATAATAGCCTTTTTTTTATATATAAAACCAATGTAATATGATTTAATTTAATTTTTTGTTTTTATTTTTTATTAATTCATAAATTAGATTTATAACATCAAAATCAAATAATTCTTTTTAACATTTTTATATAATAAATTTATCATAAAAATATAAGAACTCATTTTTAAAACAAATATATAAATATCAAATATATTCTGTTATTGTTAATTTAAAATATTTGTATTTATTGTGCTTTATTTTTATTTTATAATAATAATACTTTTTAGTAAAATATATACTAAAATTCAAATTTCATATTTTAAATTATCAACACATAAAGAAATTATCTTTAATTATAAAAACTGGATATTTTGTCAAAATAAACAAAAGAAAGCCATGAACCTGATATTTTTAGAATTTATTTTATATTAAAAATATCATTTTTTTATATTCATCATTGAAATAGCACCTTATAAATAAATTAGTGTTTTTTTTAGAAATTAAATCTTTAGGCTTATAATTTTACTATTTAAATATTAAAAAAATTAACTATTAAAGAGCTGAATTAAAATATATTTATTAAGAAATGAGAAACAATATGTTAACATCTTTAAAATATATACTTTAATTCACAAGAAAAACTATAAGCAAGATCTAACTGCTATTTTTACTCAGTAAAGAATTAATTTATATATAATCTATTACAATGGAAAAAAATTATTTAAAGATATTGTAACAGTTTAAAAAATAATATGTTAATTTAAAACGAAAAACTAAGACTTAAATAATGAGTTTATACTGAAATTATTATGAAAAAATGTTAATTTTTCAATAAGAAAAATAAATTACAAGAAGTAGGGATTTGAAAACTATAAAAAAAATTTTTGTTAAAAAGAACAAATAAAAATATTTTAGTTTAACTACAAGGCATTTATATAAATTAAAAAAGAGTAGAAAACGCTGAAGTATATTTAAATAAAAATATCTTTAAAATAGTACCTTAAAATAGACAAGAAAATTAATAAATTATTAAAACCGTTTTATATTATATATATAATTCATTAATTATAAGTTATTTTTTAAAATTAATATTTTAAAAAAATATTTAAAAAAATCTTTAAACTTTGAAAGTATAAAAAATATTAAATTTTAATTTTATATTACTTCTACTAATATTTATTTTATTTCTATTAAAATGATTTTTTATTCTTAAAATTATTAAGAAATCTTAAATATTAATAATATTTTTAGGCATTTTTTAATGTTAAACTTTATTTTTATAATAAAAATATTTGCAAAAATATATTATGTTCATGTTATATTTTTCTGATTTTTAAATATTTTTAAACCTTAAAATTTATTTTTATAATTGATTAAAAATTATTATATAATATTATCTAAATGAAATTATAATTTATAATTATTTTTTATTATATAATCATAAATCAACATTATAAAGTGAATCCTGACATCATTTCAAAATAATATCAAATATTTATCATAATTTTGCCAAAATAAAATTTAAAATAATATATTATCTATATTATACTTATATTTTAATTATAATTATTAATTATAAAAATAAATGCTACAGACAATTAAAAATAAATATTTTTAATATGTATTCATATCACCTGTCTATAAAATTTTTAAAACTAATTTGTTAATTTGTTTTTGTATCTCAAGTATCGTATTTTAATCATTACAATTGTCAAAAATCTTAAAATCATCTTATTTATTTATATTTTCTATAATTATCTAAAAAATTTTCACTATTTATTTGTACAAATCTTTCAATTAATTTTATCTATTTCTTCAACTTTGGAGTAATCCTCCCCATCAGTAGTATGGTTATCATATTCGTTATCTTTATCTATAGAAGTTCTGATTGTTTTTTCAAAAATTTTGTCATCTGTTTTTATCTTTTTGATAATATGTTCATCTTTAGTTTCCATAAAAATAGATGAATTTTTATTTAATTCTGTAGTATTTTTTTTTTCCTTAAGAATTTCTTCATATACTAAAGACTCTTATTAATCTATAAAAAAGTAGAAATAAATATTACATTCAAGCTCTTCAGTCATTCTAGGAATAAATGAACTAAACTCAATGTTTTCTATTGCTTTTAAAACATCAGAAGGAAGTATTACTTTTCTTGAGGAGAGTTTAGAAAGATCAAATGCACTATAATTATTAGATAAAAATAATAAATATCATTAAAAAAGAACGCTGCAGAAAGATAGTTAATAAAAACAGAGGATCCTCTTATCAGAGCAGTTATTGCATCTTTTTGAATAGTTGTATGTTCTGGAAGCACTTTTTTTGCTAATCTTAAGACAACGGATCTTGGAAGATTTAAATCCTACAATATGATTAATTTTAATAGGATTTATAAAGGTAAAACTTGCATCTATGGAAACTGTTACACCCTTTTTCTTAGAAGAAATTGATGCAGGAGGAAGATTCAATTCATTAGAAGAACTATGTTCATTGGTCATAGAATCTTAAACTAATTTATATTAAATAAGAATAATAAATTATATTTTTAGAATTTTTATTCGAAATTATTTTACTAAGATCGTATATAAAAAAATATCTATTATATATAAAAAGAAAAAATATCTATAAGGAAAAAATACATTATATTTTCACTTTTTCTTTTAAAAATTAAATATTTTATTTTATTTTTTCAATATATATATATTTATTTATGTATATATATGTATATTTATATTTAAGAAAAACTAAATGAATTTATGTTTATATTAATAATAACTGGTTTAAGACAAATTCAAACGATTATATGATTTATTGGTAATAATTTAACATTATCTTAAGTTTCTGATTTATTTATATTTATATTTATTTTTAAATTTTAAAAACAAACAAAGACTTTATCTTTAAATTATATTGAAATATTTCATATAAATTTTAAAAATATTTTTCTAGAATTAATATTAATACTATTTCAGAATTATTAAAGACACCAATATCAGAGTAATTCATATTTAAATAGAGTTATTAATTATTTGGATATATTAACGATATAATATAATATCAGTGCACTTGGATGTTATGAACCATCTAAATGAATTCTCGGACCAAATTCAATTTATGGGGAGGGCGGAGGATAATAAGGTTGCAAAAGAAAGAATATCAGTAAAGAATATATCACAAGTTCAGCCGTCATTTGAGAAAGAGCTATCAACGATGAGGGTTTAATATTTATTATTTTTATATACTATGGTAATTAATTATAAACTTATAGTTGTTAACATTACAAACATCTTTTTTACGCTCTGGAGCTTATTTTATGTAAGTTAATATTATTAGTTTTAGATGCATATTAATAACTATTAGAGGTACGCAACAATCAGGCAAGGCTTTATATGAAGTATCTGTAAATTTTCAGCATGTAAATCCTAAGGATTCTTTTTTATGTGGATACCTTCATATTCAGGGCTTAACTAAAGACAATTCATCTTTAACGACATATTTTGAAGGAGAAATCATTGGACCAAAGTATGGGTTTATTACTAAACGTCCAGAATGGGGTTCTACTGAAAAAATAGATCTTCAGCATTGGATAAGATTTCAAGCTTTTAGACCATTTGCAAAAAATATTAAAAAACCGGATTTTAAATATAAATACGAATTATTTAAAGATCATGTTTTTATGAGATGGAAGGAAATGTATATAATTTCTAAAAATGACAATGAACCAGCATCAGATTATGGTATAGCCCTTAATGGAATAAGCTATGCAGGCTTGTAAGATTTTTTAAATTTTATTAACACTCTTACAATCTCTCCTAGTTATTACATATGTTTTCAGCAATCTATGGGAAATATATCGGGAATATATTATCACAAAAATTCTGAACAGTAAAATAGTGTTATATAATGTTTATAAATTAATTCTAAAAATAGGTTTCAACAACTTACTCTCCAACATGATGGCAATAGAACTTTTTCTAAGTTTGAATTTAGATAACTATTTGTAAATAATTTAAAAAATATGTTTTGAATGAGAATAAATCTTGAATTTTTTTAAAACATTTTTTAAGCTGTTTTTTTATGAAACCAAATAATTCACAAATTTCTGAAACATATACCATTTCTTTATATCTAGATCGCCATATTTTATATAATGCTACAATTTTTCTTTATATCCTATAATTAATATATTTTATTTTATAAATTCTGTTTATCTTTTTTTGAAAAATGATAATAATTTTAATACTATTTATAAACAAAATGTAAGAAATAAAGATAATCATACAAAGAAGAATTTATTTGATATAATTTTTTTAAAACTATTATAATATTAATATTTTTTAGAAAAATTTCTAAATATATTTCAAATTATTATATTTTCATAAAATTTATATAAACATTAAATTCAAAGAAGTTAGAAAGCTATATTTTTTTAAAATAACATTATAATATATTTAATTTTATACAAAAAAAATAATTTTCTGATTTGAGTCAAAATATATCGAAGTTAGAATTTCGAAAAAATTAGAAAATATATTTTAATATAAAGAAAAATGATTAAAGAAGAGATAAATAGTAGAAATAACCATTTCAGAATGTTATAGAAGATAATATAATAAATGTAGTTATATTAGGTTATTTTCTTTTTTAAAAAATATCATTAAAAACAAACAAATCAGAGTTATCATTGATTGTTTTAAATCTTATAAAGAAAACATTTTTAAGTTGAATAGTTTCAATATGTAAACTAATTATATAATAAAATATTTAATTATAAAATATTAAATTATGAAATATTAAATTATAAAATATAAAATATTTTTATATCTGTTTTCCGAAAGATCAGATAATTTTAACCTATTTCTAAAAAAATAATAATAATAATATCAGAGAAAGATATTTGTTGGTTTTTTTTATTAATATCTTTTTTAAAGAGGAATGAGGCTCTCTTCCTTATTACTTCTATCTCTTGCACTTATAATACAATATATAAAATCTAATGAACTTCGTGATTCAAATAACGCGGCAGATGATCCAAAGTCTTATGATCCTTCAAAAATAGAACTCGTTGAAGAAAATCTCGAAAAATCTGTTTTAGATGACTATCAATATAGAGTTATTAAGCTACCGAATGGTGTAGAAGTGGCATTGGCTAGCGATCCCAATGCACTTATATCATCCGTGACAGCTGCTGTTCGTGTAGGAAATAAAAACGATCCTGTAAGTTTTTATAAGCTTTTTAACTTAAAGAATCTCTTATATTATATATTAGAAGGATTTTCCGGGAATGGCACATTTATGTGAACATTTGCTTTTTATGGGCACAAAAAAAGTATGATTATATTTATATTAATTATCATTTTTAATATAGATAGTATCCTAAAGAAAATGAACATGTTGCTTATGCTATGGAACGTGGCGGTAATTTTAATGCATTTACAGCCCTCGGTCGTACAGTCTATATGAGCGAAATTCATCCAAAATATCAATATCAACAACTTGATAGATTGGCTCAATTTTTTATTGAGCCCTTATTCAGAGAAGAAATAATAGAACTTGAGACACATTCTATTAACTCGGGTATTTTTTAAAATAGTTATACAAATAGAATTAATAGATATAGAATTTGAAATGTATTTTACTCAAACTCTTAAAGCTAGATTTCAGCTTTTTAACCACGCTTTAAGTCATACCGGCAAATTTCCAGTGTTTACTACGGGTAATCGTCAAACATTGTTTTCTGAGCCTAGAGCTAGAAATGCGAGCACTAAACAAGCTCTTCAGGATTTTTTTAATAAACATTATGTTTCTCGTAATATCAAAGTAGCTGTATGTGGGAATGGTATGAAAGTGGATTATATTTATATGCTTTTTTAATAAGTATATCTATAGAATCACTTGATGTTCTTCAAGAATGGGTGGCAACGACATTTGGTCGGATTCCAGACCGAGGTCCAACAGATATACAAGATACCGATCCATTTGCTGACATGCCTAGCGTAAGATATGTTTTTTTATATTTATATCTAATTATTTATATCTAGTATCATTTTACATATTATAATCCTTTTGTATCTAATCTCTTGACTTTAGCTTTTATGGTCCCAAGCATGGGGGTTCACTATAAATCAACTCCTATGCATTATCTGGATTATGTTTTTTGTTAGTTATTTAATCTTGATTTTTTATTTTTAATAATATTATTAGCTTATCTGGGCTCTGATGCTCCTCTTTATCGTTTAGCGATTAGAGATTTAGCTTCGGATATCGAGTAAATGCTTTCTCTTTTCATATAATTATCTTAATATTTTAATAGTATTATAGTGGTACCATATTCCGATAATTATGATATTGTCCTTGTGTCTTTCGACCTTCTAGATTATGGACGAGGTATTTTTTTTCTAATTTTAAATGGCATATTTAACTTTATTTAGCCATGCCCGTTGAGGTGATCATAGAGTTTTTCAGATGTTTACAATTCTTTAAAGGTTTTTTATTATTTTAAATAAAAAAATTATTCTAAAGGTATTTATACTAGAATATGGAGTGAATAAAGACGTTTTTGAAGACATAATGAACGCTCAAAGGGGACAATTTAAGTATTCTCCTAAAAAGTCGCCTCCCGGAGTTACTGAAGCACTAGCTCTGAATTTGTTACATGAAAATCTTCCTCGAAAACATTTATTAAATAAACAAATCATAAAAGAATATGATGAAGATGAATTTAATGAGCTTTTTTCTGCACTTCAGCCTGATAAGTTTGTATCTTTTATAAATCTCCCGGGAAAAACATATAACCTAACAGAGCCTTATTATAATGTAACTTATCAAAGAGCACTCCATAAAGAAACCTTGATAGAGGTAATGGAATGATTTGTTAATTATTGCTGATTATATTAGCTCCTTAAAAGGGTTAAAGCCCCTACTAAAGTACAATTTCCTCCTAAAAATATTTATATTACTATTAATTCTCCTATTACTATGGAAAAATTAAATAGCGTAAGCTAATATAATGTCGTTATATTATTTCTGACGATTATTAGACTGTGATTAAACCAGATATTTTAAGAACGACATCTATTTCCACTCTTTGGTATAAATATGGCAGTTATTTTTACTGTCCATTTGGGGTTATACGTGTTTTATTAAGAAAGTAATATTATAGAATTAATTGTACAATTAATCTTATTTCATCTAGTCCATTTGTTAATTTAACGCCAACAAATATTTATAAATTAAAGTATATACTCTAATAGTATTGCATTATTTCTTATAGATAATAGGTTTCTGCAATTGTATTTGTATACAACTGCTACAATAGAAGTTTTTTTTACTACCATGGCTGGCTTATATTTTGATATTATAACTACATCACAAGGACTTGTGCTATACTTTTATGGATATGGTGCAAGAATTATGGAAATATTTACTAAAATAATGACTCTTTTTGAGCATTTGAGTTTTCCTTTTGATAAGTTCGAGCGATTAAATTCGATTATTTTTTCTGGCGCCCAACAAAAGTTTGGTATGCAACCTTCTTATTTTGTAAAAACCGAATTGGAGGATATTCTTGCATCAGAAACATTATCTATAGCTGATACAATCATTTTATCAGAACGTAATGTGTTGTTTTCTATAGAACATAGGCTTCTAACTTTATATATAGAGTTTGAACATCCTGATATTAATGCTTTTTTTTATGATTTTTTAAACAATCTCCATTTTGATATTTTAGTAACAGGAAATATTCCTCCACAAGTAAGTTCATCTTTAATGAAATTATATAATTAAATCTATAGGATGCATTGCATATTCTTTATCTACTAGAAGCACTATTTACTCCGAATCCTTTAATGTCTTCTCAATATACCGGTCCACGTGCATTAACTCTACAAGAAGGTTACTAGAATTATTTGTATTATATATATATATTAACATCTTAGGTTCCAATTATTTTCGTGTTCAAAGAATGCCTAGAAGGGAAAGAAGATCTGCAGCTCTTGTATATTTTGAAGGTACTCATACCTCTAACTTAAGAAGAAAGAAATTGCTTTTTATAATATACCTTATACTGCGTGAGCCTCTGTTTCACGAATTAAGAACAAAAGAACAATTGGGTTATGTTATAGAAAGTGATATAATAGCTTCAAAAACCATTCTAGGGTATTTTTCATTTTATTTATAATTTATGCTTAGTTTCATAGATATTATATTATAGTTCAAACCGAAAGACAGCCACATGTAGTGCACTCTCGAATTGATGTATTTTTCGATAATATGTATAAAAGGCTCCTTAATATGTCGTCCGAGGACCTTATTCCCTATTTGGAAGGCCTTGACATCCTATATTATTCGGAGCCTCTCGATATTGTGGAAGAAACTTCTAGTATTTGGACTAATATAGTCGATGGCACTTATAGTTTTCAATATAGTAATTTTCCCCTAAGATTATTTTTATATAATATTTTTTATAGGAGGCAAATCTACGAACGCTCGTCCTATAGAACTCCGTGAAGTTATACAACTATATGAAGAACTGTTTTATTCCAGAAAGCGAAAAATTTCATATCATTCATTTTCCACTATTGGTGCCGATATTTATAACGTTTTTGATCTTCCACTTGGTACGCTTTCTGAATATTTTACTACTAAAGGACAAGATGTTTCAAAAGAGCAGCTTCGTGAACTTGTATTACTTTCTCATGATATTCCGAGTTTTCAAACTAGATTGTTTGAACATTTATTAACTAAGAATAAGGACAATAGTACCGTAAATTCCATGCTTAATGATGCATTTAGTTATCTCAGAAGTTTATATAAATTGGAAAAAGAAGAAATCATTAAACCTTTGGATTTAATTAAAGATTTAGGAATATTTAAAGCTAATGCGACCTTATCTTCAAGTTATGTTAACAGGGCATTGTGGAGTAAATTTTATAAATAGAAATGGCTTTTGGATTATTAGAATGGATAACATGTTTTATTAATTTTTAGATTTATTATTGTATATAAATTAAACTTTGTATTACCAATTTTGTTTATAATAGGGTTAGGGTATGTAATATGACTGACACTTATCTCCTTACAGTAAACTTTACCTTTTATTACCAATATTTCTCCATTGCCTGATGTTCATTCTGGCAACCGCATATTGTTTTTCTGTTTCTGTATGATGTATAATTGACGAAAAGCACCTTTTTTATGTTTTTTTCTGTAATTTAAAGTAATATAAGTGAAAATAGAGAAGAGAATGTGTTCAATTAAACTAAAAGTACATGTCAAGCATCATTAGTCGAGTATTCTTTAATTAAAACTAAAGATCAGAAGAAGTATTGATTATAAATCAATATTGAAAACAATCTAGTGATTAAAGAAAAAGGTTTAAGAATTAGTTATTTGAATGAAGTTATAAATAAGAAAGATACTGGATTTAAGGATAATAATATAGTATTAAAAGTAGTAAAAACGGGGAATCAATCGAAATAAATGTTAAAAGTCGGTAAATAAAATGTAATTTACATATTATTTTATAAAAAATAATTGAATTGGATGAGAAGAAATATAGAAAAAAAGTAAGAAAGATCATTTAAATTTATAATCAATATTTGTAATGGTTTTTATTTTTAATAGTTTTTCCTATTTTCTAGGGTATATTAAAATCGTGAAATTTATCCCGTCTAAATAAAATCTATTCATGAAATAACTATCAAGCTTAATAAAGGACCCAATTTAGAAGCATATTGTTAATATTTATGCTATATATTGGGATCCAGAAATAATACAAGATGTTCTTTTCCATAATTAATAAAATTATAGTTCTAGGAATATTGATTTTAATTGGTAATTATATTTTAGATTATTTTTATTTTTAACTATTTATAGTTCCTACTTATGGCAATCAAAGTACGCATTTGAAAGCCAGAAATTCTCAAGTAAGTGCAAAATTTACGCCGTTTAAGGATTTTGTTGTTGAGGATGATGATATTGTTGCTTATATTTTGCAAGAAGATTATGAAAAAGATGAAGAGAAATGCAAATCAAAGCTTGGGGAATATTGTGAAGAATTGAAAGGGATAGATTCAGAATTAAATAAAGTTCATACTAAAGTTAAAGAAATTTGTAATAATATAGATAAAAAATGCAGAGAAACAAAAGCAAAGGTTGAAAAAAGAGTAAATGAATTTTTTGATTTAGTCACTAGTTATGCGGGTCAAAGCATCTCTTATAAAGAATGCGATCAATATTATCAAACATGTATGTTTTATGAAACTACAAAAGAGGAATTTGTTTTAAGTTTCTGCAGTCTCCTTAGATATTCCTGTTATTTTTTCAGGGATACAGAGATGAGAAATGAAGTCATTCTTAGAGCTTTTCCTATTAGTAATATTGAATCTAAAGATTTCGCGGAAAAAAAGCAGGAAATTTGTCCAACATTGATTAAACAGAGTGATGATCTAGCTTTATTATGCCTTGAAGATACTTCACTTGAAAATTTCAATAAAAGTATTGATGAGTTTTGCAATTCTTTAAAAGATTTCATTGATAATGATAAAAAAGAAGAAGTATGTCATGAAAAACTCGGAATATATCCTCTTCTTAAAGAGAAATGTGAAGAGAAAAACGAGAAATTGAAGAAACTATGCGAGGGAAAAAATATTACATATAGGCCTCCAGTTAAAAATTTTAATCCAATTGAGCAGGGAATGACATTGTTAGAGATGATTGATCTGGAAAATCTTTATAAAGAAGGAAGAAATAGAGGACTAATTCTTGGAGCTTTAGAAAAAACGTTGGATGACATGTTAGCCTTTTTCTCTCGGAATACTGAACCTGATGAGATGGAAGGAAAATGCAAGAGTGTACTAAATAATAAGTGTGGTTATCTTAAAACTATAAGCTCTGAATTTAAAGAATTATGTGAAAAAAATAAAATAGGAGGAAAATGTAAAGATATATCAAAAATGACGGATAGGTGTAGAAAGTTTAGAATAAGACTTTATCTAGATGGAACTTCTACAAAATTTGAAGATAAAGAATCGGAACCATTGTCTTATGATGAGTTTTCGACATCATTTACCGAGAATGAATGTTTAGAGGTTATCTCGAAATGTACGTTTATTAAAAGATCATGCGAACCTAAAATGCTTATCGAATGCCAAAATCTACAAATGGCATGTCATAAAAAGAAAGAAGATCAACTATTCATTAAATTAATTGGAAGTGAGTTGTACAAACTTAATAAATTAGAATCGAATGATGAAAGATTTAATAAATGCCAAAAAATAGTAATGGAGAAGTGTGCTGCATTTAAAAATAATAATGTTGATATTTTTATGAGATGCCTTCGGCCAAAGGAGATATGTCTTAGACTTGAAAAAATTATTTCGTCTCAATTGAAAGATCTAGAACAAGTTTTGAATACAGTACGGGATTCTCCTAATGAAAAGGACTGCATTAAATTGAAAGAGGATTGTGAAGGTATTTTGAAAGATTTAGGTTTAAATAATGGGAAATGCGTTACATTGAAAGAGCGATGTGAATATTTTAAAGTTACAAGAGAACTGAAATATGCGTTTTTGAAAGAAAAAAGTGATGCATTAGCGGATAATGAAAAATGCATGAAAGCCTTGAAGGATAAATGTGATAAATTACCTAAAGTGATGGGGGGGGGGGGGGGG